TGACCTTCTTGAGTATAGACCGATTGTCATTCCTTTGTCTGGAATCAAATTAAGACCAATTCTCAATTTTCTCACCCTTATTGAGTCCAAGCTAATCGTAATAAAAGAAGCCTACCTAAGTACATCACTTCGTTATCGTGCAGTCAATGTCTCATTATATAAACCCCCTCAATATGTACAACACTTTCTTGCGTGAATGTGGTAAATAACTTAACATTTTTTTTTCTGTAATATGGACGAGTCACATTATAACCGATGATGTTTATTTTGAGGGGTCAGATGCGTCCGCTTTAACGATACATTAGTGTATCTGGTTGCTAGAACGATCTTGTTAGACGGTGTTGTGACTCCAAATAAGACCATACACAACGAAAAGACCATACACACCGCTGAACTGGCAACTGACTTTTCGTTTTCTTCCTCTTCTACTTCTGGCCTTATCTGAAAAATAAAGGAACTAAAATATTGGGGTGTGGGTATGTTTATACAGATTGAACTTCGTCTGCCTCAACGGGCGACTTGTCTCCCAGCTGTAGATGAGCAATTTAGCCAGTGCAGTACAACCACTAGCCTGGGGTCTTTAACGTGCACCACGCAGTAGTGATACACGACCGCACGTCGGTAAGAATCTCATCCAGATCGAAACGGACAGGGGCGAGGATTGCACCCAAGATCCCTGGATTCTGCAACGCGAGCTTTCGCTCCACGTGCTCCGAAGTGGTGTGCGCTAGCCCACTCGGCCACCTATCCGCCTATGAACCAACTAGCTCAGCTTAAGCCTGATACGGTGTGGTAGCTTGGCAAGCGATTAAATAAACGCTATCTCGACAGACTTGAAGATTGTGACCTTGATTACCCTTATTCTAGCTTTTAGTGTGCGTAAGAGCCACGATAATTTTTTAGCAATCTCCGTTATTTTAATTAACGGCAAATAAACCCAATTAGGTGGTTGAACTTCACTATGACCAAATCGCGTCTGGATTGAAGAGGTAAATTTGCAATTTCATGCCCACCTGAGTTTCTCTGAATAGAGGTTTGTGCTATGAATTGTACCTGATTAAGATATGCGATAGTTCCGATTCTTCGTAATGAGTTGGCGACCTTCTTTCTACACATTAGCCTGACAAGCTCCACGCGAGTTCTGCTCAATAGAACAGCCTTAAATGAAACCGTATTTCTTTTATTTTAAGTTATCTGTATTATAACCACCCGTTTTAAGAGCTTGAGAAAATATCTACATTGTTTTCACCATCGAGTGAGATGCCTTTTTCTTTATTTTCTCTATTCAGAGATTACCCTGCAGTGCCCGAGGGGGTTGCAGCGAAGGGGGGGGGGGGGGGGGGGAGGGGGGGTTCGATGCTGAAAAACACAAATCTTCATTTTCACTGCACACTTGCAGCTCCGACAGCCCATTCCACTCTCGTATCGTTCTAACAAAAAAAAAAAAAAAAAGAGTTGGCGTACATGCTTGCTCCTGGCGCGGCACTCTAATTTTGAAAGCATGATTGTTCCCTGTAGAAGTATAATATGGTTCTTTTAAGTAAGTTTCACTGTTAATTCCTGTTTTATTTTTCAAAATTAAAAACAGAAACTTTAAACACAATTTTTTTACGGCGGGCTGAGAGAGGTTCCCAGTTTAGTTGAGTCTTCTTTGAGTACAGCTGTCTCTCCGCCCGCACCGTCCCAGAACAAACCTAGCAGCTCTATTTTGTATTTCTTCATTCATATTTTTTTTATTCCGGGTCCCAGACGGCACAGGCATACTCCCAAATTGCCCTGACGCATGTTAAATACGCGGTTTCCTTTAAGTTAGGAAGTGAACATTTTAGGCTTCGTTGAATGAAGTTCAGTGCCCTGCCAGCCTTTACAATCACGTCATCCACATGCGAATTCCACTACAGTCAGTTGATATCGTGACACCTAGGTTTTTATACTTAGAGTCCTTGTTTACTATATTATTATTTATAGAATATTGGGCTTCAATTTTCTTCTTTTTAGTGAAAACATAAATGCACACACTTTTTGGGGATTTAGAGTCATCTTTCATATAGAGCACCACATTCTAAATCGATTTGTAACTGGGTGGCATCATCTTTGTTACTAATTTGTTTGTACACCACGCAATCATCGGCAAACAACCGAACACAAGATGAAATACCTAAATAAATAATATTGATACATATTAAGAACAAAAGCGGCCTTAAGACAAAGCCCTTTGGGACGTTTGAAAAATAGTTAATCATTACACTGCTGGAAAATTCATACATACCTATATAAATTATAACCCATAATACCTCAGTTGTCTACCATCTTCTAAGTCAGATATAACTAGGGTTCGGAGTTATCAGTTTAAACTGATAAAAACTGATAAAAGCGCACACGCTCGACGCGCGTGGAGCGAAAGCTCGCGCTGCAAAACCCAGGGATCCTGGGTTCGAGCCCCACCCCTGCCCGTTTCGATCTGGATTAGCATCGTACCGGCGTGCGGTCGTGTTGCGTGATGCACGTTAAAGACCCCAGGTTAGCAGTCGTACTGCACTGGCAAAATTGCTCATCTACAGTGTAAACCAGTGTCGCCCCTACTGGCAGACCAACCTTACGCTGTATAAATCACTCAGACGTCCAATTTGATTTTTTTTTTGGTGCCAAGTCCATTTTCGGAAATTCGGTTTTAACCGAAAAAGGTCAGTTTTAGGTTAGGCATTTTCGATTTAAAATGATAAAAACCGATAAAGGTTCGTCGAATCCATTTTCTAAAATTTAGTTTTAACCGGAAAAGGTCACTTTGACCTTCCAGTCTTACCGCAGAACCGTGGCGAAAAAGTGGAACGACAGTGTCTATTGAAACGACAGTGTCTATTGAAACGTGTCCGAATGTATGGGATACACGAAAGGCATCACGACATCGGAACGTGAAGTCCGAAATGCCCCATGACTTCGCCATAAACGAGCGTGTTTTCAAACTCGTTGTAAGGAAGACTGACTTGATGCAAGCTCTGCATGTTGTGTTGTGCTTCAAAACGTCGCACCGTGTCTCTTTTGGCGGTCACAATCGGTCGATTGTCCGATCTTGGCTCAGGCAGCGTTTCATCTCCTCAGCCTGCCAGTGTCCAGTGTTAGCGTTGAGAAGGCATTCTCGAAGCTCAAGGTCATATTAACAGGAAAGAAAGAGTGCGGATCAACGAGGAGAACCTGGGAAAGTGCATGTGTGTGTATTACAATAAGATCACGTAATCCTGATGTACAGAAGGTGAAGTTCCATGTTTCTTGGGCATAGGCTTCATATCTAACTTGTTTGCACTTCAGTTTTTTTTTTTTTTTTTTCAAATAAAGTGTCCATTTCTTGTACAAGGTATCTGTGCAATTATTCTTTGAGTGGTCACAAATATCAGAGCTACGTACAAGGATCATCTAATCATGTGTGCGTTGGTGTTTATTTTATATTCACCGAAAGAATCCGATAAATATTTGTGGGCATAGGTGTACGCCGAAAAAACCGATAATTGAATATTAAAATAAACACCGAAAAAAGTACGCCGAATTTTGAAAAAATAGATATCGAAAACGCGGACCCCTAGATATAACATAAATTGCATGTTTTTCCCCGACTTTATTGCTATTCCAATTGTCGATATATTAGTAAAATACGTAGTGCGCACAACACCAAAAATATATACTGTGTTTTATGGTTATAAAGCGAGCGCATATAGAAGATAAATTTCCTGAACTAAGTAAAAATATCCCAAGCTAACCTATAAAACTTTTTTTTTTCAGATATTTTTTTATGTGTCTTTGAGTGTTATATAAGGGTTCATATATATTATTTCTCTGCAGTAACTGGCTAAAAGGATTGTAAATGGTGAAATTAAACAAATTTACTTGCATACAAACAAAAATAAACTTACGTTTTTTTAACACAACAGAAGATATTGATAATGACTTAAGCGCAAAATAAATTCAGATTTCACATTTTGTACATTTCTATATTTTCAGTGACATCAAAAATGTATCCAATCTGTGACAAACAATATAATCAAGTTGCAAAATCACAAAATATATAGTAATAAATACACTCTAAAAAACGTCTGTGCGTCTAATTTCACGCACAACCCTCGGAGAGCCAATCACTGCAACTTACAAGGCATCTCATCGAATGACAATGCCGAAAGATATGTTTAAACCAAAAAATGCAGTCTGAGATGTGACATTAAGCAATGCAAAACGTCACGTTTACATTGCTTAATGTCACAACTCAGACTGCGCTTTTTTAGTCTAAACATATGTTTCGGCATTGTCATTCGCTGAGCTGCCTCCGTAAGTTGCGGTGATTGGGTCTACGAGGTGCTGTGCGGGAAAGAAGCAGCACGGGCCTTTTTTTAGAGTGTATAGTTACACTACACAGTTTAAACAAAAAAAAAAATCATCTTATCTCACACTGTCGAATTTGTGCTGTGGCAACGAAGATGTCGTCAATACGTCGTGGACACTATAAGCACGACAGAAAGGTGCGAGAGATTCAACAGATAATTTAAACATGAATGGCAAAAGCTTGTTTGATTTTAATATATCACAGGGCGCATTAAAATGCTCAACTAGTTTTCTTTTTTTTCGGAGACTTTTGTAGAAGTTGAATTTTTGTTCGTATGCTTATTGCTAAATCCATTATTATAAGAAAATCGCAAGTAAGATCGCATTACGTGCGTTACGCTTAAACTAATCACTCGCAGAGAAACTAAATTACGCATGCAGTATCGCAGATAGTTTACTGTAGTTTAATTAACAATAGCAAATGCAAAAAAAAAATAATAAGCGCCGTGACGACGCATTTTTTTGCATTGCTTGATTGGGTTCAACGAATTTTGGCGTTGAATACATTAGGACTTACAATGAAACAGAACATGAAGTCACATTGTTCAATAAAGTAGGATCCCGGACCTTTAAAAAAAATGAGATCTCATTATTTGTCCTCATCATTAATATTGCTCCATGTATCGGCCTTTTTTTCGCAGGTCATGAGGTTGACCGTATGTATGGCGGCCGCGGTGGCGTTGACAACGCTCTCGGTTATCGAGCAATCAAACGGCGCCTGCGACGTTAAACCCAAGCCCGGAGTAAAACGTGAGTTCGGTCCTAACACAACGCGACGTAGACTAAAATATTTCGTCGACAAACTAAACCAACGAACGCCTGGATATTTATTTCTTGCTGCCGAGCCCTAATAAAAAAAGAAACGAAGAAAAAAAACGAGGATAGTAGGTTACAGTAAAAATAAAAGGGGAGAGTTTTTTTTTTTTTTTTTTCAGACTGTAGTATTTGTGTAGTTTAAAGGGAATATGGAAACAATAATAATGGTCCTGGATGCAAAGTGAAAGACCCTTCACATCAACTTAATAGCATATTATTCTAACCTTTCCTAGATTCTTTTTTTTTTTTAAGTTGAAAGAACAAAAATGTTTTCTGTTGCTCTCCCTCTCTCACCACCGGGAGGAATCGGACGCGTACAACATTTGGCTAAAAATATTACTATAGCAACCGACATCTTAAGAAATGCGCGGCGTGGCGAAGCCCCAGCATCTCATTATCGCTCCGCAGCCAATCAGAATGCGATATCCGCCGATAAAAAATGCCAAAGGGCCAATCACAAAACAAGAAGCTTAAGCATTATAGGCCACGCCCTACGTTTCTGAATCTGTCTGTCACCATAGCGAATATTCTAGGCTTACATTACTACGTCAGACATAAAGCCCAATTGCAATTCTATTGTTTTTCCCCCTTTGATTGCCTGTGCTGTTTTGTTTTGTTTTAACTGTTATTAAGAGGACAATAACATTTGACAGAAGTCCAATAGCTAGTGTTCTGAATGCTGTATGAATTAAACATTGGCAGCGACGTCTTCTTCCACAGTCTTATAATGCTTCGAATGCATAATAGGACTTTTTCCATACAATTCCCTAGCAATTCCCTATAATGGATTAAATGCGTTATGGGGAATTGTTGAGGGGGTCGGTGTGTCACGTGACCTATATTTTCCCGCTAAATTTATCGGGGAAACTGAATGATCGTGTAGGTCACATGACGTCAGGTTTCGTGACGTAGATTTTTTCGATAAATTTAACGGGAAAACTTGACTTGTGTCTAGGTGAGAGGACGTAAATTTTCCCGCTAATTTTTTTATGGGGGGAAACTGAATGGAACGTTGTATAGGTCACTTTACCTCAGTTTATCCAAAGTGTATATAGGTCAAGTGACGTCAGATGACGTCATGTGACGCCATTTTTCCGCTGAACTTAGCGGGAAAACTGAATTGGCGTAGAGGTGGTCAATTTTCCAGCTAAATTTTTGCCGAGAAACTGCATTCGTGTATAGGTCTTGCGATATCAATTTCTCCGCTAAATTTACCGGGAAGTGCACGAATGGACGGGCGAGCGGATGGACGGCAAAAAAATTTTGAGACTGGGAGGCAGCGCTAGATATCACTTCATGCTTTAAAAACAGATTATTCGGCATTTTTGCAAGTTAACCTTGACATTGATCGCCAGTCAAAGCAGCGATTTTTTTTTTTTTTTTTTTTGTGAAGGAAACACAGAGACACTGTCTCACTCCTCCCGTACTCTCATTACCCAACGTATTGCACTGGTCGTATAATTTCTCGCGTTAAACTTATCGCCTCGTGTTCTTTCTTTGCGAACAGCTAAAAAGTATCCGGACATGCTAAAAGTGTATCCGAACGGCTACAAGTTGACGGCGGAGATTAATATTGAAGGCGAGGTGAGTACGTTTTTCTTTATCCTTCGTCGCTTTCGTCGCAACGAGCTTCCGCTAAATGGATGGTTCATTGTATCGATGGAATTTAGTTTCCTTAAACCGTTACCGTACGCGATGTTCGCCAACAAACGATGCCTATATAATTACTAATTGACGCGTAAAGTTAGCTTGTTGGCTCCAAGGCAGTTGCTCTCACCACACGCAAAATAGAATTCCAAATTCGTTCAATTAAAGCATGATTCCGAAGCCGGTTTATTTCGCTGGAGAAAAGAAGGCGTACAGAAAGTCGCAAAACCCCGCTTTAAACATTGAGATCTGCTGCGTCATATATATGAGCTGATTTTATCCACGTTTAAAGGCGGTGCTGGGATATGTGCAGGCGCTTGTAACCCCAACAAGCATGCCTAATTTGAACCTGAACAACGTTTTCTTGATAGTATGGGAGGCGAGGCATGTCCGCTACTCATTTCCACATGTTCGCGAGTTTGGCCAACAACGCCTAACCGGGCACATGGCGAAGGCCATGCGCCCGGTTAGGCCAATCAGCGCGTCTCAGAGAGACACGTGACTTGATCTCACCAGGTGTGCGCGTAGCCATTCATACTGGTAGCTCGAGGTGCTGTTAGAGGTTCGGGCAAAAGAGGGAATAGCCATTTGTGTACCTTCTTAGTGTGACAGACTAATCTACTGGAGGGTGAAAGGCAATGTCTGAGAGAGACAAAAAGGGTCCGAGTAAGATTGGAGTTCCTCCTTCCCCTCTTATCCAACAACCGGGGTTACGCGCTCGCCTCTGCACCTTTGGTAAAGGCTGTCATGTGCTTTGTACCGTTGCTCTGATTGGCTCCAGGTGGTCCGTAGCATTCGCTCTTTGCATAATTACAGTAAAACACAAGATGGGATAATCACGGCCTGCAAACATCCTCCTCTGCCTCCATAGAACGGTATCACAGTATAGATGATGGTGCCAAATCGGCTGTGGGGCACAGGTCCGATGTCGGGCGTCCTTCGACATGTTGATTGGGCACGAGGGCCGGCCGAGCGCTGACGCTACACTCGTATCCAATCAGCGTCTTCACTCGGTATCACTTTGATGACGAAAACATCCTAGTGGACAGGCCTTGATCATTCTAGGTGGTGTTGTTTGTGTCCCAAGCTCTTCTATTTTTCCGGGATTAACCAATGCTAAAACTACGGAACGCTTTAAACTGACGTTGTGAAAGTGTTTCCCGTATACATATTACAATGACGAACGATTTTCTTTGATTATTATGGCGATTGCAACTTTTTCTCTTCAATCCTTGAAATCGAAAAAAAGATGTTGCGAGGTTAGTACGGGTGTCTGATGAGCCTATGCCTAGTCCAACGAAAAAAAAATGTTTTCTCAGCTCGTTTAAAGCAAGATAGAAACAGCCCCCATCGTCGCAAAGAATTACGCAATTCCAGTGGAGCTTGAACAGGCCCCATTTCATCCTAAGGCGAACTCGCGTGGTGCTTTCAGCGAGCTCTAGAGCGCTCTTTCGAGAGCGTGCCGGATCGGGGGAGGGAGCTTTCCCGGAGAGATGGAAGGCCTCAGAATAAACCACACGATCACGTCGCCGCGTTCTTTCACCACCACCCGATCTGGCGGGCTCTCCAAAGAGCGCTATAGAGCGCGCTGAAAGCACCACGCGAATTCACGATTAGTCCATGAGACTTACACATTTGGTCAACTTTATTTTATTCGTATATTTTCGCATTGAAACAAGTAAATCCAGTTTTTCATGGCACTCACCTTGAGTTAGTTATCTAACTGTTACTGTTTTATTCACAATAGACACCAAGAGTTGGGGAAAAGTAAAATCATGTCGTCCTATCAGAAGTGCATTCGTCAGGTGTGATATTGTTGCTTCGAATTAGAAAGCATCGTTACTATTTCTCATTTTCAATGCATAATAACGAAGACACATCGGAGTATATACTGCAATAGGATGTACTCTAAACACTATTCCTGAATTCTATGTTGTTTATCTTAGCCAGCGAGAACGAGCAGTGATATATTGCTGCAGTTCAAACCTTCTGTCAATAGAAATCTAAGAAAATACGAGCGTGAAGGCACAAGGTCTAGACCAGCGGCGTAGACTTTCCATTTTCCCGGGGGGGGGGGGGGGGGGGAGGGGGTGCTGCGCGTTCTCTTCTCGCCAGAACTGGAGATTGAAGCTAACAGGAGCACGCTGGGATTCAATCACCCATTTATTTTTTCAATAAAGGCAACGTGGGCGCTATTTTGTATACATGCCGCTACTAGAAGCTCGTTACATGGCACGTAAACAGCGTCTTGGTAAGGATCATGGCCCGGGCCCGGGAGGGGGGGGGGGGGGGGGGGGGGGGGGGCTCTGTTCCTCCTTTTCCCCAGATTTCACCAGGGGGGCACGAGCCCCGATGCCCCCAGTAGTCTACGCCTATGGCCTAGGCGTTGGTAGAGTTCACCTGAATGTTATCAGTAATTAATACTCCGAGTGCAGAGTGAGGCAGCATACATCAAGACATATCTCTTACTCCTGACAGAATCAGCTTACAAGATAGCGAGCTGACTTTTTGATTTTTTAAAGATATATGTTCTGAAGGCAATTAAGCTGCACGCCTGACTGTGGTTTAATAGTATATATACATGTAACGTCGCAAGGTACGCCTGTTAATGTCACCACCTATATCATTTCTTTTCCTTGAGGACAGCCATAGATATTGCACAAGGAAGTGGGCACCTTCACCTGTTTCCTACAAAAACGTATTGGTGCAGGAGAATGTCTCTAACGGAAACGCCCTAAATGTTGTGCGATTTTTGAATTTCAGAAATCAACTCTGTTTTTCCACGAGTACTATTCGTTTGACTTCAAGCGGGGACTCCTAGAGCTAACGTACCAAGGAATATCCACGAATATCTTGTACCTTCACCACACGGAAGAGATATTTCTTTTTGACAGTAAGTATATTACCTTTATAATTAGTAACTAAAGATAATATTATGTCTTCAAGAATAAATCGACATTTCACGGCAACCGCCTTTGTTCGTGAGATTTTGCAGCGAATTCGGTGTAAGATTTTCCCTCTAAAACACTGGGTTTAGCGGGAAACTTGTCCCGCCAAAAAATTTAGCGGGTAATCACGGGGCCGCCCGACACCTTGAGGTCCCGTAACACTGCAAAGCCACGTGAAGAATTTCCCCTCTAAATTCAGCGGGGAATGTTCGACGACCTATGACGTCACCTGGCACTGTGACATCACGTGAAGCGTTTTCCCTCTAAATTTAGCGGGGATACATTGACGTTGTGTTACGTCACATGACCATACATTGCCACGTGACGTCACAGTCACGTAACGTCACATCATCACGTGGAGCACATTGTCACCTTAGGTCACATGACGTGACGTCAGGATTTCTTCGCTAACCTTAGTAATGAGCATTTTCCCGCTAAATTTAGAGGGGGATGTAGTGAGGTCATATGACGTGACGTTACTATGTGACGTCACAGTCATGCGAGTCATGGATATTAGTGTCACGTGATGCAGAGTGTCACCTGACCTCACGTCACAACACACTCTGCTGCCTCAAAGGCAAACGTCTGAGCCAATCTTTACCGAACGCCCGGCATATATGCGGCACGTTTATAGTGTTTCTTTCTTTATCTCAAACGCACCATGTAAGTACGGCAAAAAAAAATAAAAAATCGGACGACGTTTGCGTTTTTTGTAGTACCCAACATCTGTGAAGTGTCGAGGACACTAAGGAGTTATTTTGTAGCATGTTATATACTTTTCGTGTAAGGGACTCGTTTAACGCGAAATGTGTTTTATGGATCGCTTCTCTTTTTATTTCTTTCTTTACGACGAAATCGCTATGAGCGAGCGTTATAGTTGAGCGTCATGGACACTCATTACACAAACGCACACAAAGAAATTCACATCACGTGACCTAGACGCATATTAAGTTTTTTCCGCTAAATATAGCGGACAAGGAAAACTGGTATATCGGTCACGTGGCATTAGGTCATGTGACTCGAATTTCCCCGCTAAACTTTGCGGGAAACGGCTAATTTTGCTAATTAAAAACTTCTAACACTACAAAGATATATATAGGAATTTGAATAAAAAGGTGAGAAAATAAATTCGCGGTTTGTGCGTGACACACTTTGTACTCAAGCTCGTGTCATTATTTTCTTCATCGTCCTCTTTACCTTTTATCTTTTTTTTCTTTTCCAGACACGTCCTGCGTAACCCTTCCGATTACGTCCCCACCGAAACTCATCAGCCCTCTCTTACTGCGGTGGTCGTCACTTTTCACCGGAAACAACACCGTCTTCGGACCCTCTGTTCTATTCTTAAGTCCTGTGTTAAACCCTACAATCAAAATGGTACGTATGTACGGTTAAACACTTTTTTTTTTAATTTCCAGTTTTAAATAATACGTCATTAGTTAATTGGACCGAAGATTATCTGAAAATAGACCACAGTTTGTTTCATACAGGGATGTTCATTCTAGCAATGTCTCAGTTAGTTCCGGTGTCCCACAGGGATCAGTTTTAGGACCTCTTTTGCTTTTACTTTACATTCACGACGTCGCAAATGGTCTTCCAGTTAAAATTCGCCTCTATGCAGATGATTGCGTTTTGTACAACGAAATCAACTCGGTAGATGACCATGCCTTGCTAAATGACTCTTTTGAACAGTTTTTTAATTGGAGTAAAAAGTGGCAGATGGAAATTAATTTTGAGAAATGTGTAGTTATGTCATTTACTAATAAGAAGGAAGCGTCTATTTTTAGGTATGGCACTAGTAATATAATTCTGCGTCAAGTTCATGAATACAAGTATTTGGGTATTTTTTTCACGCCTAGTCTCAAATGGATAAGCACATCAGTTCTATTTGTTCTTGTGCTCTTCAAAGGCTAGGATATGTCAAGAGAACTTTAAAATCTTCAACTAGGGAAGTTAAAATAACGGCGTGTAAGACCTTGATTAGACCTATCTTAGAGTATGGTTGTGTGGTGTGGGATCCGTATCTAAAGGGTGATATTAAGCAGATTGACGCAATACAATCAAAGGCAGCTAGATTTATTTGTAATAGATATGACCGCAATTTTTCTCCTACATCTACTACGACTGACACAGGACTTACGCCTCTTGATTCTAGACGCGCTGTAGAACGGCTCAAGCGCCTACACAAAATAGTCAATAATAACTGTGCACTTAATCGGGAAAAATATGTTGGTTTTGTTACTGAATCACGCAATCGAAGCTTCCATCCATTAAATCTTGTACCGTGCAGAGCCCACCTTAACTGTTTGAAATATTATTTTTTTCCTCGAACGATAGAAAACTGGAATAACATAAATGGATCAGCTCGTTGTCTCGATTTTGATAGGTCTGTATTAGAAATACAGTAGGTGTTCAGGTATGGTGCCTGGAATCTGTAATTGAAGTGTATGTGTTTGTTTTTGTACTCTTTTTATATTGCATTTTTCACGGTTTAATAAGTTTTGTTTCGTAGAATGTGTACATCTTTAATCGATGGCCTTTTTGAATGTATATGCATGTTGTTTTTTTTTCCACTATTGCGATGACCTCATCGAGGTCGCAGTATTTTGAAATAAATAGATAAATAAATTAAGGTTTAACGCGCAAAAACCAACGAAGGGAATCTGGCACGCCCCAGCGTAGGACTGAGGATCGATTTGAACCACCTGGAGTCCTTTCACGTGCAAACGAAATCCCTGTTACAGGGCGCCTTCGCAATGAGCCTCCATCAGATTGGGGGCACCTCAGCCGGGATTCGAACCCGCAACCTGGGAATCCGTAGGCCGGCGCTTTGCTTCCCACTGTTCCCTGTAAAACCTTTGCCGTTCGAGAAGCCACAATAGTTTCTATTGGGGTATCTTGAACCACAATAAGTTATAAAACTAAAAATCAAATGCCTTCTTGTTAATATTTTTTCTACATTTGTTGATGCATTTTTGTTTTAAAACTAGAATAAAAATTGGCAGCGACCTTCATTTTCAAAGCGCTATAAAGTCATGAAATACAGTGTTTGAGGTGGGAACGTTTATAATTATATACACGAAATCAAACCGTCGTGTTGGGTAGTGAAGAGCCTTTATCGTCATCAAGTATTGAGCCGGGAAACTCAATTGGTGTTAAGGTCTCGTGAGATCTGGCCGCGTTACGTCAAGTTCGTTCCTAAATATAGCGGAAAAAATGAATTGGTGTATCGGTCAGGTGACGTCGGGTGACGTGACGCCAATTTTCCCGCTAAATTTAGCGGGGAAACTGAATTTGCATCTAGGTCGCGTGACGCCAGGTTACGTGACATCAATTTACGTCACGTTTCGTAAACACCAATTCAGTTTCCCCGCTTTGGCGAAAGGAGATGCAAGGACGGACAAACGTTAAAAAGAATTTCAGGCTTCAAAATTCTTCGGAACATCCGAATAAATCATCACTATCATCCCTGTTACGGACATCCTAGAAACAATATCTCATTGCTAAGAATCCTATTCAATGAGTTGACAAAATATAAAAAACATCCTTATTAGAGTAACTGTATAGTCTCTGCTTGCGGAGTTAAGAGTTTCTCAATGGTCTGAAATGTTTGGCTCCAAGTACTGCGGGAGAAGCGAGCGTCGCTCTTGCAGGAGACGTGACGGTTGTCAAACTTGTCATATCAGATCTGAAAGGTGCGATATTGCCGCGTGCGTGGGGGAGTTGGCAACACACGCAGCATCGGGGTTTGTGTCCCGCTCAAACTGGTTCTTACTGTTTTGTTGTTTGTTTTTCTTTGGGGGGGGGGGGGGGGGGGGGAGGGGGCAGTAAATGCTTTTGTTAGAAAGTTTCACACCATTCTCGGCATTCAATGCGTTGTTATGGTTCGGAAGATTCCAGAAAGTACGGCTCGTACTATAAGAGCAGCGTTAACGCGCTGCTTCGGAAAAGTCGCTCTTCCGTCTCCGACGCAAGATGCTTGCACATTCTCCTTAAGTTTGTAGGCCCAAGTTCGCCTCATTAACTGTTTATTTTAAATTTCATATTAATATCATATATGTTTATTCGTGACAATATAATCGTGGACAATTACCATGATGTATCCCTTTCTCGTCGTCACTGCGTACATACCGCACTTTTCAGGTCCAATCGTATTCTGAGTTCCGTCATACTTCACTCTTCTATCGTTCGCTGTGATTGGTTGACTCCGTATCATGCAGGAGAGCAAAACTCCCACACGTATTCCTTTTGTGTGTGTGTGTGTGTGTTTGCGCGCGCTCAAGACAGCGCTGCAATAGTGAAGACCCCAGCAACAGCTCGTGTTCCTGGGAGCAGTCTCCAGGATTTTCTTTTCCCTTCGTTCATTCTCGGCATTTCACAGCGAGATCTGTTATAGGCTCGTCCACCGCACTCGAAATTATGCAGGGTGATGTAGGTAGGGCGGTGTAGGACGTCCGTCGTCAATATAGCCAAATGCTTTAGGAAAAAAAGCCCGCTGCGGATTTTTCAGAATTCGGGGCACGGTCCGCTGATTGTAAAGCGAGCGCGGTGCCGCAGAGCTGCGCCTGCTCAATGCCTCACGCCGCGTTTCTTAGAAGGATTCATGTGTGAGTGAGTACGTCCGTCTCCGAGTACATATCGCAGATGGATTTCTCCCCGTAAGTGTCAAGATACGTAGGGATATATTGGGGTTCGATAAGGTAACGCAGCCATTACTTTGTGTGTTACCGTGGATTCACACTGGACTGCTCATTGTGTGTGTCTCTCTCCTAGACGTTTCAAGGAAGCGACGAGGAAGTTCGCGGCATACAGACCCTCAAGTGGGCGACCTGTTTGAAAAGCAGTGATGACCCGTACGAAGTCTATTTTGTCGGTAGGTGGAACTGCATCAATGCTCGCCTTTATGATGTATTCGCTTGGCGGAGTTTTTTTTTTCTCCGAGGAGGTGACGAAACGCCAACGAGATTTGAGTTGACGAGCACGGCGTTACGGATGTTCGCTAAACCCAGGAGTTCGTGGGGAGACGTGGAGCGTCTGGCGTTCTTGTAGGAGGAAGGATAGCTCCTTTACAAAAGTCCATCAAGCAACATTGGCAATCGCTATTGGTGATAGGTAGGAGGCGAGAATTGACTTAGAAGGGTATGAGGAATCATATGGTTGTCCTTTTAGACTTAGGCTAGGTGGCGCAAGATACCACCCGTTGCAAAGGGTAGGGCTATTAACATCCATCCATCCATCCAATGGGCCCGAAGCCTGTGATTGGATATGAGTTCTCGTCGAACGCTGACGCAGCACTCGTTTTCAATGTGAGCTGAGTTGAGTTCACTCCCGATACTCTCGAAACCATCGTGTCCAATACATGCTCAGAGTACGTGATTGAACAATGACGCATTCGGATAATTGGCGCAGCAGCTACTGGATGGCGCATTCTTCTGAAAACGGTCTATTACGGCCAGTAGCATTAAGCTAAACGATGCCCTTCATATATTATTTTCTTCTGCCTTTTCTGGGATAAGCCCGTGAAGGTTACAAACGCGATCGTAAAAAGTAACACACCGCCGACTCAACTGAAGGCGACTCCGTCGTGCGAGGGTTCGCTCGGATTTTCTTGACCACCTCCTCATTTTCCCGGATTTTTCTCCGCAGCTTAATAATTACCCTGTACTTCGCTTTCTCCGCCGAAAGAGTTCTGTCGTGCCAGAACACCGTTACTAATCCCGCGACTGAGAAGACTACTCGAATTAGGTTGGCCAACAGTTCTTTGACTTTGGAAGAATCAACATTCTAGAACATAACGTTCAGCTCGGGCTGTATCTATATCCAATTTTAGGCCCCTCAAAGGAAGAAAAGAAGATACTGCAGTTAAATTGGATAGGTATTAAACTAAATCAAGTATGGGGATATTAAGAATCGCTAATACAGCGTAAAATGGTTCGGTAGTGACTGTACAACGAGGCAGTGTTTTCATCCGCGTGTAGAAATGTGTAGCACAACACTTCTTATAACTAATACTTCGACTAATTCGGTTGCATCTCTGTTTAGTACCGAAACATAGGGCAGCCAAAAACACCCTCAGTTTCTTAACTGCCCAAACTAACTACGTTTTCGGAATACCAGAGTTTTACTTTGCTGTGCAAGCAATTTATTTCTTCTAAATTATGATACAGCTATTGAGAAAACGGAAAAACAAAGGTTATGCCGAATCAGACGATAAAATTTCCCCGCACTTTCCAACGGGCTGATGTCACACATTCTAAAACTTGCAGGTGGAGCAGGCAGTCTAAATACACAGTGTGTCGTTCATCTATTTTCTTCTGCTAGAGTGAGTTTCGCCAGCCTTAATTGCATACCATTATACTTCTTCAAAACCGTCGCAAACAAATCACACTGCCCAAATCGCAACACGTGTAGTTGCTGATGCAATTAATGAAAAGGCGCAGTGAGCTGGACAAAAATAACGAAATATTTCTCGTAGAAGGGGAACAAGAGGAACAAAGGACAAACATATATTTCCAATCACAACTAACTCGTTCTTAATGTTGCCAGTCAAATATGTCAGTTAAAAAAACACACAAAAAACCGGCGAGATTTAGATTTGGAAGCTCAGTATGTTATTTTAGCCTAAAATTTAGGTTTTTAGTTCAGCCGTGTCTATTGCTAAGTTGCTAGCATTCCGCGTAAAGAGCGCGACACCGTTAGCGCAAACAAGCGGTCGCCAGTTTTTTGTGTTTTTCTCTTAGAACCGAAAGGTTGTCATCAAAGATATTATTGTTATAGAAAGAGCTCAACTAGGGCTTTAATATAAAGGGTAAAATTGTGTGCCCACTAATACTCTTTCCTGATAAAAAGCGTAAAGGCGCCGATGTCGTGTTCGCGCTAACAGTGTCGCGAAGTGTATACTTCCTAAATGTATACCTCTTCTTCGTCTCGCAGATAAAAAGTGGAATTACGGCTATGGAACAGCCAAGACGATTCCCCTCAGAGTTCGTAGGGGCAAGGTAGTAACCGATATAATGCGGATGCAGCCCTATGTCACCGACCCCGAACAGAAGCTCAAGGTATGTATCGATCCGAACCTGCTTTTATACATACCATTCGGTCAGGCAGTGATTGGGGTCGGGTATGCCGGACCTTGCATGAGTGGATTTGCGCGTCTCTCGCCCCCACCCACGCCCAGTGTTGTACGGAACGGCGTTCCAAGGAACGACGTTGCTCGAACGCGTTCCGTTTTGGGAGGAACGGAGCACTCCACCGTTCCATCTTGCGTGAGTGGAACTGGAACAGGAACTCGACGTCTTTTTTCAATGCGAAAGCGTTATCTATCCCATGGAGCAGAACGTGAAAGAAATGCCCATTCTCCCATTGGCAGAGCAAACGGCTCCTAGATTCCCATTGGCGGCTGCTTCATGAGAGAGCGCGCTCGGTCACCACCCTCGTGGCAGACGTTGCCGGAGAGGGAAAGGGGGGGGGGGGGGGGGGGGAGACTGCGGCCGCTTTACAAGAGCGCGAGCTTGGCCGCCGCTCTCCTGTCAGGCGTTGCCGGAGGGGGGGCTGCGGCCGCTTCTGTTGCTTTTGGCGCCGAGGAAAATGGCTACAACTGAGGCACCTATATCGTCGGCGGCCACAATCTCGGCAGTAGGGAAACGTGGCCGTCCACGCCAGTGCGCCGCAGAAAAAATAAGAGAGCGGAAGAACGACATTCGTGCTTTCGCGTTCTCATCTGATAAGTGCTTAGGTGTCCTCGGAATTTTAAACGTTTACTCGTATAAAAGGAAAACAAGGCCCTCAAATCCCATTTTTTCGATGGAACGGCAGGAGGAACGATGTCCCTTTTTTTCTTTTCAATTTTTCCCGAATTGAGTAAGCATTTAGGCTTTTTTTATAAGAGGCAATTTCAAGGTCCGACTTCAAGGGATAAGGGAAGTGTCCGAGAGACAGTCAAGAACAGTCGAGTGGAACAAATGTGATTTGTTCCACTCGACTGTTCACAGGCTGCTCTCTAGTTTCACAGGTTGCTCTCTAGTTTCACAGTGGCCCTAAACTCGTCAAACACAAAGTCGGAGCCGAAAGTTCGCGGAGAGCGCCGATTGGACACTCGTGACAAAAAAAGCGAAGTCATCGTCGTGATAGTCAAATCGTCGCAGTCCGTGAACTTTGGCCCCAACTTTGTGTTTCACGAGTTTAGAGCCCCAACGGAGCTTCTGCGGTCGAAAGTTGGGACTACGCGAGAACAGCGACACTCGCCTTTGCTCGTGCTTTTTACTTTTTTTTTTTTTACACTTATATTTCCCAGTGGCCACTAAAGGTACCCTGAGAAGGTTCTTGAGGTCGCCTAATAATGGCGATAACTTACTTTGTAGGCTCCATACGTCCTAGAAATCCATGAATCATAACGATGCGCGGTCGCTTTCTCTATGAAAAAGAAGCAATCAAAGATCGAAATTATCTCCGGCGATAAGAAGTGCATCGTGCACGCAGCCAGGACAGCATGTGACCAATGAAAACGCGATATTTCGTCGAGATTTCAAACGCTGTTATTACAAAATGTGTATGATTTTTGTAGATGATTGAAGAAAGCAAGAGGTAAAAACATTTTTGTTTTTCGCGGAGAGGGATTATAATACCGCAGTCATCGTCTCATAAACAGCACACTATGCTAGATTTTTTTTTTTTTATTTATTTTTTTTTTTTTGTGTTCGGTTGTCAGTTTTTGAACGCGCGCCCGCTGGGTTGCATCGCAGTCCGGACTGTGTGGGCAACGAACCCCGCGCATCGGAGACATCACTCCGCGATTCCACCGGTCGGAAGCGCGAGGATCCTTCGCTCGCTTTTGGCTCACAGAGATCCTGGTTACGGAACAAGCCCCTCCCATCGACGGAGATAAAATCGGCGTGTTAAGATCTTCGATTGTTTTTTTTTTTTTTTTTTTTTTTTTTGTAGCTGTGTCGGCTCCAACAAAACATAGTAAAAACCGGTTTTGTTGGAGCCGACGCAGTTGTTGCAGGAGGCTTAAAAAACGGTCTCATCTCTCTCGGTCTTACTCGGTCGCAAGAGTGTGAACGGGCCTTTAGAGTAAAACAAATCATGAAGCAAAAAACATATGTACGTTTTTTTTTGTTTTTTTTAAGTTGTCAATGCTTGTAGATGGACCCAAATCTGTTTACGAACATACAGTATTTCTGGGTTGTCTTTTAACTACAAAGTCGGTTTTTCTTCTTTTTTTTATTGCAGATTCCAATGTTCGTTGGGTGCCAACGCCTCGCCAGGGGATTACCGAGGCCACCAAACTTCGACAACATCCCCATGGAGTTTCATTCCGAGCTGGCTTTTTCGAACCCGACGGTGAACGGCCAGTACTCCTACACGTCTCACCTGGATGTGCGTATTTTGTTACCTCCATTCGCTGTTCTTCCGGGAACATCGTCTGTATTGAGCCTCTGTGCCCCGAGACCATTTCTACATCTGTTCAACCCTATACTCGAAGAAGGCCTAAAGCGTCTCATTTCACGCGAAGCACTCGGGAGAACCAATCGCTGCAATCTACGAATAAAGATTTTTTGTTGTTTTTTCCTCTTTTTTCAGGTTATAATCATACTGTTAGCCTCGTCCTTTGCTGAGGTCTCTCTGTAGACTGCAGCTGCTTGCTTTCTCCGGGGTTTGGCGGCCAAATAGACGCACTGCTTTATTTAGAGTGTATCGTGCTTGATATTCCCTACAAACCTTTGCAGACTGTAAAGTAGTGATTAAATAAATAAAAAAAAATTGGGAGACACTTAAGCTTCGCCTTTAAAGACCGACGACCAGTTCGCGCTTTCCACTTTTCCCACGCTGCATCCTCTCCCCTTTTCTTCCCTGTCCACCGTTGCTTGTTTCCTCCTCCTCCAGGGTGAGGAGGATCTTCTGCCTTGCAGAATCTCCTGTCTGGTCGTTGGCCTTTAAGAGTGGAACGCAATAGCATAATCGGGCCCCGTTCGCAAAGCCTTCTCATATAAACCCGCGCTCGTCCCCAAGCTGTGCAAGCGTGTGTGCGTGGCCTAGTCGGTAGCGTCACGTGTCACGTGACGTCACGCGCAGCGTGACGTGAAACATGGCTGTGACGTCATGACCCTATCGACCCTATTGAAATTTAGTGGAAAGTGTTCCGCTAAATTTGGCGAGAAAGCTTTCCGCTTAATTTGGCGGGAAAATTTTTTCCTAAATTTGGCGAAAAAATTTTGCACCAACTTTAGCGGACAATTTTCCCGACAAATTTAGCGGTTCGATAGGGTCACGACATCACAGCCACGTGTGACCTCATACGTGGCTGCGCACGTTGAACTATGGGATTTTTTGGTCCCACCGACGCCGACGCCGCATTTGCCGCGACGCGAGCTCTTAAACGCTATTGCGTTAAAATGAAAAGGTTTTCATGCTCCTAATTGATTTTATTATTGGTTCGTTAAGGGTTTGTGGATAAATGATCACAAGAAAATGGGTTTGGCTGGACGCGAAAAGTCCGACGTTCTCTAATGGCAGCATCCAGTATTATTCAGAAATATTATTTTATCTCTATTGGTTTTAAAGCGGCCTAACTTTTCTCTGTATTGAAACATGTATTTCTTGCTAAAAATAAAGGTAAATTCACAAAACAGAACCTTTTAACCACCTAAATACCATTTATACCTGTTTACTTATTGTTGTTTACCTATAGCTGGAGTGCTGCACGGATAACAGTTTGATCATCCACATCCAATCCGTTTGTGCAGACTTCGTATTCGCATCCGGACCGCATCCGCTAAATTCGGAACCTCATCCCACTCTCAATCTCCGCGTTCATTTCATGACATAAAGTCAGGCATGCATGAATACAAAAATTAAAAAAAAAAAAAAGATATGGATGGTATCTTATAAGCCGTCTGCTTACCTTTGAACAATAAACTCTTCCTGTCAGAATACGGCAAAAGTCATTTCATCAGATATTGTTTAATCGTATTTATAGAACAAGCGATCATCCTTCCAGAGACACTTCGCATCGCTGGAAATATGATCGCAGTTATGATGTCATTTTGGGAGTCTGCGACACTTTGTCGAAAAGATGCGCTCAAAAGAAAAGAAATTTTAATTTTTTTCTTCGTAAAACTTGTTTTAAGCAGACACATATTTTATAAACATGTAAATTAACAAATGACAGACTAATAACACTGTCATTTTATTTAGGCCAGAAAATAAAAAGTGGGTAAGGAAAGCGCTCGCAACCCGCGGCAAAGTATTGTGTACACGTGATAAGGCAATAGTACACCACTGGGGAAATATCACAACATTCAATAATGGCAACACCTCCTAAAGGTTCCAGTTTTATACATGAACCCTCAACTGCATGCTGGGAACCATATACTTAAAAACAACTCAGTGCCAACTGTCGTAAAAAAGAAAACGCACACACACGCAACGTTTCACTTGTCGAGGTTGCTCTCAAAAGAAACAGAATATCGTCAATATGGACGAATTGAGACTGGTGAAATCAATACCCGTTAATGAGATGCCTTTCTCCGTTGACGCATTTGATGTTGGAATGGCATGCACGAACTGGGCTACAAGAATGAGATGCGGAAACTCGTACTGGCTCAAGTTCCACCACTCGAGAAGCGAATCTACATTTTTGCGGAGAAGCCATTTGCAGGCTTCTTACTTTTTCGTGGCTTGTACGGTTTAGGTTTTCTTTGTCCAAAGAACGTTTTCCGCCCTTTCCGTGCCAAACAAAAATACGCCTTTCCGGGACGACGGATGCTCCTGCATTCTTTACTTTTTCTAGGAACCGCATTTTTGGCAAGATAGAATATTCTAACGCGATGTTCGGCAAGAATCAAATCTTTCTTGGCGTAAAAAAACACCTTTTTTCCCCGATTGGCTCCTTTTATTTAAGAGAGTACTTAGCTACTGTAATACATTCGATGATGCACTTCATAGTATCACTCGCTTATTCACTCTACCCTGTGCTGTCGCACACATATATCGGTCGCTTCGGCAAAAACGTAGATCAGGACCGGCGGATATTCGCATCTGATCCACAACCCGCCGAATTTGTTACACTTTTATCTGCATTCGTCAGATTACTGCGGATATCCTTGGATAATCCGCGAATATACACTCTCAAAAAAAAGGTGTATTCTTACACCCTTTGACCCATAGAAATCACCCCAGAACTTCAGTTAGACGTACAGCGGACTGACTTCAAACTGACCGTACCAACTTTCACGAGGTGCTTGATAGCTGCGTGGTACAACTTATTAAAATCGCTAGTGCTCGTGTTACTGACTACAAAATATGTATATATATATATTCGGGGTTTTCTTGACCCTACTGCAAAAACTCAATATTTCCTTTGTGTAGTCTTTGACGTACTTTAGCTATTCAAAAAGTTTTACCACACTGTTATCAAGCCCCTCGTAAACTTTGGGACCGTCTGTTCGACTATAGGGTGCTGTACGGTGAACTGAAGTTTTGGGGTGTATTATATGGAACAAAAGAGTGTAAGGTGATACCCTTCTTTACAGTGTGTATGCAGGGCTCTACCTATAGCCTAGCAATAAAGATCCCGATAACTGATTTCTCTCGTTGCAATCGTCGTCAAATTACTATTTAAAAGAAAACAGCAACACGCATTGTGGTGGAAGAGGAAAACATTACAAATCATAAAAGAATCGCGATCTAAATGTCTGGTTATATTGTCTCTTAACGAAACTACAGTCAGTGGCAGGATTCTCAAGGCGTAGCGAATTGCGAGCACTTTATCATCCCTCGTCGACCAATGAGACCTCTGTATAAGCAGATCAGAACGTAGCCGAACAAATCGCGAAGCAGGGAGCGTGAATGAAATAAACCACTTCATCGTTTCTTACGTTTTTAGTGGGGCTAAACTCTAAGAAATGTATGTGAGTTCACATTTCCACAGTACACGAGACAAGTTACGGTGAATAGTAGAAGCGACCCAGCGTATGATGAAGCTCAGGGTACGATCAGACTGAGAAAAATGTTTAGTGCGCAGCGATAGCGTGTGACATTTTACTTGCTGATTTCCCCTGCACAGAACGCATTTTATTTTTATTTTTTTTTTAGATCAAATCATATTATGAGTTCAGTCATTCGCTGTGATCCTTTCATTGTTTGCCGTGATTGCCTGTATCCATATGCCGCAGCAAAGTGAACGCACAAAACTCTTTTTCTATAGTGTATACAGTGTATGTTTCCGGTAGTCGAAGCAACGCGGGGCGTGGTTTCACACCTGTTGCTTCGTGGTTGGACCCTCGGCGTTCTTGTCGCCAAATGCCTCAATCTCATTGGTTGGCGCGCGATAATGAGATGCTTGAAACTCGCTACGACCCTGCGTTTCTTAAGCTGTCAGTGACTATGGCGAGCGTTAGTTCGTCTGCTTCTTGCCAAAGCGGCAATGGAGACGTCAGAGCGCCAAGCTCTGATTGGCTCTGACGGAGAGATAGTGGGTAGACCCCAATGTTATAGCTACCATGAGGTATAGCCGCTATTGTTCCAATTGGAACCAATCAACGCTCGACGTCCTGACGTCACCGCAGCTCCTACTCAAGAAGCAGACGGACTTGCGCTCCGCATAGTACCACCTCACGCCACTCCCCACCTTATTACTCAAGTCCATACTACCGAAGCGTGAGCATCGGTAGTATGGGGCACAAGACGTGCATGAAAACCGATACGTCGGCACCATGCCTATGTGTTCAGAAGGATGGAGGCATGTTGGGCTGCCCTCCATTTATAGTTCGCAGATAAACCGCCAGGCGGCGCTGGTTTATCCGCGAACTATAAATGCCTGGCTAGGTGGCGTAAGCTACCGCCCGATCCAAAGGGCTCAGCTGTATTCATCCATCCATCTATCCATGGCCCATACCGTGTCATACTGCAAACCGCTAATCCTCTGAATACTGTGAAGACCCAATTGCTTACCAATATGTTTCAGATAATCCGCGACCCCGTCAACAATATCTTCAGTCACATCTTTGCCCCTTGGAACACGGGGAGTGGGAAACTGGACCAGCAACTTTCCGCCCTGCCAGAGACACAAACCATCTTCGACGTGACCAACGGCAAGTTCCTAGAAGATAGCCCGACACCAATAGCTTCAGAACACACGTAGGCGTACGGTAGGAGGAGAAATTTGAGTCGAATGGGGACGGTCGCACTCACACAAACCTGGGCATGCATAACTCACCGAGGTGGACAGGAAATACCAATCAATAACCTTCTGAGTGCCGCGCACGAGTATACTCGGCCAGATTCCCATTGGTTTCAGTTTCGCTTTGCTCCCTGCCCCTACAAACTAGGCTGTCATTTTTTTTAGCGTGTAACGGCACGTAGGATTAAGCGACGAGAACAAGGGCTACTCAGAACTCAAACATCGACACGTTTTTATTGCCTCAAATACGTTAGGATATCTAACTATAATTCTTGTAAAAACACTACGGCAAAAAAAAATAATAAAAAAAAATATTTTTGCTGTTTATCTCGCACAACTTTTTTGAAACCGAAGTCCGTCGAGGATAATTGCGAAAACATATCCTTGGCTGATTTGCAACAGATTTCCCACATCATCCAATGTCACTGGTGTGTACGACATAATTCAGTTCATTTGCACGCTCAATGTTGTCGTCAGTCAAGAGCGTGTGCGGGCGTCCGTCTTCTTGTATATGACCGATACTCTTGAGTCGTCCCTTGGACGTTTGTTATTCGTCCAAACACACCTCATCGCGACAAAACATTACCTACTTCATATTACGCACACAGTCTTCCGTAAATATCGGCACCAGACAAACCCCCAGACCGCTGAAGACGAATAACAGCACGTTGCCCTTCTTTCGTGCCAGTAACAAGCGGGACGCCATTGTTCCTCTGATTATGACCGTTTCTGCTGATGACCTTGTACCTTACAATCTCTTAAAATCTCCTACGATGAGAGAACACACTGGCGCCATCTATCGGGTAGCCGTGGAAGTCCTGGCACTTTCGTATGTTCCCTATTTTTACGAGCATTATTATTTTCTTTTTTGACTTGAAAGGCTTGTGACAATTTCTCGCGAACAGCGAGTACATTTGATCACGCTAATGCTGCAAAACCTGCACTATAATGAAATGCAGTTCGAAGAACACCCAATAAATGACGCCAGTGTGCCAGTGTTTTCTTTTTTGGCTTGTTTGAATTTGAGTGTATGAATGGGCCTTAAAACAATGAGTCCCATGCAAGTCCTAAGATAACTCGAGTGCGGATATTTTTTAATCACCCTCATAGATGCATGATTTAGCATTTTAATCATCACTTTCAAAAAAAAAATTAAAAAAAGGTTACATTGCAGTTGCTTTTGACTTTGCAGGCATTCAGTACCTCAAGGTGCCAAACCATTCGGGGTACGAGCCGTTTGGGCGTGGTAAATGCTATGTCTCGTCCAGAAAGGACTTCCGACCCGTGGTTCAGTTGCCGGATAACACTACGCTCAGTCTGCTCGACACAATCGCTCCAAGTTACGAAACTCTAAACAAAGCAAACTACCTGGGCATTGTGAGTATGCGATATTATCTACCGCTCACCACGAGGAACCTCTGTGAAAGCTTGAATAATATATCCTAAATCGGTAGACTCGTCGCGCTGCTTTACACAGTATACACCAACTCAACCCTCTGACGTCCCACTGCTGCAGTGGCGCTGCTGTCGGTACTGCGCATGCGCGGATCCTTCTTCCCACTTCGACGTGGTTTTTGCGCTCGCGCAATGCCCACACCTGGTGTTGGCAAACGCTGACTTGTTCACAAAGAGCGCTTTGGTCCATAGAGCGAGCACTACCTTAGGGTTTATTGCATACTACTAAGACCGGAAATTAGCAAGCACAAACTTTTACAGGTTGACCTGGTGTCCCGAATAAGCGCGTACCAACAGAGCAACAGTTGTTTATTTTGTTATGTTTACGGTCAATGTATGAGAAAATAAAACAATAAGAAAACAAGCAGTGGACAGCTCCTTTGCATTCTACTGGGTGTTGGAAAAGCCATGAAAGCTGCATTCATGCACGTGCAGGTGAGTTATACAGCCAGTGGGACATAATAGGCCTAGCGCTTTTCAACGATGCTCAGCAAGTTTCTTGTTAGAGCAAACTGTATCTTTACACGGAGTAAGTATATTGCTACCTATTTATCTGACTTATCGTCTTGTTTAGCCCCCGATACATTAAGCCTCCGCGGCCGAATGACTCACCTGTGTAAACCGGATTAGTGTAGCATTTGCGGCTTTTCATTGTTTATTTTTTATCTCTAAAGTCAAAAAAGAGCAATCTCTATTGCCCTACCGTGTTCAACGTGCGAGTTGCTGCTTGGGTTTTTCTCAAGAAATGTTCTGCACATGTGCGAATGTGTCCAAAATCAAGCGCATGACACGGACCATCAATTTACCACATATATTGACGGACCGTGTTTTTTGTTTTTTGCCCATTCTATTTCTTGCCGTTTTCTCGGGGTTGCAACGAATAGTATTACGTATATTATTATAGTCCGTTGCAAATCAAGAAGGTAGGGCGAGGGTAAGACGGGCCGAGGAGGAGGAAGCAGACGGAACGCTGAAGAAAGATGGCGATTTTCCCTCTCTCCTCCAGCGTTCCGTCTGCTTCCCCCTCCCCGGCTCGTCTTACCCTCGCCCTACCTTCTTGAGTTGCAACGGACTATAATAGCTTTTCACGCTGATTTTCTACCAATTGAACTGACCCCTCACAAGCTCAGCGATATAAATAGAAAATAATTTTTCGCCATTCTGTTTGACCAATCTCGTTCAACCAATAGGATGAAGTTGTATCTACAAAAACTAAACCATTGATTGATAGCTTAATTGATTGATTAATTGATTTATTGCATTTTAGGTTTTGCGTCTATGGGTGTGTCCCCAAGGAGGAAGGATATGTGCTCTGCTATAAAAGGGAAATCAATGTTAAACTTAGTGTGAAACATGAGAAAAACTTCGCCGCAATTAAGTGAAGTGTATCGACGAAGTGTGTTGGTAGACGAGGTCAATAAAAAGCACACGGACGACATTCAAAGTTCTGTTGAAAAAATATTATTTTGGAAGTGTTGAATATTTGCGCCACGTTTTCTTCGTCAGAGCCGCGCCACTGAGTTCTTGTTTGATTATTTATTTTTTGATGGCAGCACGTTGTTCGCAATGCACCTGTCCACGTCTACGAAATTGTCACGAGCAACGTACCAGTGTCAGGGGCTGTTTTCTCTCACGCTGTCATCACCTACTGCTACCTTGTTGTAAGTATGTCTTCTATACACAATATCCTGGTACAGTGATGGCGAACCTTAATTCCATTTTATTTTCTTCAAAGGAGCTCTAATAGAAGTAGTTTACATGAGAGGGTGGAGCAAATACAACACAACCTACAAAACATTAGAAAAAACTGAAATTGATCAATGGTGTTTTTGAAGTGTGTACATCGTCAAGAAATCGACATCGTGCGCACTTCACAAACATATTTTCACATGTCACAGACCTTTTTTTCTTATCAGTTTCGTAGACAATGCGCGGAGGTGATGAATTCCAGTCGTCAATGCAAAGGGAAAGCGGGGAGTTTTGAAATTAGGGTTTGGTGAAGGGAGTTTCAAATTTTAGGAGCTAATCAAGGCGCTTGGCAATGTGAGATGTCTTGGAGATGTAGGCTGCGGAACTCAAATCATGCATACAAGAGACCGTGAAAAATCAAGACGGGCAATTTTACTAACAGTTGTTTTCTTTGAGTTGCCTGCGCACTATGTTTTTGTGATTATCAAGTTCAATCGCAATTCCTGCGGCGAAACAGAACGATGGTTTATCCTGACCAAGTTTCTTGCAAACTTGTATAAATAGGGCCGCATCTCCACCATCCTTTTAGACGACTTGATAGTCGGTCGTTGTGATGAAAGTATTGTGGATGGCACGTGATGGACGCCTCCAGAAAGAATGTCGGCGAGTCAACGTTTCCACATAACGCGCCAATAGATAATCACACCGAACAACAGAATAATCTCAGCCAATGAGTACACTTAGACTACGATTAGACTGGAACAAAAAATTTATATGCGCAGGGCTGTTGAGAGAGCGAAACGTTTCATATTATATTTGACGCTGCATGCATTTTTCCTTTAATTTAATCGCCTTTACGCTTTATTATTTGCTGGGGCTTCTTTTGTTGTTTGCCGTGGTTGGCGGTCTACGTGTTTTGCGGGAAATTGAACTCGCAAACCCTATTTTGATTGGGCAGAATGCAGCATATAAACTAAAACATCTAAGAAAATTTAGGTGGCCCGAAAAAATAGGTTTCTCACAGTATCGCGCTGCAAATTACCACAGAGGTGAAAGCAGGTGGTAAAAGTTTACAGTGTGAAAAAAAAATCAAGAAACGAGCTTACTCCATTAAAAAGAAAGAAGATGGAAACTTCTTTTTGATTAATCTACGCCGTCACTTCATAACCCTTGCACGCGTAGTGAGCATTTCTGCCGACAGATGACGTACGCCGCGTCGAAGGAGCGCCGGCCGATTCGGGTTCTTTTGCGGGATCGCCTGTTATCATAACCTGAATCGCCCGGCGCTCCCTCGACGCGGCGTACGCCATCTCTCGGCGGCACTTCTCACTACGCGTGCATCGTCTTCTAAGTGGTGACGTAAACTGCCAAAAAACAGGTTTCTGTTTTTTTTACTTGTTTTGTTTTTACTGAGGCAAGTTTACCCCTTCATATTGTCACTGTAAACTTCCACCACCTGCTTGCATCTCTGTAGTAGTAAGGTGCAGCGCGATACGTCGAGAAACTGGTTTTTGCGGGCCGTCTAAATTTCCTAAATTATTAGTTTACATGCTGTTCATTGGAACAAAACTCAGATGTGTTCGTGGGTACTTATGATCGCTTTTTCATGCGTTGGTGCTGTCTGACGTAGCAAGATATAATTATCTGAAGAGGTGGGCACAGTAGGTGTCGAGAAACATGTTATGATCGCTGGCATTTTAAGAAACGTAAGGCCGTGGCTGGCTTGTTATCCTAATGTTTCTTGCATTGTGATTTGTGCTCGGGTGTTCTCATTGGCTTATGTTGCATCCTCGGTGGCTGTGGAGCCATAAGATGCGCCGGACTCACTACACCCAACGTTTCTTAGACTGTCAGTTACAATAACCTGTGCTGTAAATTCGATCGGCGTCATTTACCAGTGAAGCGTGCTTTTTCTTTTTTTTATTTTTATTTTCTGAGAGAAATACGTTGATACACATAAAGAAAACAACCCGACCCCCTCCAAAAAAAAGAAAACAAGAAAAAATCTTGAGTGTCCTATTAAAAATGAAGAAGATCCATTGAGCTGAATGTGTCATACCTGATTTGTGACTCTCATTTCAGGAATGGGTTTATCCCTCCTTCACTACTCAGAGGAATCTTCCCATCAGAGTGTCCATGAGGGCATACTCTACTAACAAAAGCTTGAGAACTGTGAGTGTTGTCTGTCGTGGGTTCCGACCTTTTGCCGTTGATCACCATCGAGATGTGTACAGCCTGGCGTTACCCAAGAAGGCAAATCTCCTGTGCTGTGCGGAGAGAAGCTGAGGGAGAGGAGGGGATGAGAGCGCGCGGTGACGTCAAAACGCCGTGCTCTGATTGGATGGATTAGGGGGTAGACACAAGGGCAAGCTGTTCCTGTTTCTAGCCACTGTCTTCCACCCAGCAGTTCGAGTAAAAGCATCGTCTGCTCCTAGCACAGTGTCTGGCGTTCAGCGTTTGGCTTTGGAACGCCAGAAACATTGAGCAATGAACAGGCGACTCCGTCTTTGAATCTGATTGTAGGGAGGCAGAGGGTAGAAAAAACGGCATCTACCCAGTATCCTTCCAATCCAACGTTGGCACTCTGACGTCACAGGTTGCTCTCGTCTCGTCTTGTCTCTCAATTTTAGAGCGCAGCTCTTAGGGGCCCGTTTCCAGCCTAAGCGGCGACGGCGTCGGCGTAACCGGGGGGGGGGGGGGGGGTCACGTGACCCCACCCCCCTCGAGATCACGTGACCCCCCCCCCCCCCGAGGTGACGTGACTACCTGCAGGTGACGTGACCCATTCAGTACCCTTCCCTACTCCTCCTCAAGAGCTGCGCTCCAATTCGGCGTTACAGGGATTTGTAAACGGCTTTCATTTTTTCTTTGTATATGATAGTAATTCGACTACTTAATCAGTTTATGCATAGGGAAATTCTGAACCATAGTTTAAAGTTTACTTGATAGTATAACAAAAAGGCAAACGTTTCCAAAAAAAATACTAGGCGGCAGAGAAAGGAAGAGGCACCGACTGGACCAAAGTATGAATGCAAAGAATACGACGTCTGTTGTTGACAGCAGTCACCAAACGACTTTTTATATTGGCCACAAATTTAGAGTGGCACTTTTGTTAAACATTTTCGAAAAGCGCTTCCAGTGATTGATAAGAATTAGCGTGCTGTGCTTTAAGTGTGCTTGTCATTTGCTTAATGTCTTACTTATTTAACTAATGTTGCATCCAGTAACATATCATCACGATCGATGCATAATTAATTTATCCCTAATTTTGAGCAAAGGTTTTTATATTCGCCTATCAACCGCGGAGGGTGGATTACAGTCTCCGGTGTTCTTAAATAAAGTTTTGAAACCACAAGCTGAAAGATAGCTTGGGAGCGCTGTGTCCCGGATTCTTCGATGGTTTTGTCACAAAGCATAAAATGTTCTAGTGATTCACAACATAATAATTTTAACTATTTTTGTAACAATGACCATTGAACCTCCTATCATTTATTCCCTGACAAGGCGCTTTATCTATATATATATATATATATATATATATATATATATATATATATATATATATATATTGGCGTCGTTACATGGCAAACTCAACATGCTAACCTCTTTAACGTAGCCGTACTTCTGGTTCACCGCCAATATCCACGACATATCGACGGCGATGGAAGAACTGAATGACAAGATGAATGTGATGGATTGCTATGACGAGAATGAAGCGTCTTACACCTGGTTCCAAATGGGCTTTCCATGTAAGCATTTTGTTTCTTTTGCCCTTGCGCACTTTGAACGTATAATTTGAGCCATAGCTAAAATCGTTCCATTCGCCAACCGAACGGAATTTTTCCTTTGTAGTCGGAAAATTCACGAACCAAGAAAACATTGAAAACACATACTTCGTAGCACAGTGCTGTAGGCCAAACCTTTGTTTTGTTTCATGAAATTTGGGGCCTTGAAAAGTTCTAAGAAGTCATGCTAGAGCTTAATTTCTCCTTCTATGGCTTCAGTCTGTACGTATTTTGGTCTAATTCACAGAACTATCGCCAGTGTTAGGATTTACTGCTGGTAGTTCGGCTACCATCTGGCATTTCTCGGCCTAAATCGTCAAACAGTGTCAGAGGCTTTACTTCTGGTTATTCGATTTTCATGTGGCAAATCTGGAATGTAAATTGCCAAAACAAGTGTCAGGTTTAGGCATCCCTGTTGGTTCTTCGGTTCCTACGTGGCATATTTGGCTCTAGCCTAACACTTTGGCCATTGTGGAGCAAGCCGGAGAAAAGCTGCAGAAACGTGAGGAGTAATCTGGCACTAACTAACAGCTTGGAGCAAATCCGCGTTAGAAGCCAAGGATTTCCGAGCTTGTTCCAATTCAGGCGTTTCTCCGCGGTGCTACCTGGGACCTGATATGTTTTCCACTTTATAAGAATATTTGCTAAAGTGAATAGAATCATCTAATAAAATTCGGAGAAAGGACAGAACAGAACAAAGAGACAGGGAGGTTGACCTGGATGACTGTCCTGGTGGGCTACTCAATGATGAGAGAAAAACATGGGGAGGTTAAAAGAAACCTTTAAAGAGATTAAGAAGACTAACGTTAAAGTTGTAAAAGTTGCAAGTTTCGAGCATTATAAGCACGGTAATGTTCACGTGACTCTGTCCCACTTGCCGGAAAGTGATGTCAGTACTTCACCAAACAGTCTGAAGCCATTTGTTTTATCAGAATGTGCTCTCATGTTCAGCAGGAAGACTATTGTGGATTTAAAAAGGTGTAGGAATAGTCTCAATGAAGCTTCACTATAGTTTACAAAGAAAAAACAAATATTAAGGTCCCTTACCTAAGCTAATCCGCCGTCTTCACTCCGTCTGTCCCAGAAAAAGCAGAATTATCCCTTCATTTGATCGTCTAAGCAATTACCCCCATTTTCCATGCACTTTTAAAAACAATTGCTACTTAACCGCCAGTTTGTTTACTGTGAGAGGATAAAGGCTGTTTTTAGTTTTTAGGCTAGGTGGCGAAAGATACCTCCCGTCATAGAAGGTACAGGCATGAACAACTATTCTATCTTTTTGAGGATTCTGCTGAAACCACAGGCAAGGCTTATTAACAAGGTAGTCGGGCGACGTACAGTGGCCCAATTTTTTAATAATATCACGCGAGCGTCGACGTCGACCGCCGGGAAGGCCAGCGCTGTGCCGCGGAGAAATCCGGCGTCACGAGAGAGATTATGCGCGTGCGCACAAAGCTCTTTCCGTTGCGAGCGTCGTCTGTTAGGCTATTCCGTTGACCGCACACAGCACCTGTTCATTATCTGCTGGCATAGCTAACCGCCTTTAAGCAAAGATCTGAACAACGCTTGCTTGCGTGACACTGCTCAGGCGTGGCATAAACCGCGCGTCATCTCGAGTTTAATTTACTTTTCTTTTCATTTCATGTTTGTTTTTACTTCTGTGAACACCCACAAAAATGAAAAAATACGGTGACGCGACAAACTGAATGCAACGATGTATTTAACTACACACTGCAGGCAATGCTACGAGCAACCAAAACCAATCCAGTGCTTTCACCCTGCCACGTGACATCGTGCTTCCCCGTGCAGTTGCACCCAACGGGAAGGTCACGTGACACACTTTTAGTGGTGGACTGGCCTAGACGACTCGTAGCGTCAGCTGCGGTACAACACAAAGTGAAACGGATTATTCACAGGATTTTCGCTTGGTGTTTTATATTATCAACTGCGTTGTTGCTGTCGTCGTGTAGCCTATGCAGCCTGGCAGTCACACATTTCTTTGACCAGTGGGCGCGCGCACATTTTTAGGTCTACTCGAGTGCCCATAAAAACACGGGAACATGTTGAGAGAATGTCGATGGGCGGCATGACGAGTCGGGGTTACACAGGCTAACGTCAATAGGGTTGTGAACGCATTCCAAGAGGAGGGGCGTATCGGCGATGCACTCCGACATTGCAAGCGCCCTGCCCTCCTTTGGTAGGGAGCAGGGGCTCTGTGCGATCAACGAAATAACCTAGCAGACGACGCTCCCGCTAGAAAGTGCTTTGTGCGCACGCGCTTCATCTCTCCCGTATCGCCGCACGCCTCCGCGGCACAACACTGGCCGTCCAGGCGCTCGACGCTCGCTTGATATTATTAAAAAATTGGGCCACTGTACGCACACCAGTGAGTAACTGGCTGTGCCCGGAAGCACTACATGCAGATGGGTGGAGCCGTAACGTTCAAGCTGAAAATTGAATACATCATATTCCCGCGCAATGTATGATGGGATATTATCTAATGCTCATTTTGATTAGATGAGTTTAAGAAAGAACCCGGAGCGAAGAAATATCTGTGGTTCCGGAGAAATAAAACCGTTGCGACAAGCGAACAATAATGTTTGCTTTACATCTCCGTACGTCATTCTTGGAGGCGGCATGGCTGGCTCGTTGGTCTAGGCGTATGATTCTCGCTTAGGGTGCGAGAGGTCCCGGGTTCAAATCCCGGACGAGCCCGTTGTTTTTGTTGAATTTCTTTTTCTGTCATCGTGTTCGGTCATCTTCAGTAAAACCAATGTCAATCACGCTATTCAAAAAAAGGAGGAAGTTTTACCTTGGACATAATAAGAAACAGAGCTCAAAAAGATTGGACAGTTATGTGCAACTATCACCAGCTAGCTCAACTTGCCACATTGCCGAAGTTTGACGTTATTGAATTTTTAATCTAAATAGTAACATTTTCGACATTTAAGAAAAGCCTTTGCGATAGCTACGAGATAGCATTTATTAAGCGTTGTTGATGGCACGAGCTTAGTATCTTTTGGAGCTTGAAACTAAAGAAAGAAGAGAAGGAGAATACAAAAATATTGCATAAAGAGATTATAAATTATCTTCATCCAACACTAAAACCGCCCCTTATCCCTTCAAGAAGAACTTCATGTTTAATATCACGCTGCACTACAATTTTTTTTTTTTTTTTGCGGAATTTGTACGCATGTGTACGAAGACTCTCTGGTAGCACCAGCTTGCTCTAGCTGACCTCGATCAAAAGTAACAGTAGCACCGATTTCAGCTGCCCTAGACAGAATCTTTCGATGGCCTCACAAAAGCGCCACTCCTGTTGTCCTCAGATGCCAACATGTACGAAGATTTTCTACGGTACAGTCCCCAGATCAAGTCGAAGTTCTTAACAACCTTCCTGAGGACCACGTCGTTGTCCCCGATGCGTGTACCCCGTGTTCTGGCAAGTCTTTTCCTGCTTCGGTGGGCCACCTACTAGAGCGCAAGTTCGTCTGCCTCTTGCCCAGGGGTTGCACTCACGTCAGAATGCCCAGCTCTGATTGGCTCTGATGGAGGGACAGTGGTTAGACTTTACCGCTAGCTGCCTTGATGTCTACCCACTGTCCTCCCAATCGGAACCAATCAGAGCTCGTCGTTCTGACGTCACCGCAACCCCTGCTCATGAAGCAGACGAACTTGCACTCCGTATAGACCTTTGCAAAAATCGCCTTCTGCGCGCTGCCATCTTTGTCTGCTGGGCTGTGGAACGCCTTCTAAGCATGCGCAGTTGCTCTGTTGTGCGGTGCGCATGCGTCCACAGTTAGTGACTCGGCATTTTTGGCCGGGGTGGTAAGCGATGGAAAGGTCATAGGCACCGACAGTTGAAGAAACGTAAGCACTCCTCGCCGGATCTAAGGGGCTTTCGTTTTAAAACTGGGTGCATCGCTAATAGTGACACCAAGTTTCCAAGTTCCTCGCCTGGCTACACTAATGAACGATGGACGCAACTCTTAGACCTGGCATTGTAAAGGAGGAACTGCAAGCGAATGCGTGTGTGGGGTGTGATTGGTTGGGCCTACTCAACCCAAGGAGTTAGGCAACCAAATTATTCTTTGACGGGATCACAGACCACGTTAAGCTTTGTTTTAGCAGTTTTTTGTGCGGGAGTTCCTCGAGTGTCTACATAGAAAATTGTTTCATAATCAAGATCATAGAACAATCATCTTCTTGTGGTTCTTAAAATGCTGTTTGGCAAAAATTAACTTTCGGTCCTTAAGTTGCTCTATACTATAGAAGCGCTCTGACTCCTACCAGAACAAAAAGGTGTCAGCACCTTGAAGAATATCGTCCTTGCTTACTACCACATGACCAGTCTTTCACAAAAACAGTTTTGAGGACGCATTAAGGTTCTATATCATCTCGAATGAAGCAACATCAGTGCGTGATGACGCCTAGTCTGATATATAGACTTTATTGATTGATTAATCGATAGATTAATTGATCAAAAAATTAGTGTTTACTAATTAATTTGTATCAAATTATTAATTATTAAAAACTCACACAAGCGTCGCCTCATATCTTCAAATAAAAAGTCCAATATCATTTGAGGTCAAAATAATATTTCTTTGTGGTGTCTCAACTTACGTCTGAGAGTTTTAAATTCAGTATAATTTGAAACGAATATGTATATATAGATGGTTTGTGCTAACAAAACTAGTTTCTTTGTCTTTTTTTTTTGCGAGTACGTTGTTTATTCTAAAGAAACAAGTTATGCGTCTCCTGTGTTAGCATTAACCATTTCGCTGGAAATTTTCAGGTTGATATAACGGAAAACATGATTTACGTAACATCTCTTATTCTGGAGCGGCCACTTCTAGAGAGTAAGTACTATCGCCACAACTTAACCCTCATTACATTTAGCGACTAGACATCAAAATCAGCACCGTAGTTATTATATTACTCCCCGTTGTTATATAATTCGAAACCCACGCGGTTAACCTCCCAGTTATTCAAGCTGAGTTCGATGTTTTTATTCCACTGAACTTTTTTTAATTGGGTATAATATTAGTTTATAAGCAGCATGTTATGTTAGTGGCCCTTGAGCTTACAAAAGGGTTTAGGACTACCGATGCCGCTACAGAAAATATTGAGCGCTACAGATGCTGAGGTGCTCGTTGACGTGCCTGTTTTCTTTCACGCAATTACGCAGTTATGACTCCATAGCGACTACAAGTAGTGCGCACATTGCCGGAAGTAGTTATACACAGCGAATATTTTTATTTGTTTGCGTAATGTGCTGTACTTGAAGCTCTGCAAATGAAGATGAATTTAAAAAAAAAAAAATTAACTTGATCAGCTTAAGAGTAGGAAATAACTGTATTGGATTATGCATATTTTAACCATTAACATTATTTACTTTAATACAGCCGACTACGACAAAAAGAAGAACTTTGACCTGAAGGACCATCAGCTGTCGTTCGGTGTGGTGACGCTCGACCAGTGCCTCAAGATCTGCTCCAGCGCTGACTATCCGGACTGCAAGTAAGACGGGCACCGAGGTCCTGCTGACCTTGGATGAGTCAACTTCATTGTGTATAGCGTCTCAACTTCATATTGTGTATTGCGTTAATTACATCGCGTGACGTATTTTCAATTAGTCTATACAACGTTTTATTATTTATACTACCCAGACCAAAAAAGCTGAGTCATAGGGGTCAAGACATATGCGCGGCATGCGATATTCAAAAGGAGAGAGGTTCTGCGCATGCTCAAAACGAGCTTTAATTTCACAAAAATGGCAGAGCGCAGAAAACAAAGATTCGAATGCTCTGAATGCGAAGCAAAAGTTTATTTTCACTGAGGTCTGTATTGCAAACCCATGTGTGTCTACTTTCACGCAAAACCATGGTTGATGAACCATTCACTGCGGTCAACGTCACTAAAACTGTAAACACTCAGTTGGGAAGCTCACCCTTGAAACCCGAAGCGCTCGCGTCCACTGAGATCGAACTCGATACGATTACAATGCCGCCCTTTAGCGGCGAGTCAAAAGATGAAAGTTGGTTTATATAGCTACTGCGAGATGGCACTGCGAGATGGCACTACGAAATGGCGCCACCGGCCCTTGCGCGACTCAACTGAAGTGTTATGTGTAGCCGTGCAGTTTCCGGAGTGGAAGCTGCGGGAGAACTGTCGGCGTTGCAGTCGCGTCTATAGTTCTGCTCTCGGGTACGGATCAGAGCCACTTTTTCAAAGCCAGCTCTTACGACAGTTTTCTAACTAAGTTAGTTATTGTAACGGTGCCGCGGTCTACGAAGGACGTACAGCGAATCGTCATGTCCAAAAAAGGAAGTTGGGATCAAAAAAGAGATTTTTGCAGGAATTATATAAGCATAACGTTTCGCTTTCAGAATCACAATCGGAATCAGAATCGGTTTATTTTTATCACAGCGCTTTTACACACATGTGACAAGGGGGGCCGGGAAAAAAAGCTGCAAGTTTGCAGCTTGACGGGTTCCTGCCCCCCAAAACACAGGGCAGAGCGGCACTGTCAACAAAAACACTCACACTTGTTGGCCCTGCGTAAATCCCGTTTTCACGTCCCTTTTACTACGTTTTCTTTTGCGCCTTGTTATCTGTTGAATACTCTTCGTGCATCGCTGTAATTTACACACCGCGAAGTCACAAAAAAAAAGAAAAGATACAAACAAGCAGTTTTTTTTTTCTTAGGGCACATGGTAAAGCAGGATTTGCAGAGCTCAGTGTTTTGTGCTTGCCTATACAACTATACAATTTGTCACATTAAAAGAAAAAAAAAGAAAGTTTTGCTCATTATTCATTCACTGTGCGAAGTAGTTTTTTTAAAATATGGCTCAAAAAGAGCTATTTTTCGCCCCCCCCCCCCCCCCCCCCCCCCCCAATGTGCGAAGAAACGAAAGCAATAGTTGTAGCACGGTCGTGCAATCCGAGTGGAATGGTGCCTCAAGTACCTAAGGACGGTGTTGGGACGCGTTTAATTCTCATAGCCGTCAAGGTTGGCATCGTGGATGCCACTGACGACCGCCACCAGTGCTCGGTGATTCGTGAAGTAAGTGGGTCAGCGCGGGTGAAGTTTATGAAGCCATCTAACATTACGCGTAGCCACTGAATACTGCCGAAATGGTATTTCGCATGAGGAATGTTTGAAAACAAATATTTGAAGCAGACGATATGGAGATTTTTCCTTCGACGCGCAATTATTGCCGGGACACCAGAGCGGCCTTCTTTGCTTTCCTCGCGCGGCACGGCCGACGAGAAATCCCGATTTCCCTCTCATCCCGACAAGAGGGGAGAGAAGAAGAGGATTTTTTTTTTTTTTTTCCATTCTTCGCGCGCGCAAGGACGACAACCCACGGAATCAAAATCTGCAAAGTGTCGCCTATAAGGCTACCGCAATACAAAAGAAGCGATGCTTTCCGCGTTTGAAACGTTCCGCTAGATGCCCGACTTTTTTCTATTCTTTTTTATTACGTTTTTTTAGGTGAATACGAGTTTAGGCTAATGGAGTTTGTATGGATCACATGGGATTTACCGAACAGGGTGCCTTATAGATTAAAGTAACAGTAAACGAATCTATATTACACGTCTCACTTCCCTACCGAGCTCATATTTTACTCAGACAACACATCTTCGCCAGAGAAATGTAGCTATTCTTAGAGTCATTGACAAGTTAAGAAACGCGTGGTGTGGCCCATTAGGTCCACGCTTCTTGCTTCCTGATTGGTCCTTCCGTGCTCTTACCGGATAGTGCTGCTATTGCATTGGCTTCAGAACGATAATGAGATGCTGGGGAAAGGCCACGCCCTGCGATTCTTAAACTGCCACAGAGTATGCGGAGAGCAAGTCGTCTGCTTCTTGCACAGGGGTTGCGATGATGTCAGAGCACCGAGCTCTTATTGGCTGATTGAAAACAAAATAGTGGGTAGACCTCAAGGCATGTAGCATTAATGTCTACCCACTATTAATCAAAGCCAATCAGAGCTTCGCGTCGTTCTGACGTCACCGCAACTCCTGCGCGGATAGCAGACGACTTTCTTTCCGTATAAAGCACTGCAGTGTTCTCCTATTTTGCTTCGTTTTAGGCTACATGCGATCGTCATGAGTATGATCGACGCAACGTTTGAAATAGATTTCTTCCAGTCGGAGGTGTATACTAATGAGTAGATGGTGATGAAAAACAGCGCAAAAGATAAGAACTGCCAACTAGTTCAGCTTTCAACTTTAAAGTACTTTGGTACCAATGAGAGTGCCGATGCTTTGTTATTCGTCACAGGGCGGTGGCATACTGTGGTGCGTCGTGCTACACATCATCCCTGAGTTCCGGCGGTGTCGACGCAGGTATCGTGAAGTCTACTGACTGCACCACCTACATCAGTAAGTCTCACTCTTTGGTTTTTCCCCGTAATAAACTGGCTGTTATTGACCGGAAAAGCAACATCCATATCACAAAGTCAAAGCGCTGTTTTAAACTTTTGATAGAGCTACCAACGAAAATTTTTAATTCAAGCATGATAACAACCAGAGTGTGAATGGTGTCCTGGGGAATCGCACAAACACGGATTTTTATACCAATGCACCTATACTTGTCTAACGGCATTGTCCACACACTAAAGATCCGAGGAACTGCCGCATGCTGAAGTACACAAAGCGAATCCTTATAAAAACGACAACATATATTTATATATTTTAATATGCATTAACAAAGCTGTCGCGCAGGATTCAGGCAGTTCTTCTTAGTGCTTGTGAGAAAGAACGGGAGAAGGATGTGTTTGTTATCCAAGAGTAACCCACCCCGGCAGTTGAAACTTCACGCCTCTTTTTATCTCGTTTAACAACCTGGTATATCGTTCATAACAACTTGACTTTGTTTCAAGACTGAGTCACGTCCGCTTTTAATTGAACCAAGAAAGATGTACTAGCAAAATGTGTATGTGTATCTGATAACAAAAACAGCCCATCTTGAACGTAATACTCCGAGGACACAAAGACGAAGCAGAAGAGGACAGCAGTCGCGGCGTACACTGTTCCGGTCCGCACCGTCCTTGTTTCTTATTTCTTTTTTTGACGTATTACGTTGGGGATGAACCAGAACAAACCAGTAGCCCAATTAGCCGTCTTAATTAAACACATCATTTGAATACAGAAAGTGTTATAGAGGTCCACGGCGCTCGCACATCGTACAATAGGCACGGTGTCGCTGCAGGCTTGTGTGACAAAATTAAATGCGAACATGTCTTAAGAGGGTCTGAAGCATTTTTGCTTCATACATATATGTATGCTTGGAACATCCTTTGCACACACTTTTTATACAAACTAACGTGACAAGACCATCGTACAAAGAAGAAACACCTCAACCAGTGCTTGCTAACTCTCTATTGGCAATGGAACGCGACTTTACGCCCGGCTAACACAGGTCAATGTCATCTAAGCGACGAAGCAATTCATAGGATCTATATTCCTTATATGACCCGGACCGTCAGGGTGTCACAACATCACGTGAGTCAGTGACGTCACGCGAAGACATGACGCCAAGTGACTCGAGGTCACATTTGCGTGTGCTGTCATAGTGCAGGTTACACCGTGATATCACGTGACGTCAAGGTGGCGCGTGACGTCACGGAGTAACGTGACGTCACACACGCACACACACACCCGCAGCATCTGCCCTGGAGCTCACTCGTAACAGATGCTGTGTGCATCCGCGCGTTTCCCAGAAATGATCGAGACATATTATTACATTTTCGTGTCTGGATTCAGAAAGTGTTTGCGGGGGCTGGTGCAGTCAGGACGAAGATGGTTTCGAAACCTCCTTTCTCGTTGTCATCATTTTCGTCTTTCCCTAGAAAACGACTTGAGTAAGAAGAGGAACCTACCCCTGACCCGAGACGCCCTGAAAAAGGTCGAGACCGCCGTGAAGGAGAGCAAGTTCACAATCACTGTGACGGATTCCACCACATTCCTCGTGAGTATCTTTATCATAAATTATCCGTAACTATACGAGCATTTTTAATTATTTATCAAATGCAGATGACAACCTTACCATGCACGTTTTCGCGCATATATATATATATATATATAGGATGTTTAATTTTATCTCGAACATATTTATTTTAAAAAATAGACGCCAAAGATGCAGTCTGAGCAGGTGAGTTATACGGCCAGGCAGACCAATATAAGGTTCTATTACTCCCAACTCGAATCATTCGTTCTTTATTATTATCACCTTTCATTTAGTAAACACAACCATATAGTTTCAATTATAAAATTGCTGTGCATCATCTAAAACCAATTATTCAGTCAATATTAGAAAAAATTGAAGCACGTGGTTTCTAATTTTCTGACCGTCAACAACGTCGGCTGCACGAGTGGAGACTTTATTGCACCCCCGCGCTTAGCACGTGCTTCAAATAATTTTATAATGGACTTATTTAGTATGATGATACTCAGTACCTCGATGTTCAACTCAGAACTAGTTCATGTCTTTGTTGGGAGTACGGGAAGGCCGTATCAAAACATATCTTCTACCCTTCAGTAGCTGGCACTCAAAGCATGTGAAATGGGGGACAGTTCGGAATCTTGTAAAAGCACCAGTACAGAAGTTTTGCTCGCATTTGATTGGCTCATATGTTCGTTGTCTGACCGAACGTTCCGGCGTTGCGGGTCATGCTCAGGAGCTCGTTTTAAGACAGTTCGTGTATCTGCTATCTCCAAAAAAGTTAGTTAAAAAATGTACGACCTTCAAAGCCGGTTGTCCTTCCGTGTTTTCATAGAGTGCCTCTCAATATCAAAAGCGTTAGCCAAAAGTTTAATGTCGACACAGCTCTTAGCACGGATTATAGGTTGAACCTTTTGACCCCCTTTGCGTCGACTATTTTAGGTTGTGGGAAAAAAACACTAAAAGAAAGATGTGTATTTTGTGTCAGGTGTCATTTATAAGGCACCCTTTTTGTATGGCCTCTGTTATATTATATCGGACAAGCTAAGCGTTGTACAAATGAACGGCTGACGGTACATAAGCGCTGTATAAAGAAAAAGGAGACCCGTACTCTGAAGTTTCGAAACATTTGGTTGAATGTGATGATTGTATACCGTTGTGAAAATTGACATCAGTGGAAGAAATGAAAAAATATTATCACAAACGTTTGATAAAAGAATCGCTCACAATGCTACGCCCCTAAACGCTGTTAATAAGTCTTCATTAGGTTTGAACCACGAACTTCGGCGGTTTCTTAGGCTTTTTAAACTGCTGACCTTAAAGTGTCTACATGCTTCCGGGAAAAGTAGTTTCTTTCGTTTTGGGTCGGGATGACAGGGTTCAAAGAAAAGAGAGGAGGAAGTTGTTGCAGAGGCGTCATTGTTCTGCTAACTATCAGAATGTACATTTGTGGAAAGAGGTGTTTTGAGGGTTTTCTTTTCCCCCTTTTCGTTAGTTTTCTTTTTTCCTTTTTAACCAGGTTTTAGAAAACAAAATTTCAGTTGAGTTTGAGACTTTTGAGCATGTGTGTCGTTACCTGCGATCTCGGAATGTTTCTTTTTTTTTTTTTAATCATGTCTAATGTACACCAGCTCGTTGGCGCCCTTACATTTATTTCATTGATTCAGTATTTTTAGATGACGCCCAGCAAGTTGCAGAATAGAACCATATAGTTGTTTTCATGATTAAATGGGTAATGAACAAGTTTTAGCTAACTACCTGACTTATACTGAAACTTATTCCCTTTTATGATGTCCACCTCGCCGCATACCTCACTTCTACAGGCAGCGTTATTCTACCTTTCACGACTTTTTGTTTAATGGACGAGTTTCAATTAAAATCAAACATCCTCTGTATAAGTACCGGCATGTCGGGATTACGGCAATGAGGCTAAAACTTCACTCACGTTCCCTTCGCCGCCAGGTGTCCCTCCTCTCTCGCCTTCATCGAATTTTCTATCGCAATACCCACCCCAGAAAATAATTAGAGAGTTTTAGTAGATCGTTACGATGACTCCGATAACAAAACCCGATACTACGCCGCAGCCTTTGCTCATGCATCGTTTCGTTATCGGGTATAGTTATCGGGAGTGTCGGAAGTATTGGAACGATCTACTAAAGCTATCTAATAATTACAGAGTTTTAGTAGATCGTTCCGATGACTCCGATAACAAAACCCGATACAAATACGCAGCCTTTGCTCATGCATCGTTTCGTTATGGGGTATAGTTATCGGGAGTATCGGAAGTATTGGAACGATCTACTAAAACTATCTAATAATTAGAGAGTTTTAGGGAACCGTTTTTACACATCCGATACGGTACGAAGGGGCTCTCCGCTACGAATGCGCATGCGGGAGCCTTCTTCGTTAGCGCATGCGCAGTTCGTACCAGAGGGCCCATCGTATATCGTATCGGATGTGCAAAAACGGTTCCCTAAGACTCTCTAGTAACGAATTACCGTTACCGTTACTGATGAAAAAGTAGCGCACGCTACATTTACATTACTTCTTATTTATGAATTACAAAATTTAATTGTTTTGACGTTTGATATATGCATAAGCGTCATATTTCTAGGAATATTATGCCCAAGCAGAAACTTAATTGCTTAGTAGGGTACGTTGTTGGGTTAGTTGGTTCATCTTTAGTTAAACATAAAATGGCGCAAAAAAGACAAGGACAAGAAGTATACAGGACAAGCGTTTGTCCTGTATACTTCGTGTCCTTGTCTGTTTTGCGCTTTTATATGTTTAACATAATTACCCTTTTTTACGGTCTTGATTTTGAAAGTGCACAGGATATGAGCCCTAGAAATCGTTTGAGTGGGCGCCTAAAAAACGAGGAAAAAAATGGAAGTGTAATTCTTTGAAGTCTTGGGAAGAAGGTGTAACGAGTAAAGACAGCAACGGATAATTACGTTATCCGCTGCTGTCTTCGAGATGTAACGAGTACGTTGGACCGCTAACGCCGTTACCTGCAACGCGTTATCGCCAACAGTGTCTGCCTCCATTGCATCATTACAGGTCGCCACTTTGGTTGCGGAGAGCACCGACGATTCCCTGGGATCTCTCTCAATGACTTTTCGCGGAGACGATAGATTCGGCACTCCACACAGTCACAGGAGAGGTGAGACTTTCTTAGCCTAAAAAGAAGTCTAGACAACGGCCAGACAATTCCGGGAAGTCAAGAAAAGCTTTGTTCGCACGAATACAACAATGTTTTTACAGCGGAGCTGTTAAGGACTAGTTTCCCCAGGATCGTGTCCCCCGCAAAGAAATGTTGACACAAAACTCTGGTTGCCGCCGTCCCTCATAGATGGCGGTAGCTGACCGGAGTGTTGTGTTTACCGGTTGTCCGCTTGCCGCCGTCGCTCATAGATGGCGCAACTTTTCGAGCTTTTCCACCCTTGGCTTATCGACTTGGGGCCGGCCATTATTTCATTCCGCCATAGTACAGCTTCGCTGGTGTTTCTTCTTCACCAAAGTGGAAAGGCTAAAAGCTTTTTTTCTTTTTCTCGAATATGCTACTGGCACGGGTTCGAGGATTTGTTTCATTAAGATTATCTGATATCGTTTTAACGGCTTGTCGCCGTGACGTTAGAGTAAGGTGCAAGTCAGCATTTTTCAGATTTCCAGTCAGACCCCAGTGCGCATAACTGTAGTCACCGACGACGTAACAAACGCAAGTTGTAGCTTATTAACGTGAAACGATCTTTGGCTGGTTGCTCCGAATTTTGCGAAGCCACATTTTGTGAAGCCTCCCTTCGTGAAGCAGTGAGCTGTGACGCCACATGACTTCAGCTTCCTCGCTAGATTTAGACGGAAAATTGACGTCACATGACCTCAGCACCAATTCATTTTTCCCGCTAAATTAAGCGGAAAAAATGACGTCATGTAAGTTCCTGTCACGTGACCTATACACAAATTCAGTTTCCATACTTAATTTAGCAGGAAAATCGATGTCACGTGACCTCAACGCCTATTCAGTTTTTCCCGGCTAAACTCAGCGGAAAAAATGATGTCACGTGACTTTAAGTCACGTGACTTATACACAAATTCAGTTTCCCCACTAAATTTCGCAGGAAAGCGGGGAAAATGATGTCAGATGGCTTTAAATCACGTGTTTTATAAACAAGTTCAGTTTCCCCGCCAAATCTAGCGGGAAAATTGGCATCTGACAACACGTGATGCTAGGACGTTTCACGTATGCAGCAAAAGTGCCTAGCTATTTGCCATAAACTTTTTTCTTAACTCTGCTCCTGGCACGTGGTATGGGATTCATTTCACTGAAGGGGCACTGACACATCAAAATCATATTTTTTTTATTTTTCGAAACGATTGAAAATGATGCCTGGACATTACCCTCAAAATTCGAAACATGGGAAATCACTATTTGTGAAGTAAGAAAAACAATTTCCAAATGCCGAATTTGAAGTTCCCGCGCGATCCGCGCCAGTGGAGTGACGTCAAATATTCAGGGGTCCTGCGAGTCGAGTTTCCTTCGCGTCTCCGCTGCCAAAACGTGTCTCCGCGGCCAGAAGCGACGAGGTGAGGAGCGGGAGAGAAGGGCGCCGGCGTACCGGGAAACCGGTTTCCTGCGAGCAGACGACGCTGCCCCCGCGGTGTCACAACCGAAACTACGATACACAGACACCAAACCCAGTTGTTTTGACCGTTTGACGACGCCCTTTTCGAAGTCTGAGAGGTCGTCGGGCATCTAAAAAAGACCAGTTCGTCCGATTCTCCGACTCACCGCTACATGCGTAAAGCGCCGACATGTTTTCCGAGGCAGGATAAAAATCCAGGAGGCGACATCGCAACGGACTCCGATTTTTTGGTATTTCAAAAAGAAGGGCAGTAGTGCATTCGCAAATTGCGTAAAAAAAAATGTTTTACGATCTCTGTTATTAATAGTTATAAAAATTTCGCTTACAAAGCTTCTAAATTTTATGATCTTTGGCGTCAGAAATTAAAAGAAGCGAGGAGGTGAGGAGCGGGAAAGAAAAACGCCAAAAATAAAAAGACACGCGTAAATTTTTTTTTTTCTTGCGATGCTGTATTTTTTTGTGTCTATGACTGGATTATGCTTTAGACAATCACAAAATACGACCTTTGGGGTGTCAGTGCCCCTTGAAGATGACCCCTTATTGAGTTCAGGGCTTGTCGCCCTGGTAAGGTGTCGATCAGCGTTTGCAGATTGCACATCGCCAGTCAGAGCCCAGTGCGCACAACTGTACTCGCCGACGACGTAAAAAACGCCAAGGTGCTGCTTATTATATTCACGGCTTTTGCTTTGTGATTCATTTTTCGGCATCCTCATTGGCTAGTCCCTCAAGCCCGTGCGGAGTGCAAATTCGTCTGCTTCTATTGCAGGAATTGCGGTGACGTCAGAACGAAGCCGAGGTCTGATTGGCTCTGATCGAAGGATAGGGGGCAGACCTCAAAGCAAGCTGCTTTGAGGCCTACCCACAATCCTTCAGTCAGAGCCAATCAGAGCTCGGCTTCGTTCTGACGTCACCGCAATTCCTGCAATAGAAGCAGACGAACTACCGCTCCGCAGGGGCTGCGGCAGGATAATAGCTAATCTTCTCGTCACTTTTTATGGCAGATGGAGAGGAACTGGACGGCTTTAAGACCTACTCTCTGAAATCCCGACTGATGGCCGATGTCGACGGTGCCGTGGACCTGGGGTCGTACCCGTTGAACGACTGCGCCGACATCTGTAGGGATCGTCCAGACTGTCAGTTCTTCTCGTCCTGCCTCGTCGACTCCCAGTGCGTCATCAGCACCATTCCGGCACGAACGAGCAAGTGGATGGAGACGAAGCTTCAGTGCAGCACGTTCGCCAGTGAGTTCACACTGTCTGGAATGGTCGGTAGTGTACAAAAACCATAACATGATTGCTTTATCTTGATCCTATACGGATAAAATGGCTATACACAGAATGTGTTTTCGTGGCATTCTTTGAAATTTGCAGTAGAAAGTGCAGTTCTTTTCATATATATATATATATATATATATATATTTGTATATATAGCGTAATATTTTATTTCAAAATTTGTCCTTTTTTATTTGATGATGAGCACGTCTTGGATTTCCGGTTTCTTCCCATAAACTCTTTGAGCACCGAGCACTGAACGTGGTAACGCCAGCGTCTGGCGTTTGGCGTCCGCGTTCGAACTGCTCGTGGATGTCACCGTGGTAAAGACAACGTCAGCTAGCTTTGCCACTACCCGCTAGTAAGCCCCAATAAAAAAAAAAAGAAAATTCCCACTGATTAGCGAAGTGATAGAATTTTTGTGCCGCTCACAATCACGGGGTCCTGCAGGTTCGATTCCCGTTGGGGGGATGTTAAGAATTTCGAACTTTCTTCTGAATTTAACCCTCTTGTATACATATTGTCCTCTGAAGTGCGTTTTAAACATCTCGTAACGGTTTTCGTGGCGTTCCGTCACACTTTCACCGGAGATTCCATCCCTCAAACACATTCTATGATAAAAACGTACCTTGTTTTAAAAACATTCAAAAATATAAAAACTTAAAAAAAAATTAAAGGAAGTCAAATGTTTGTCGTGACCTAGCAACAATGAGGGCGTTTGCTCAAGTTAAGATATAGCTCAAGACGTAGAAGGAAAAGCTGCAATATTTATACTCTAACTCCTTCCACGCAACCCAACGTTACTAAAACACTTAGTTGGGAAACTCGCCGTCGAAACCTGGGCCGCTGGCGTCCACCAAGACCGAGCTAAATGCGACAACAGCGCCACTCTTTATCGTTTGTCTGTACTGTGGTCACCTTGAGCTTTTTGAAAGCCTATTTTTGCGTAAAAACAAACGGAAAAGACTCTTTTTGTATAAAATTTATTGGAGATTAGTACAAAAAGAGGGGCGCGTTATGTTTTTAAAATCTTTAGTTTGCAGGGGTTTGCGGCACAATTAATATTGTTTTTATACAACCATGCCTCAGCGGTCCTTTCAGGTAGCGCGTTTCGACCTAGGTCCATTTTAACTACAGTAGTTCGACGCGGCACGTCCGCCGGGGTGACGGGGGTGGCACCCCTGTAACCTCTTTCGCTGTACCTGTTCTTAAAGCCAAAATGAAAGTCACGTGCAGTTCCTTGAGTGGCCGCTGCGGGAAAAATGGTGGCGTTGTGGTCGTCATTAGCTCGGTGCGCGGAGACAGATTGGGGCCACTTTTTCAAAGCTGTCTCTATGGGAGTTTCCCAACTGAGTGTTTTAGTAACGTTGACGCAACCTGAGTGGTCCCCTAATAGGATTTGGCGCCCGACAGCTCAGCCCCAGATAAATTTATTTTCATTAGTACAACGATGAAGCAATTTCATTTCGTCTTTTCCACTACAAGCGCTATGTAAATAATTATATAATTCGCAAATCACTACACGCTGTGCACAAAATGCAACATAAAAACGGTATATTTTGCTTTTTTTTCTGTTTACTACGTAGTTGAGCATAAAAATTCGAGTCCCTCGAAGCAAATAATTAGTTTTCCGTTTCGGGGGTGCACCTGTAAGAAACCTGGATACTTTCTCACAAATTACTAGGGGAAAGCCAATCGCTCCAATCTTCGGAAAGACCTCGGCGAAGAACGAGGCTAAAAAAACGTTTCAACCTAAAAAAAGATAGAAAAAAAAAAAAACGATAGCGCAGTTGCATCCAACGTGACTTTTTACCGTGCACAGTGTCACAGCGCACATAATGTTTTCCTGCGCCTCCGCTTTTGTTCCAGCTTCGTCCTTCGAGGCTTTCCTCTATACACTCCAGCGATATAGGCTCTCCCAATTGCTTTGCGAGAAAGGTATCCAGTTTGCTTAGAGTGTGCACCAGTTATGATAATTTTTGTACGATTTTTTTCTGCGTAGCAAAAGCGAGTGTCGTTCGTAAACTCCGCGGTGGAAGGGAGAGCCAAGACAACCGAAAAAAAAAACAGTGTTTCTCAACGGTGTGAAGGCTAGCGATGACACTGTGCAACTCGATTTAAACCGTTGTTCGCACACCTCTACTGAGAATGTGTGTTATCGGACTTATTCTATGAGACAACCGTCACGAAGAATCGGCACGATGGACTGTGACATTACGTGCTGTCATGGCGTCATGTGACGTCACACGACACTGTGACCTCACGTGACGTAATGACGTCGCGGGGCAACGTAAGGTTACAGATGCGCGTGACGTCATTAGGTCACGTGACTGACATCACGTGACCTGACGTCACAGTATGTGACGCCTTGACGTCACGTGACGTTTCACACATGCATGACATGTGCCCAGCCCATTGACAACACATTCCGTACTCCCCGCTCTTCGTCAGCAAAATCAAGCTTGAGTATTTGTTTTTTCAGAGTCGGTGAAGGATAACTTTGAGCTCTTCTCGGGCATCTCACTGGACATGGGCGCCAGGAAGGCCGTGATGACCATCAACGACGAGGAATGCGCCCGGCTCTGCATGGTCGAGACGGGCTTCGACTGCAAGTCGTTCGACTACTGCGGACAGGCCAAGGACATGCACACAGTCTGCCGACTGCACGACACCCATCTCCGGGAGTTTGGAGAACCGTCCAAGATGAACAAGAAAAGCCTCGAGAGCTGCATCCACTACTCCAGTAAGTGTGTGACAGTTATCGTTAAAGGCTCGAGCTCTGGGAAAATTTCAAGGGTCACTGATTTGCCTGAAAATTGACTCAACCTATTATTAGACACAACTGAACTGGTAACCTAAATTGCAAGTCATAGTCAATTTGTTTAGCCAAGCTATTAAAGTTTTCAAATTTAACGTGACAGGCTGAGCGGTTCTATACTTACAAGACTGAAACGTGATGTCAGGTGTTGTTACATGCGGTAAAATGTGGCAGTACAGCTTGTTCCCAAAGGATTACAAGAAGTTTCATGGTGTGCATAGAATGCAAGTTAAGCTCAAGCCAGCAAAAGGAGAAAAATATCATGGGCAAAATTCTTTTTTTTTAGACTGCCTGCTCGACTTAACAAGTTATACAATATGAGATGTCACTACACTGAAGAGCGCGAGATAACGTGAACGTTGGTTTCGGCGTCACCTCCATGTGCCGTTATTTTTCGATAGGTATTTTGAATTTATAGATAATAAATAGCCTACCGGAAGGAGCATTAGACATAAATTAAAAATCAGAAAGCGTACCGGAAGGAGTATTAGAGATAGTAAATAGCATAGCCGAAGGAGTTTTAGAGATAATTTAGAGATAATAAATCGCATACCCGTGGTTTCTTGAGGGCCTCAAGGAACCAACGAAGCTTCCACTGAAATATCAACCGATTTTTTTTTTTTTTTGTATATGAGCTTTAGCTTGTTTTCAGACCTTTTTACGCGGCCCTTGTTGTATTTGTTTTTTATTGAAAACAAACCTAAAATCAACAAAACGGTTAATTGCACGGGCTGCTTCAATTTCACTTAGAGTGTACGAGAGTTATTTAATTATAAACTCGTTTCTCATAGATGCCCTGTTACAAATATGATCTTCCATTATGTTTTACATCAATACTTCCATCATCAAACAACGTATGTTTCATGTAAAAATATAAAAAAACATAACTTGACAGCAAGAATGCTGTTAACTTTCCCTTCTTCCCTTAGACGTTCATCTATACGAGATGGCGTTTACATGTCGGCTTTATAACATACTTGTGAAAGCTAATTTAAAGTCAAACTAGCCTTCACGAACAGAGTGCCAAGAGTGAAACATAAATAATCGCCAATAACGATCGATAGGTTTCCGGTGAACAATTCTTCCAGCAATTCATCGAAATGGTGATTAAAAGATGCCCTTAATCGCGATTTTTCTTTCATGTGTAAACGGGGTAGTTTGAAATCCTAGGTCATATACAACAACGTTATGGCACATGTAGGCGATTAATTTTCCAGTGTTTATTTTTATTATTCTAACCAACAATTGTTGTGACTTCTTTTTTTTTTTTTTTGGGGGGGGGAGGGAAGGGGTGAGGGATTATATATTTGTAAGATAAATATGTATTCCTGTGATCAGCTGCTTCAGCCCAATGTTAAAATTTGTGATTATCGGTGGAAAAAACTGAAAAACTAAAAATGGTAGCCGTAAAGGAGAGCGTTTCGACAAAACAGTCCTAGCTGAAGCAAAACTCTCCAGAAGTTGGTGTTTTTTAGGTTTAAAGTCATGTCCTATGTATGACACTCACGAATGTTTAATGGTGTTTTTCTTCTTTTTTTTTCTTTTTTTTTTTGGGGGGGGGGGGGGGTAAATTAATTTTGCAATTTTGACAACTAAAAACATTTATTTGTGTTTTTCGGCTTAAACACATTTTGTATCTTTAACACCGACGGATGCTTATTAGTGTTTCTATTTTTTAACTCGTTTTGTTTTTGTTTTTTTGTGACTCCGACGAATGTTTTCCGGTGTTTTTCGTTTAAAATTCTACTCTAAGAAATTTTCACCGTCTACTTTTCGGCGGCAGCACTTGAGAGAATCACACTCTGCAACCAGCGAGGGACCTTGACGGCTGACAAAGCTAAAAATATTTTTAAACTTGGAAAAAAGAAAAGCGGCAAGATGTATCAGTGCACAGAATGTTTTACCATGCTCAGTGCCACAACCCAGACTCGTTTTACATCTAAACTTATCCTCAGCCTCATTATTTCACAAGTTCCCTCGGTATAAATGGCAACGATTTGCTCACCCAAGTGCTTCGACAGAAAGTAGTCGCTCCAGACTTCCTAGGGTGTCGGTATATGCCATCGCATTGAGGCACGCACTGTGGGTTCAAAACGCAATGTCATATTTGCTCCTTCTGTTCTTGTCCTCGTTTACTTTTTCCCCTCACAGAGAAGTACCTGTACGATTTTAAGAAGAGCGCGTCCAACAAGACCAAGGCGAGCGCTCGCACGGTGATCGGCCAGGTGACCCCCGAGGAATGCGCCAAGCAATGTCATGACGCCACCTTCCTCTGCGAGAACTTTGATCACTGCACGGGTCCCCAGAACCTCGGTCGGGGCGACTGCATGCTCTACGAGAAGGCCGACGGAGCCGGACCCTTCCAGACGATCTTCTCGCCGATCTGCTCCGCGTACAGCTACCGGGGAGACGGTACGTACACGGTCAGACTGTGGCCATGTGCTGCCGCTATGCTCAGTTTCACCCTAAAGGCCCGTTCATACGCTGGCGACTGTTTACGACCGAATGCCTTCAAACCTCTTGCGATCTCTTGAATGATGATGATGATAATGTTGATTGTGCGTCTTTTCTTTTTGAAACGAGCGAGCTCAGAAAACCTTTGTGCCCTAGCCTAGCCTCGCCCTAGTTATGGAAAAGCTTTGAGACGTGCGTAAAAAAAACAGTCTGGCGCCATCCGTCGCGTAAATTTTCTTTTTTGCGTATAATTTTTTTTCTTGGCTTGAAAATAATTTGACGATGTTACAAACGACCATTTCTCATATAGGTACGGCCGTGCGATCAGGCAAATACTGAAGAGAAAACTTCGCTCTCGTAAAATGTTCTTTTACGCTCGCCTCATAGGTGGCGCCAGCGTGCCAGTGTGTTTTCTCCCGTCGTGTAAGAGATCGCAAGAACTCGGTCGTAAGCACACGTAAAAGGCACGTTCACACACCTGCATTCGCTCACGATAGTTCTCGCGATCTTTTACGATGGTAAATAGCTCGATGGCTGTTGCTATTTTGTTATAAGAAAAATCATCAAATAAAATTACAACGGAAGTTGTTTATTTCAGCTGATCTAAGAAGTTTCAGCAACCAAGCCGCACTTCACAGCAATGGTAAGTATGCCACAATGTTAGTTTTTCTTTTTTTTTTTTTTACTTTTAATCTTAGTGCACACTGGTTTCCAGAGTAAACGTATGACGATTTTGTAATCCCAAATTGTTTTTTATTGTTTTTTTCCAATGTTTGACTTTAAACATTCGCGCAATGTTATTACGGCGAATCGTTTAATGTTTATAGCTCACGGTAAACCCGCTGGAGTCCGTAGCGTGCCAACTGCCGGTCCAGATTACGCCTCCTAAGACAACACCACCTAGAATATTCGAGCCCCGCGAACGACCGTCCACGGAACATCATTACGGTCGGACGGCACCGACTCTGCAATAGACTACTTCCATAAAGCCCTGCATGCAACACGGCGCGCGTTGCACTCTGGGAACTAGTTGGCCATGGAGACGAGTGGCCTGGTTTCGGTTTCGATCGACACGTCGACAAGAGATTATAACGAACGACTAAAATAATTCCTGGAGAAGGGGAACAAGAGGGACAAAGGACACACACTGATCTCCAAACATAGCTAGGTGACTGGTGCGCGACTGAAAAATTCCGCCTGGTCTGGTATCGGACCCGGGGCCTCTCCATTACAGGTGGAGCGCTCTACCAACCAAGCTAACCAGGGGTTAGACGTCAGTAGAGCAAACGGGTTTTATCAGCTGCCACCAGTCTAACACCAACAAGGGTGAAGCTTGCAATTTAAGGTTATAATTATAATGCAATTAAGTGCAAAGGTGCAAGCGAGCGTTTCGAGGTATGTGGACGAGCCAGTGCTGGGAATCTCGACGCTGCGAAGCTCGGGGATCTTGCTTGTGTACAAATCAACAAGCTGCAGCAACCAATAAGTATGCATACATCGAGCTCGCGCCTTTACATTAGTATTGTTGGTCAAAAAGTTTGTTTCGTGCAACCATAGACAAAATATAACTTTTTGCAATTACTGTTTCTCTTAATACGCCTCAGTACGCGAGAAAACTCGGAGGCGCCATTGAAAAGCTCCATTTGAACACACTTCTTATCTCTTATCTGTACTGACCCGCAGCACTGCACGAAGTGAAGTCAGCACCCGCTTGCATTCCACTAATATTCAACATCGCGTATGCGCATAAAGTTATCCTGCAATCGTATAGGCATATTCGCACGTACAAACCGTTTTAAGAAAGCAAAAGTCGAGCACTTGTGTGAAGAATGTCGCACCGTTCGCCGGAAGTGCGCCGACGGGCATGAACCCCTATGCGGTGCGCCAAACGAACGAAATTATTCAAAGCACATTTGACGGTTGCTAATGGCCATAATATTTGTTATGTCTTTCTTTCTTCCTGACTGAGTATGCCGAGATAATTTCAGAGACACCGTTCAGACACTGATCATGACGCTTGTTAGGGCCCCCGCCGTAGCTAGCCGATCTCAGCGTTTGCGAAAACTTAATCTTCTATCAGCATAAAATATGAGTGGGAGATATATGATGACACGAGGAAGACATCATAGTAACTTTTCTGCAGTAGTGAGGTCAAATTTATTGCGTTTCCTTAAAAGGTCGTGCGTCAACGCTGGGCTCAGCTTTGATAGTCCTGTGAGGATGCGGCTTGCTTTCCGCCCCATTAAGCAACAAGAAGCGGACGTTTGGCAAACAAAATACGTGTAAGACTCAAGGTAACCAAATTTCAGTTGTAATTCACTGGTACTAGACGGGATTATTGAAACTGAGCTCAAAGAAGCACTCGAGGGGTGAGGTGACTAAGCCACATCTTAGTAAGTTTTCATACGCTCGCACAATATCCGGTGTTTCGGGAACCAAGGAAAGTGCCCCGGTCTTCGCTTTGTATCGCTCGAGAATGAGTGTATTGTACATTCGTGAAAAGTCAGATAATCGAAAAAGCAAGCAGCGCGTTTGGTCGCGGCGTGATAGCATGAGATGAAGCTGCTCAATCGAAACCAAAACTGAGTGGCCAACTAGTTCTCAGAGTGCACTGCGTGATATTTCGCCGCGATGGGGCGCCTCGGTTTTGGAAGAAGTCTATTGGACCGGAACCCGATGCCGATCACCCTTCGACGCATTGATTGGACACGAGGCCACGAGTGCTGGGTTCTCGAGGACACGAGAACCCAGCACTCGTGTTTAATCAGAGTCTTGGCCCAGTGTCACTGTGGTATGACGTCAGAATACTAGTGCACAGGCCTTGATTATACTCGGTGATGTTGTCTTGAATCCCTACGTGGCCTCGTTTCGTGTACTGTCGAGACCCGGTAATAACGAAGTCAACAAGCATCGGAAATCACTTCGTTATATCCACTATTTCGTTATAACAAGCTTCGGTTATAACAAAGTGCTAAAGGGAGTGCAATGGGATTGCTGGTATCATAGTTCCCACGTTTTTTCTACTTGTATGTACGGGGTTCTCCCGAGCACAGATAGCCTCGAACGTAGCAAGCTCACTGGTGCATGAGAAATCGTGACCCCTTCGCTGTAGCCTCTGTTTCATTATAACCGCCCTCGTTATAACGGGTCTCGACAAGTGGCCAGTTGTAAAATTACGCGTCGCAGCTTTATCTGAATTTCTCCTTTTCTCTGCCCCCCCCCCCCCCCAAACGGGAGAAAAACAAAACAAAAAAGAAATATTAAATTAAAATAAGAACCACCGGGTTGAAAATACGAGTAACATGCATTTATAGTAATTTTACTCGGGTACACGCTATAACCCTTTTTAAATCGAACTTTGATCAGCGCTTCCTGAGATATATCTCTATTTGCTGTGCACTCTTAACATTATAGAGTTTAAACCATCACTTTCGGGAGATCGGTGGCCGAGCGTCATAGAGCACCGCAGCTCGGAGCGACACCTCGCGGAGCAGAACCCGGAGACACCCAAAGCCCTTTATACGGAAAAGTAGCGACGTCCTTTGAAGAATGCCGCCTGCTATCTTGGAGCGATCCAGGTGGCACTACCGTCTATGCGCAAGAGTGCGAAAAAGCAAAAATTAAGATAAAGGAGCGTGCACAGGGAAGGAGGTGTTGCCCTCCTCCAATCAAGTAACGCTGAAAGTGTAACGTCACGGCTTTCATCGTTTTCGAAGATATTCTTCACGATTCATCCACTTGTACGCAGAGGGTGTACCGTGACAGTGCTCTTTAGTCCTCGTGTATGTCGCTATCTTGGAGCGATCCAGGCGGCGCTACTGTCCGTGCGCGAGTGCGAAAGTGCAAAAAATAAAAATAAAAAATGTACGCGTCGCTACCTTCCTTATTCAGGGGTCTTAGATACACCACGCTCAATCCCCACACGCCTGCACACATTAATCTGGATGGGCGCCGTACTGTCTTGCGGTCGTGCCACACTACTAAAAAGGCGCAGGTTCAAGACCCCAGGCTAGCGGTCGTACTGCACTGTCTAAATTCCTCATTTACAGCGAATACACCAGACGTCCACTGGGGCTGGGGTGGGAGAGGTAAGAGAACGGTTGTCTCTTGACCGTGGCTGTCCTTGACCGTGGCTCCCAGATAGACTGCGTTTTCCTTGATTTCTCTAAGGCCTTCGATAAAGTTTCTCACCGGCTACTCCTATTAAAACTTAGCAACCTCAATATTGATCCGAACGTGCTACGCTGGATAGAATCGTTTTTAACTAACCGTTCTCAATTTGTGCATGCCAATGGTACTAACTCTTCACTGACTCCCGTAGGATCTGGAGTTCCCCAGGGTTCTGTTTTAGGACCGCTACTTTTCCTCATCTACATTAATGATCTCTCTGAATGTGTCTCCTCTAATATTAGTTTATTTGCTGACGATTGTGTACTATATAGAGAACTAACAAATAACTCTGACACCTCTGTTCTCCAATCTGATCTTAACTCTGTATCTGACTGGTGCGACAAGTGGTTGATGCAACTCAATCTTAATAAATGTAAATCCATGAGAGTTTCCCGTCATACTAACATATGCTCGAATTACTACATTGACGACACTCCGCTGCAGTCTGTGTCCTCTTACAAATACTTAGGTGTTTACATAACTTCTGATCTTTCCTGGGTAACTCACACTAACTACGTAACTAACAACGCCAATCGCATGCTTGGATATCTCAAACGAAATTTTTCACAGTCACCAGTGTCACTAAAACTCCTTTTATATACTACTTTAGTACGTACTAAACTTGAATATGCATGTTCTATCTGGGACCCCGGTCATAATACTATCATTGAAACATTGGAATCGGTTCAAAATCGTGCAGCACGTTTCATACTCTGTAATTACCATCGTACATCCAGTGTTACTTCAATGAAAAATACCCTTGGTTTACCCACACTAATGAACCGTAGACGCATTTTTCGCCTCACTTTATTTCACAAGATCTACCATAATAACCCTTTCATGCGCCATGAACTTCTAACGCCACCTACTTATGTTTCATCCCGCGTAGATCACCAGTACAAAGTCGGTATCCCCAATTACAAAACTAACACTTATTATAACTCCTTCGTTCCTCGTACTAGCTCCGATTGGAATCGCCTTTCCGCTGACATAGCCTCCATAACCAATATTATTGATTTTAAAAATGCCTTGTTTGTTAGTTTTCATTAACCATTTTCTAGTTGTTATTACTGTTATAACATTGTGTAAATATTTTTGAAGTGTCTAAGCAAGCGTGCATTAATTACTGTATCATATTTCATGTATCAACAACTGTACCCTGTCACCTAATCCCCCCCCCCCCCCCCCCACTCCCCTCTGTAATGCCCTTCGGGGCCTTGAGGGTAAATAAATAAATAAATAAATAAATAAATAAATTCGTTTTTTTTTCTTTTTTTTTTCGCGCACTTGGCGTTATTGGTCCTACATGCGTCATGTTGGGTGTTATAAACACTATTTCCGATCCATTTTACACCTTCGCAATGACCGTTTACAGAGAGTAACTGTTTTCCGTTTTCATTTACAGCAACAGCCGGTGGTCTGGCCTTCTTCCTCCTCCTCTTCGGCGTAGGCATCGGAGCGTCGGCGCTTTTGGCTTACGGATACTACAAGAACCGCAGACTCAACAGAGTGTGATAGCCTACGTAATGGTCAATAATTTATTCCGCTGTTGCCAGCGCTGGCAACTACTTTTGAAATCGGTTCAAATGATAAAATTACTGGGAATGAAAAAAATACGGGGGCTGTATTTTTTTTTTTCAAGTTATAAAGAATTGAGTAAGAAAAAACAAGAATGATGAAAACTATTTTATGCATACACAAAACAAATTGTTAGAAAACAGCTGTCAACAATTATGTTTAGAGTATTGTCTCGCAATGATTCTCACGTCTAGTTTAGTTTTACCAGTCTGAAATGTCGTATTCGAATGCTTCACGAAGAGCATTTCTTGATACAGTAAAACTTCAGCCTCGGCAGAAACCCGAGACTAATGTAAAGCTGTAAGGAAGAGGAGGAGTGGTAATGCAAAAGTCACTTCAAGGTGTAATTTGTGTGTCTGATGTAATCTCAGTTATTAATAAAATTATGTAAGAAAAAGCGTGCTTTGTGGTGCCTTTTTAGTCCTTGTGCGTGTTGCGTAGATAACCGTCATATAGGCATTTTTTTATTTAAAATGAATTCAGTAAATAAAAATGGTATGTATGTATTTATTTTGTGTAATAGTGTGCAGTCCGTCGCGAAGTGTCTAGAAGTAAACCCGGCCTGAAATATATCCCTAAAGATATCCAGCCTTTCCAAACCTATGAATGCATGCTGTATTACATTGCCACAACACATAACAATTACCATGACAGACGAGAAACCTCAGAGGCACCCACTTTTATTTCCCTGACTACGCCGTCGGTTAGAGAATGCTAAATAATATGTGTTTGTTTTATATAACATAAAGTTACCCCGCAGCGCTTCAGGGGCTATTACATTGGTACCCCGCAGCGCTACAGGAACTATTACCCTGGTCGCTACGAACACGGACACGACCCTGGCATCAACCTCATCAGGCCCTCTATATCTTCTTCACAAACTGAATCCTATTTGATCGCATGTAATATTAAAAGTTTACGATGCATTTGTCAAAACATCCTTTAAGTTGCGCCAATTAACTGCAGACACCTCCATCAACACAAAGTTAAAACCGAGTCGCCATATATAGATAAAGCGCACCTAGTTGGATTACCAATCAGAAACGTAAAACGTTATCACATATTGAAAGAAAAATCTTTATGGGCATCCATGAATGTTTACAGTACTGAGACGCAAAATCTTTCAGTGAGACTAGTCAACGCAACTTTCGTTCTTAGCAAAATTCTTTAGGAGCATTTCAAATGAGGTTCTAATTTTTCTCGAAGGACGTCGTTTGTCATTCTTGTCCTGGGCGTATATTTTCACCTTTTCATTCAGGACGTACCTCGCTCTGCAGGGAGAAAAATAAAGGAGTTATTAGATTAATTCTTAAGATAACTATGAACATTCTTATCTAAGACAATGTGAGACACGGAGCTCTTCTTGGTTGCTTTTGTGAACGCTCGTGGGAGTTCTCTCAGTGAAAAACACTTGTCTTGATGAAAATGAATATAGTTTTCTTTCTGCCAAGTTTGTTTCACTGATAAGTCTGATATAGGCGCTACAGGCGCCTACAATGTCCTTCTTTGTTTTACGACATTAGGCTTAAGTAGACATCGGTTCAAATAAAAATTTGTATTTTTCAATTATCTTTTGATCTAGGCAAGGTCAGAGCTCCTCAAACTTCCGCGTTCTATCCCAACCGCTAGTGTCCGTTTCTCACGAAGTTAGAGCCTTTGCGATGCATAACTTATTTACCAGGGCCAAGAAAAAAAAAAACGATTCTTTTTTCTCGGGAACTCCCTGTATATCCATTCATTTCGTCGTGTTTCCGTTACCTTAAAGCAAGGATCCGTATTTCTAGTGTATTAACACTTTGTCTGAACAGCATGGATTTCATTATAGTAGTTGTCTTTTTCACTCGTAAGACATGTGTACATAGACGCTACAAGTCTTCTTATTCTTTCCCGGACACTTGCATTACCTAAGAGCACTGATTCCTGCGTGGTCAGTATAAATATCATATTAGTTTGTTTGTCTTTTGTAGTGTTTTACGCTGCCAGACGCCATTTTCATCCCTTTTCCCGCATCCTGCGCCATAAAACTGAGTGTGGTTATGAGTTTCGAAGAAAAACAATGTGTGGGAAACAGAGTAACAGAATACTGTGTGCAGATGTTTTTTATAGAACTAATGAACTAGTAAAGTTAAGGGGAACTTACATTCTACTACCTTTCTCTTCTATAAACTCGCTGTCTTGTCCAAGGATGAAGTAGAACTTTCCAGGCACGAAATTCACGGTGTTGCAGAGTTGTCGCATCAGAAAAGACCTAAGTTTTCCGGTGACTACCTCTTTGCTCTCCTCTCCTGCATTATCGAGAAAACATACCCAATTACATCGTTTTATCTATTAACACGTCATATCCAACGACGCCAGAAATCACAACACTAAAACTTGAACCGTAAAACATTAAAGCACATCAGCTTAACAAAAGTAAGCGACAATGTTCCATTATTTGCCTGACGAGCTGTCATCAGGACACGGCGACAGACACAACCTTCTTGGTGAAGTGCAACAAAAATTTGAAAACACTTTAGTTTTAAATACGAACGTGATACGTTGGCTCTTAACATTAACGGCACCTATTGGGTAACTTTCAAACCGTATATGATATACAACCAGACTGAATCGTCAAATATTACCAAGTGTATAAATTAAGTAGGTATAACTCTAATCCTGTTAACCATGTTCTAACGCATCCGACGAGTGCAGTCACTGGAGCCAAATGCTGCTAGCTTTTGCTCTACCCCTAATCTTTCCAACCAAAGCTCGGCGCTGTGACATCGCCGCGCGATCTCGTCTGCTTTCCTACTTCAGTTTCTCGGCGTAACCTTACGTAACCTCAATATAAAATAAACGCGTGACCCGTTACCGTTACCGACAAAAAGTAACGCACGTTACTTTTGCGTTACTTCTTATTTATGAATTAAAACGTACTTTGCTCTTTCGACGTTACAAGTGTACGCATCAGCACTATATTTCAAGAAACATTATGTCCACGCAGAAACTTATTATTATAAAAAATTATTCTTACTCTTATTATTATTACTATTACTGTTATTACGAAGGTTTGTGGGTTGCTTGCGAAAATTTATAACATTGCTCCTTAAAATACGAAAACAAAACTGAACTATTTTTTTTTTACCTTTGAGAAGATCTAAGGAGTGGCCTAACACATATATGTTACCTTTTAGCCTAAAAGCATAACCTAAGTACGTTTTTCGTTACTGTTTTGAAACATGTAATAAGTACGTTACCACTTTACGGAAATTGTAACTTGCTGCAGGTAACGAGTTACCGCCAACTTTGCTACCAGGTCACCATAGCACTTACCTTCTTTGATGACACTCGTGACGTTGAAGACAATGTTCTTGTAGCCATTGCTCACTTGAATGTCAGAAACGTTGACTTTCCAGACTGAAATAAGCATCAGTTTTGAGAAGCAACTCCACTGTTTGCTGCACCGTAACAGCTGAAGTTCTATCAGGGTTTGTTTTTCTGCAGATTCAGGGGTGTTATTTCGGGTTTTATGGTACTATTTTATTCGAAGATTCGGCGTTTTTTCGGCATCTTTTTTTGGTGTCGGACTAGAAATAAGGGCTTATCAAGGCCAATGTCAAAAAAAAAAATCGATGTCGCAGACATCAAATTCTCTAACCTGCATACTTGGAAAAGAGTCTCTGTGTAATAAGAAAAGAGGAAAAAAAGAAAGTGTGGGTTTCAGAAGAAAGAAACAGCCTTGCTCACAATTCAGTAATTTGTATTCGAGGTCGACATACAGTAAGCTAGGGTTTCTCTCCATAAAAAATATCGCTTTAATTCGTTCTTTATTTTTTTTTTGTTTTTGGGGGGGGAGGGAGGGGAGAGGAAGGGTTTGTTTTAGATAAAACCAGCTCCAGGGTATTTTCGAGGATCCAGCGATATTTGCAGAAAACATAGAATCCCAGCAGCAATCTGATACTGTCTAAATAAATCAAGCACACTATGTGGCATGTCCTCGTGTGCCGCACCGCGCAAAAATGCACGTCGAAATCATTAAACTATTTTTTTTTGGCTGCAAGCAGAAAAAGATATCTCTTTTCATTTACAACATTTGTTCAGGCTAATTTTCTATAATACAAAAAAAATATTGCACATAAGGGTCGTAATAAAAATTAACAACGACCATTATCTTCAAAGTCTCATAATGCATGAAATGCAGTGTTGGAGGATCAATCGTTTCAATTTGCTTACAACACTATAAAAAATATTTCTGTGGAGTGAAGAAGCTGTTCTTACTAATTTCCCTGCTAAATTTAGCAGAGAAATCGGCTTCATACAAACGTCACGTGACGTAAGGTCTTATAACATCGATTTCCCCACCAAATTTAGCGGGACAACTAAATTCATGTATATAGTCACGCGACGTAAAGTTCCCCGCTAAATATAGCGAGGAAACTGAATCGGTCTGTAGCTCTTGTGACCTTAAGTCAGGTGACAACAATTTTCTTTCTGTATTTATCAGGCAATCTGAATTTGGGTGTCGCGGTCACTGCAGTGACGCAAACTTCTGCGCTAAAATTAGCGGGAAACGCAAACACGGATGGACAAAAGTTCGGGATGGGGTTTCGGGGGAGGGGAGGGGGGGGTGGGGGGTTCTGTTAAACAGCACTCCACGCTTAAAAAGCCAAGGACAAGAATTTCTCACGAAAGTGATGGTCGTTGCAGGCGATTTTGGCCAGGGCGTTTCGGAAGTCTGTAATGTCCGAATTGGACTTGAGAAGTCGCTCAAATGTCTCGTTGATGGGGCATTCGGCTGCAAATGGAAACCGTTACCGTCATCATCCTTCCGTCATGTCGCAGTGCTGTCACTCATAGTGTGCGGCGCGTGGATCGCGGCTCTGACCGGTCTGTTTTATGCGTTTTGTGCGTCCCATCCTGCCCATGCATCGAAAGTGGTCCACAAGAGGCAACAGATGGTGTCACAAAAAGCCGGAGTGTCACGCTGTCGGATGTCGTGATCCTGGCGGTCGGTCGTAGAAATGCTGGCGAAAAGCACGAGCGAACGCGAGTGTCGCTGTCGTCGCGGCGTCCCAACTTCTGACTGCCGAAGCTTCCGCGGACTGTCAAACTGGAGATCGACCTAGAGCAGAACAGGCGTCTGCCACAACCACCACCGCTGCTGGTACACCGCCAGGATCGCCACCGGCGATAGCAAGCCACTTCTGTGACGTCATCAGGCGGAAAGCGAGGGATCACACTTTGGGGCGGGGCAAAACACACCGGTCGGAGACGCTATCCAGGCTCCAGGCTCATAGTGGCTGAGCTTTGACTCTCGCTGTGTTTTCTGGACGAGTGGGAGATTATGTAAAAGCCCACAGTGCCATATACAATCGCAAACGGCACGATTCTTTGCACCTACCTATAGGTTAACGCGCTGTTTACAAGAAAACCCGCGCGTACGCAGAGGCCAGATTCGCGTGAGGCGATGCGTCTGAGCATGATCCTTGCCGACAGCAGCGCCATCACCTCGGCGTGACATTCAGAGCCGCGGGTTGGTCTCTCACTGTACCCTGGCAAACAGAGAAGGCTACAGTATCACGGAGCCAATCAGCGTGTCGGAGGGAGACACGTGATTACACTCTGGATCCCGAGAAGATGGAGTGGCGCCACCTGGCGGCTCCTTGTCGTGGCGTAGTATCACGTGAACGCTTCTATGCTTCGTTGGTAGCATGCCGGTTGAGGTGCTCCGTTCACGATTCGTCTTTGATTTGTGCATTTGAACCAGAGTTCGGGGTTGCGTGTGACCTCATTTCTCCGCTGTACTTCTCGTCAAAATTAGGCTCAAGCAGCGCGACAACAGTGGCGTCGCGACCTACAGAACAGGACCCAATGAACCAGTTTCGGGTTATCGTACTGACCACGACCAAATCGGTCGTCTGCGAATGCGCTCAATCTTGATTTTGGAAAAATCTTTTGCTTTTTTTTTTTCTTTCAGGAAGAGAAATACGTTTTGATATTTCACACGTTAAAACTCTCCTCCTCAGTGCACATTTGGTGAAAGTTGAAGCCTTATATGCGCAGGCGCTGATTTTTCCGGCCAGTTTTACAGCCAATGGTCCACTTAGGACACCCTATAAAAGTGCTCGGGACTGGCAGCGCGCGGTGTTTCCTAAGTTAGCAATGAACGTTGCGTTCTTCAAGTTGTCGGTGGCTGACGCTCCCCTTTAGCCCGTCTTGTAAGAGGCAGCGGCGAACCATAATGTGTGCGTAGAATATATCTCACCTGAGGCACATTTGCAATGAGGACCGTCACAGAAGAGCCCCAGCAACGGACTCGAAGTCTCGGGACCATAAAACTGACTGCACGAGTGATCTGCATAATCAATAAAGGAAAATTTCTCCTTTGTTCTTTTCTTGCTTCGTTGAGTAACCAACGAAGTAGTATACGTCAAACGTGCATAGCAGTCGTGGATGTAGGGTAATTTAGATGTTAAGAACTTTGGGAAAATCCTCAAGGTGGAGAGGATGTACGAAATAATTTCACTTTCATCTGAAATGGAGCGTAACTAGCGCCCTCTATGCGACGGGTGCGCCACAAAAAATAATTTGCCAGATCCGGGTATAGATTCCGAGACCTCTCCAAGACTCATGTAGTAAGTAAAACGCTCGCTTACCAGGTCCCGAAATCGATGCCTGGACTAGGCGGATATTTTCAAAGACGCGTCAGTCGTTAGTTGGAGCGAGTTGCGCTCCATTTTGTGTGAAACACAATTTACTATTTCTTGTGTGCCGAGAAACTGAGGGGGAGGAGGAGAAGAAAGCACTTGGAGACGTCAGAACGCCGAGCTTTGGTTCTAATGACTAGTGAATTAACCTAAAGCTACGCGGAGAGCAAGTCGCCTGCTCCTAGCGCAGGAGCTGTAATGACGTCGGAACGACAGTGAGCTCTAATTGGTTTTGATTGAAAGGATAGTGGGTAGACCTCGATGCTAGATGCCTAAAGGTCTACCCACTGTTTTTGTTTTCAATCAGCCAATTAGAGTCTGTGTGTTCTCACATCATCGCAATCCCCATGCAAGAAGCAGACGAACTTGCGTTCCACATAGCTGCATTTGTCTTCACTGCACTCGTCGAACACGCTCGAATACAAGAGCCAAACGCCGGACGCTGGCATTCCACGTTCTAACGAGTTCGACGAGTGCAGTGGAGAGAAAGGCGGCTAGTTTGATGTCTACCCACTAATCATTTTAATCAGGGCTCGGCGTTCTGTCGTCCCTCTCGTCTCCACCTCCCCTTTAGTGTCTCGGCGCATAGATGTGCTTATTTTATACATCTACTCGGTATTTCACAAATCACTAAAAATGTCAGTCAGAACCGACCTCTCAGAAGCCAGGAAAACGTACCTGGCCGATAGTAGTCGTACACCTTCACAGTGGCCGTTTGAATGTTGAGCACATTGTATGCACGTTCGGCTCTGAACATGATGCAAGTATCGCGGTCTGCTGGTATCTGCGGCAACGTGGAGACGTGAGCACTTACAGGTGTTGAACCATTTTGGGTTTATATGTATATTAAACATCATGCCAAGAAATGGTTATCGCACGTCCTTAATATCGTCTAAAGCAATAGAGGCTGCCATTGGAGACGTCAAATCGGAAGAAAGAGGATCGTACTTTAGAGACGAGAACAGGCATCCCACGTTTCGCAGCATCAGTGGAAGATAAAATCCCTTATCATTCGGGCTAATCTATTGATTTAATCCACTGAAAAATACTAAGAACCGACCGGTCAAATTAGTAGATTTTATACTGACGTAGCCCTTAATATTTAAATATTCCTACATTAAAAACCAACAGCTTGAGTTATAAGCGTTGTAACCATTCCCCCCTCTTCAATAGTTTGGGACATTTCTCTAAACCATTAAATAATAAGAGCACCTACTGTGGATATATTCCTGACAGCGTGCCCTAATGTTTACAGTTACAATTATAGTTATATTTGCTGAGGAATGCCGCAGCGCAGCAGAAAAGCAAGTATCCCATACCATAAAGACCTGCGGCGCCGCGACTAATGATGTTGCAAAGACATTGTACAGGCGGTTCGGGCAAGGTAAACTTGAGAGCTATTTTGTGTCCGCAGGGCACGGCGTTGAGACGCTAGCTACAAACCAAATCTAAGAACATTCTCTGGAGATGTTTTATTTAATTACCTCTGTAGGTTTCACGTTATAGTTTAAGCGGTGGTATTTCATTGCTTTCCGCACGTTCACTTGGGAACACGGAATAAAAACAGCGAGAACCTGGAGCGGAATATGCTGGAAATAGTATTTCTCGAGTCGTGTATTCTATTCACCCGCCATAACAACTTTAAAAGAGTTTTTTTTTTTCGACGTTACTTATTAATTTTAAAATTTACATTTATCTTAGGATTGTGCTATATCCGTAGACACGACGTGCCGGACAGATCAAAAGTAATTGAAACAACATTGATACCACTTAACTAAGAGACTCGTGTGCACCATGTTGAATCCTGAATTACATTTGTTTTTAAAATTCATAAAGTTTATTTATTTAACTTTATACACGCAATCATATATTATGATGATTTGTTCTGTTTTGTAGTGACCATCATTAGTAGATATGTTTTCGCTCTTACATTGCGTTACTTTCTTTTGGTTGTTAAATTTTTAAACACTACATCTATCTTTTCCTACTATTATGTCAGCGTTTGCAATTATAAAATAAAAAAGAAAATCTTCGGTGAAACAAGATTAACGGACAGTTTTATTTCGGCGTTTCGGCCTGAGTCCTTAGGAATTCAAAAGAGCATGCATACTCACCTTGTCAAAATAAAATACGACACCTTTCGTCGTTAGCTCATATTTCCCTAGTAAGGCATTTATCGCTGTCAGCTGAAACAAGATATTATTACGAGTCATAGTACAATGTAACTACCGAGACACACGCATAATTAGATATAAATTTGACTATCAAAGTAAAAACAATACTTTATTTTAAATCAAGTTCTGCCAGTATTTAAAATCCTCTAGCTACAGCGTTCCGAAAATCAATATAGAATCTTGCTTGAATTTTATTTCCATTCAGTGGAAATATTTATAATTATTTTCGTTGATATCTTCGAATTGGTGGAAACTTTTAACTCACATTTGCCAAGTCATTTTCGATTGGGTGAAATCCGCTGAACATCCCTACCTCCAAAATAGCCATATTAGAGTCTTGCTCTCCCAAATATCTACAACGATAACAAAAACACTGATAAACAATCAACAGAACTAATTATTAGAAATATTGGAGCATGCGCGTAGACCTAAATGTTCATGTGTCAACATTCCAAATAAGTAGGTGCGAACCTCGGTTTTGGTTTAGCAATTGTTCATGAAAGAATAAAACAATTGACCCTTCCCGGTATTTAGTCTGGCCGCTTTGATCACTATCATCATCTAAAACAGGAATATGTGCGATACTAATGTTGGCCTTCTGTTTACTGCTTAAGGAAGAAGTTGAAGATGCTCCAGAGCAGATTATACAACGTCTACACATTCTAGACGTTAGCGCGACATGAAGCAGGAATTGCATGCAAGAGCTGCGTAAGCGTTCATTTCTAACTCGGGCCCAGTCAATATGTTAGTAGCACACACTCGGATCCAAAGCCCCTTTAAGTATAGAACTTCATCAAGGCGTCTATCTGGGTGGGTGCTTCGTTCCGGCTGGTTGCCCTTTTTCGCCATCGACACTAAAATAGATTGCAAAAGCTGTACATTGAAGCGCACATCCTCGTTTAACGGTTGACTTGCGAAAGTGACGGTGGCCCATAAAATACTGGAGAACCTGCTCAATTCCGGAAAGGGCCTATTGTTTATTAGGTGGAATATGGTACACGTGTATTGGCGACCAAAAAATGCGGCCCCGTAGTAATTGACACTAAATAAACCAGTCTCTTTTATAAAGCCCTAATTATATTTTCTCACCTTATGCAGACTTCAATCTCGTAAGAGTTCAGGGCCTTCCACTTGTTTTTAATGCTAGTCGTTAAGTCCTTTTTTATTCCTGCAACTGAAAAGCAATGACTTATAAGAAATAGGTGGTACAAGTGTAATCCTAACAGAGACGATCGCCTGTTCGCGCTTAAAGTGCCGTGCAGTGTACCTATTTGAGGTTAGCCCCAATAGCCACTTCGTATTTCCTACTCTTGCCACTTACCTGTAGACAGCGAAGCGCGGTTGTTTTCGATCATGCTGTGTCCTCCCATGCCTGCAAAAAGTAGTTGTTGGTTCGAGTTCTGGGTTCTATAATCTAGAAACAACAATGCCACCCTATATCAAGCAAGGCAAAAAAAGAAAATGACACTCACCTGTCCAATATAACTTCTTTTTTTTTAACCAGAATCATAATTAGCTTAAACGTTTTAAACTTTATCCGATGCGCAGAATAGAATGTATCCATTCCACCATTATGAAAACCGAAGAACAGGAAACAAGAAAAATAAGATCAATCAGAAGAAAGTTATTCCTGCGTGTCGTTTCCTTTTTGTCGATGTTCGGTCTCAGGCTATCATGATGTTAGAAGTTCACCAGCTCGCCTGTATTTTTTTCTGTTATTTCGATCATTATTCATTTGTCTGATCGGCCACCGGGCTTTGTAGTAAAGTCACTCGATCCTAGAAAAGTTGCACCATTGCCTTACCTGCCTGCTAGGGGGACACAGCAAGATACTAAATTGTAATAAATTATAATCAATTGTTTTATTTTTTTCGTCCCCACAAACAATCCCTCGGTTTACAGTGTGGTGCACTAAACATACATGAAGTAAAACCTAAAAATACAGGAAACAACAAAGTTAAATCAATAAAAGTCATGCAACATTATCATAATTCAAAAATATATTATTGATTGGTTCGCAGACATCGAGTCACGTAGATTTAACATAAACTCATGAGTGGATCAAAAGATGTCGAGGTTAAATTCTTGTGAATCATAATCAATATGTATCATTGACAATGGTATCACAGCAGACAAGCAAGATAGATAAAAAGTTGAAATGTTTTGGCTCGGGCGAGAGGGAACATGAAACTCAATAGCTTCTAGTAAAGCCGCCGAATTTACCCTGCTATGAACAACTTCGTGAAGGAATAGAAAATCTCTGTACTGCCTTCTCACGGCCAAATTATGCAGCGAAAATTTACGAAGCAATGTTTCGTAATGATAAAAAATATATCTCTCCAATGTAGCCGTCATATAATATTCTTACCATTCGTTTTTTCACATATTCAATAGCTAGCTCTTGCGACAAAGTCAATGAATTCCAGACGACGATAAAGACAACAATACAGACGACAAAAAGCTCACAAAGCGATTAGGCAATTGGTCTCTATTGCAGTGGCAATCGCCGTTTCAGTCCTTTTAAATCTTCGAAGCTACGAAAGGGTTGTCCTGAACCAGTCTTGCCAAAATCGCGACGGAGCGCCATGGTAGTGAAAGCGTTCCTCGGCAACACAATTGTGTCTGTGGCACTCTTTACGTTATCAACTTATGAATCATACTTTTCTCCACACATAAATTGAAATGATAATGTTTCTTTTTTTTTTTTTTCTTGTGCAGTTTGAGACAGGAAAATTATCTGTCATCGCTGTCAAACACCGACACCACATTTGGTTGTGGTGCGAAGATGTGCGCCTGTATCGCCGTATATGAATAACATAATCTCGGTATGCAAAAAAAGTATTTTTGCAGCAATCCGTCACCGCGAATGTGAATCGGCTCACCAAGAATGGAGAGATCAAGAAAAAACTTCTCATTCCGTTTACCAAAATGGCGACAATACGAGGAGTTTGGCACAACTTTCCCAGGATCCAGTCACATTAGTTTTGTCTAGAGAGTCTCATTTTATTTAAATTTGACAAACAAACATCGAAATTGTTCGAGATTTTATACAACTTATTCACCGCACTGTACGCCAAACAAAGTCACATTATAAAATTATTTGCGCCTTCCTCCACCAAACGGATCAAAAACTACGACGTAAGACCTTCTCCCGTCTCGGTCCTTTTTTGTTGCTTCACCTCACTTGTCCGGGATGTCTTCGGAGTGTACTCCTCCGAAGACATCCCGGCCAAGTGAGGTGCTTCGCCCCGGAAGGCTACCCTTCGCAGAAGACGCCGTCGCCCGAGCAAGCAACCGTACCAAAGTCCCACTCCCGGCATCCGGGCCCCTAGCTGCCGCAGAAGCTGAAGAAGATCCCTACAATGACCACCCCGCCCGTCGTCGTCCTGCCCGTCGCTCCGCGGACGCCTACTCCATTCCTCGGCGAGATCTACGAGGACGTCGAAGACTGGATCAACCAGTACGAACGCGTGGCTCGCCACAACGGGTGGAGTGACGAACAGCGCCTGCAGAACTTCTATATATCACTTGAAGAAACTGCAAGGCACTGGTTCTAAAACCACGAAGCTTCCTTGACTTCATGGGGGCTTTGCAAGAACGAGCTGACGCGCACGTTCGCCAATCAACACCGAAGAGAGAGGGCCGAAGATCTGCTGCAGTTCAGGACCTAGGGCCCCAATGAGAGCTTCACAAGTTTCGAGAAAGACGTCCTGGACCTGAGCTCCCGCGCCGACCCCCAGGCCACCGAGGAAGAGAAGCTGCCTATTCTGAAGCGTGGCGTGAAGGACGACATCTTCGGTGTACTCGTACGCAACCCGCCAACGTCCGTTCGAGAATTCGTCATCAAGGCGACGAGTATGGAGCGTGCCATACTTGAAAGGGCAACCCACAACCAGCGGCATCCCGGCGTAGCTGCCACTTCGCCATCGGGATTCGACCACGGCTCCAGCCTGGCTGAAATTCGCGAGATTATTCTCTACGTCGTTCAAGAAGAGCTCGGGAAGCTCTTGCCTGCTGCCAACCAACCGGCTTCGCTGTCAATAGCCGAAGCTCTCCGCGAAGAAGCTCAGCGGGCAATCCAACCAGAGGCTCTTGCAACCGTAGCAGTACCGGAGGAGCCCGCTCTAAGCTACGCCGCAATGGTCCGACGAGCACCACCACCCCCGCGTTCGTACGTGGCGACTCCCCAAAGTGAACCTCCAGCGCCGCAGTTTTCCCGACGCCAGGAAGATCGAACGCACGACCGCCCCGAACAAGCTGCGCCAAGAAGGACCGACGTGTGGAGGACGGCCGATCGACGCCCGTTGTGCTACGACTGCGAGGAAGCCGACCACATCTACCGATGATACCCCTACCGCCAGCTGGGCCTACTAGAGTTTGCGCCAAACGACCCTCGACCACATCTCGGGGAGCGACCTCGGGACATCGAGGACTACCCCCGCCGCTCTTCATCTCCTGAGTCGTCTCCACGCCGGGGATTCCGTTCACCGTCTCCCCGACGCTCGCCATCGCCCTTCCGCCGGTCTCGCCGAGACAGCCTGTCACCCATCTCTTCCCGTCGGGAAAACTAGGCGTGGCAATGCCGGGAGGTGGTTTTGCCGAAGACGAACCATGCCAAGATCCTCCAAGATCGTCGGAGCCCTCCCACTCTAACGCCGCAACGCCCCGAAACGACGTTTCTGCTACAGTGTCGAATAAGCTTAACGTTATCATCGACGGCCACAACGCGACGGCACTCGTCAACACCGGAGCAGACTACTCCGTTTTGAGTGGGAGACTCTCTCGTCGCCTTCGGAAAGTTACGACTTCGTGGGACGGACCGCAGGTACAAACCGCCGGCGGACATCTGAGCACACCTGTCAGCAGATTCACTGCTCGCGTTGAGATCCACGGTGAAACCTTCCCTGTGAAGTTCGTCGTTCTGCAAGACTGTTCGAGGGATGTGATTCTCGGAATGAACTTCCTGTGTGAATACGACGGCATCATCGACCTTGCGCAGAACAAGCTGACGCTTTGGAGACCTGTCCCAACGGTGGAAGATCCCAAAGCGACGTTAGCTGCAGTGCGAGTCCTCGCAACCACATCAACCTGCCGCCGCTGTCGAGTGCCTTTGCGCCCGTCGAGACCGAAGGAGCCACCTGCGGTGTAGCATTGCTGGAAGGAAGAGTCCTACTTCTCCTTGGACGAGGGATTGGCATTGCAAGAGGCGTAATCGAGCTCCAGGACGGGCGTGCCGTAGCTCTTGTCACCAACTTCCGGCAAAAGTCGCAGCACCTTACAAGGGGTACAGCTGTGGGCTACGTCGAGAAAATTCAGGACTCGGCCGTGATCGCCGTGATCTCAGAAGAAGCCTCCCTGACGCAGCATAGAAGAACCACGTCGTCAGAGCTCGACATCGACCCCCTTCCCTACCAATGACAGCTGACTGACCTCCTCGCCGAGTTCAATGAGTGCTTTGCACGTCATCAAAGGTGCGCCGGACAGCGGTTGCGAAGCATCGAATAGTTACTGATGACGATGCACTTCCTGTGCATCGGCCACCGTACCGAGTCTCTGTGAAAGAAAGGGAAGCCATCCAGAAGCAAGTTCAGGAAATGCTTGATGACGACATCGTCCAGCCCTCAAACAGTCCGTGGGCTTCCCCAGTAGTCCTGGTGAAGAAGAAGAGAAGCTGGCTTTCTTTACTAGAAAGCAAAATGTAAAATGTTATTCCTGAGGTAAATTTAATACGAGCGAAAAGATGTTGAAGTAAGAAATGTATGCTGTATCTTCCAAAAAGTCCTTATTTGTAGGTTTAAAAAAATATATATTGCATTGTGGATTGTGTTTATTTCTTGCCCTTCGTATTGTGCGCATACAACTAGCCTACCGAGTGTGAGAACATCTAAAACACTGGTTTTCTATTTAGAACTATGTGTATTTCAGTGTCTGGATTTTTGTTCAAGCAAAGTGTATTCCTGCCTCTGTATTTTCAGATATTTTTTTTATATTTTTCAAATGTATTTTTGATACGCAATGCAAAACTTTTTAATATATAAATGTATTTAAGTATCAATATTCCAGCTGTCCTTGCCACATATCCCAGTATTTTTGCTTCCAAATACTTTTCACAGTATTTCTGCCCAACCCTGTAGCTATTCTTTAGACATGGCCATATCTTGCTCACGTTCCTTCCTTCACGGTTCGACCTTCGATCGGCTTCCTCATCGGCTACCGCCACAATCTAATCGATTGCCTAACCATATCAAGATTCCCGGGACTCGCCGGTCCCAGCGGTTCCTAAGCCTTCAGTGGCCAAAGTAGCGCATGATCACCAAAGATCGTAAGGCATACGCTCGAGGGTGCGCGTCGGATCGGCGTCTCCCAACAGTTCTTTCCAGACCTCCTGCGGGACCATCCGAGAGCGTCCTCCGCGTGTCTGCCCGGGTTCTGGCCGGCTGGCACGAACTGCCAGCGAAAACTGGAAGCAAAATCAGAAAGAGAAGCGTAAATCGCGTATTGTTTGGTAATTCTCCGCTAAATTCCACTTTTTTTTTTTGCGTAATAACAAATGAATCGCTTTTTAACGGAAACCCCCCAATCCCAAAATAGTATACTGTCGAGACCGGTTATAACAAAATCAACGGGAATCGGAAATCACCTCGCTATATCCACTATTTCGTTATAACCAACTTCGGTTATAACGAAGTGCAGAAGGAAAAGGGAAATCGTGATCGCTTCACTGTAGCCGCTATTTCGTTATAGCCAACTTCGTTATAACTGGTCTCGACAGTACGTGCGTTTGTCTCTCCGTTCGTTTCCCGCTATATTTAGCGGCGGAAATTGAAGTCACGTGACCTATACCTCAATTTAGTTTGCCCGCTAAATTATGGGAAGCTTGATGTCACGTGACGTGATTTCACGAGACGTATACGGATTAATTTTGTTTCCACGCCAAATATGGTGGAAAATTCGAGGTTACGTGACACACCAATTCAGTTTCTCCGTCAAATCTGGCTGGGAAATTTCTGTCACACGACCTATTACACCAATACAGTTTCCCCCTCTAAATTTCGCGGAGAGATAGACGATACGTGAAATTTGTACGAAGTCTGGAGAAATTCATAAAAACATTGGTTCTTCACTCCCCCGAAATGACCGTACGATAATGTCTTCTAAACAAATTTAGGCGATTTCTCCTCAAACACCGTATTTCGTCCATTATGGAACTTTGAAAATAAAGATCACTGTAAGTTTTATCTTTTATTTTAATTTTTCCTGGTACAGTCATTAGCGTGACATTTTGCCCATAATATTTTTTTTTTGTTCTTTCCTCACTGTTTCCCTTCGTGTTGCCTGGAATTTAGTTTAATAGTTTTTTAGACTCCCCTGCGTCGTGTTACGTCTAGTTACTGACATGTTAAAAATTTCAGGTGATGCCGTATTATTATATTTGCGCTTCCTGCTTCGTGATTTCGCCACGGTTCTTATCGGTGACCGCGATGCAATCTCATTATTTCTCTAAAAACGAGGATGATGATAATCGGGACTCGACACGCTCCGCGTTTCTTAAAGTGTCAGTGGCAATATCTTTAATCACAATGCCGTTCGAACCATGCGCCAAAGTTTCAGGAGTAACAGCGTTATCTCAATCAAAAGTTATAAGTAATTTTTAAAAAAAAATCGCAATGGGAAAATGGAGTTTGACGGCCGCCACTTTCCCACTGAAATAAAAAAAAAAAGATTCACTTATAACTTTTGATTCAGAGAGCGATTAGTTCTAAAATTTTGGTGTCTACTTTGAATCGCTTGAGCGCTACATTTTGGCGAAGAATAAGCGTTGATGAAGCGTATTTTATTTTTACAGCGGAGCTGTTAAGGGCTAGTTTCCCCAGGATCGTGTCCCCCGCAAAGAAATGAAGACACCGACCTCAGGACACATACCGCCATCTATGAGCGACGGCGGGAAGCCAGATATCTAGTTGCCGCCGTCGCTGATAGATGGCGGCATCCTTGCCACTCTAGCTTGCCGACTTGCGGCCGGCCATTACTTTCCATTGTACAGCTCCGCTGGTCTTCCTTCTTTACCAGAGTGAAAAGGCTGAAAGTTTTTGCAGTAGAAAACACCTTGCAATTTTTTGGTGGGGAACACCTTGCACATACAGCTTGCATTTTCGCTTACCTTGCACAGTTTTTCTGGTGGTGTAAGAACGTTGTATCGCAGTCTCGCTGTAAGGACGCCTGTGCCTTCACCGCTTACTGAAAGAAGTAGCTTTCCACCGATGTCTTTTATCTAGGTCACGAAAAAGAACATTTTATCCGTCTTTATACTATGAACGTGTTAGAGTTTGTTGTGAGCGCACACTTCAATGGCACTACAATTGGTCGCATGTACATGCGCTGTTCGTAATATGATCAGATATTTATTCCTTTTGTGTTTTTTTGAATTACGTATTTTCTATTTAGAGTGTTTTTATAGAGGGACTGAACTTAGAAGAGTCAAAAACACACACTTCAAGCTGGTGTAGTCTCTATACCAACAAATCAAAGAAGTTTTGGAAAGTTGCATATATATATATTAATATATATTCGTTTTAGTCCTTGCTGTCACACCTTGTTTGTCATAGCAGGCGTTGCATTAAAGTGCATTACGCAACGCTGTTAACACAAACAAACAATGCCGTTATTTTTTTTTTGTTCTTTTGTTTTTTGTTGCTAGAATGAAAAAAAAAACATTTGGGATAAGTTTATTCAGTTTTAAAGCGAAAAATAATAGGAATGCATAAACCACCCTCCCGTGGTTAAATCGCGGCGTTTGCTAATATGAGAAGTAGATCATTTGTACAGTTCTGATAAAATTTGTCTAGAAAATGCCACAAATATTCAACAACCTCTGAGAAAGTCGTGACTCACGTGCACTTCTTGCAAGACGAAAGCGTTTTTTCTATTAATGCGGAAAGAGTGAAATATATTTTTCGGACGGTTGGCAGTGACGTTGCACATGAGGTCGGGGCTGGAGTCGCGCACCTTAAGTCCAGACTCAGTGAGAGCTTGGAGTGCAACGACGGTATCCTGTGGAAGAAAAAAAGTTTCCATTGGTTTATTCGTTCTCAGGCCTCTCAAGCTGACTGCGCTTGACGTCCACCTCTATGAGAAGACCCTCCAACAAAACACGTCGAGGCACGACCGCTTGCTTAAGGAATCAATAAACGTTAATCTGATCCAATCCAGTCGGTTTGTGGCCAAATTTTGTATCTTTCAAGCTCCCCAAAAATATTTTCACGCAATAATGTAATTACGCCCGACGCTCAATATTATTACTACGCTCACCGCTTATTTAAAGAATCAATAAACATTCATCCAATGCGGTCCAGCTCAAGCCAACCCAATTCAGTTGGTTTATGGCCGATTTCTGACTATCAAACTCATCAAAAAGTCTAAAAAGCGTAATAACGTTATTATCAGGGTGTCGAACCGGAACCGAACCGAACCGAAAACCGGAACAGAACCGTTATTTTTAGCCGAACCGGAACTGAACCGAACCGAAATCTTCGCCATTATCTTGGAACTGAACCGGAACCGAACCGAAAAAAATATAACTGTAACCGGTTCAAAACGGTTCAAGGTAATATTTTTTTTCTTCTTTGCTATTATCACAAAATGAACATATGGGAATAAACAATTGGCGGCTGAATTTGTATCTGTTGATCGAATCGTCATCTACGTAATTGCAACGTATGATAAATTGTGGGTTTTCATGGCACCTTTGTTGGCACTATGATTAACCAGGTGTCAAGTTGTCACGTGGCCTCGTGACGTCACGTAACTCACTGCGTTAAATCGATTTAATTTGAGGAAGTCACTAGATGTATTAACCTTGTTGACAGCATGACGTAACATGACGTCACGATTTCGCACCGAGAGTCACGTGACACCGTGACGTAAGCGATTTTCATAACCCCTAGTCGAGTGCTCAGGTTCATGACAATCAGCATGGCCAAACATTCAGGTAACGGCTCATGTCAATTAGATATGATAATCAATAGCCCAACACTAACAATATCTAAAGCTCAGCCCAAGCTTTTGCTTTGCAAACCCTTGCAGCCTAGGGCATGACTGCGATGAACACTGGCGGTATATAATTAGGGTCAGATCAGGTGGCTGCTTGTTTAAATTGCGAGTTGAGGAGATATCGACAGCTGTCTCTGTCCTTTATTTTTTCTGCATCTGTTATTATGGGAAAACTAATGGATGTTTCCGCAACCTATCAACCTCACGGGTTATTTCTTAACACTATTTATTGAAAGTACAAAAAAAAATGTTGCAAGACCAATTTTACATTATTGAGGCATTGAAACATTTTTTCGTTGTCGATGAAGTATATCCGAAAGATGTCCGTGAGAATAGAAGTTTTGAAATGACTAAATGCGACCTATTAATATGACGTTACATAGAACTACACGTGTTTACGGAAGGAATACCTAAAAAAAGATATTTTAGTGACGTCAGAAGAACAGCCGAACGTTGGCAGTCGCTGTAAGTCTCACACGAGCGTCGTTTTCAAGTTATTGCCCAAGTTTCGACCCCTCTGTATTTTGTTTAAATGAGCTGTAACATATTTCTATACATTACTAAATACCACTCAGGATCAGTCCCTAACGTTAATAACTGATTGAACTTGGCTTTGCTCTTTTTTCTAGGCAATGGTAGTCGCCGAAAAAATGAGAGAAATATGAGCATCGTTCATCCCCTCAACTCGGAGCCAGAAGCGGCCACGAGGCCTGGTGCCTATCTTATGCCGCCAACGTTAATCATACCCCCGCGCTGGAGTTTTAAAGGAAGGAAACGCGTGCTGGAGCTCCAGGCATTGTTAGAGTTCGACTATTCTCATCACCACAGTGGTTGTACACGAGCCACTACCCAAGTGTCCGCCGAGGCATTGATTGTTACGAGCCGATGTACGGTGCTCACACAATTCTCCTGCCCAATCCATGAGTCGCGCTCGACTGTCGACAGGCGGGTGGTTTTGATCCCACAATTACGACATCAATCTTTGAGAAGGCAAGACTAAAAGAAATAGTCTCGTTCAATCCTCGCAATTTCACCGCGACAAAGAAGCTTCTGAATCAGTGGCGCCCTGTGCGAGTACACTTGGACCAGGGGACCAGTACGCCTTGGAAAAGTCATGCACATTCCAACCCGATATCGTTTCATGACCCCTTTAAACTTCACGGGGTGCAAAATAAAAGCAATGAAAGGCTGCGGTTAACAAGTGTCAAATAAAATTGTCGAATTAACAGACACAAACGAAGGGGGCATTTCCTCAGGAATACTTTCAGCCTTTCCACTATGGTGAAGAAGGAAGGCCAGAAATGCTGTACTATGGTGGGAATGAAGTAACGGCCGGCCGCAAGTCGGCAAGTCAGACTGGAAAGGCTGGAGGGGTTGCCGCCATTTATGAGCGACGGTGGCAACCAAACAACTGCAAGCCGGCTGTCTGGTTGCCGTCGCCATTTATAGATGGCGGTAACGCATGACTAGCCCTTAACAGAACCACTGTGTAAAGAAGTGCGTCTGTGTGTGGGGCCGGGGGGGGGGGGGGGGAGGGGGAGTTTTAGAAACATACTGTGTTGTAAAGGTTCCTCTTCCCTGCATCTTTGGCGCAGACCAAAAAGCATGACCCTGGAAACTACTTTGATTGGAAAAGCGCTCTTGCCAAACAGCACGTTTTTGTCGTGCCAGACGCTGGCGCCGTTCCTCACGACGATGCATTAAGAATAATAATACTAGCCTTTCAAATACTTTGCTTTCACTGAGCTTGCACCTCCTGCAGCGTGCCTTTTTCAAAGTCGAATTCGACTTTCTCAGCAAGAAGGAATCAGAATGACCACCAGCCTATAGTGTGATAACGTCACGTGCATACCATGCTAAATAGTTCAGCTTTCTAGTGAAATATGATGTTCGCAACACTAGCCATAGATGTCCCAATTGTAAATTTGTGAAGTATTTATAGCAGTCTCGCGATGAGATATGGCAGCCTAGAGAAATGTTAGAACGCATGACTATTCTAGCATAGTGCTGTAAAGTGAGGGCCCAAAACAAGTGCAGGTAAAACCGAATATAACATTTGCCTCCCGAGGCAGTATTTCGGAAGTTTCGAGCTCCTGCAAGCTGATGAAATGTAATATACTGAGATTTCAAGAATCTTTGTCTGTCCTTCGCGCTATTTATGTAAAATCATGAATATCATTGCGTACATCTTTACGCATCTCTTTTTGCAGTAAGGCGTTCTGGAAGGGATTATTTGGAAAACATAACATTAATCACCTCTCTCTTTTTGAACATTTCGTGTATTTGACTTCCAATTCATCATGTGAGCATAGAGTCCTTTTTAGCGTACCCTGAAACCCGATGTTTCACACTGCCAATCAGCAAACAGAAAAACACTTTTACGTACACTCCACAGCTCGCGTAGTTTCGAGTATCGTCCTTCCGCGTCGGTCTCAAGCAGTTATGTGAACTTTATAAAGTAAAATTTGTTTATCAATATAAAATATATTTAATTACAATGCCCCCCAAACTATTTGAAAGCGGTTCTGCCAATCTTTTCCGGCGTTTTTATCCTCGACAGGCACGTTGTAAGTGATATGGGACGGCCTTACATACATTTCTGATTTTGAAGCTAATTTAAATAACTATGTGTTCCTCACACATATAACTTCTCAAACATATAGAAGTGTGTTATTGCCATTTTTATCTGGTGAACTTTAGTTTTATGTATCTGTGGCTGGACGAAAAAAAAGTAAAGAGGGACGCGCGGTGGAACTATGATGATTACGCACGCAAACCGTCAGAAATTGTCCAATTAAGTAGCTGCCTTGTCGAGGAGAACGTGAAATACTACTTCGTTTTACTAAACAAAAAAGAATTTTGAAGGACGCTTAAGCTTCGCTTTTAAAAGTGGAACGCGATCGCGTCAACGGGCCTCGTTTGCATCGCATTCTCATTTGCCGCGCAAGTGTGCCTCCCGTGGCCTAGTGAAAAGCGTCTGACTCGCAACTAAAGGGTTGTGGGTTCGAATGCTGCCTAAAATTTTTAATTTTTTTCTTTAAGGCAAAGGAATCACTTTCAAAAGTGAAATCATTTGAAACATACGGTGACATTTATTTTGCATTACATATCATGTTTTAATCACCCTCATTCCACGCGTGATATCACGTTTCACGTAAGCATTGTGGGTTGTTTGAAATTCTTGCGCTAGGCTATGTAGCTCTGACGTCATGAACCTATCGACCCATCAGGATTTTCCAGTCACGCCACCGACACCGGTTTTTCTGCGACATGAGCTCGTTAACGCTATCGTGTTAAAATCATCAATTAGCAAGGGTGATGCTCATTTGCAAATTAAATTGTCCGGCATCTTGTCAACAACAAACCTCAACAGCCAGGCTATGCAAGCCTACTCTGTATAAGAAAATGGTCACTTGGGCAAGCGCTATTTTGAGCCAGATTCGACCTGAGTGCGAAGGTGCGTATATATTAGAGTGAACAATTGCAATTACTCCTTGCTCCATGATTAGACGCATGCGTGCGGTGCTGACTGTAGACAATGTTGTTTCTATAAAAGATAGACTAAAAGCAGTTATCCTAAAACTTTGTTACATTTAGAAAATTTCATTGCTTTTAGCTCAGTTGGGTCGTCATCGTATATATATATATATATATGTTGTGAAGTGTATATCGTAAACCTTATTTCATAATATATCGCCATGAGGTGCATGCTCATTTCATATTTTATGTGATATAATTAATTCCTTCGTTCAATGACATGTTCTCACTTTTAATACTGACACACAAAGTTGTACCAATCACGGGTATTTTAGACGACCTACCACACTTCGCGACAACATTCTATACCTTGTAAATAGATCAGCTTGAACTTTAGAATTTTACTTTAACACGAAGAAAGGACAAGAAAATACAGTATAGTTATAAATTAGAAGCTGATCTATTTACAGGTATGTATCAACAAGCCCAACTCTTTACTCTTGTACTTAAACATTTTGATTCAGGCAAAATATATTTTACTCGTAAACAAATAGATATTGAGTCGTATGAACTACAACGTTATGTATGTTAATGTAGATTTTCTTCTACTCTTGCATCAAAATTAAATAACTAAATTTAATATTTTTGATACCTAAGAACAAAAGTAAATTGCACGGATGATCGAAGAAACTATATAGTTAATCGTTTCACAACGGAAATAGTGTATATTGCCAAAAGAACGCGGAAAATATGTTCTCAATTTAGCGGTTCAAACCGGTTCGAACCGGTTCGAACCGGTTTGAACCGTTATTTTTGGCTCCCCGGAACTGAACCGGAACCGAACCGAAAGCCGTGAACCCGAACCGGAACCGAACCGATAAAAATTTCGGTTCGACACCCTGGTTATTATGCTCGACGCTCAACGTTATTCGCGTAATGTCCGCACACAAATAAATTTTGTTTGCTGCGAAAGACACCAGACACACATGTATTTTGTTGTTCTTGGTGTTGTTTTTGCAACATTCTGTCGTAAAGTGCCATCCGGTACATTTTCCCTCAAATTGAAGTTTAATTTAGCTTAATTAAACCAGCTGCCATCATGCCCACTCACGTGCGTGCAGTGCAAATGGGGAAGTATGGTTTAATACAGCGAGCTGTAGAATATGTGTAGTGCGAGCTTCGTAATACTGGTAAACCAATTGCGAAAATCATGTTCATTGAGCCTCTTATTATTAGTGTTAGCATGATTGCCATCTCTATCAATGTAAGTGTCTGTGTGCCTTTCTTTTTTCTTATGGCTACCGTTTTATTCCTTGGTCTAGGAGGGGAGGGGGATGGAAGGAGGAGCTGTATGGGAGGAGGAGGCGGAGGAGGTGTGAGGAACAGGAGTAGGAAAGGAGGAGAAGGGGAGAGGAAGAGGGAGAGGAGGAAGGAAATGAAATACGTTCACAGTTCGTTGTAATGCGAGATTAGAGCGCAGCTCTTGAGGAGGAGAAGGGGAGGGTACGGAGGGGAGAATATGCCCCTCTTTCTCTCCTCCTCACCTGCCATTTAGCGGGAAATTTAGTAACAATTTCCCCGCTAAATATCGCGGGTTCAGTTTCCCCGCTAGCGCCGCCGTCCAACCCGGAAACGGGCGCGTAAGAGCTGTACTCTAAAATTCTCCTAAAATAAGGAGCGTAAGTAGGGTCGACGTTATTTCGATTCAAAGAAACAAAAAAAATAATAAATAAACTTGATACACTTCGTATGTAAATGAAAAAAAGTGAATATATCATATCAATAGGGAGTTTTCGTAGATCGTTTTCGCCGTCCCGCAAGGCCCTCCGCAACCCGCTGCGATAGCGGGAACTCCACAGTCAAGGCTATCGGCGCGCAGGCGCAGTCGCAACTTCTTCGTTGCGGAACGCTTAGCGGAGGGGGCAGCGCGGTCTACGAAAATTCCCTAATAACGTTGTAGCTTTCGAGAGCGCAGCTCATAGGCGGCCGCTTCCGCGTTGAGCGCCTTCGGCGTAACCGCGCGCGTTGTATTATGGAACGTCACAGTTTCCCCGCTAAATTTAGCGGAGAACTGAATTGGTGCTGAGGTTACGTGGCGAAAAGTTTCTTGCTAAATCTAGCGGAGAAACTGAACTTGTTCACAAGTGACGTGACACGAAGTCACGTGACGTCATTTTCCCCGATAAACTTAGCGGGGAAATTTGATTGGTGTTGAGGTCACGTGGCGTCAATTTCCCAGCTAAATTTAGCGGGGAAGCTGTGGGAGGAGGGGAGGGTATGGGGGAGAAGGAGAGGAAGATACGGGGAAGGAGAAGAGGGTGTGCAGGAGGAGGAGGAGGGGAGGGTACGGAGAAGGAGGGGGTGAGCGTACAGAGGAGGAGGGGAGGGTACGGAAGAGTAGGAGGGGAGGATACGGAGGAGGAGGGTACAAAGAATGAAGAGGACACGGAAGAGGAGGAGGGTGCAGATCCAGTATGTAAGGAGAGTGATATGTATTTCTTTCTCAGATTGGTTTAGCACGGTATATCGCAAAATAAAAATACCTAAAGAGCTGCGCTCTAATTTCGCATTATAGAGATTGCTAAATGTCTTTAGTTATTTTTTCCTAGCATTTTCAGTTTATTAGTTACTTTAAAGGGGGTATTCACAAGGGGGAGAAATTCCCTTCCTTTGCTCACCACCCTGCGCATCACGTGGCAACCACTTTACGCGGAGGCGCGCTGACGTAGACATTCCTGGGGGATGATGAAGCTTTTGGTGGGGCTGTGCAGACAGTCCCCTCCCTGGCGGGGATCTCTTCGCAATTGGCGGTATTTTGTTCGCGTGTCTGGCACATTTACAACCTCGTTGTCCAGAGTGCGACCGCTAAATTCGTTCACTAGAACTGACATCCCTCTCGTCTTCCCGCCGTCAGTAGAAATGCTGGAACCGACGAGGAAGTCCCGCTGTATCCGCCGAATGCTGACGTCACGTACATCCCTCCCCCAGGGTCTCCTCCGTGTGAATATCCCTTAAAGGAGCACTTCATCAATTTCTACGATAGTCTATTTATGCTCATAACTCAATCCATGGGCTAGGAGCATAAAAAACAAAAGCAAAAAACATTACATTCATTCGTGGCCGATATCTCTATTCAAATCGGCATCAAAGGATCGACTACCTCGGAACTATCGCTGACACCAGATGGCGCCGTTGCACGAGCTTTCTCTTCCGATGGCGCCATCTGGTGTTGACCTTTTGATACCAATCCTAATAAAGAAATCGGCCACGCATTAAAGGGATACTGAAGCGAAACTTGAAATACACCTGTTATGGTCAGAAATAGGTTTAATATGATCAATGATATCCGTAAATCATAACCGGGCGTTTGTATTTTGAACGGATGGCTATATTTTTCACCCTGAGGGGCCCGATTCGGCGCGCGCTCAAAAATCAGCCATCGGAGAGCGCGATGCGTCTCGGGATATTGGGCGCATTCGTGACGTCACTTGTGCCAGCCGGGAAAGGCTACGGCGTGGATGTTGTGGTTACGAGCGTTGCAACTTGGTGGCGCGTCGACGATTTACGACCTGTGACAACGTGGCCGTTTGAGATGTGCAAGGGCTGCACGCATGCTGCACCACGACAAGTCGGCAACCACGGCACCACTGAGAAAACCAGCTCTGAGGTCGGATTCTCAAAGCGAGCTTACGTGGAAAAAGTGCGTACGACAAATTTGAGAGAAAACCCGTCTTCTCGAAACGAAATTGTCGTAACTTTTGCGCAGGTTACGACAGAATCCTACGACAGCTCCGCAGCTTTTATGATCAAATCGACATGGCCGACAGCGTCGCTCAGTTACTTGGTAGCGACGACCAACGGACATTTATTTTTCTACGTGCTCTCCTCGTGCGTCCCGACTTCAACCAGCAAGAAAAAAGGAAGGAGTACTTGAAACAGGCCTCGACGATCAAGAACGCAGGATCCACAAACACCCGAGAAGAGCTACAACGGCCAGGATTCTACCGACTTAGCGAGCTCGGCAGAATATAGTAGGCAGCAACACCGACTCGGCGCACCGTTCCTCCGGCGGTCCTTGGCCAAGACCGTCTGCCCATGACCGGCTGGCCTGCTGAATGGAATATGCCCGCGTGACCCTTGTGGACCCTTCCCGGATGAATAGTTTGATCCCTGAACTAAGTTTCAGAGGTCAATCTTTTCCCCTTGTCATCTCTATCTCCTTGTCTTCCGAGACAGCGGTGACGAACACTGTCGTCGAAAAGGTACTCTCATTGATTCTATCTCCTTCTTTTGTGTAATATAGAGCTCAAATAAACGCCATACGGATTACCTTTGCAACACGGTATGTATACTTTGTTATTAGTATGCCATTTTTATTCTGACACGACGCTAGGTCACTGTCGAGCTATAGCAGTTCGTGGGAGCTACGCGATTGTCGGTCCAAGCTTTCTTTGCCGAGTGTCATGTCAGTATCGAGTTGCAATCGTAAAAAATCGGTCCAGAAGCGGCTGCCGAAACGCGGTCTAACAGAGAGAAAGCACTTCGATCAAACGCGCGTGTCCGCTCCGAGTGTGAACAGGTATTTGCGTGGCTCTTGCTGAGACTCTCGTAGTTCAAACATATCTTTTTTAACATCGGCTCGCAGCTCGCAACTCGCAGCAACTAATACCGGCCGTGCCAGAAGCACGCTCGGGTCGTGTCGCGCAAAGAGCCGCAACGAGAACGAGCTCACTGTTGCCAACTACGCTTTGGCTTTCTCCGCCAAGGCTTTGCAAAAGCGTTCAGGCCTAGGCTAATTCTGCCGGCACGCCGTATTGCCTCTGCTCCTATGCCACAAGTGATGTCACGAGAACCTCCCACCATCCACCAGATGCGAATTTGAAATCGTTTAGTTAAGCTTAAAATTAGTTCTCCTGTGTTTTACAGCGCGATATTGACATTTCCGAGGTGGTGCCTGTTCCTGGCCCATATTTATGCAGAAAGATCGGCGCTAAACTTTCGTTTCCGTACCCCTTTAATGTAGATGGTTGAGCGTGTTAATTTCGAATTTACGATATCGAAAGAGGAACATTCCAGACAAACAAAACAACACAGGCTGTTTGTCTGTTTGTCTTCAATGTACGTCTTTCGATATCGTAAACATTAATGTAATGTTGTTGTTGCTGTTGTTGTCTTGTTGATGTGTTTTTTTTTTTTTTATGATGCTTGGAGCATAACAGGCCAACTAAAATGCTCGCCTGCGTAGAGGTGAATGACCCCGACGCTGAGCGATGTCTGTTGAGCCAGTTGACGAGGCGGGCGCCACCCTCCACGTCACCGTGCCGCAGGTACGCCAAGAGGGCGTAACTGGTGCCTTCCACGTCCAGGGCCGTCGCATCGTTGCCCGTACTCAGTTCGTTCATCTCTGTAACGTCATTCAGAGTAGGGCATATACATGGCGGAGCACGCCGAGTTCCTCGGTCACCGCTACGACCAAGACAACAAAGGCGGGTTCTTTTAACGGCTACAATTAAGAAAAGGGACTGAATGGGTCATTTCCGAAATTGTGAAATGATGCATAGATTATGCGCAGCCGCCAATATAGTTAGTCTCATCGCTTCCGGCGTAGAGCCCCCGATTGGTTCCGAGTTCGCGCCGAGAAATGACGCAGCACTCGTGCGGAATATGCGTTTCGGCCCGAGTGCGGTCCGAATGCTGACGAAACGCTCGTGTCTATAGACCGTTTCATTAGGGTCATAGCAGAGAGGGTAAAAGAGAAAAAGTGCACTCCCCCTCTCACCCCGTACGTCGTCTGCTCCGCCGAGTGGGCTGTAGCTAGCGTCCGGCTGGCGAGCAAACTCTGTTTAAAATCGCGTCATTTTGGAACTTTCAAGCGCAGATGCGCAGATTTTGGTATGCCAGTTATGGTGTAGCACTATGCTAGATAAAAAGACTCACAGGGTCCAATCGCGCTATTACCTGCGTGCAAATAAAAAGAAAATAGGGACAACTGTGTCAGATTGGCCGGTATCTTTGGCGAAAAGTAAATCCAGTTGCTGTACCTTTTTTACTATGCAAAAGTTCGTACAAGTGTAGGCCTTTAGCGACCATGAGTGGAAGTCTGAAATAATAAATAAAACGTGCTCTCCTGCCGCAATACAAGCAGTAGTTGAGGGTAGTACTGCCGGCTGACTCAACTGCTATTTAAATAACGGAAAAAAGATATGCTAGTTGATCATTTAGCAAAATAGAACAACAGAGAGCTATAGGCTGATTTTGGAGTAGCCACAACTATTCTAAGAACGCTAACCACTTCACAACGGCAACCACGACCGAGAGTTCGATGTTCGGTAGAGCCCGCCGATACAGCCCAAAGATGGAGGGGAGGCTAACGCGTCTCAGCTTGTAGCGTGGAGCGAAAGCTTGCGCTGGGAACCTCCTGGGTTCGATTCCCCACCGCCCCCGCCCGTTTCGATCTGGATGAATTTCGTGCTGGCACGCATTTGTGTGATCACTACTGCGTGATGCAAGTTAAAAACCCCAGGTTAGCGGTTGTACCGCACTGGCTAAATTTCTCATCTACAGCTAAGAGACCGATTACCCGTTGAGGCGCATCTCCATCAAGGCTGTATAAACATACAAAGCAAACCATTTTTTTTTTTTTTAGCGCAAAGATGGGGAACGGCAACCTCCCGGTTTGTCGTCTACTAGCGGAGTCGGGCGCGTGCCCTCTCTCTCGTTTTACCCCGCCGAACTTCTCGGATAATGGTGCCGCCCAGAAAGCGCTAAATGGAATGGTCTATACTGCCTGCTTACAGTGCATGACCAACTAATGGCGGTCGCACATAATCCATGCATCATTTCAAAATTTTGAAAAGGTTTCCTGCTTTTTGCGTCGTGACTGGTCCTTCGGCGTTCTTATCGACTAATGTTGCAATCTTATTGGTTGCGACATTAGTCGCAACCAATAAGATTACGACTAATGTCACTAATTACCACGCGATTAAAATAAATATGATATATATTTGCGCACAAAAACAAAAGCTAAGCAGAAGCGATAAACGCAGTATGGATAAAAAAGCGAAAAACTTTGAATTCTAGCTTAAAAGAACCATTCGACGCTGCGTTTTATAGTTGGTTACAACGTTACTATGAAGTAGTTGAAAATAGAGATGAATTTTTTGTTTCTAGGGAATATGTTCGAAAAATTACGTGTTACTTGTATTTTTACGTCACAAAACATCACGTTGGATATTGGCGGTTGAGTTACAGTGTGTGACAAGCGCTGTTTAGTTATGTTTTTTTGTTATTATTCCTTGTCTCTCAGCGTAGCTTGCATAAAGTGAAAAATAGTCCCTTTCAGGAATTCAGTCTAGTAACTTTAATTACTATCATCATCTGAAAAATGGCATATGGGCTATATTAATGGCGGCCTTCTGTTTAGTGATGAAAAAAGAAGTTGAAGATGCCCCTAAGGAGATGATTCGATGCCTATACAATTTAGACGTTAGCGCGGCGTGAAGCAGGAATGCAATGCAAGAGCTGCGTAAGTTTTCATTTCTAACTCGGGCCCAATTCATCTGTTAGTAGTACCCACTCGGCTTCCAGCCCCCTTGATGTACAGAATTTTATCAAGGCGACCATGTGGACTGGCGCTTCGTTCTTTGAACTTTGAACTTCAAACTTTATTTCAGCAACATTATGCCGAGGACACCGGACAAAAAGCTAACAGAACCTAGCTGGACTGGGCCCGGTGCCCTTGCATGTACAGGGAACACAATCATATTTAAACAATCCTAAATATTTCTTACAATATTCAAATCAAACAATTTAAAACGTTGATATAAAATTTTAAAATCACCGACACTAGAGAACAATTTTATTTTCTTAATTAAACAACACAAAAAGTACGCAATGTTTTCTTAGTTATACAATGAATATCGATGCGGTTCATTACAATGTTGCTAAGCAATATAGGTAGATTATGAGCAAGAGACTGCAGTGCATAATTTGTACGGGAATGGGGAAGCTTCCAGATTCTCTACGACGAACATCGAAGACTGATTCACGCTCAGTGAGGTTTGCTAGCTGTGACAAAAAAGCAATAAACTCCAAAGATGAAAAGGCGTAAAAAAATAGCAAACGATAGTCATAAATACAAGAAAATTTCATGATATTGTAGCTCAAATATAATGGTTCAGCATGTCTGTCGTACCGAACATTAGCAATGAAAGGAATAATTTTTTTTAAGAGTTATTAGTTGGTTGACGTTACTTTTGGTCGTTGTGCCCCAAACTAAATGGAAGTAGTTGATTTGTGAGCCGAACAGAGCATGATAAATTTGAATCTTAACTTTTGTAGGCAAAAGAGAGCGACAGTGACCAATGATGCCAGCTACCTTTGCCAGTTTGTGAGTTAGAAATCCTATATGTTGATCCCATTGCATAAACTCTGAAAAAATTATGCCTAGCGTTATGATGACTTACTATTTCAATTTCCCTGTTTCCAATCTTAAGAGCATAACTAGCATCAATATGTTTATTTACAGGTCTAAATACAATCGCTTTTGTTTTGGTAATATTTATTTAGAGGCCATTTTTTTCTGACCATAAAAGAAACTTTTCTAAGATAACATTACCGTTAATAATCAGTTCATCGATATTCGTCGCAGAAATAAAAATACTATAATCATCTGCATACATTATAAAACGTGAGTGTTGACAAATGTTGACGATGTCATTTATGTACACATTGAACAGAAGTGGGCCAAGTATGCTGCCCTGCGGAACACCAGACTTCAATAGTTGTAAAGATGAGGTATGACCATTTATTGAGGCACACTGTTTGTGATGTTGTAGATATGACTGAATGAGTGCCAAAGACGTGCCCCGTACACCATAACAGGAATGTTTATCAAGAAGCGTTGCATGGTTAAGAGAGTCGAAAGCTTTGCTAAAGTCAATAAAAAGTCCCAGTGTCATCTGTCGTTGCTCTATATTTTTTAATATTAGTTCCTTCTGCGTTAACAAGGCGCATTCCGTAGACTTTCCTTTACGGAAGCCAAACTGGAAGTCAGTCAGCACTGAATGTTTATCAAAAAAGTTATCTAAACGACGCAAAATAATTTTTCTAGCCCTTTGAAAAATATGGGTAAAACAAATATTAGCCTATAATTTGTAATTACATGGTTATCACCTTCCTTATGCAAAACGGAAACTTTCGCGAGTTTCATGTTATCTGGGAACTTGCCAGTTGACAAGGCCAAGTTAAATATATATACTAACATTGGGGCAATTATATCAATCACAAATTTGACGGGCTTTATTTGTATGTCATCAATGTCGTGACTTTTGCTATTATTAAGTCTCATAAATACATTAAACACTCCTGACTCGTTAGTAGGGGCCAGGAAAACAGATTCGTCTACTCGACTTGAGATAGACGAGGAAGCACACGCATTGTGAACGCGGGTACGTAAGTTTGTAAAATGGCGATTAAAATAATCAGAGAGTGGTATTCCCGACACATTTTCACCAGAAATCGAAAGCGTATCTATTGATTGTTTTTTTATTGTTACGTTGAAGTACTGTATTTATGGACTGCCATACAATGACGTGGCTATTTTGGTGCGCGGCATGAAAGAGACGTTTGTGATAATCTGACTTTGCCTTTTTTAGTGAACTGCAGGTTGCATCTTTTTCGCCATCGACACTGAAGAGATTGAAAAAGAACTCTACAGTGAAGCGCGCGTTCACGTTTACCGTTCGCTTGCGAAAGTGCAAAAGTGACGGTGCCCCATAAAATACTGCATACGACAGGTTCATTGCCGCCATTAGTACAGTAAAAGTTAAACTACCGTTTCAGTCACCAGATGGCACTGAATTCCGGAAAGGGTCTATTGGAGGACCGGGACAACGTTGGATACCTTGGAATAACCAATATTTCTATTCCTTAGAGATCATTAGGAGCCTTTAAATATTGTGCTCAAAAATTAATAAATGTTTCGGCTCTAGCTCACCTTCATCGTAAAGCAGATGATCCTTGAGAACCTGGAATGCTTCTTGTTGCTTGTCTCCTTTGTCAAGGCTAAGTGCGTACGCGACAAGGGCAGCGACGTACGGCTCTCTCGTCTCGTGAATGCGCTCGTTGAGGAAGTTTTCAGCTCTAGCTGTCACTTTTAACATTGTCTGAAAAGCAGTTTGTCAGAGAGCGGTTACAATCACGGCGGCATCTTCGAAAACGTAATGTTAACTCTTGGGCCGTAGTACTAAGACCCCGTGTCCTAAACCGAAAAGATTGTTCTGCCGTTTGCCGTGTAGGTTCTATATTATGAAAAAAAGAATGATATTTACAGAAAAAAAATTGGAGCTGACTTTTAATTTTGTTTACTTTTCTACAACCGGAAAAAAGAAGCATGTTGTTCTTCACATCCATGCTAATTATGATTCATACTTTGCGTGCGTTTCTAAAATGTATATATATATAGAGAGAGAAAGAGAGGGGGAGAGAAACATTAGTAATATTATTATCCTAGAGGGGGTAAAGAAAGTATCGACGCGTGCCTAAATACTTAAAATTTTCTGTTTACATCTACATGTGGCACCACAGTTCTCCAAATATTTTTATTTTTTTAGTTTGTATAATGTATCTTACATCACTTCTCTTTTGATTACATGATAATGATGATTGTTTCTAACTACTATTGAATAATTTTACGGAAATGCACCCGTTACTAAAAAACCTAATTTTTAATGATTGTATAAAAACCGTGTCGCCACAATTTTATAGCTAACGTACGCGGACATTCGAAGCAACAAAAGTGTAATTAAAAACACCAGGGGGCGTCTGTTTTCCGAGATGAGATGCGCAAATAAAAAAGGAGCCATAAATCGTTTAACAAATATACGGAAACAATGTCATGCAGTACGTAACGCCAAACCTTCCCGAGCGACTTACCTGCTGGTCCACCTTTGTTCGCGATCCACACTCATAGAGTGTCAGCAGCACAAATGCAGTCATTGGGACTCTTCCGTTGACGCCACCCTGCATGACGCCATCTTGCGTTAGACGTCCCATACAGCGCGACACTGTTAGCGCACAAACACAACCCTCACTATAGCTGTGCCGTGTGCATCGTTGCACGCCGCTGACCGTGTAATAAATAAGAATGTGTTCATCTCTTTTTTTTTTTTGTAGCAGAAACGGAGCAACAGTTTGAAAATTCATGGCGACAAAAAGCTAGTATAATACACCTACGGCGAAAGTCTGACATGGCTACGTGCAGTTTGCCGATGTTTCCCGGCCGAGTTTAGAGCGAGTATTGCGACTAAAACGTAATCCTATAAGGAGCGCAAGTTCGTCTGCTTCTTTTGCGGGGGTTGTGATGACGTCAGAATGACGCCGAGGTCTGATTGGCTCTCATTGAAGGATAGTGGGTAGATCTCAAGGTAGCTTGATTTTGAGGTCTACCCTCTATCCTCCAATCGGAGCCAACCAGAGCTTGGCGTTCTTGCGTCACCACAACCCCTGCAAAAAGAAGCAGGCGAACTTACACTCCGCATACAACCACGTTGGGTTATACGACCGAGCGAAATGTGTCTCATCGGGTGTTTGTTCTCGGTGGTGTTGCTGGTTGTACCAAGTAGGACAACGAGAATCACTGCGCGTGATTGGCTTAGTAAGGGGATAGCAGACGCACAAAGACGATGAGTGACGTGACGGTGCAATTTTTAGTGCTTCTGCATTGACTGCATCGGAACGTGTGTAGACCTTCGCATCGCTTATCACCCGGGCGAAAAATGTCGAGTCACTAAGCCATGGATGCATGCGCAGCATCTGATCTGCAGCACAGAAGATCAACAGCGCATGCTCAGAAGGCGTTTTACAGCCCAGCAGACAAAGATGGCAGCGTGCAGAAAGCGATTTTTGCAAAGGTCTGTAGCGTCGGCTGCGGATTGCGGCCCTGCGGGCACGAGGATCCATCCGTGCATACCGTGATGACACGAGCTCCCGCGCTAGCTTCCCGCTAGCAACGCAGAGTTCTTGCGAATCATCTAAACGTATACGTTACGCAAAGGTCCTTTTGTAAGCCACATAAGTTTGACTAATAAAATCTGGCTGAAGAACGGCCATTCGCGGAAACGAAGCGTCCGATATGACTTGTTGGGACGCAAGTATTGTCCTTACAAGCATCTGGCCATGCATGAGAGGCGATTCGTCCTCGAAGTCCCCGTCTGCTCTTTGCTGCTTGGCAAGCCAGGAAACTCCGCTATGAAGAACTCGATGGTCGATGTTGATTACCTTCGTGGCCTTGCAGAACACGCGGAGCACAAAGGCTGTCAACCTGCGCAGTCGTTTGGCGTCTGTCAAACTTGAGATTCAGGCATAATTTAGGTTATACGGAAGTTGAAACACGCCAAAACAGAGATCGTCAAACATGGCATAATCAACGAAGTTATGTTTGGCCATACAAAAACTGACACAGGTTTTGAAATGTCGCTTCTATTTTATGTACATTTCTAATAACCTCTTGAATCAGCATAAGCATTTTCTACTCAACAGTAAAAATCAGATATTCATTTAAATTTTACTTGGAATGCACACATTTTACTGGAAACCTTCGTCGCGTTTTGATACAGAAATTAAACGTTCTGCACAAGGACAATCGTATCTCCCAAAACCATATCCTGTCCCAATACATTATGAACTTAAACTATATAAAAAAGAGCATTTGACTCTGCAGCAAATCTCAACTAATTTAAGCTTAAGACATTTCTGTGTAACAGTAACAGTCAAAAAGAAATAACTGAAAGGCGTTATATGCAGCTTTCGGAGGGGCAGTGCTTTGGTAACCTTCGTTTTTAGTTGGTCAGTTCCATGCCGAAGCGAAAGCTAATGCGTAGTTTAACAAGACTTCTTGTCAGGCTATTTGATGCATGGTATACACAGGTTGCTTGTAAGCGCCAACAGAGACGGTCCGGCCCCGATTAAACTAGTTGAAAGTATCGCTTGTTCCTGTCTACTCCTTCGAGTCCATCCCTGCGCTTACCAACTGCCCGAGGAGGCTAAGGTCGATCGTTACGGCCCGCTCCAAATGCTCCTGGGATCAATCGTTCAAACGTCGCACTCAAAGACGAATTCTTATTCTTTGATTGGCCGATCTGACCCTGGACCGAACACGCTACACCGAGCATTTCACGACTTTCCCCTTCTCTATAGCTCACACTTGCTCACATTTGCGGCGCAATCTGTTTCTTCTAGCCTTAACACCTCACGAAATTCGGATCAATACTTTTCACACCAAGAAGGTAGACCAGTATACCCACCACAGACTGCCTTTCCTTTGTTTGAACGTCGAGAATGAACCGTCGTCGTTTCGAAACGCCAACTCCTGCTCGTAACCTGCAATATAACGAAACACGGTAGCCACTTACTGCCTAAGAGACGCGAGATTATGGGTGTTCTTGGCATCTTATTCTTACTGCATTACCTAATAGAGTACGGTAATCGTCAATAAGAACGTGAAAGAACAAATCACAAATCGAGAACCGTGACGAGGCTGCTAGTGACGATGTATGCTTCGTTTAACAATTGAAAGTTTTAGGGAGCCATTCTTGCACATCCGAGACGGTACAATGGGCCCTCCCCCTCCCCCCCCCCCCCCCCCCCCCCCAGTACGAACTGCGCATGTGCGAGTCTCCTGTGGCAGCGCATGCGCAGTTTGTACTCGAGGGTCCATGGTACCGTATCGAAGGTGCGAAAACTGTTGCCTAAAACTCTCTAATATTTTCGCCCGCAGTCTATGGTATAGACCAATGCCCGAAATCCAAGCCCCCAGCAATAAAAATAACAAAAATTAATCTCAAACGCAGGATCTTGTGAACAAAGGGGCTGCGCATAAAATAGGATATTTGCTTTTAACAGCACTCTTTAGATCGGTATTGTTCTTGAAGTGTCGTGACTATGGACTTCCGACTTTTTAGCACTACGATATGTGCGAAGGTTTATAAAAAAACGGAGTCTTACAAAAAGCGCAGCCCCCCCCCCCTTTACTGTATCATGGTGGATCAGCATAAAAAAACATGGCGGCGTCCATGGGACAGAGCAGACACTGGTCTATACCCTCTGCACCCAAAAAAAAAAGTCTGCGCGTCTACTTTCACGCCCAACACTAGGAGATCCAATCGGCGCAACTTACGGAGGCAGCTCAGCGAATGACGATGCCGAAACATCTGCTTAGACCAAAAAACGCAGACTGAGTTGTGACATTAGGCAATGCAAGCGTGACGTTTTGCATTGCTTAATGTCACAACTCAGTCTGCGTTTTTTGGTCTAAACAGATGTTTCGGCATCGTCATTCACTGAGCTGCCTCCGTGAGTTGCGCTGATTGGCTCTCCGAGTGTTGTGCGTGAAAGTAGACGCACAGATTTTTTTTTAGTTTGATGGAGTCAGCCAATCAACGCCAAAACTGCATCGTTACGACGCTCGTCCTTCGTGTTCGTCTGCAATCACGTCTAAAACCAATCACGCACAGAAAAAAAAAAGCGTGTGATCTTAGGCCATTAACTGCGCGTGATTGCGTTAGCCTCCAGGATATAGCCGACACAAAAATACGACGATCGGCGAGACGACGACGCACTTTTGGCACTGCAATAGCCGACAGATACTAATGGGGTTTCATTCTCAAGTTGCAACTACTGTGCTTCGAATACAAGCGTCTGGTAAAGCTTTAAAAAAGTACATCTGCGATTTTGTTTTTTCTGCTGCGCCAATTATCAATTAACTATATTTTCGGAATTACGCTGGCTTCCTCCCTTTCCACTATGCTATTTAGTATCGCGAAATTCAGAATAGTTATTGTGAGATAGGTAAGCGAAAATGATGCAAAAACCAACGTTCGGATATTCTCGCGCGTTTTTCGGTGCCGTGACGTCAGTGGAAGGCCGGCTTGCAGGTCGAGCGGGCGGTCTGAAAATGGACTATGCCGAGCATGTTGTTTCGTGCTGCATCGCGGGTGCTGGAAAGAGCTTGCAAAGCCTCTCATTTGACACCATGAAACTGCTTGTAGTCGGTTGAGAAGAAAGTCAACAGCTCAAAAACTGAATCCATGCCTTCCTTTGGATTCACTTTTTAATTGTTTCCATCAGAGACTTCCACATTAAAAAACGCGGTGAGGACCAAAATTGTAAGTTAAATAACTTCGCGAAGAAAAATTGTTTTGGCCCAATATTTGGTTACAATTTCAGCGATGTTTGTCGGTGTGTTCAGCAAATTATCAGGCAGATCGGGGACTCTAAAGAAAACGGCAGAGTACCCTATTAAGTGAGATTGATAAAGCCTTAAAACTCTACTCACCTTGCTGTATATACCGGTAGGCTTTCTCCATCACTGTTGTGTTCTGGGAATTTTTTTGCTTGAGATATTCCAACGCGTACAAGGTGGGTGCCATGAGCATCATGTTCTGCTCACCGCAGCCCCTTGGCAAAGAGATGAGGGACTCGACATTGGCTATGGTTGATTCCGCGGTTGATTCCATTTGATTTCCTGGTACAAAAGCGACGGCGTTTTAAGATGCGTTTATCTGGCAACGTTGGTGAACAACGTCTAAAGAATGCTCACCCATAACCCCCAAGGATAAGACCCCTGTATTTGGGACGGCTTCTAGAGGAAGTTGTGTGTCAATCTTGATGTTCTGGCGCTTTGACTTCGGGTCGAGAGAATCTAGATCCAAAGCACACATTAATTACGCGCTGTTCAATGCCAAAATAATTACCACCTGTTTTTTTGTTTGTTTTTTTTTTTGTTTTTTTTTTGCAACAAACACTTAGCTTGAGGCTCTGTTCATTTTTTTTTCTTTTTTTTTTTAATTAGACTTTTACTCGTGCAATTTAGGCCCTTTCACATTCACAGGAATTGATAGTTAGTGATAATTTCCCAGCTACTAAGCTTACACCAACGTTACTAAAACACTCAGTTGGGAAACTGGCCGTCGAAACCTGGGCCGCTGGCGTCCACCGAGACCGAGCTAAATACGACAACAGCGCCACTCTTTATCGTTTGTCTGTACTGTGGGCACCTTGAACTTTTAGAAAGCACGTTTTTGTGACTCTTTTTGTATGAAATTGATTGGAGTTTAGTACAAAATGAAGGGCGCGTGATGTTTTTATAATCTTTAGTTTGCAAGGTTTTGCGGAACAATTAATATTGATTTTATACAACCATGCTTTCAGGTAGCGCGTCCCGACCTAGGTACATTTTAACTTCGGTAGTAATTCGCGGCGCGTCCGCTGGGGAGACGGGGGTGGCGCCCCTGTAACCTCTTCTGCTGTATCTGTTTCGGCGCCAGAATGACCGATTAAAGCCAAAATAGAAGTAACGTGCAGTTCCTCGAGTGGCCGCTGCGGGAGAAATGGCGGCGTTGTGTTCGCCATTAGCTCGGTTCTGGAGGACAGATCGGCGCCACTTTTTCAGAGCAGTCTCTGTGGCAGTTTCCCAACTGAGTGGTTCTAGTAACGTTGGCTTACACTTTAGTTCGGAGAAGAATCAGTTGCATGTACTCATTTTTGCAATGTAAAGAAAGTAAATCTCGCACTAAAAACACAACAAAAAAACATTCGAAGGCGTTTTGGCTAAAAAGAAGCACATTTGACGGAGGAAAGTAAAATGTCCCTTTCGCGGTAAACGACGTTCTAATTTCTCCCTATCAGTGTAGCAATACAAAACTTCAAAACTTTACTACGAAGAAACCTTCGATACTTACCTGTGAAGAAATCACCTTTTACGCGACGGCCTTTTCGTTGTTGTTGGTTTGTAGGATCAAGCACGATCGATATGTTCTTTTCTACGGTGATTCCCTCTGGCTGAAAAAAAGTTTGATTTTATCAGAAAAGTTTGTCACTCACTGCATTCACTCTCCAGAAATATTTCAACACTATTACGTTTTCATCTTGAACGCATACTGCGCCGCGATTCTTACGAGGCACTATAATCATTGGGCTTGGCTTTATCAGCTTGTAGATGATCCGGGCAGAAGTGTCTCACTCTGGTGATCATACAAGCTGAACATCAAAAACGCGTTTTTCCATTTTGTCATTGAGAGTGTTACATTTGAACCATGATACCGATTCTCCTTCTCATTGGCTAAGGGGATTAAAAGAGGAGCTCGCAGTCATATGAACTTTAAAAATCGGCGCTTGCGCGTAATGATTTCAATTTTTATTCAGGGGTGTATTTCAGTAGTATACTTTACATACTTCAAAGCCTAGCTCCGTTTTTATATATATATATATATATATATATATATATATATATATATATATATTAAAAAAAACATCCTTGGCGTTTTCAAAAATGGGCGCCTACGCTGGCAATCCCTGCATCGTCTGCTTCCGACCGAGTGCTTCCTGCACGTGTCATGAGATGGCGTAACAGGCACGACTCCCGTGCGACTCGGTCGTTAGCCTCGGCGCCAGTTCTTGAAACTCTCAGTAATGGTGTTTTAATTATTAGAGCACAGCTCTTAGGCACCTGCTTTCGCGTTGAGCGGTTTCGGCGTCGCCGTCGGCGTGACCTCCCGTTTCCTTATGGTACGTCGCAGTTTCCCCGCTACAATTAGCGGGGAAACTGAATTGGTGATGAGGTCATGTGACGACAGTCTTACAGCTATATTTAGCGGGGAAACTGAACGCGCAGTGTTACATTATGGGACGTCACTGACTTACACACCAATTCAGTTTTCCTGCTAAATTTAGCGGAGAATTGAATTAGTGTTGAGGTCACATGATGTCAATTGTCCCGCTAAATCTAGCGGAAAAACTGAATTTGTTCATAGGTGACGTGACATGAAGTCATGTGACCTCATTCTTCCCGCTAAATTTAGAGCGGAAATTGAATTGGTGTTGAGGTAACGTGGCGTCAATTTTCCAGCTAAATTTGGCGGGGAAGCTGTGGGATGAGGGGAGGGTATCAAAGAGGAGGGGAGGGTACGAAGGAGGAGGAGAGGGTACGCAGGAGGAAGAGAGGATGGTTCAACGGAAAAGAAGGGGAGGGTACGGAAAAGGGGAGGGCATGCAGGAGGACGAGGGGAGGGTACGGGGGAGGAGGGGGAGGGTACGGAAGAGGAGGAGGGGAGGATACGGAGGGGGAGGGTACGAAGGAGAAAGAGGACACGGAAGAGGAGGACGGTGCAGAACCACTATGCGAGGAGAGTGATCTATATATATATATATTTCTTTCTCAAATTGTTTAGCACGGCATATTGCAAAATCAAAACTAATTTCGTATTACAGAGATTTGTAAACGTCTTTCTTTTTCACGGGAACAGAGCTACGCCTTAAATGTTTTACTGGGTGAAATCCAGCACTAAATAGTGCTATTCGGGAAATGTTAAGCTCGCCATGTGCAGGCGCCGAATTGTCAGATTATTTTACATATAACCACTTCCCAAGCCACCCAGATAGTTTATGAACGTCCACAGGACATTCTTGGAACGCTAGGACATCTAAGGACATTTAAAGAACTAAGTGAGCTACTACGGTTGTTTCATAGCACTTCATTCGTGTGGAAACTTCAGAAAGTGTTTTGTAATGTAGCAGCTTACCACAACATTGAGAATTTTCTCGACGTTGTCTTTGCCTTGTGAGGTGTTCACAAGGATGCGAATCGTGTGCTTTCCTTGGAGCGTCGGTATCACCGGAAAGGTGACGCTGGCGGCCGACTGGGCCTTCACTTCCACCGGTTTCTGGTCTGGGCGTAGCTGGTGGCGGGCACCGGTACACACACCCGGAACTCCGTACAAGAACACGGCTCCCTTGAGGACAAAGACACCGTAAAAGAAAAAGATTGCTCAGAATACTTTCAAAACTTTCTCAAGATACAACTGGAACGTTCCAAAGAATAGTTTCAGAATATTCCTCAGAATACGCCCCTACATTTCTCAGAATACTCAGAATACTTCTTCGCAATGACCTCAGCTAAATTAAAAAGGATGTAGTTTTAATAATTGCGAGATCCCAATCCTACGCTTGCGTATTCGACTAACAGAAATAAAAATAATAAACGAACATAGGAACGAAGAATCGGCAAGGCACAGTTAGCATGAAGAGAGCATCGGCGCTCCTTTGCGTTTCTTTCGTAAACGTTAGGGAGTAACACTGAATATTATAGTCTAGGTTGATGCCACACATAGTGATCCACGACAGACGTAGCGCCCTACACTACGCGTGTCAGGATATAACGTCCGCTTGTTTGTGTTGGTTTTACGCTCTCTCTAACTCTCCAAACCGTCAAAGACGGAATAAAATCATTTGCAAAAATCCCAGAATGCAACTCGCTCAAGCCGCGCAATGAGTTGTGGGAACGTGCGGTAGGCTCTTGGCTTGATCCCACGGCATCTACTACGTGACACTGGAGAGACACAGCATAGCATACACAGAACACTAGGGCCCTCTACAGTGAAACTTCTACCTATTTTGTATGCAACAGGGGATGCTATCGGGGTATAAAAAAAAAGGCACGAGACGGAAGGAAAGAACCAGCGAAGTGCAAGTGTGTCGCACCTAGTTCGTCTAATTCGTAATGTTTTTCTTTCTTTTTTTTGTGTGTGTATTCCTACAAAATGTATAAAACCAACTTGTTCCTAGAAAAGCTATTATAAGGTGTTCGATTCGGCATATCTCAGCTTGTAACTGGTGCGGTCGTTGGCAGTAAAAGTCCGAGACGTCGCGGCCCGAAGTGTATCATAGACCAGGCGGTCGGGATCGCATACTCACATAAAGCAAGTTGGACCCATAGTTGTACACTGTCACCAGAACCTCGACCTGTTCGTTCCTGACCACCTTGTACGGTAGGTCGACCTGGAGGAAGACCTGGCGGAAGGCCGTGACTTCGGCCGGTTCGGCGACGCAGATGCCGCCCTTTGGAGATACGCTCACCGCCTGTACGGACCACTTAGTGATGCTGTGCGGGAGGCTGCCTTCGAATTTGGCGATACCGTCCTTCCTAAAAAAGAAAAGGTTACCTAGTGTCAACATACACACAAAAGCCCTTAAAACTCTGTACGGCAGAGGGTGTTCGGTGCCCGAGTGTTTAACGTACCCCAACTCGAAGCAGGTAGAGCGAAAGATCGCGCCGCACAAGTCGGTAATCCTGAGTTCAATCCCAACCCTACCCGTTTCGACCTAAATCAGCCCGGTTGCGTGCCACTACCACGTGACGCACGCTAAAGACCCCAGGCTAGTAGTGGTACTGTACTAGCTTAATTTTACACTTAACCGTTACTAACTGTTTGTTGTCTAAATAAACACGCATGATTGTTCTTACTGCAGACGAAAAACTATCTAACTCTTCAATCCTTAAAAAAAAAAAAAAAAAAAAAAAAGCTGTTTTTTTTTAATGGCAAACGAGGAACACCTCCCAGCCTTGAAGCGCAAAAGCAGTGCAAAAGTTTACCCACGTTGTAAACAACGATCCAAATTACTAGGGAATGTCTCGCTTACAGTTATGCATCAATGAGTGACTCAGATCTGCTTAAAACAGTCCTTTATCTGGGAATATGGTTTACTTAGGGGAAAAACCCTTATAAACATTTAGGAGACTGGGTAGCCTCTGAGGGTTACTCTGGGGAACCTGTGGCTCCCTAGTAACCCAGTTTCAGAACCAACGCTGTGCAGCGCAAACAAATCGAAAAGGTGGTTAGTGGAAATGAGAATATAATGAAACCTACTGGAAGATTCACATTGTCCACTGACGCCTCGCCAAGAAACTTTGGCGAAAAGTCCTTAAGAGCTTTTCATAAACATTTTTTTCTGCTTTTTTTTTTCAGTGAAACGTTATTTGTAGCTGAATCTTTTAGAAAGTTTACTTTCAAAGTTCTATAGACCATTCGAAGAAAGGGATTCTAGCCGGTTCTATTTTCAGTGTTCGTGCATATGCCGCGTCATTTGCTCGCTTTCCAAAGCGACTAACATGCGCGTGCTGGGCTGAAGAGATCGCACGCCGGGCTGAGGACATGTAAATATTGGAATAGTGTATAGAGGTGTAATCCAGATTGAATTACGCTGCTCAGTAAACAAAACTAAGAATGCATGCTTACACTTTACTCTCTTAGAAAGGTAATCACTGTATCACATTTGCGTGTTCCTCTTCGACAAAGTGTAAGAAGACTTACATTGTTGCTAAAAAGCATGATGCTATCACTAAGTTCGGTACATGTAAAGGCTTTCACTTGCGTGTCTAGATCTACTGAAATAACAAGAACTGTACCGCACAACAATGTAATGAATGCTTTTACGCGGTAAAAGCTAAGAGCTTTCAATGAGTAGGTTTTCGGAATTCAGACATGTACCCAAATACAGCAATAAATTTATACACCCGACAAATCGGCAATAAAAAAGAACAGCCGAAAATATAATTAAACGGTGTTTGACTAATCTAATACTAATCTGCATCGCTATCAATATAGCTATGGGCCTTCAAGAACGAGATTAGAAAGGCTCATGCTTTTTATGCACCACTGCTTATCTGAATGAGTTTGTTTGTTTGTTTTTTGCCAATTCTTGCGGGCTGCATTTGTGTCAAAACGTAATAAACACCGATACATATCGGCTTCATACTATCATACAAATGATGACTGAAATATTTGAATCGAGTCAGAAGGGAATGACAAAAACCGAAGTCCTAAACCTGTTCGTCAACCGGAGCGACAGACGATGACGAAGCCGAGAGATTGCTTTCCTTCAGAGCACTGCCACGTGACTCGCACCATCGCTCTTATTGGTTCATACCCGCATGCAGGCGTCGAGATACCTTCCGATTAATACCTATCACAAATAATCCTTTGAAACTTGTTTGTTCAATGAGAAAGGCGAGTGGTGTCGCGCACCAGTAGCCATACAGTCGGCAATCGTCATTTTCGACAAGAGCGGCATGGCCATCGGGGCATAATGTCATACGGCATTTTGATTGATCTCTATACTTTAGTTCAGCTTAAGTCCAGACGCAGCCGACGCTATCAGCCAATGGGACTAATCAGGCAGCGTTAAAAGCGCACGTAACCGGAACATTTATGTTCGTCGTTAATTGAGCGACGATAGAACATGTACAGAAACATGACGAACGCCATGATGGTGCACTTTTTGACGCCGTCTGATCAGTCCCATCAGCTCGTGGCGTCGGCGTCGCGGGACAGTAAAGGTGCAGGCTTCACAGTTTACTCTCAGAAAAAAGGGGGTATTCTTACACCATTTGTCCCACATAAGACATCCCAAAACTTCAGTTCGACGTACAGCGGACTGACCTCAAACTGACCGTACCGACTTTCATGAGAGCGTGACAGCCGTGTGATACAACTTATTAAAATACGCAATGTACGTGTTACTGACTACAAAAAAGAGATATATACAGGGTGAAACAAGGAGACGCCAGGCTCTTTAAATCGACCGCAAAATTCGGTTTCTTAACCTATCGCGCGACGACTTTGTGCAGCGTTGCCCACAGATGGTGCATTTTTTTGGTAAAATTTGCAAAGGGCGAACTTACCTGAGGAAAAAGTAAAGAAAGAAAGAGGCTTAGCTCCTATGGAAACGCAGCGACGCCACTGGTCTGCAAACAACACGGCGCCGTTTCGCACGGGAGACAAGAGATGGCGCAACAAACGCTGCCAACGAACGAGCATACGGCGCCGAGAGCAGGCCTTTTTAGCAGACGATATTTTCGACTCAAAAGCGGCGCGCGTTCCGCAAGCGGCGACAGTCGCAGAAACAAAACAAAAAAGACAGGCGTGGTAACAGTGAGGAACGGCAGTTCCTTGTCTGTAAAAGGGCCGGCTCTCGGCGTCGTCTGCTCGTTCGTTGGCGACAGTTGGCGTCGCGATCGCTTGCGCCATCTCTTGTCTCCCGTGCGAAACGGCGCCGTGTTGTTTGCGGACCGGTGGCGTCGCTGCGTTTCCATAAAAGCTAAGCCTTTTTCTTTCTTTACTTTTTCCTCAGGTAAGTTCGCTTTTCGCAAATTTTACAAAAAAAAATGCACCATCTGTGGGCAACGCTGCACAAAGTCGTCGTGCGATAGGTTAAGAAACCGAATTTTACGGTCGATTTAAAGAGCCTGGCGTCTCCTTGTTTCACCCTGTATAGGGCGACTCAAGTCACCAGGCTCGATCTAAAATGGACCGTAAAAATCGACGCCTGTACGTAGCAATCTAAACTTTTCGTCAAAGATGTATTTGACAGGTCGGTTTTTTTTTTTGTAAAATTGCAAAGCGTAACTCTTTTTCTGTAAAAAATAGGGTAAAGAAACTTCCCAGGGTCTACGGCGGGCGGCGACGCAGACGACCAAGTCTAGTAGCAGCGGGGTGTGTTTGGCGTTCGTATTGATAGATGGCGCTATACCTCCATATCGCGACGGCTCGTGACCACCGTGGTTTATTAAAATGAACATAACCTTTTTAAAATGTGCATTTGGTTAAAAAATAAATGCAGACAATAGAAGCAAAACTTAAAGTAAAAACAAAAACTCGTCTGCATAACAACGGCGTTTTTGTTGCCAACGGATTTCGTCTGCATGTCGTCTGCTTTCTTTCGCTGGTCGGTTGCACCTTCGGACGCTGCTCCCAACGCCATCTATCAATACGAACGCCAAACACACCCCGCTACTCGACTTGGTCGTCTGTGTCTCCGCCCGCCGTTGACCCAGGCAAGTTTCTTGGCCCTATTTTTTACAGAAGGAGAGCTACGCTTTGTAATTTTACGAGAAGAAACCGACCTGCCAAATACACCTTTGACGAAAAGTTTAGATGGCTATGTGCAGGCGTCGATTTTTACGGTCCATTTTAGAACGAGCCTGGTGACTTGAGCCACCCTATGTATTCAAGGTTTTCTTGGCCCTACTGCAAAACCTCAGTGTTCTCTTTCTGTGGTCTTTGATAAGTACTTAAGCTGTTTAATAAGTTATATCGCACCGTTATCAAGCCCTCGTAAATTTTGGTGCCGTCTGTTCGACTATAGACCACTGTATGTCGAACTGAAGTTTTGGGGTCAATTATATCGGACGAAAGGGTGTAAGGTGATAACCTTTTTTTTAGAGTGTACACATCGGTGGAAGAAGACGCGTGTAAGTCCCTGATATCTTAAGAATAGCAGGACATGGCTTATTATGTATACGCATCTTGTTCATTATTATTTCTTAAGCGTCCTTATCGCCTAATACAGCGATCTCATTGAATCTCCTTGGCGGCAGAGCCATAATGAGATGCATGAAACTGGCAACGCCCCGCGTTTCTTAAACGTGTCAGTGACCATTGAAAACAAAAGAAACGAGGTAATGCGACCGAAACGAGAATGATAGATTTAGTTGTTTGACGGCATGAGAAATTGAAATGTCACCCGATATTTTTTTCGCGAAACATCCAAGTCTCCCGGAAATTTTTTCGGATGGAAGACAACGAGTAGAGGTCTTCGTCGTAATCTGCGTCGATGACATCTTGAATGCTGGTGGGTCCTCCAAATGCGTCGGTGCGGCCCCTGTCTGCAATGAATTTATATTTATTTGCACATTCTGAAATGGAGACGAGCGTAATGCGAATAACTGACTTCTGTATGAAAGAATAAAAAAACACTCGATCACTCTCTTTCGTGTAATCACGAGGGGGATCATCGGTCCTTCTTGTATCGTTATTGTTTATTCTTTGGTACGAATTACGAAACTAAACTCATAAAATCTTAATACACTGGCCAGTTTGTGTTTTCTCCAAAGGAACTGAAAAGATGGCGGTACGGGTACACCGAGACGATACTAATTACCTTAAAGTTCTTAATAACCGGGCTACTAATCAAAAGTGACACTCGGCCTGTCCTACGGACCAGAAAGTCCAAGCACGAGTCTGGCTCGCGTTTCAGTTCCTGAGCTTGATCTGTGCGCTCTCGGGGCAGGTAACAGTTCCACCACTGTTCCTGCCACTCATTCAAGTTATTTTGTTGATTGTTTCAATTCATTTTATTACCGAAGGGAAAAAAAGTATCATGGCCTCAGCACGGAGCTCCGCTTTTGCCAGGTGTGTTTTTTATCGGCTAGTGCCTGATTTGCATGGTGGGATTTTGCTTGCTAATTCGCAGCTGCGACGTTGAGCACCAACACTTCTGCGACATTTATTTATTTTTCTTTTGCCTCTTCAGCGACGTTACAAATGAGAAATCGCAAATAAAATCGCACTATATGAATCCTGCATAATTCCGCAATCTCGTTGGCTGCCCGGGACCCGCCGCGTGCAGCCGTTTCTCTGCTGGCGACGAGGTGTTTTGCTGGGTTCCTCTTATGGTTCCTATCCGTGACGCAACGCCAGAATTATCGACTGCCATCGAGTACCTTAATTTCGATGGTGTGTGTAAAACGAGGGGTAAAAGATTGAAGTCATCGCATCCTTAAACCAACAACGTCAAAGTTGACAGTCGGACATTGCTCTTGTTTCCATTAAATAAAGTACAATGTGCGATCGAGAATATGAAACTCTGCATCACAAAGAGCTGAAACTCCGTGAGAGTCTGAGGCATGCCACGTTCTCACTGCGGTCCAGCTTTCTGCGGTACGTAGCTTATTTTTTAGAGTCTAAAAACCTCGTTTCAATTTCTCGATAAACCCCTGAAGAATTCATCATGTACTCAAAACGCTACGATGAAAATTGGGCCAAGAGAGGAAGGGTGTTCACAGTGTCATTTTTGGTCGCGCACGTTGCCAACAGAACGAGATCACTCGGCGATCACCTTACCGAAATTCTCCGCCTCGACGCAACACTTTGCGAAAACGTCGGCGCACCGCGCACCCTCTGGACCCGGCATGTACCTCTTGACAATCTCGCTCCTGGTGGAACAGTGCCTGACCATTTTGTCGGGCTGGATGCCGAGCCAGCAGCACTCTTTCAGCAGAGGGTCCTGGTAGCTTTCGACTGCATAAAACACCGCCGAACAGAGAAAAACAGAGGTAATCGTATACTGTAAGTCATAATTAAACACAATTCTAGGTTTTTATTTACCCTAAGGGCCCTTTCAGGTATTACATAGGAAAGGAGGGGGTGGGGTGCAATTCATACAACAAATGAGCATATGACGGATGAGAGGATCACAAAAACATGGAAAAGGTCGCACGACACTGCTCGGTCAAAGATAATATAGATTTTAATAAGTGTACATGAATCTAAATCGTCATTAGAAGAATAAAAAAAAATAATAAGGGTGAAAATATTAGAAACAGCAACAACAATGATAATACATTTGTGACAGATTCCTTACCTATTAGAAAGGTTTATCCCTGCTTCAATCAAGGAGAGCCTTATTTTTGCGTAATTAAAAATGAAAGCATTTCAAATGCCACGGTTCTTTTTCATTGTTCATGCCTGTACAATTCAAAACTATCTTGATGGAGGACCGCACAAAATTTTCACAGTCCGTCATCCACATCATGTTACTTTTACCAATGTTTCAGTAATCAAAAGAAGAAACCTCTTCCCAAAGGGTCTGTCTATTAAAAAACATATGTTGATGAGTAAGAGTTTATTTATATTCGTTTTTTTCTGAATGGTATTGATAAGCACCTACAATGTTCTACAATGAAGTTAATATCTTTAAAGGCTAGACTTACACCAAGAATTTTACTTAAATATCCTTTTAGGAATGACCATTAAACTAGCCACAATTTATTGTGTACCCTATTTTAAGTGAATTCTTACTGGATTTTCGGACTGCATTCCTTCGTCTCCGTCTTTTTGCTTCGCAGCTACCGTCTGTAATATGGAAACACCCGGTAAAACTTTCTTCAGAATGGCAATAGACTGTGTAAATAAAATCTAGTCATTCTGAGAAAACAAGATAAATTTAAATAACCTTCAAATTATTTGCTTACATACATGAATATTTATAATCATGCAATCAAAACGTATCTATCATAATGAATGATGTGAACCGCGAATCACTTTATTTAACGATAGAAATATTGCTCAAAGGCGATGTCGATTTAGTAAAGGATATCGGCTTTAAAGGCAGTGATGAAAAAATAGACGTTGGGAGGGCGGAGATTACCAAGCACAGCTTGTCGGACTGATGGCATAATAAAGTTTCCTTTTTCTCTCTCTTTCTTTTAAATCCGTAGGAAGTAAAGTGAGCGCACCAGGTCAAGAAGAAGCGCCACCAAATGTAGCCATAGTGATTTTTTTTTTTACCAGCCTCTAGTATTTCCGAGTTTAGAAGCATACCTTATACTAGGGTGCCTTCATGTGCGCTTCGCATAGGGTGATGCCAACTGCCTGTTTCCCTTTCCCACACCCTCGTCCACCGCCATTTTGTTCCTCTCATTGTTTCCCCGTGCGCCGGAAAGTGGCCTTTGTGTCCATCGGTAATCCCATCCGAGGGGGAAAATGCCAATCCTCCCTCCGTGGGTTCCACAACGCTGCTCCGAACTTCTGAGATAAGGTGCTTGTTTCCGGGAGGGTTATAAGCCCCACGGATTATCGCCGAGGAACAAAATGGCTGCTGGTTTGTCGGCGAGTGGTATTACAAAGGATGGCATCACCCTAGCAAAGCGCACCTTATAGACCTTTTCATCCTCCTCCGCATGGGCGCTGCCATCTTGGAATCACGTGACGCGGCAGCCATTAGGTTGCTTCAACTTGCTGCTCCGCTCTCCCCTCCGCGCCTTGGCGGATGCGTTGTATTCGTGTTCTTCGTCGCGTTTCACCGCGCTTTCTTGCCTTACTTCGGAAACTACTCGACGACTAAGACATCACGAGGGTTCAAAGGTTCTTATGAAAACTGAGGTTTGTTTACTCATAGTGGCGGATCATTCTGAGGAAGAACGTATATTTATATTGCGCATTTAGGATCGGAAGACGTCAAGAATAGTCAGCGCAAGGAGACTATCTGTATTTCCTGAAAGTATATCGTTCTTCGTATTCATAATATGTCAAAAACAGTTTCTTTGATTATGTGAGGAAACTCGCGGATGAGATAGACAACGAACGTTTAACTTGCACTTTCTCTGAGGTTGGAAGTAATGCTACGTCAACATGAGGCAATTTGTTTGTTCATATCATCACACCTACATGTGTATGAGGTTCTCAATCTTTTTTTGCGACGTCAACGTTCGGTTGGTCGGTTTACTTATGAAGTTTAAGGAATTGTATACCGTGCTCGCTCCCGTTTTGACAGTCATTTAAGTGATTTATTGAATATATTTAGATAACCAGTGCCGTTCACTTAATTTATTTTGACAGAAAGGTTGGGACTTCTCGCGTAAGAAAATGCCAGAAGCACTTAACAGTCGCAAGTTTTAGAAGACCATGCACAAAGAAATAACGTCTTTTCTATTTGCAAATTCAAAACGCCGTTTGAATTCGGCGCATGAAAGGAATTTTTTTTTTTTTTTTTTGCATACGTTGTTTTAAGTTTTGTTAGTTTCTAAAATCTGCAATATTTGATGCCGAAAAAAAAAAGGAGCCGTCTGCATAACAATCATATGAATCCAAGATTGTCGATGGTGAATAGAGGCTTACTTTTGGTGGCTGGCGGCGCCGAAATTTACAAAGCGAATCTGTTCAAACAAATAAATATTTGTTCACACAGGTCCGTGAAGTGGTGCCCATAGTGCTAGAACTCGGCCAAACATTCCGAGGTATCCCTCCTCCTGCGCCCTTTAATTTTATTTGGCCTATTTTACGGAAGACAAATGTCCGATTTAATTTGACAGGATTGTCACATATCACGTGACAATCTTGTGTAAGCAAATGTTGATATAAAATTAATTTACTTCCTAGGTCCAGTATCGCGAAATTTTCCTTATAAGTACTTTAGCAGGGTTGATAGTTTAAGGAATTTCCTACTCGGCCTGTCATATCATGCTCAAATGCTGAGCTGGAAAAAAAAAAAAAAAAAGAGAAAGCGACTGAGACAATACTACTGCTTTATATCAATTATCAGCGTCATTACACGATACGTTTTTAGTTTGCGAAGTTCACTAAAGGTTGAGTGCCAAAAACCAAACAGTGAGTAGTAAAGTCGCAAGTTCATCTATTCTGTCTGATTCAGCTCATTGCTAATCAGGTTGTCGATTTGCTTCTTCACATTCACGTGTTAGTCTCTTCATTAGTTTGCTTTCTGGAGACTGGTGTCATTGGGTACGGCCGTAGACGAAGGTAATCTTTCCTGTACATCAGTCAGGCGTTCCGCAACCACCCATAGTCAGATACATCAAAGGAGTTGGTAAAAAAAAAACACAAAAAACAAGCAATTTACGCTTTAAAACACCTCGTAGTCCACAAAGTGGCTCAATACCACTGTTTCATTGGTTGCGTGCTACAAGGAAAATAATTGTATCACAAAAGTAAGCAAAAACAACGTAAAACAGCAATATAGCCGCGTTCACGTTGAAACCGAAAGCAAACAAATTGAAGCAACCTAATGGCGCCGAATGCGTCAGCGCCCTCTATCCGCCGGTGAGGCAACTACTGAAATGAAAAGGTCTATAGTTTCTTGAAGCTTTGAATGGCGCAAGCCCCCGGCCATCAGAAATGTTTAGCTCTATTCATGCATCGATCCATCGTGCGCGATGAACCAACGCAACGAGGGCCGACTCTCCGACTGGTGGGCTCACTATACGTCCTCAAAAGTAGTCCCTGGATTTTCGCCTACAAACGTCATAAAAGTGGCATGCTGTTTGCCTGTCGCAAATCCGGTGGCACATCAGCAGAGGTGGTATACTGGGCTTAAAGCATGGAAGGCTTTTTAACGCTACTCCCCCAATCCCAAAATATTATCCGTCCGTCCGCCCCTGCATTTCCCGCTAAATTTAGCGGGGAAATTGATATCACGAGTTCTACACACGAATTCAATTAGGCAGCTAAATTTAAGCGGAAAAAAAATTATGTCAAGTTACCTGACCGTCACGGGACATACAAACCAATTCAGTTTCGCCTTCTAAATTTAGCGGGAAAATTCACGTCTTGTGACCAAGACACCTATCCAGTTTCCCACCTAAATTTAGTGGAGGAAATTTACGTCACGTGATCTGACGTCACATGACGTCATGTCAGTTTGACCGCCGAATTCCGCGGGAAAATATACGTTACGTCACACGCCAATTCCGTCACCAATTCTCTATATTGCATTCCATGCAGTATAGAACTTAAAAAATAAAGATCGCTGCCAAGTTTCTTTTTTTTTTTCTTTCTTATTCATTCGGTTTAACGAGCGAAAAACCATACAAATGCCGCTCAAACTCTATTTTGTTTGTTTTTTTTTAGGGAGGGGGGATAGTGTGTTTTTGTTACCTGTTGTTATCACGTCCTCTTTCATCGCTGCCGATATTATCACGATTCCAGCTTGAGAAATGACTTCCTCGGACGTGATGCCCCCTCCAGGACCACATCCGAGATCGTGCGACCGAAACGATGATAACAGCTGGGAAATGAAGCAAACCGGGAAAAAATTAACATGACAAACGGCATGTTCTGCTCTAAAAAAAAAAAAAAAAAAAAAAAAAGCAAATTAGTGTCAAAAGATTTTTGAAAAGAGTTGAGGACAGTTGAAGAGGCTGGATCTGCTAAATAAGATTTTTTTTTTTTTAAGATGCTTACCTTTTGCCTAGTCAGAAGTTGTCCCTTGTCAAGGATGTAGACAGCCTTATCAGTAGCCATTAATCCAACTCGGGTTCCAGAAACTCCTTTTACCTCGACTGATACGTCACTTCCCGGTTCTTTATCACCACTGGGAACAATAATGTTTATCTGTGGAAAATAAAACAGTTACTAAGGCAACAAAACATCCTAAATGCCGGCGAACGCCCGGCGGTTTTTGTTTTCCAGTCTCGCCACTAGCTTTTATCCCTTCTTTATCAAAAATATCCTCTCTCCTCCGGTAGAGTTACCAGATAGGCTCCCCGTAGGGGAGCTATAATTGGGCGTCTCTTTTCAACACGCCACCGCCCCGCTATTCGCCTGATTTGATCATGTGACAAAGAAAAATCCAGTTCAGCGCAGTGAAGCCTCCGCTATGGCCACTCCGCAATTCCGTTAGCCGTTAGCCGCTAACTAGCCACGAGTCAACTGTTTTCATATGTTCTTTACTTTTGCATGAGGCCATATATCATCCATTTCTCTGAAATCCGTCGTCGTATGGATGCAAAAGTGTGTGCATTGGAGACCCAAGAACACTTATTCCTCGAGTGCCTGATGCAGTTACCATATGGACACAAACATTAGGAACACAATGTCCACATAAAAAAAGCGATCATAAAAGCTGGTTTTCTTTTCACTTCCGGTTTCATTAGATCATGGTACCATGGTATCCCCGCTAATTTATTGCATGATCTTTTTTTCTTTGGGCTGGCGAAAATGCTTGTTTCGAAGTGTTCATAATTTCACTCATTCTTCACAGGCATAAACTAAGCAACCAAAGTTTTTTTTTTTTTTTTTCGGGACAATGAGTTATTTAGCATTAAAACCACTTATAAGAGACACTACGCCATTTTCTTCGCGAAAAATGGGATATAGATTGTTAAATCTTAATTACTTTAAACATGAGCCGAAATCGAAACTGAAACGTCGGCTCGGTCTGGCAACATTGGACTCGAACCGCTAGAAACTTGTCTATCGTGTGGTACGAGATGTGACGGGATCCTCTACGCAACGACGGGTAGGACTGGGGCGGGCCGGCAGGCCAACGTTGGGGCGGTCGTGTGCCAGGCGCAAGTGTCGTCTGCACCGCACTCTTCACTGCGTTTAGGTGTCTACGACGTTCGATAACGTCTGCACAACTGCGGCATCAGCCTGTGCACGTAGTGTGAACGAACCTCCGAGAGACAATCATCTCAAAGGGTGAAACGACGACGGCGGTTGTGACGCGGGAGACGGCGGTCACGGCAGGAGGGCCGGACGGCTCCCAAGAAGCACGCTGCGCAGGCGCGTTACGCCAAACAAGTGGACACCGCTGAGCGCCGAGAGGAAATATTGCTGACGTCACCCGTTACGCTTGCACGGAGTAGTAAAAGCAAACAAAAAGAGACAATGGCGACGACGTTTAGCTCAACGTTGGCTACGCCAACGCCGTAGCCTTGACCGCCCTGTTGGTTGCGCCTCAATTCTCCAGCTAGAGTCAGCCGATTGCGGCAACTTGGAGCGTTGCAAAGTTTGACCGTTCGTTCGAAAAACATTTAGACTGAACTAGGTCGTAATATTTGACGTGTGGTGTTCCTAGGTGATAGTGAAGAAGACTGCACTGTTTTTCTAAAAACAAAAATGAAGCGGAGTTGCCCTTTAAGTACCAAACTCCCGGCACTTAATTTTTTTTTTTTTTTTTTTTTGGGGGGGGGGGGGGGGGTAGATGACCAGTAACACGTTTACATATATCCGGTTCACAGTTTGTTGTAAGCGCTAAACTGCAAATTATAGCATACAATGAACATTAGGGCCTCAATGTCACGATCCTGATATTTGACGCTTGCAAGCGCAATAATAATTGGCAATGGCAGGGCCCAAAACGATGCACGGGTGTTCTTGTTCATTAAACTGATTTCGTCGGGTAACAACAGTTCATTTGAAAGTTTCTTTGCGTGCCGTGTTGACTGGCGCATTTTCTAAATACCTCGACGAAATATTTCCCTGCAAATTTATATATTCAAGTGCGCTGTGGTTGCCAAAATAAGAACGGAAACAGCGAGCGAAAACCACCTGCCTTATTCGTCGGAGCACGGCTCCTGCACGCGTTAAGAGTGGCTTCCCCGTATAAATTTGGATTTCAAGATGAATGAACGCGTAACCCTACTTCCCACGGGAGCTTATATACTCTATCCTGCGGGTCAAGACAACGCCACCTCGACAAGAGAAGGACTCGAGGCTAGGGTGACGTCATTGACGTGTCACAACAAGTAGGCGATTGACTTGGACGTTGCACTGCGCCATGGAGTTTCGCGAGTGCATTGGTGGCACTTGTATGTTTTCTTAGTGTGCGCGCATAGGCAAGGTCTGAATTCCTGTTGCGGCTTCGCGCTTTTTTCTTTCTAGGTCCTGGAGTGTACTTGCGATACTACGACATTAAACATATGAAGAAGTTCTCTAGCTGGGGTACCTCGATGTGAACCGGTGGACGCGTCTTACATTGTGTGTTTCTGTAATTCCTTGTTGGTTGCCCATAAAATAATATAGTCGGTGTGTGTTATATTTTAAAGGTATCATTTGCCTGTTCAAGATTTATTACTTGAACTGAACTTGAACTTTTATTACTGCGGTAGCTAAGGTCGACCTGTTTAACACTTGTCTCCTAGAACGGCGTCGGCGAAACTACAGGACGGAATCTAAGGCGTGCGGATTCAAACTTTGCCATGAAGGAAGCTTGTGAAGAGTTATACACGTCATATGCCGCGAGAACACATTGTTCAGAGAATTAGATGAGGATACATTTATCTGAAACTTTCGTTTGCAGTACAAAACGCAAGCTAGCAGCGACGTAGTCACTGTCTCTTATGGGACAAAAAGCTCACACTAAAACCAATATCAAATTTTATTACGCCTACATTAGAGGTATTACTGATCTGCTGACATAACTTTCAACATTATTGCTTTTGGCATGCGAAGAACACTTGTTTTATGTGGTAGAGTTTTTTTATTTTATTCTGCGCGTTCTTTTGTCCTTCTACCAGGCTTCCCCAGTATAGATGTGACTATGGTGAAACAGACTGTCTACTTACCGATGAGCTGTTCGTACAAAGATGTTCCATTTCCACGAGCTGCGAATCTGCCAGGATGCTGCCATTGTGTAGCGCGAAGACAAGGACACGAAATTCCGGAGCCATACTTTCTTCCAGTTCGAAATCTATAGACCTCTGCCTGAGGTCCGTGGAACTCAGCTCTCCGAAACTCTTGACTTGGCCACGGCTCAAGACCTAATGTTCGATGGCAAAGCATGTAGCAAACAAAACTCGAAGGTAGTCGACTCTGACACAGAGGAGTTGAAGAGTAACCTACTGGAAGCCTCAGAGCGGTAACCAAGATTTCTTCAAGAGGGACCTGAATGTGGTAAGTATCTTGGCAAAACTTACAACAGCTGCTACTTCGCATCCACAAGGATGCGACGAAGACTGTACTTCTATGCATGCGTGTGGCTTGCTGGGGTGCCTTGGAGCCCAAAGAACCACTAACGTGCTCGCTTCTAGGGTTCCCAGTGTAGCCACCATGGAGAGATAATAAAACCATGCCGATGAAACTACAAAATAACTTTCTCGTGGACGTCCTAAGGTTGCCTTATGATTATAGACGTAACAAGCCAAATTACTGTAATAGTTAATGAACCAAATAGATGCAACGCTTGTAAGAAGGTGTAACAATTAATGTAACAAGGCACAACAGGCAACCATTCCAATTAGCAATCGTTTAAATATCATTAAATGTTTACTTCAGTGACCATCACAATTCGGGTTATTGTGTTATGTTTAGAATAGACACAACCGCAGATATCGAAATTTAGTCTCACAGAAGGATTATCAACCATGAGAAGCTGGTAAACATTCTTCGATCATTCAGAAGCTATTTCATAGCTTAACAAAATAGTGCTTGTAGAGTATAACTCTTCAAGGCGTCATCGATACGCACCACAAAGTAAACGGGCTTGAGATCCGCGGGAACCGTGGTGACAACGCTTTCAAACCTGTCGTTAATCTGAAAAAAAAAAAAAAATAGCGTTCAACGTTTTTAAATACAAAAATTTGATATCAATTTAAATATTATGGAGGACGCATATCCTTACTTTTCTTTTCGACCTGACGTCCTGACGTTTCAATGCTAGGAGGCCGTTGGAAGGCGAGGTGAATCGTAGGAGAGTAGCTTGCCCCTCTGCCTGCTCGGAGTCATCGAGATTTGGATCGCGGGTTCGAACCTACGTATAGGTTAGCCGCGAGAATAAACTATAAACGACACTGCGCAATATAATTGTTATCAGTGGCAAACTTAAATGCAACCAACTTTCCGCATGCATACCGTCAAGCGTACCACTACACATATAAAGCCCACCCGTACAAAGATCTTCATGTTACAGTGGTCAACGAAACTGGATAGACCAGCGGAGCACCTGGCCTCTCGCATATAGGTTAACTAAAGAAATACCTAAAATGACTAAATGTAAAAGCCATGTGATGACTCTAGTTTCGAGTACCACTAAACTAGCTGTCTATATCATCCTCAGTCGGAGCATGTGCATCTATTCGAGGCCACGCACCCCACTGCAGGGGCTCATTTCGTATGGTTGAGCACTGTACTCCCAAATATGCAGCTGCAGGTTGCTTTCTCAGCATTACAGCCCATGGAAGCCTCAGCAGCCAGAAGTAATTTGTTGCCACCTCGGGACCAACCTCAATGCATCGGCGGCATAGGACGCTAAATGCACTAATGCAGCAAACATTCCAGGCACCGTAGTACAATCATCACTCTTCCAGTGAGCCCTCTATGGGCTTTGAATTTGCCACAGTCGGGTATAAGACTAAAGGTCTTACCGTGACGTTGATGACAGTCTGAGTTTCTAATGTCTTCATTGAAAAGGCAACTCTTCCCGCGGCGTCAGAGCTTGATGATTTTGTGACGTCCTTGACACTTTGACCGAGGTCGTCCAGAACGCTGATGGCACATTCCACACCTTCCGCCACTTTCGAATTCGCATGCTGAATTTCTGCCTGAAATCAAATGGGATTCGTTTTATTTCGAGGTTAGTTAGACATTCTATTTTTCGTCATTTTTTCGCAACCGAACGACTACGCTGTAGTTTCTCAGCATGAACTACTAAACGCTGCGATTGCTGTATATCTTCAATTTTATGGTTTGTTACGCAAATTAGCTGAAGATTTCGAAAGCTTGGAACCGGTGGGATGCACGATAACTACAGCTCACGAACCCTGCCAAAGAGTTGGTGAATCGACAAGTTAATACAGTGGTGCCATTCGGAATCATCTGTTTAATTTTTTTTTTTCCTTCACGAATGAAAAAAAATTATATGCGTGGGTATGCAAAGAGTTTTCACTAATGCCCCCCCCCCCCCCCCAAAAAAAAAAAAAACTTTGCTTTTTTTATTTATAAAAATGTGCTTGGGAGAAGAGCGTGTTGGTTTAAGTCATGGATGAAGAAAGAATAAAACAATTAAAACAGGGACAACGCAACCACATCTTTCATAAATGAAAGATGTGGTTGTGTTGTCCCTGTTTTAATTGTTTTATTCTTTCTTCGTCCATGATAAAAATGTGGTTTCTGAGTAATCCGCTACTGTTTATTGGCGGCGTGCGCGAACTACAGGGGGCGCTTCTATAGCTATCACCATCGTCGTTTGTGACGTCACGGGTAGGACAGACTAGGACAGACCGCGAAGATCATGAATCCTTCGGCTCGTCAGCTCGTTTCATGAGCTGCTTAGGTAACGCGCGGCGAAGCCTGTTTTACGCGTTGTATTTATTTGGTGCATGAAGTGATATTTGTAGCAGGAAATTTTACCAAAGCTTGAAACTGTGGCACGCTAGTCGTGCCAAGAAACACTTTTTGGCGCTGAGGTGTCCAAGCCCTCGGATGGTAGTGTGCGGTTCTCTACCCAATTACAAAAATCTGGATGATGAAAATAGAATGCCCAGCGCTTTACCCCACTACCACGGCGAATAGGGTGTATTTTTATTATGATTCTGACAAAATAAAACTGAGAAAGGAATGTCTCATCAAGTTGAAAAGAGGAAAGCGAAATTCGAGAACTTCTCGTGCGTGTACTAAACACTTCAGTGAAAGAGACACTGTGTATCCTGTTTGTTCCAATGCGTTTTGTGTGGGCTGGTCTGTTAATAGTTCCAAGTTGATTCCTTTTTGCATTTTGTACACATTAAACAAACATTTCTCCAAAATATCTGGCCGGACGAAGCTGTGGCTGGCTTCCGGGGTCCCTGCTTATTCGCCTGGTTGACGCGAAACGTGCGAGTTCTTCCACGATCGTAGTCTGTTAAATCTAGTAAGTCGCTGACACTTCAGCGTCTAACTCCTGGTTAGTTTAGTTGGTAGAGCGCTCCACTCGAAATGGAGAGGTCGCCGGTTCGATACCAGGACCAGGCAGATTTTTTCGGTCGCGCACCAGTCACCTAGCTGTGCTTGGAAATTTGTGTTTGTCCTATGTCCCTCTTGTTCCCCTTCTTCGGGGATTATTTGTTGTCCAGCTTGATTGCACCTTTGAATTAACTGCATTATCATCACATCAATTACTAACGTTTGAAAGTTTAATTTTGCTGACTCAAAAAATTGCGCATAATGCATGATGCCCCGCGAAAGCGAAAGACTTTGAATTTGTAAATAATTCTTAGAAAAGTTGGATAAAACAAATGAATCAATCGCCTGAATTTTCCGGGCCATATCCGACAATTTAAGAATTTATTAAATGTTCTACTTTTCTTTCGAGCAGAAGTCGCAATGTGACAAACTTCTTTGCCACGTGTTCGATGCGGGAGGCGCTAAGCGCGAGTTTCCGACGAGCATTTGTTCGTGAGGAACTGTTGAGTCACACTTGGATAGAGGCGTCGGTAATGGCAAGCTCAATGTAGCTTAAACAATCGTGCGGCGTATTGCCACACAACAGTGCGCGCGTGCACAGCTAAGAAGACAGCACGTCATTTACTCTGGTGAATGCAAAACCTTTTTCTACAACCTCCCAAGATCCTAAAAAAAGAAAAAGGTGAGAGAGGCTGTGAATAGCCCTGAGGCACGCCGCGCAAGCTGTAATATGGAGCCCGAGGCTTGTTTTTGAAGATTTTAAAGTTTTTAATACAAAATCAACTTTGAGACGCTGTTATTCATTAGAAATATCACTTAATAAAAACGTCCTACACTTTTTTTTTAATAAATAAACCGTTTTTATACGGCATAGGTGTGAACTAGCATAGCCACTCCATGCTTTGACATAGCGCGCCATCTGCTCGCACCCTTCCAGCTCCGTCACAGAAGGTGCCTGCGAGGTGGTGCCCCCAAATATCTTGTCGCTAATAGTCGAAAGCGAGCAGTCCCATCGCAACCGAGATCATTGCAGCCGCCGCCGATGATGATGATGGTCTCGCTGGCGATTCGATTGCTCACCTTTGCCTGTTGTAACAGCCTTGGATAAAGATATTAATCGAAAACGATACTCACCACCACCACCAAGCTTGTGCCAGGTTTGAAATCCGTGGGCGTGTGCCGGAAGTTGATGGTGTAAGGCGACGTCGCGAAAATTGCCGCGTCGTTTTCGGCCGCCCCTCTTTTTCCGGTTGCCTTGTCGAGGACGCTCGCTGTTACCACCAGCCTGCTTCCCTTTATCAGAGGGTCCCAGTCCTTGCCGGATAAATCCTTGAACTCGGCCACAGAAACGTCGAACTCAGTTCTTTCATTGGACAGCTAAAAGGCATTGGTGTGCATGAGATGTCACGCGACAAAACTGCATCACGGCGATAACCTAAAGGCTGGTTCACAAACTTGCAACTGCTTTCGACCGAGTACTTTTAAACTTCTTAGGATCCCTTACGACGAGAGAACACATTGGCGCCATCTATAGGGTAGTTGTAGTAACACTTGGCGTTTCCGTATATCAATTTTTAACTCGTATAATTTTCTTTTTGTTTGAAAAGTTTTGATAATGTCATAAACGACCATTTCACAGGCACAGTATGTACAGTTCATCTCTCAAATACTTCAAAACATTCGCTCTAGTCATATGCACTTTCAGGGTCAGCTCATAGATGGCGCCAGCGTTCCAGTGTGTTCTATTGTGTAAGAGGTCTCAAGGATTCTGTCGTCCAAACGCAAGTGTGTGAACGTTACTTAACTCACATAAAATTACAGGGTGTTCAAAATTAAGTTTTTTTCACGTTATTTTAGAAGGAACAATAGGAGGTACGCGAAATTCGTTTTTTCCTCCTAGATTATGTTCCCAGGCGGACGCTAAGTGCAAAGGTAATCATAACTGACAATTGTTGAAGTAACCAAAATTAAGTTTAAGAGGTGAGCTCGTTGGTGAAATTGCACCTTACTTAAAGGATAAACACAAGGATGAACACAACATTGAGATATGCAAAATTAAGTTTAGGAGGTGAGCTCGTTGGTGAAATTACACCTTACTTAAAGGATAAACACAAGGACGAACACAACATTGAGAGATGCAAAATTAAGTTTAGGAGGTGATCTCGTTGGTGAAATTACACCTTACTTAAAGAATAAACACAAAAATGAACACAACATCGAGAAATGCGTCGTCGTGTTCGTCCCTATGTTTTTTTTTTTTTTTTATTTCAATAACGTGGAACTAAAATTAATTACTAAACTTTCCTAATTACCTCATTTAGGGCAGACTTGTACACGTTACTGAAAAATAGTAAGGAATTACATTTACAATTACTCGAGGCTAAATTGTAATTTATTACAATTACAATTACCCTCCCATGAAAGTAACTGTCCGTTACCCCAAAAAGTAATCCGTTACTTTCGTGGCGTTACTTTTAACATTATTGTCCTCAAGTGAGAAACAAAGGGAAGAGGGTTATTCAAGTTCTTATTGTTGCCGCCTGTTCCATTTAATAAACTTGAGTATTTTGAGCAACAGCTGGCTCTCAAAAGTCTCGTCAGACATTTTGCTTTATTTCTTACTCAATATGTCGACTGCTACGCTGAACACCATTTGAGCTGAGGCACTGGATGGGAGTGCCATATTGTTCCTCACGAATGCTTCATGCTCTGCATTGAGCTTTTTCAGCGAAGCAAGGGAAGTACTATTTACCTCGAATGTAGAGCAAAACTTCGTCGTTGCAGCCGTTCCTGCTATTCGAGAGATTTAGTAGATCGTTCCGATGCCCCCGATACTCGCAATAACGGTACCCGATAACGATATGATGCATACGCAAAGACGGCGGCGAAGTATCGGATATCGTTATCGGAGTCATCGGACCGATCTACTAAAATTCTCCATTGTCTAAATGGCGAAGCTGTAGAAGTCATCAATAGCAAAACATATTTGTAACAGTAAGGTGATACTTAAATAATAAATAAGGTTTGGCTCGATATTCTTCTTCCTTTGGTTCTGAACAGTTCGAGCCTCACTTGAGACGTTGGTCAATAAAAAAAAAGGTTCCAGTATATAAATATAAGTAATAAAAGAGAAAGAAGGACACTCATAACAACAATTAATTAGAACGTCAGTTAAAACAAGGAAATGTGGACGCACGTTTGCCGTGTGTACTTTTCTTGATGCCGTTCAAAAACGCACGGAGCACGGACCGACTGCAGTTTACTCCGGTGTTCTCCAGATAGACGTCCACTGATGCCACGGGCAGCAAAGGGTAGAGTACTAAGTAAGCCGCGCTATGGCCCCACTCACGAATTTCACTCTCTCCTCAAGCCCAGAATATGAAGTCTACGTCAGCCACCATTATGTTTATTTCTAAAAATATCTGCTTGAGATAAGATGCGTCCTGCTGGGGCAAAACAGGAAGAAGAAGAAAGGAAGACTATTACCATTTTCTAAGTGCTCGCAAAAAGCTGACTCAGAAAAAGGGTAGGGTAGAGGGAGCGTTGTCTCGTGTTGTGACGTTATGAAAATGGTCGTAGTCACTATACACCAACTCAACTCTCCTACGTCACGCCGCGGTGGTGGCGCGCCGGACGCACTTCCGGTCTGGGGCGTTGGGCAGAAGTCGCCGTGCCAGACATGCATTCCTGTATTCCTTTGGAAAAAACGAGACAAAAAACCTGCCTTTTCGTCAAAATGCTGCGATGGGGGCTTTACAAAGAGAGTCTGGGAAGGTTTGAAGATCAGTTTTCATGTGTTTTTGCACCCTCCGTTCGTCCGAGAACGTCGATAGCAGCCGTGAAAAGGGCAAACCTGACGCTGTCGAACTACGATTGCGTGTGCGGGCCACAATTTGTAGTCGCCAGATGTATTTGCTTTGTTCCAACATGACCGAGAGAAAACCCCCAAGTTGTCCGGACCACCCACGGATTCAGTGCGTCTTCAAATTCACACGGCCGCCTGATCGTTCGAACTTTCCTTTGCTCTTTCAAAGTTATCTGCTTTTTGTCGTCTGCTCGTTCAAACAAAAGCGGCCCGTAGACCAAACTTTGACCCGGTGATTGCAATAAGTAATTGCAGGCCTCAAAAGACTTAAGTAGGCTCGGTGTAAGCAGTAGATACAAGATGTTGATCATTGGTACCGGTGGCCATCACCTACTTGCTACGCTTTGTCTGTTCCCGCTTCCGATTTTCAGTATCGACGTCGATCATCGCCGCTACCTTCTACACTTTTGCAGCACGAGGGTCGTCGCAACCGACAATAGCTAGAAGAGTCTCATCATGGTTTTGTACGTCCATTCTGCGGCGGTCATGCAAATACATCGCCGCACGTCAAATTATTTATGCAAAGTTTAGCAGCGTAACGAGCCTTGGACATTGGTGATTTCGCTCAGGCGATTAAAGTGGTAAGACATTGCGATGAAGACGTAGAATCGACAACTCCAACGCGAAAAAGAGTATGCAGGCTCACACAGACGCCGACAACGTGACATTCGAATGGTTTGTTGACGCGGGACGCGGTGCTTCTTGCCCGTACTCCATTGCGCGTGCGTTCCAACTGTCGTCTGCTCTTTCAAACTTGGCTGCTTTTTGTCGTCAGTTCGTTCAAACGACAGCGGCTCGTAAACCAAACATTGACCCGGTAATTGCGATAAGAACTAAGTGCAGGCCTCAAAACACTTTTGAAGGTTGGTTGGGGTAAGTCGGCTAAGTGTAAACAGATACAAGAAGTTGTTGATCATTGTTACCAGTGGCCATCACCGACTTGTAATGCCCGATTCTACTTGAGGTTTTCAGTATCGATGTCCACCATCTCAGCTACGGTCCACGCTTTTGCAGTCCGGGCGACGTCGCGACTGAAAATAGCGAGCAGAATCTCGACGTGGGAGTCAGGCTTTAGCGCCCATTCTGCAGCGTCCACGTGAAATGAATCGCCGCAAGTCACATTATTCACGCAAAGTTTTGCCTCGATAGTTTTGCTGAAGCCGCTCAAGTAGTCAGACATTGTTAGGAGGACGTAGAATCAACAATTCGAACGCGAAAAAGAGCACGGGGACTCCCACCGACGCCGACAACAACGCTATTCAATGGTTTGTTTATGGGCGACGGCGGGCTTCTTGCCCACCATCCACGGCGCATGCGCGGCGCCAGTGACGTCCGCTAGGGGCGCTCCGGTTTGTTTGTAAACATGAGTTGGTGTATATCCTAGAAGGACATTGTTAATTCTTTTCGGCGCACTTACCGCCTCGAGCTTCTTGAAGAGGCGCACAATCACTTGGTGCCCTCCTCTCCCCGTCTTCGATCACAAAGAAAAAAACAAAGGGACTTAAAAAAAAGCGGAAATACTTGCCCCCCCCCCCCTTTTTTTTTGTAGAATTGTTTATTTGGATTTTTTTACATTGATGTTAGGGGTCTAAAAAAAAGATAGACTCAGGGGCTTGGTGTTGCAAAAAAAGGCTTTGCGGAACTGAAGAGTGCCAAGCCTCCCTTTGCGGAGGTCGATTCCCGTAACAGTGTCACTGCGCACAATTTTACAAAAAAAAAAGAAAAAAAAGAAAAAACTTTATTTAGAATGAGGGGGGGGGGGGTTGTTTTGACAAAAAAAAATGTAACGGATTACAAGGAATCCGTTACGTCAAAAATGTAAGGGAATTACTTTAAAATTACTCTAGAAAATATGTAATTATTCCGTTACTAAATTACCGATAAATGTAAGGGATTACAAGTAATTCCGTTACTTGTAACGGATTACGTACAAGTCTGATTTAGGGTATGTTTTTCTATTGAAAACTTCGAGGCAGCAGTATTCCCAAACTGTTTGATCTGCTTTCATAAGAATTCTCGTAACCAGTCAGTGCTCCGATATATGAGCCTCCAAATTTGCCACTTAATATGGCTAATTACGCATTCAAAACCGCGAACATCGACTCAAAAGCCCCTCTCGATGTGACGCGGATCGTTGAGACGTTCCGTGTGCCAACGGAGCGTAGTTGATAAGAGATCCTCTCTCGCTCTAGTCTGCCGCCCTCTCGACTAAGGATATATCATAGAGCTCTCCTGACAAGGGTAAGGATTCCCAGTGCCATCACTGCCCAGTTCTTTAAAAAATGAAAGACACGAAAAAGATTAGACAATACCCAGATTTCATACCAGAAACACCAGAATGTGCATTATTTTGAGAAAGATCGCCACCCAACATTGGCCACCTTCTATGGGACTGTGAGCATCTAAGTCTAGTTATGGTAGTACACAGATTGAAAGTGTTCCAGGTTTAACCGATAGATGGAGCCAGCGTTGTAATGCGAGATAAAGCAACGCACTCGAGAATTTAGTGCCAAAGCGTACATACCTCTTTAAAATGCGTAGCTCCAATCTCTTTCTCTTGTCCGCCTTCGCTGCGAACTTTATATCTGAACGATACCGATCCTTGAACGTCCTTTCCGTAAACGTATCTAGAAAAAAGGCAACGAAAGTTGACTCGAATGTTAACAATTAGGGACCTGATCGTTGCAGATTTTATGGCTAGAATTGACTTAAAGATACGCAGTCTGTTTCGTTTTTATAGCGAGGCTGTTTATGGCTAGGGTTCCGTGGATTTTTCGTGTGCGTCGACCAAGACTTGGGCGCTCACACCACTCCTCTCTTCGTCGTCGTTCCAAGCCGCTTCCGTGCCTAGTTTCCTTTCCTTCCGCTCTCCAGGGGTGGCGGTCCCGTCGCGCGTGTCTAGTTTCCTCCGGCTTATCGGGGTGGCAATAGTCGTCCACGCGAATGTATATAAAAAAAAATCGAAAGACAAGTTGCCGTTCTCCATTTTCAATTTCACTTCTTTTTTCTCGTCGTAATGGGCATAAATTGTGTTCATACCTTTGTTCAAAATTCTGTGTCACGTCTGTGTCGTGCGCTAAAGAGCTTCACTGGCCATCCACCTTCGCAGAGTGGAATGGCTTATGATACTTCTTTTTTCTTCCATTTATGCGATAAACGTTTCTTTTATGTTGCCAGGCATAATGAATTCTGATTGATCAGCATTGGTGTTCCATATTTAACTCTGGAGGGTCAGGTAACCACCGAACACCGCAGACCCGTACGCCCAGCGTGGGTTTGTGATGCCTCGTGAACGGCCAATAAATACATACATACATATGTACGTCCTTTCACAATATAAGACACCAATTCAGTTAGGCCGTTGTTACGTCCGTATACTAAGCAGTTTCGCCAGTGTCACTCGACATTACCAGAGAGAATATAACAAAGGTCCATTTAGTTCTCCACCCCCAAGCAATGTGGGCATGACCAAAGGAAATCCAGCATAGCCGCCTTGGACTGCCTCGTCGAATAGATATTTCATATTGGCGGAGACTGTACGTTATTACAGGGAAGGAACAAATAAACAGTGGCGGGGCTGCTGGCTAGGGCGCTGAAGTCTCTGACAGCTGAAGAAACGTAGAGCTTGGCTTCTTATGTCAGCCCTTGCTTCATGAACGGATCTTTGGCGATCTTATTGACTGATGCAGCAATTTCATTGGCTGCTGAGCGCTAATTTTAGATGCATGAGGTGCGCCACCCCTGCGCTTCTTCAGCTGTCGGGGGGGGGGGGGGGGGGGGAGGGGGAGACATGATTTTTAGTTAGGCGTTCACGATAGATTTAGTGCCTTACAACATCTCTCAAAAATGTATACAATAACATACACCCAACACCGTGAAGCCATAGTTAGGATGATTCGAAATTCTTCGTGCAAAGACAAGCACACAACTCCTTCGGTGCGAAATGAGACCAAAAAAACAAAATTTCTCAGGCCATATGAGAAATAAGTTGTACTCGTACCTTGCAACAACCGTGCCCCGTACTCTGTCTTGTTTCGGAAGGATCACATTTGGCATGTAAAGCTCCACCGAAAACGTCGGAAGAACTGGATTGGTGTCAAAGAGGGAAGGCATAATGTCTCGTAAGTGTATAAACATACTCCCTTATTTTTATAAACGCGCATTGCATCTCTTTTAGAACCATGCAAACACGCCCGCTAATATATCACCTTTAGGACGATGCAAAAATGCGACTTACCATAATACAGAGTAAACTATAAATAACTCCACGCAGGCGAAGGGTCTGCTTGAACGTATAGACCAACACGCGGCCCTGACGTCACGCAGCTGCGGTGGCGCTGTCGACGGCACTGCACATGCGCAGACGCTTCCCTTCACGCGAATTCGGTTTCTGCGCACGCGCAGTGCCCACACCTGGTGTGGGCAAACGCCGGCTTGTTTGTAAACAGCGTGTCGGTCCAGAACAGGAAAAAACTGCTGACTGACAACTTTGCTTTAATAAAATTCCTCATGTGTGTATTCGTCTTCTTCAAGGGTTGTTGTCGTACACACAAAATAACTATTATTCACAAAAATAATTTACACAAGAAAATTATTAATTTTACGTTACTCGGCAAAACTCACATACTACGAGTTATCTCGGTGTGGCACATCGTAAATACTGCTTTTGACAAGGCGAGCGTATGCCTTCGTTAATTGAGGTCAGAGGGGAAATGGAAGTGGCGTGGGCGCATCTGCTGGGTAAATATACTCACAAGGTGCGCAAAGAACCGACAAAAATTCACGGCGCATTCTGTTTTCTTGTTTTTTTTTTCTGTTTTTCCCGGTTTTGATCAAGCCGGCTCGGTGGTTAATTTTCATGGTCTATCAATATATAGCAAAAACTAGAAACCCTAGTAGACGATCACAGGGCGCGACGTTCTCTTGGCCATGGGTTTTAGAATGACGCAAATGAACTGCACCGCAGAAAATTTAATTGCAACGCTTAAACGCTATGCCCGTACTTACCATATTCTGCGAGCTGAAACTTGATTTCCGACTTCCGGATACGCTACGAATAAACACGTTTGGTTGTAAGGAAAGTACGATTGAAGGCGTTTCATAAAGATAACAAGAGTTAGACTTATTTCTGGTATTTCAATCTTGTTTACGATAGCCCGCATAGCTTAGAATTCGGTTGAAATTGAAGGGTAAACTGGGTACGGTGTGCCTAAGGGGACACGCCATAGCTCCCCTGTTTTGAGAAGCACCCCTTGCGAGCAACGTCGAATATTTTAGGTTACGTTTCGGTAGTGCGTCGCCACGCTCGCTCAAGCTTGGTATAAATATGTGAATCAATACGACAAGAATAAACGAAGTTGAAAAGAAATCGCAATGAGCCTTTCGTGGGACGCTGAACTGGCAAATCGCGTTTTTTTTTTTTTTTTTTTTCATTGATATGGTAAGATTTGTTAGTTATTTCAGGCCCCCTGTTAGTACCCCTGAAAAGAAGCTGACACACTCTGGCTCTCGCTTGTGTACAGACGTGAATTGTGCACGATGGGACTCTAGGGCGCCACTTACGCCAGCATTAAATAATCGCGTCTCGTAGGCGCTGACGGAGGCTACATCGCTTCTTCTGTGGTCGCCTCCTGCGGACGCTACAGCACCCCCTGTCTAAAAGAGACAGGCCTATGCCCACGTTTGGTAAGGGATAAATCTTTCCAGTTGAATCCTTTGAGATTTTCAAGGTGCTATCGAACCATCTGCTTCATTACCAATCGCTAAAAATTTATAATTTTAAGGTTACAGTTCCTCTAGCGACACTACCGTCATAACACAAATTTTATATGCTAAGCAACTTACATGTACGCCGTACGTAGCAACGGCTTTCCAGGCACCAAAGATTGGGTAATCGGGAAATTTGTAATTCAAACTGTGCATTCCACTTGATCCGCCAAGATCAATAGTTGTGTTGTACGTTATGATATCATGAGGGTTCTGCAAAACGATCGCAAAAATTCCACTTTTAGAGGGTGTGTAGTCTGGTCTTAATGTGACGGAAAAGAGCAGACTCGCAAGTCAGGCAAAGCAAACATCTTCATCTACTTCAATATCTGGCATACTCGATCTTAATTCATTGCCAAAAATACTAGAATTTCCAGAGGTTAGAGTACCCAGGCCTGTTTCTTTCTTCTGGTTCCAACTAAAGCTTCTCCGGACTATTATAGGTATACTGTCTCATAGTAGCGCATCCTAAAAAAACCAGGTAGGCCGTCCCACAGCACTGGACATATTATTTCACTTAAGCGGGGATATCAAATGATTTTTTTTGGGGGTCCCATTTATTTAACAACTCTGACCATCGACCCAGCCTGCTCTTCATTTTTCCCTCTATATACCCAGATTCACGTACATACAAACCAGGACCAAGGAATGACGTCCTAAATTGCATACGCCAGAGTAATTTCTTTGTTGTTCACTACCCCACTTCAAAAAAAGATTCGAGGTTCGATTCCCTGCATAACGTCAAGGATTTGGCTTGAAACTCGTTGAACGAACTTACAGGGAGACGGTCTCGTCAACAACACAAAGTTACTACTATACCTTACACATGCGTTCATGTGATTTACCGGTCGTGTCATTTCGTCATAAGAGTAACCAATTGTCGCTTACCTTTATAAGCAAACAACTGCTTTAAAAGCGCCTAAAGCCCTAGTCGCACAGCCATTGCATCATGCAAAAGAAAATTTGTAGACACTTCCTGAGGCGTGATTCCTCTTTGCATGACTGTCGCAAAGCAAAGCTCCTTCCAACACACTGTATCGCTTTAGAGATGCGAAATACGGTCACAGTCGAAATGTTTCGTCAAAGTGGAGCCGCGTACTCCGCTAGATCCGATGCCAAAGATGCGACCAGCTGCTCTTGAGCAGGCGGCCAGCGGGTTAGTTCCTAGCCAAGCAACACTGGGCGATTGCGTAGCGTCGGTTCTTTGGTCCTTCTCCCGTACCTTTCTTTCTTCGTTGTGTAAAGTAGTGATCGGAGCTCCCTCTCGCGTGTTTCTATTTTTGTTTCGTTTTTTCGGATAATCCTTCCATCACGTCTCCAGCGAACGCCATGTCTTTTGTATGATGTGTGTGCTGCTTGACTGCGACTTTAAGGGACTTTTGTTTTTAATTACCTTAATGTGGAGCTCGACGTTTCCAGCTGAAGGAAGTAGATCTTCTCCTACAGTCATCATTCTAAGATGCACTGAAAATATAATGAATAGCAGGGACGAAAATGGAAGTTCTTTTCTCTAACATAGTCGTGAACATGGAGTTTGAAGTTGCGGAAACTGAGCTGATCAAATATGTTCAGCCTCACGCTCTTATTCAGATTAAATTATCAAATTCGAGTACCGCAGTCAAAAACGCACCCGCAGAAACCAATCATATTTAGGACCTAGTTAAATGCTACTGGTTCCTGTTGCATATTACAATAATTAAAAATGTTCTTCGATGCACTTTTATTCTTGCGATTAACGAGCACCTTTTCAGAAAGACGTCCCGGAATTCAGTTATTTAGTAGGTACCATTTTTTTTTAAGGAACGCAAATTGTGAAGCCATCATTTGTCCGCAGTACAGCATGTACACGTTATTGGACCTAGATACATACTACAGGTTTTTGTTTTCTGTGACAATCATACAGAGTGCCCTTCTGTACACATTTTACCATTGATTTTAATGTAGGTGCTGGCAGTGCTTCACATTTTCTGCGTAATGTGAAAGAACAAAACCAGACGTTCTGAGTTCGTAACATCAAATATCATCACTTCTGAACAACAGGCCGCCATATGTTAAGGGGAAAGAGCATTGGATCTTCCGCTACAAAAATTAAAGAAACTTACCATCGTGTCCTGGATTGTAAATTGGTTTGTCGCTTTGCAGAAAGAGATACCCCCCGTTCTGGCTGAGCAAGAGCCTTGCTTCTTTCTTGTACACGTTGCCACATAGAACAGTCAAAGCCACGTGGCTTGTGTGACCCGATCGTATGTCTTCGGGATTGATTTCATTTTCATCTAGCTTTACCTTAACCAATTCCGAAGACCCTGGACAGAAAGAAAAAGGTGAGAACGATTACTTTTGGGGCATTCCGACAAACATCTGTATCTATGCAGCCTGCTCTTTTTCTTTTCAGTATTTCCTATGCCAGACTCCATGAGAACAGGATTTTAAAACGGTTGACCAGCCGCTGAGCTAGACTGCAGTGCTCGGAGACTTGAATGGTTTCCTCTTTCTATCCCTCGTGCTCTTCGAGCATTTCGCTCTAAAGTTATGTTCACTGCCCCTAAAATATTTCAGTTGTGTTACTAAAGCTTTGGCATAAACGAGAACATTCGACAAAGATCTGTCTGGTTGGACGAAACAGTGATTGACAATCTTCGGCCCATTCATTCAATCATATTTTAAGATATTTTTAAAATGTGTTGTGCAATGTATCCTAATGTGGTAGTAGCCGTCAGGATTCACCACAGACTATTAAAACGATTGCATACATCCTGGAAGGCAGTTAATTTAGTAGACACCATTTTATTTTTAAAAAAAAACTAGAAGTCGTGAAGTATAGTTTGTCCGTTCTAAAGCATATCATTCATCGCCTGCACAGTAAGAGGAGACGCGTCGTCCACGTGATAGGTTTTATTGCCACAGCGAACAAAATTTACTTTTGAGACTAGTTCCTTGTTCCATGGCCAGGTAAACGAGATACTTTCGCAAGGCATTTTAACCGGCACTCAGTGAGTCACTTCGCTAAAGTAAAGATCACTTGTTGAGATATATTGTACAAACGGATGGCTCAAGGAATTCCGAGTTGCTTTTAAAAAAAATTTATGACCAATGTTATAATCATACAATAACAAATGCCAAGGTGGAAGCTTGGGTGAGTTGGTTATTCATGTAAGACGGACATCGCGGAATAGACGAACATTGACAAAAAAAAAAAACACAACACACCATACATCAAGGAACACATCCCGTTGTACCTTTTTGTTGTTCTTCATGTTTTTTCTACGCTGCATGCTTTTAAATGCGGAGAAAAATTCTTTACTGACATTATGCGTTCTCCACAAACACTTATTTAACGGTTGCGTTCGGGTTCTTTCCCAGGTCTTTACAAAAAAAAATGGCTTACCATATCAAGCTGTAGATGCGTTCAGGGCAGAAAACACTCACTGAACCATTTTCAAGGTCAATATTTAGACAGTCAAGTGTCAGACATGAGTGAAGGAACCGCACTTTTACAACTCCCGCTGGTGTCGTGATTGGCTTAAATGGTCGAGCTTACCAGAGTTCAAGGTTATCGTTCGATTGAAGAGTGGGCGAAATCGACCGGGATATTCCTGCATCAGCAACGTGACACTTGTGGAACTTCCTTCGTTGAAAATCACCATGGTTTCTTCCACTCCAACTCGGACAACATTCGGAGCTATCACAATACACGCGTCGCTGTAACAAAAAAAAAAAAACTCCCTCGTAGGAATTATGTTATTATCCGGATTCATTTGCTATCTAATGAATGAATAAAAACACGTATAAAGAGAACATCAACGACAGTTTCGCGTTCCTTTTATGAATCATGAAAAATTCTAATCTGTCTCCTGTGGATGGGAAACATCTTCGACTATCGTTTAAATTATATGACAATGGAATCAAAGGGAAACTGAGAAGGTTGTGACAAACTTACAAAGGGGTTCAAATACGTGATGTTGTGAAGCTATATATTGGTGATTTCATCTCAAATTTTGCAAGAAAGAAAGATGGGTCCTCACAAAAGTATAGACAAAATATACGTTGGTGCAAAATGTCTGACTAGAACAAAACTGCAAATTAGAAATACGGAAATTTGTTTTATTTTTGAATTTTGGGCTTCGAAAGGGCAGAAGGTCTCATCGTGCCATTTTTGTAGTTTTCAAGTGTGACACATTTTGGAGTCTCGAAACGTTTAAATTATTTTTTTCACAACAATGATAACTTTTTGCTGCTTTAAGACTTCGTACTCCCAAGTTCTTTAGAAGTGTTTTTTTTTTTTTTTTATTTTATGAAATAAAAATTTTTGAATATTGCACCTTTGACAACAGTGGCTCAAGATTGAATCGACCTAGCTTTCGATGCACAATAATGTAAGGCATAAGAAACATATCAATTGAAATCTTGTATCTAAGCCTATCTAAAATTTATAATATTGTTAATTTAAGTGTAGTTTATGCACAAGAAACAACACTGTAAACTTCATAATAAAAGCTAGATACAAAAAATTCAACGTAATTTTATTCTTGAATTACGTAAATTTATTTTCTTAATTCGTTTATGAGAAGAGCTTTCTTGGTCGTTAAATATATATGTAATAAAAAATTGACATACGGGTGATTTCATCTCAAGTCGTGCAAGAAAATATAATTTGACCTCAAGAAATTCTCATAAAATATGTGTTCCTGGAAAATGTGTGACTAGAACAAAACTCCAAATTAGAACCATGGAACATTTTTTCTTCTTGAGTTTTGGGCTTCAAAAGGGCAGAATGGTGGTACGGAACGTCTTGCCATTTTTGCAGTTTTCACAAGTGACACCATTTGGAGTCTCGAAACTTTTATATTCTTTTTTCACTACAATTATAAGTTGTTCTACTGCTTTAAAACTTTATATAGAAGGGTTAAAAATCTGTAAAAGTGTCTTTTTATGCTTTTTTTTATTTTATAAAATATTTTTAATCTTGCATCTTTCATGAAAGCGTGTATCTAAGGCAATTTAAAGATTATATTATTGTTAATTTAGGTGCAGTCTATATGGAAGAAACTACTCTAATCTTAAGAAGATATTCTAAAAATACAAATTCAACGTGGTTTCAAAAAATACGTATTTTTATTTCTCAATTTTTGTATAAAAAGCTGTATCTGTTCTTATATATGCAATAAAATTTCCTTGACATATATGGGTCCGTCATATTAAGCAGCGTGTTTAACAAGAAGGCATATTTTTACCTCCATCCGAAGTGCTTCGAATGGAGGGATGAAACGATATGGTCCATATCGTTTCATCTTTGGATGCAGGTAAAAAAAATATTTTTACCACCATAAAAAATTAAAAATATGCGAAATATTTTACCTAATTATTTTATATATAAATATGCTTGTAACGTGACCATAGTATTTATTATATATATCATGAATCATTTAGTAAAAATGAGGCGTGACTGGCATGTTATAATTTTTAAAATGTTCATGCACATCTCCAGTTCACTTATAAAATCTTAAGCTTTACAACTTTTCCTAAAATAGAGTTATTGGAACGTCTTTTTTTTATTTAACAAGCATAAAAATTATGTTCCACAAACACCTATGTCAGGCAATGAAGGAGCGAGATAAGTTATTTTAGAAACCTATAGTGGACAGATCGTGGGACATAGTGCTTCTTTCATGCGGCCGCATATTTCACGTATAATGGCGAGACTTGTTTAAAACTTCTTGACTTTTTTCTTTATTTGAGGCAATAACAAAGTATACAAATAAACGGGGGAAATGCAGAACGATACAAAGCACGTATTATAAGTTCACTTCACAGTAACGTTTATGGTGATAAAAGAAACAGTGATTTTAAGTGATGTTAACATTACTCTTGCGGATTCTCTTTCTTATGTGTTTATCATAACCCTGAAAGACCCGTCTTTATTTTGAGCTTTTATCCACAAGTAGCAGGATTGAATATTTTTCACAAGGCTCCAAAAATTTCGTTATTTTTTTATACTGTGTCACGGTATTGGGCGAGGCGTGCTGCTTCACTTTTGAGGAGTACAATTCCCGGCACTTTCGGGGCCACTACACTAAAAAAATCATCAGCACTCCAATGGTTTCCAGTTCAGACGACCTGAGGTTGTGCAAGGAAGCTTGCCGCTCGAGGACTCTTGCCACGCCATTTCACGCACCTTTGCCGAGTCCCTTTGCTTAAAAAATCAATTTGGTCACCTCTTGCCTCTTCGCCATCTCGTATACAATTGAAACCTATTATTGAAATCACTAGCCTCGCCGTCGGAGATGTGGACAAGTTTTGTAAACATCGGAATGTTTTCTTCCGGACACTATTCAACTGCGCAGAACGAACAGTGCGTGTGCTGTATTGTGCACGATGTCGTCGCTGAATCTCCGAAGTTGTAGATTTTGCGCTCTGTTGTAGCGACGCAGGTGAAGAAAAACACGATTTGGTTCTTCCAATGAAAGCATTCTGCCGCTCGCGGAAGAACGACGCTCCAGTTTTCCGCAAAATCGAAATGCAATGCGATGGTACGAGCCATGAGATGCGACTTTTCTGAGCTTATAGCAAGCCGCTGAGGATGCCGGATGAAGTAATTGGGGAAGTACTTTGTTCCGCTCTTTCTGAGCTCATTGCAAAATCCGTTACTTCTTATTCGTTTCTTTAGCAGTTCGCTAGATTCCCTCAAAGTTACTTCGATTTATTCGTCTTCCCTCATTGTCAACGATTCCAGGGTTAAACCACGGTTAAACCACCTCTTTTTGGACACACCTTACAGGTCAGCAAAACGCACTCCTTAGTTGGGTCAGCGCACAGGCAATGTCTTTTAATGTTTTCAAGACTGAGGTCTTGGTCGCCCACGCATAATAATGTTTCCAGGCAAAGAGTTGTCGCTCCCTCTCTCGGTTTTGTTTAACTGTGTCTAACAAGCTCTGAAGAGACACATGATATGTGGACCGCGTAGCACCTGCCAGCGAAGCAAAATGAAAACGGGAAAGCTGCCGCTCTGGAAGGCGGCGGCGGCACGTGAGCTTTAGCTCAGCCAGCGCCTCCTGGTAATCCCAGCATTTCAAAAGCTTCTCCCTTTCTATCACGTGCACGGATCGTCATATGGTAGTCGTTTATAATATCTGCACTAAATAAACAATTACGAAAGCTATATAAAATAGGGATGAGACACGCGTGAGCTAAAAATAATAGTGGCATGTCTATGTACTGCTCGGCCTGTAAACTGCCCTTTCATTCCCCTTTCCTTCAAAAAGAAAAAAAAAAAATAGAAAATGCAGCTTACGAGATCCTTGGAGGTACTTATATCTCAACAAGAAAAAAAATATAGACAAGTCGAAATTAGGGAAGACGCCCACACGGGCAGAAAAACGAAAGCAAGCGCCGAAGCGGCGCGATGCTATCAGAACTGATAGTTCCACCTCATATCCTTCTCAGATTTGGAACGTGCGTTTGGTTTCGCAAACATAGAAGTGCCAGTAGTAAAGACGGGGATTGGGAGGTTTCAACAAGCCTAGCTTAGCTATCCTGTAAAGAAGTTGTTTGAAGAAAGAAAAACTTTATGCACATTAATTGGCGTGCTCGGCGGGCCGTCGCTTTGAAATGTTTTCCGCACAAGTGCTCTATTAACTGACGGAAAACTTTTAAAACGTCCTATAAACAGTATGTTTGTTGATCTCATATGATAATGCTTAAACATTATTTATGACAGTTTTGATTTCTGTATTTTCCTATGTAAGCAAACTCAACGTGGGGAAAAACCCCTTACCATATTATACTATAAATAATATCGATATGTGTACGTTTTGCCAAATTGTACGTGGACTCGAGAACAAAAAACAAAACTATGATCATGTTACAAAAATAACTAATATTTAAGTGAAAAACAGAATGACAGCGATATGCGACGTAGAGTGGAGGTACAAATATGTCTTCTTTTTCGAACGCACTGCTTAATATGACGAAACAATATACGTCAAATAAATTGAATTGCACATGAAAACATTGAAAGAGACTTAAGAAACGTGTTTTCCCAAAATGACGTTGAACTTTGTACCATTATGTACCATTAGCTCTTCTTCTCATGTTTTCAGAGTTGTTCCTTTTATATAAATTATACTTAAATTAACAAAATTATAATTTTAAATAGGCTTAGATACGTGCTTTTATTTTATATGTTTCTTAGGCCTTAAATAATTGTACATTGAAAGCTAGCTCGATTCAAACTTGGCTCATTATTGTCAAAAATGCAGGATTCAAGAATTGCTGTTTTATAAAAAAAAAAAGAATAAACAATTCTAACGAACTTATATATAAAATATTAAACCAGTAAAAAAAAGTTATAATTGATGTTAAAGATTATCTAAACGTTGCGAGACTCCAAAATGTGTCGCTAGTGGAAACTGCAAACATGGCAAGACCTTTCTTCTGCCCTTTCGAAGCCCAAAACTCAAAAACACAAAATGTTCCGTAGTTCTAACTTGGAGTTTTGTTCTAGTCAGGCATTTTCCACCGACATATATCTTTTTCAGCATTTCTTCAGGACCCATCATTTTTTATCGCTCGATTTGAGATGAAATAAAACCTCCTCTGCGGTGTTTCCGGTATTAGTGGTGCACATAACGGTGTTTTAGAAGATTCGATAATTATACTTAACAATTAACTTTATAATTTCGAAGTCTCGGAACGGACTTCTGCTTCCAGAGTTCAAGATTTGATGCCTGATGTTAACTACGGTAAAACATCAACGTCCAACATATTTCTTTTTTTTTTTAACATTTCTTAACTCTGGTGCATGGCGCGCTAAGTTTAAAACATTTGAAGAACTATTACGAGTTTGCATTTAACCTGCGTAAATTACTACGACATGTAAACAGGTCTATCCGTAATCTAGCCAATCTGAGGAACAGGTTTACTCACATCAGACTTCCAGAGAAGAAAATATTCACCAGGAAACACAAAAGGCAGACCGTGACCTGTTTTGCATCTTTTGCCATAATTCTGGGGTATTCTACGCAGACCAAATAAATTCAGGAGCGCGACTTCCTCGTCGCGACGCGGTTTCTTCGTAAAGCTCCCGAGGTTTGGCGACCGTCGAAACCCGATCTGCACCCCCCCCCCCCCTCCCCACCCCCTCCGAGAACTGCGTCACGTGACTTGAGCTGGAGAACTGATTATCAGGTCCGATACCACGCAACAGAAATGAAATGCGCGTGTTGGCATTGCCTTCCATTGAAGCAAGACAGGGTTTTTTTTCTTACACGGGATCCGACTTTCTCAAGTTCGTTTTGATTTCATTTGATGGCATTGTTGTCTCAAAGAACAACTGGGTGCTTCCACGTCAGATCGTACAATGACTGTGCGAGTCATATTTTATATTTATATCAGAAATATATGTGAAAGTGATGTTCTAGGGGGAACATTCAGCTATATGTGAATGCCGTAGCTAAATTCCTTCCACGATATATAAAATTGAGAAACTCGAAGCGTGGACATTGGCGAGATTTCATTATGGCAGTTTGCGGAGCAGTGTCACACCAAAGCAAACGCGTAGTTAAAAAAAAATTCATATATTTCATAGACAATTTACGACATGCACGAAACACGAAAAAAAAAACGTTTTAGAGACATATTCACAAATTGTTTACCACCAACCAACTTGATGCAAAACCCCCCAAAACTTATCACAATGTACGTCTTGAATTGCAGCTTACGAATATATAAAAATATTTGCTTCGCCGTCATTGTAGTTTTGTTATTAACGCAGAAACGTTAGTAATTTCCCTAAAATTAGCAACATTGCACGTCAATGTTTAGAAAACTCAATATTTTATTACTTTTAATCCTTGCACGACATCGGCTCCAAAGATATATTACCTAGAACCGGCGAAGTGCTCTGTACAGCGGTACCGCTGTATCGCATAGTGAAGAAAGTCGTCATATATGTAACTTAAAACCGTAGAGACTATGAAGAATAAAAAAACGGACAACACAACACAAAATTTTCAGAACAGCTCAGTCAAGCCACGTCTAGATTTAACCAGACGTGGCTTGACAGGCTTAATCCATACAAAACTATACACACTTCAGACAACGAGCATCTGCAAAATGATCTCCGTCAAGATTACGAGAACCGACCAAGTTCCTAATCTCATGGTGTTAGATTACCCTTTCTAACCAGCTCCTTTGCGTGATTGTGTTCCAAGAAGGTCCTACTGTGCCAAGCTTTGTTTTATCGTTTTGGTTCCTTATGTTGCCTCATAAGCCCTCCCCCCGCCCCTTATTTCTTAAGGTGACGGCGGGCGCCACTGCTGCCGGCAGTTGGGAACTGTATGATGAATGGCAGATTGCCTTGAAACTCAAACACGCTCACAAAGAAGGCCAGCCACCCCGTAAACAAGGGGAGGCAAGTAGTATCCGGGGCGTCCTTATCTTGGTGTCCAACATTGTGAGATGGAAAACAAACAACATCGGCTTACCATTTCAAAGTATCAACGTGTAACATAACGTACAAGGAATGCAGCTAGAAGTTGGGAAGCACAGGGACGTTTTGTTGCTGTTTTGGTTGCACCACGCTAACCAAACATTTGGAGCCTGGAGAGAGGCATTCAGAAACCCGCACAGGAGAATTCGGAGACGACACGTCAAAGAAGACGGTCACTTTTACAAAACAAAAATGTATAAAGGAATAGAGTTTATTCTTGAACCCAGCAGGAAATCTACTCACGGCCAGAAGATTTAGCACCGTGTGATTTTCTTGTGTGGACTATTTACGGGGATACAAGAAAAAAGTGCACGGCGACAAGCACCTTGTGCCCGTTGGGAAGCTCAACAAAGTGAAGTTGGAAAAACTTGTGGCTCCACTAACTGGGAAAACATCTGACCTTCTATGCAAACATTGCTTCGAATACATTCAGACTAAGATTGCTTCACCTAACAGCGTGAGTACATCAGAATCTTCTTTCTGGATTCGGGCAAAATTATTGCCGGAGTGAATCAGAATCAAATGTTGTGTTGTGTTGTCCGTTTTTTTCCCTGGTCTCAGTGTTTTAAATAATGATGACTATATCTGCAATAGAGCAGCACCGATGTACGGACTTTGCCGGTTCTAGAGAATACCCCTTTGGAGCCGGCGTCGTGCGGCAAAGCCCCTATAAAGAAGACAAGCTAGCCCAATTTGTGTGAAGGTTTGTTATCGCTTTCTCAATTGGAGGTCATATGCTACTCAATATTTTGCCATCACAAGTTAGTTCAAGTTAGTGCAACAAATTATTATAATTTTTTAATGTTGGCAAGTTTTTAAATGGATACTGAACCGACATTTCGAGCTCACAATAAGGGATGGAGCGATAGGCAGTACGCTGCACAACCCTAAAGCACCACTCATATAGCGATATTTCTATAGTCGGTGACAGGTCAAGAACCAAGTGGAAGCTCCTCCCACACCTTTCCACTCCAACGGAGCGAACGGTGGAGAGGAGGTCGCCTCCTCTCCAGCGTTCGCTCTACTAAAGTGCAAAGAGGTGGGAGGAGCGGATCCACTCCGTTCTTGACCTGTCACCGAGTATAAGAGAAAGAACGGAGCAAAGAGGAGACGTCCGCCATTTTGACGCAACTCGTCTGCTACGGGCTTATTTCTTTTTCGCCTGAACCAATGTTTGCGTTTAAACGTGGAGAAAGTGAATTCGTTAGCTGTTTAAGCCACCGAGAAATAACACTATAATTTTCTTGCCAGAGCCTGCCAAATGAAAGGAAAGAACCGAAATTTGGATGTCGCTCCCAAGCATTCCGCTAAGCGAATGAATGAAAATGGCGGCCCTCCCCGCTCAGCTGGGATAGCTGGGAGCAGCCGGGAGTTCATGCAGCGCATGCGTTTACGCCTCTCGCTCTGCGCCGCGGGCCGATTGGCTTCACTCGGGAGGTAGGCGTTGCGGTGGCCAGATCCCAGACTGGCCGAACTCTCCCCATATACGGCTCTGGTAGTGCTTAGAGTTCATGTATAGGATCCCCGTAACGCCGTCTTTCCTGCACGGCATGTTGATCCTGCTCCTCACGTGATTGAATTCGGCGAATAGCGGCGCCCCACGTGCAAGGCGCGCGGCGCGCTCAAACGCAGGGGATTGTACGTACACCGGGGCGCGTGTAACGTCTACTTTCCTGCCCGGCATTTGATCCTACTCCTCACGTGGTCGGACCTCGGCAAATAGCGGCGCGGCGGCACGTGGAAAACAGACGCGCAGCTCTGGCTCCCGTAGGGAGCCTATACAGGAACTCTATATATTAGTGCTGAATTTGCTGAATTATCAACGCCACCTAGAGGCAAACGCGGGACAGTGATCAGACACGAGTGCCGCGTCAGCATTCAGTGACGATGATAATCCCTGCAGAAAGGGACGAAGGACAACCACAAATCTCCAAACACAACTAGGTGACCGGTTTGCCACAAAAAAAAAAACCGCCTGGTCCTGGTGTTGAACCAGGGACCTCTCCATTTCCAGTGGAGCGCTCTACCAACTGAGCTAAACAGAAGTTGGACATCAGTAGAGCAAACGGGTTTTAACAACCTAGCTGTGTTTGGAGATTTGTTTGTCCTTGGTCCCCCTTCTCCAGGGATTATCATTATACTTGTCCAGCTAGCTTGTACCTTTGCATTATCATCATAAAAAAATGCAGGCCATTCACCCTTGGTGGTGTCACTGGTGGCAGCTGTTAAAACCCGTTTTTCCTAACTCCTGGTTAGCTCAGTTGCGAGTACTCCACTGGAAATAAGTTGGCTCCTGGTTCGATACCAGGACCAGGCGGGTTTTTTTGGTCGCGCACCAGTCATCTAGCTGTGATTGGAGATTTATTTGTTCTTTGTCAGCTTCTTCAGAGATTATCGTCATTCTTGTCCAGCTCACTTGCATCTTTGCGTTAATTGCATTATCAGCATTCAATGGCGACTTGTCTTCAGGCAGTGACGACACGAGCCTCCACAGAATTCGCTAGCATTCTTCTTTTTCCCCCTACTGGCGCACTCAAAAATGGCGTCGTCTGGCAGGAAGGGAAAGAGAAATGATAGATGGTGAGAGTGTTGTCAAGGAGGAAAGCCAAGTATGATGGTTCGCGTTACATTCAGTGTAGAGGGATTTTAGTTGGAAGCAGTGTTGCGGAGTTGGAATGATTCCGGAATGATTCCGCATTTTCGCGACCCCGGAATGGAATGGGAATGGAATGGCGGCAACGTTCAGGGGAATGGAATGGGAATGGAATGGACCTTTTTCCAGTAAGCGTCTGCGCACGCGCACACCCTTTCCACTTGACCTTGACCGCCCTTTCGCCATTTTTGGGGGGCACTGTTTTCTCGCGACACTAATCTGATCCTATGGGAGAAGGCGAGTCCGGGTGCCCTCCATTTGTAGTAGGCGGCGAAACCGTCATGGGGCACTCCTTACTGGAAAAAGGTCCATTAGATGCCTTTTGCCCGGAATGGAATGGGAATGGAATGGGGCGAGGTTCTTTATATTTTATTTATTTATTTATATATTTTTTACGTTCAGCTATACCGAGCCAGTCAGGGAGTCGGTTGTTCAGAAATAAAATGAACGGGAAACTGCGAACCCGCGTAAGGCCCTAGCAGACGTATGCACAAAAGAAAAAAATGCAATACAAAAAACAAGCGTCAAAGCAACGAACAGAGGGGGGATGGGGGGGGGGGGGGGGGGGGGGGCGGCGGTGGCGCCTTTCACTAGTGAAGTTCAACACATATCCGAATGCGTCTGCGCCTGTAATATTGCACGGCTGGTACGCCATCAGCCGACGTGAACGTGACCTGCTGCTCTGGTGATCCGATACCCAGGAAGGAGGCCAGACGTGGCCTCGCTGTGCGGACCCAGACTTCGTACACTTTCGACTCGTCTCGTGCGCGCTGTTTCTCGAAGAGCTCGCACCTGTGCCGGCCATCTCAGGTCGCAATCCACGAGGTCCCTGTTTGAATGATGCTAGGCGAAACTTGAAGACTGCCATTCATGCGTTGGAGGCGGAGAGTCGGCAGGAAGGACCGTCACAACAGGGATGCCACCGTATCGATTTTTCAACCGTAACAGAAGATTATACATGTGTTTCAGGTGGTCCACTTTTCTCGAAAATTCCAAATGCAACTGCCTGCGTGGTCTTCAACGAGGTCAGATACAACGAAAGTATGCATTGTCCTTTCATACAGCAGCGTGGGTAAAGTTTCATGTTCAAGGCAACACCTACAGATACAAGAATACTAGTTCATTCCACCGTGACGTCATGTGATCAGTGCTGACAGGGGATGCCCTTATTGGACAGGGAAGTGGTGATTTTTTGATGGAATTTATTTTAGAGATCGAAGTCTTTTCGCATCACTGGTGAGTCAGACAGGATGCCAGGGAAGGGACCGCGGTCAATCCTTGATGGAACGTTTTTTAAACCCATTTAGGACTCTTCGTCCGGAACCACTACCTTCAAGGCGAAGTGCCAAGCCTGCGGAAAAGTAATTTCGGGACCAAAAAAAAAAAAGAAACTTCCACTTCAAACTTAAAGCCTCATCTCAGTTGGCTTCTCAAAGAAATTTGATAAATGTATTGTATTATCAGTATTTATATTTCTGCCCTCCCTAAAATGTATTCTTGTATTTGTACTTCCAAAGACTTTTTTGCCTCTTTTTAAAATATATTTCCGATACGTATCACGGTACATTTTTATAGATATATTTGAGACTTGAGTATCAGTATCTCAGCAACTATTTTCATCTACCCCGGTATTTGTATTTCCAAATACATTTCTGAATATTTCTGCCCAACCCTGCAACGTAATGCAGCTGTCAAGTGACACTTTTAACGTTTAGGAATTGGAGGAATGGAATGGAGCGACTCAGCCATTCCAGGAGTGGGAATGGGCCCAGTGCAGCCATTCCTAGGAGTTGAAAGGAATGGAATTATCAAAAACTCTAATTCCCCGGAATGGAATTGGAATGGAATGGGGGTGCCCATTCCGCAACACTGGTTGGAAGCAGCAGGTTCGTGCAAACGGTTCTTAGCTGTTGCCTCTAGTCAGAACTTTCTGGCACTAGCCAGAATCACCAGGGAAGTGTCTGGAGCACTGCAACTGCCTCGCTGTTACAGCTGAGTGACACTCTACACATTGCAGTAAGCACGGAGAGTCTGTCATTGAAAATAATGGGTTGTTGCAACTCATACCGAAGTGCAGTATACACCTACCAGTATTATTAAATCGGTCCAACCTTTCAGAACACTGTATTCTGTGGCATTTCTTAGGGGCACAAAGGTTGAAATATCACCGAGGAAGAGCAGCGAAAACAATAGAAATATAGGATGCTATAAATATGATGTATTCATAAAATGAGTCTCAATAGAATGCATTGTATAGTTGGTGACAGGTTAACAGTTCTGGGGAAGCTCCCCCCCCCCCATCCCTCCCCTCCCTCTTTCCACCTTAGCATGAGTGAACAGTAGAGAGGAGGCGACCTCCTTTCCAGTGTTTGCTCTGCTGAAGTGGAAAGAGGTGAGAGTTTTCTCTGAACTCTGAACCTGTCACTGACGATAGTATGGTGCATCTTCAAGGATCACCAAATGATTGCACTGGTGCCCACGAGGCATACTCTTACCGATATATTGCATTCACTACTGTCTCTTGAAATATTCAAGCCTTTTGTATAAATTTATGCCGAGGAATTTGCAGCCACACATTACAGTGACATACGATTACTAGGGATATCACGAACCAGCAGAGGTGAGAGTTCGACCATTATTGGATGCACGCAAATCGAAAACGATCCAGGACTGCCTGGCAGAGGAATGCAGCATTTGAACTAAACCACTAAAAGTTTATATGTTTGTTTCGGTATTGTGTGAACATCGGTCATTGTTTCCTAGTATATAGAGAGCAACCTATTCTATCAATAATTTCTACAAAAAGAAACACATTTTGTGTACAGGCCACGAAGTTTGACTTCGTGGAATTTGACCAAAAGTACAAAGGTTCCCCGAAACAGTCGAATATAGATACTCTACATTAAACCTCAGGTTCCACAAGTTTGTGAGATTCCTAATCATCACGAAGTAAAAATGTTTTATTCAGTAGATCATTTCATGGGAGCAATATTTACCCTGCTGAGAACCAGCAAATAGGGGTTTGAAAGTTATATAAGCTATAGACCTAGTTAACCTAACAACCATGACACAAGCCAAAAGCCAATGGTTAATTTTCAGTTCCAAGCCAGCCAAATTTGTAAAATTCATGTAGAGACACAGAAATGTGCCAACGCACACTCAAGTAGCTTACAAGGTTTCTTGTGTCAAGCTTTCTTATTTTGGCCATCAGTGTTGAATAAATGAACCATTAGATTTAGCACGAAAACTTGCAGAGCATGCCAGGCACCTACAATCAATAGTGCATTACATGTGCGTAGAATAGATAACCTCTGGGGTATGACTCCACTAACCATAAGTGAAAACATACATTACAAAGTGTCACACAACCATTTGACGCATCCAAACATGAGTCTGAAAAGCCAGTTACCAACACTGCATACACAACAATCATTAGCTTTTTATGGGTTCCCCCCAATGTAACGTAATGAAAGGTGTTTATTGGCACCAGTGGAAAGGTTTTAGGCGAACAGACACTAGCTCACCAACACACAATTCGTTGACAAGTCAAACACCATAATATCGGCAAGTCGCCTCAAGTCCGCCAAAGTGCAGTGTGAGTGGCAATCTAGTTAGAACGTCACTTATGCTCTCGGCTGTCATGTGTGCACAGTGTGGCGGGGCCCGGTCGGCGACTTCTTCACAACGTCCCTTATTTTCAGGTACGACCGCACTTTGAGCCAGTTCTCCAGTCCGATCCTGTCCAACTGTAGCCTCTGGCCTCCGTTGACATCCTCACAAACCACACTCTCACTGACCACGCCTGCCAAGGTCATGAAGTTGAGCTCTAGATACCGCTTGCCTTCCCTGATCCACTGCTTGAGGTCCGGGTCGCTGCCGAGCGCATGGTCCCTCATCAACCTGAACAGCGACTCGCTCTCGCAGAGCAGTTCAAACGCCAGGGCGCACTTTCTTGTCCGCACTCCCCTCACAAACTGCACCGCCTGGAAGAGCATGGCAATGTTCCTGCGCAAGATCTCTCTAACCTGGTACATGCTGTTCTCGAGTTCACGCAGCTCCATGGTCCTGAACTCGGTGAGAAAATAGTTGTCTGTGAGGCAGCGCACCATCTCCCGCGTCAGAATCCAGGCGCCAGAGGAGAGCACTGTCAGGTGGTTCAGTGTCTTGCTCTTCTTGAGAAAGGCCCCGAACGCCCCCGTATTGCCCTCGCTGAAGTTCCAGTCTTCAATGATGAGGTTGTTGATGCTCCGGTTTGCCTTAAGCCCCTGCACCAGGATAAGTGTGGTGACATCCTTCGTGAAGAAGGAGAGGTGCACGTCCTTGAGGGCCCAATTTGACGACATGAAGTTGGCGAGGAGAGTCGCACACTCTACGTCCAAGTACTGATCTAGCTTCAGCGTCAGCTGGACAATGTCGGGGAGACACGCGAGCTGGCACAGCCCGTCCCTGACAATCCTCAGATCGAGGCTGTCCTGGGGTCCATAGTAGTCCCGGCGCATCCTCTGACCGGCGTTGATCGTGCTCACGTATATGAGGGGCTCCGAAATGTAAGAGCGGTACCTGACTTTGTCCTCGATTCCCATCTCCTTCAGAACCATACGGAACTCTCCGATCCTTGACTCATGAATGTTCTTCAGGAAGACCAGCTCAAGCGTCTTGCTGTCTGCAATGACCTCGAGGAGTGGCCTCGCATCGTCGACGCTTGTGGCGTTGCAACGTAAGGTGAGCCTCCGCAGTCTCGTGTTCTTGCGGACGGCCTGTCCAATGGCCTCCAAGTGCCAGGTACTGCAGGTGACAATCTCAAGCTCCACGAGGCCAACGTTCCTCTCGATCAGCTCCGCCAAGAATGTAGTGTCGCTCATCGAGTCGTCGCCGACGCGCAAGGAGCGGAGTGTGTCGTTCACGGTCATTGCGTCAGTGAGTATGTCTCCGTCGGACGGATCCCAGTGACCGCTGAAGAGCTTGAGTGTCTCCAGACACTGGTTGGTCTTCAGCGAGCTTAAGAGGACGGCAATCGAGCCCGTGCCGTCGTAGATCTGCACCTCGATCACTAGCTCTTTCAAAGTGGCGTTCTGGGCGAGGTACTGCGCAAATACGACGTCGCCGTTTTGATCCCTCAGGCAGCCGTCGTTCATGGTCAGCGACACGAGGCTTCTGCTGGCCGCCAACCCCCCCGCCAAATTCGCAGCAACTCCCCTTGTTGTGGTTCGTGGGAGGTGCAACACGAGACGCTTCAAGCTCTGCGACTGCTCGAGGAAGATTCCCAGCCGTCTCAAAGCACCCACAGACACGGAGACCCAAGCAAACTCCAGGTCCTCTAGTCCCACGATCGTGGCCACAGCTGCCATGATGTCCTCGGAGACCGACGCACTCAGGTCGTACCTGCTCAGCTTCAGCCTCTTCAGCCCCGAGCTAACGCGCAGGGCATAGCAGAAGAGGTGGTGGTTCATTGGGATGACCGAGCTCTCAAGTTCCAACGTCTCAACGCAGTGGTGCTCATTCAGGAGCCAGTGCAAGAGGATGCACGCATGTTGCCTTTGAAGGTCCGTGACCACCTTGCTGCGGCAGCCGAGCACGTGGACCACGCCGAGCTTTCCAGGGGACAGCTCCTTGAGCTCTGCGTGGATGAGCCAGAGGAACTCGTTCCAGGTGGTGAGGTCGTTGGTGATCTGGCACGGTGTGCTCCCGATGCCCGTGCAGGTGAGGTTGTAGCGGATCTTCCTCAAGCTCAGGGGGCTCCTGGAGTACAGCAGGTCCTGGTGGATCTTCCCAACCGGTGGAAGTCCAGGACAGTTGCGGGCGAGGCTTATGGCATAGCTTCTGAGTGCTTGCGCTGTACTGAGTGCCACCCTAGCAAAGAGCAATAATGAAAAGATATTGAGGAGAGGACACACACAAACTGGCAGATAGCCAGCAAACTAAGAAAGGCAAGATGCAGCTCATTATGCTGAATGCTATAGTAACTGAAAGAATAAGAACGGCAGGGAAGTCCTTCAGTCGTCCCACCTCCAGCGCAAGCTTTCTAATCTTCGATGATGCTTCAGTGTCTTGTAAGCCTTAAGTGTGCATGCACAGCCAAAGCGCAGCAGAGGGCTATGAATGTATGCTGGACGCTGGGCATTTGAGAGAGATGTCCTGCCATACTCACTCTGTCATTGACTCAATGGAACCTATGAAAATTCCACATCAAGCATGGAGGTTCTGCGGAGACATGCCTACAATGGGACCTACTTCAAAATTTGGTGAGCCAGATTTAGGAAGAAAGGGCTGCCAAAGGCTGCAAAAGGGCAACCAAAGGCACGGGCGGGAGAGGGTAGCATGACAAAATATTTTGGCTGCACAAGCACTTATGAACAAAGAACTCTGTCCAAAGCAACATGCAGCCTCCTGCAAGATTGCATGCAACAGCTGCAAGGGAGCATAGATTCGTCCAAAGCTCTCGACAACATCACATTTAATGTTTTCAAATTAAAGTAAAAAAACTCTGCTGCCATTGCCCTCTTAAATATTCCTAACTTGAAAAAGATTGCCATGTACCGAGACATAAAACGAATTCCTTCCGGATACGCTAGGGTCTACGCACTAAACAATCACGTGGAAAACATGGTCTTCGGTGCTTTTTGTTCTGGCAGTGTTGGGTTCATTTCGTACGCCTAAAGTTCATTGACAAGACACACTTTATGCTTCTTGAAATTAAGCAGAGCTTTGACCCGAGACAATATAAACGCTGGCGGAGCAGACAAAAAGACACACAGAGTGCTGCATTTCCAACCGTACCTTGGGAGCAAGACAATGCTGACGGAACATTAGATAGCGGCTGGGGTGGGGAATGCTAGCAAGAAAGAGGAGGATGAAGGTGGAAAGCAGTGATTTGAAGGTATTACAAACTATATCTGGTGAAACATTTTCTACTTCTGGGGTATTTCTTTTTAACAATTTTATTGCTAACGCTTTCCTGACTGCAGGAAAAGTAGCAATTTGAAAAGGATCCATGCAAATGCTTTTATTTTTCTAACTTCCATATGGAGCAATATGACACATCAAAATGAGGCCAATTAGTTGCTGTTTAAAAAAAAATGGTTCATGTAATGTGGAAAAAAAGGTTTTCAAATTTTATTTCTTGAAAATACAATGTGTGTGCGGAAGGCGTTTAAAGGACGAAACTTCTACAGCTATGTCAAATTAAGCGACAAACGAAAATTCTGAATACAGAAAATATGCCCAACACCCACGGTATTACTTCTGAAACAGTGTAGTCTAACTGACGTCTATTTTCGGTTCGGCAGAGTTAGCCTCTGTAAACCGTGTGCAAGCATTCCTTTGTTGAAAAACAAAGAAATGCTTATATTTGTGAAACACAGGTAGTACACCTGACATCCCCAGCAGAATGCTTTCCTTGTGTTTTACCTTGGTTTCGTCATAGCCTCGATTTCAGTTTCCTCCTATTTAAAATTTTTGTGCACCTTTCCTGGGAACATAAATTGTGCATGTCGGCTCAGGGCAACCTTGGAAATTAATGTGATGCTTACCAACAACCAACATTTAAGCAACACCTATAACATCATATAAAGTGTCCCCAGAGCTTTTGTGCTCTAAAAAATATGCCACAAAAAAGGTGAATTATGTAAATAATGCCACATTTGTTACGAAGACTGATTCAAGCAGTTAGCCATGTTAGACAAGTGCCACCACCGCTCCCATGATTATTTTTGACAGCCCACCAGCTTGTGATAAAGCTTAAACCTACATTCAAGCCAAAACTAGAGTTCTTCGGCTATCCACGAGATTATGGAACATAATTCTACCTGCTGAATTTGCGTTTCTTGACGGTGCTTGAAAACCATCGATCACCGGTGATCTATAGACCAACATGCGGCCCTAACGTCACGCAGCTGCGGTGGCGCTGTTGATGACACTGCGCAAGCTCAGACGCTTCACTTCACGCGAATTCGGTTTTTGCGCACGCTTTGCCCGGTGCCGCGTTTGCCCGGTGTGGGAAAACGCGGGCTTGTTTGTAAACAGCGTGTCGGTCTATAGCCTATGGGTGCAGTCAGGAAAGAGTGAATACAAGTTTTAGTTAGAAAATATCTTAGTGCCCTTGTGTCACCACGCTTTTAATGCGAGCTTCAAAAGAGCTGTTTTTCCTTTCCACGTTTTCATACAATACAGCCAGTGCACTTCTGAATGACCAGTCGTTCACAGCTTTTTATACGGTCAATACAAAAAAAGTTAAACAAATGATTCTCTTCAGAAAGACAGTAAAAATGCATTACAAAGTGGACGATACAGATCAAACTCCCAATAAAAATGGCGTGCAAAACCAACATGTCTAAAATAATAGGTGGCCCGTTATGTGCGTGTGGCACATGTTTCCCCACAGCCTTCCCTCTCCCTGAAAAATGGACTATTCCTATCACCTCCCTCCCAGCTTGAGAAAATGGATGCTGTGCCACATGTGGCAAACTTTTCTTGTGTCCGCTTGCTCTGCTGTCGCAGGTCAAAATGCCTCCGACTGTACGGCAGCGGAATAATGTGGAATTTGCCACATCAATCACACAAGCTTTGCCATGCATGTCGGATGCTGCAGACCATCAAGAAACCTGAATAGCTTCCTTGCTGTATAGCACAAGCTCTCAGGTTTGAAAGTTGCATACAAGGCTACAATTACACTCCACTCACTTCCAAGCTTGCTGGACAGCAAAGTCGACAAGTGTTAGCTACCCTGAAGTCCTTGCTTTGAGAGGTGACTTCCTAGACCCCATTTACACCTAAGCTAACAATGCAGTGGACGCTATATGCTTGTTGGATCAGTCAACTGTAGGCCTTGCACAACCTCATCACGCTATCTGTGAATACTCTCACGCAAAGAGCGGGGTCAGGCAATGTGATGCAAGCGATTGTGCCACAAAGGTGTGTTTTGAAGCTACAACCTCAAGCCCATACACGGGAAGCTGGATGAAAAGGAACAGCCTGGTGAAGGCAAGATTATGGATGAGAGATGAAGATCCTGATGGACAAGGAATAAACTGCAGTAAGGAGGTGGTAGACTTAGTGAGTTAATGACTCTTAAACATAACAACAACAAAAAATACAGCACATAAAAGACTAGAGGAAGATAAGGGAAACTCACAACAAACAGATAACTGACTCACAACTGGCATGTATTAAAGGGGCAGTGACCATTTTAACTCTGAAAATAATTTGCAGCTTTTAAATTGCTCATCTTGGCACAGGCGCGAGAAAACACATCGTCTTCCCCCGAAACACTGCAATTCCGTGCTTTGACAGCAAAGAAGATTTTTTTTTACAATTTGCAGTTGCATGTGGCGGCAATTATAACCACAGGGTTATGTTGTTAGGAGTATGCAATTTTTCGTGGCACCATCTACAGGAAGTTAAACAAAACTATTTCCTCTCTGCCACTACCCTCCCCGTCGTCCCGTGGCGAACAGTCTTAGGTATCAATTGGTCGCTGAGACGTACAACGATGCAGAGCAGATATGGTGCTCAGTAATGGTTTTTCCGCTCCTGAGGATGGTTTTCTCAGTCCACGTCGTCTCCCTCGAGTTTCGGTCGGGACCTGGTCACCGTGGAGCACTGTGCTGTGCTGTGGATGTCTGCCGTTCTCAACAATCAGGAACCAGAGGACTCGTAATGGATGTAAGGACAAATATATTTACAATAGAGAGCGAATATGATACAGGGGGCTGTCACGCTGCTGCTGCCGCTCGCAGCAGCCCAACACCAACAATTGTACCCCGGCGCCAAGTCCCTTGCCGCGCACGGCAAGTTCTCTGTGCCGCAAGACAGAATGTGCGGGGCCCTCGGGAGGGTGAAGTCTTGCTCCCTACGGGCTCGTCCAAACTCAATCCGTCCTGGTTCGCCAGGACCTAAATACAAGCCTACTGACACCGGGCCTGTCCAATCAGAGAGGTTAAACAATCCTATTGAGCCCAGTGATGCACACTCTCCACGCATACAAGGGGAGCCACCAAGGCTTCCCTACCACCCTTTCCGCCCCCACTACATGAAGGTTGTTGAAGCTGCCGAACTCGTGAGTCCCCAGCGTCTAATATCACAAGCAAAGTCCGTTCCCCCGAGTCCTCCGGTTCCTGACAGCCAAGAACGGCAGACACCCACAGCACATCACCCTGTTCCACGGTCACCCGGTCCCAACCGAAACTCGAGGGAGATGACGGGGACCGGGGAAACAACCATCCTCAGGGGAGGAAAAACCGTTACTGTGCTCTATCGTAGCCGAACCAGACTTGGAAAAGCCGACAATCCAGGAGGGAGAGGTGCGGCCCCCAAAGACAAATCCGAACGTGCCACTCCTCTGGGTGACAACACCACGCAACACTAGAAAAACGGAGCGAGTTAAGGGGTGCCTCGACGTTCGCTTTATTATTTTATTTCTCTAAAAACTAGCACATGCAAGAAAAAGTAGTTTTCTGTGCTTTATTCTCAAGTGACATACCATAAAATACCGAGGAAGCGCCAACCCCACTTTCACTGAAAACTGGGTCAATCTAGAGATGGGCGATTCACCGGTCAAATAGGTAAAAACTGAGATGGTGGCCAACAAAGAGCTTTGAAGGCTGGGTGAACGGAATCGGAGAAAACACATTTATTTTCACATTATGTCCCCATCGTCGCTGCCGGCAGACTTGCGGCCACCACCACGGGGTGAATATTTTCGGCTAATACCGGCACTTAACCCACAACTTGCGGAATTCCCAAGTTTGGGAAATCTTAATAGTGGGTGCCTGTTTGAAGTGGGTGCTTCCGCAGTATCTTACGGTAGACAGATTCTGGCAATTGGCCAGTCTGAAGATCGCTGCACCGTCCTTTGAATAAAAGCAAGGAAAAAGGAGACGAGTGGAGCAATAAAGCGAGAAGGAAGAAAGAAGCAGAGAAGAAATTATGTGCCGAGAGGTAAACCGTGCACTACACACAAGCTGGGAGGCAAGGTTGCATGCTTTTTTTTAAGTTAGTGTGTTTAACAGTCATTAATTTGCCCAGCTTACCACATGGTGGGAGCCCATACACTTCCATTCCTCTGTGACTTTCTACTGGGAGATAACCAAAGTTTTTAACTTGCACCCAAGGCCTCCGCCGCATGCTTCAAGCTGCTGTAAAACGTAGCATCGCTTTATTTCACCCTGATGGTGTATGCTCACGAACAGGCCTAAGTGCACAAAAAGGTCCATGGCAAATTACTAGGCAATTGTGTTGCACATGTGAAACGTAAACTGCGTTGGCGTTGGGGTCATGCGACGTCAATTTTCCCGTTAAATCTATTGGGGAAACTGAATATGTGTATAGGTCAAGTGACATCACTTTCCCGGCAAAATATAGCGGCAAAACTGAAATGGCATCGAGGTCACGTGACGTCAACTAAATCTAGCGGGGAAATTTAATCTGTGTATAGGTTATGTGGCACGAAGTCATGTGATGTCACTTTTTCGACTAAATTTTGAGGAAGAAACTGAATTGGTGTTGAGATCATGTGATGTCAATTTTTCCTTAAATCTAGCGGGAAAACTGAAGTCATGTGACGTCACAGGTCACGGCTTCACAAAATCTCAAGCAACTAACCAAAAAATGTTCCTCGAAAAACAAGAAGAAAAAAAAAAAATTGACTCCAATGGAACGTTGGGAATAGACAACACTACAAGCAACGTTTGTAGAGTTAACATTCGAAGGAATGGTCGAGCTGGTGGACTTTTCACGATGCAGAAACCCGAAAAAGGGGGACAAAGGATCAGGAGAAACAATAGAGTTGGAAATAGACGACATGGGAACGGTAAGCGATGCGATTGTAGAGACAGCACTTGAAAGCACGGGCAAGCTGGTTGAGTTTCGACGCTATGGAAACCCGAGACTGAGGAACAAAGATTCGGGATAAACAATACACAGCTCAAAATAGACGACTTGAGATCTGCAAGAAACGCTTTTTTAGGGACAACACCTGAAGGCACGGGTGAGCTGGTCGACTCTTTCAACGCTGTGGAAACCCGAGACAGAGCAACAAAGGATCGGGGCAAACAATAGAGTTGGAAATAGACGACTTGGGAACCGAAGGCACGGGCGAACTGGTCGACTTTCGATCTCGAGAAAGGGGTGCTAAGGATCGGGACAATTGATACACAAAGGATACGAGCATTTGCACGCGTTTTCTTCGAAAGCTTTGTCTTCGCTGGTCTTGTAGCCGGACTGCTGATCATCGAAATGAACTCAAGGACAAGGCTTTCCAAGAGAAATGAACACGGGTGATAAAGCATCTTTGGGGAATTAACGGCTAGAGTTGATCTGAACAGCGATCTGGACTTCGCCTTTCGACAACGAATATTCTTGGAGGGTGACGGCTCGGGCTGCGCGAACTGGCAACTTACCTCTTATTCGGCATCACGACGAACTTCGACTAGCAGTCAAACAGAGGGCATTTGAAGATGAAACTATCGCTAAACACTCGAATTCTACATACAAACACGAATACGACTGACAAGACAACACAGCCACAAAGGTCGCAGGAAAATTCCGAATTTTTCGCTTTACGGGTGATGTCCATACAGTTGCCAAGGCGGCCAAGGCGTCAAGGCACGGATTGCCGGGATTGGCACGTTTTCATCTTTGACTACTGCACGCAGCTCGGCGTAACACTTTCTTTTTTATTTTTAAAAATAATTCTTTTACAAGGTAAAGTCACTAAAATTTTTGAATTTTAGCTTTTATAAAGAAACACTCTCGGATTTTTACTTTGATTGAAGTGCTCTCTTTCAAAACGCTAGCCGTATGCATCGACACCAAGCTCTCTTTTGTTTTCTTTCTATTTTGTTGTGCGACTCTTCGCCATTCGATATTTCGGCTTTTCGGAAGTACCAAATTTTGCCGGTTTTATTCCACATTTCCCGGTCCTCCTTGACATTCCGTCTTCTTGAGCTGTGCGAACAAAAGCCGCTAAGGTCACATTCTAACAAGACGAGCCTGAGCACCATTCAGAAACATGCTAATCAAGGTGAAGGTAAGATCACCCCTCCCTTCGTGAAGCACAACTTTTTCACTTAAAATGGACAGACATTGAAAACCGTACCTCACGAAAGGAATAATTCAAATAAACCGTAATTTCGGAACGATATAGCACAAAACAACGGAGTTTCTGAACTTTAGTAACAGTTCAGATACACGCTCAGAACGGTAGTATGCGGGTTCAAATAGGCTAACAAAATGGAGGTCTTGATCGCTGCTCCGAATTATTCCTCTCTACAGAGAGAGATTTTCTAACTTTTCTGCGTTAAAATCAGTAAGTTCTAAGGAACTTTTTAAATGACAGTTTACACAGGGAATCATTTGCTAGTCTGCAAGACAGCTGAGGCTGCTCTCCCTGACACCTCGGTAAGCACGCCTGTCTTGACAGCAAGGGTTGGTGGGTTGGGGCGAGTTAAAATGGTCCCCATAACGTACAACACTTTTCATCATGGAAGCAGCTTTCTGTCGGGTTAAATTATTTTTCACTTAAAGAGGCCTTGCAACTACTTTTTGACTGGTTTTTAATTTGCACTAAACCTGAGTGCACTGAACGTAGTAACTTAATGAAACTTTTCTTGAATTTCGCTGTATTTTAAAAGTTACGGGCAAATTAAAATTACATAAACAATCAAAAAACAACTTACTTCATGACGTCCCTGGTCCTGGCTTGGGTGGCCGTGAACTCGCGGCCACAACTCGCTGAGCTCACAGCCATGAGCTCAGCAAGCGCTCACGGTTGCCGCACTTTGTGTCGATTGCTCAAGAGGGCGTCACTAAAGCACGGGCTGGATAGGCTGGATGAAGCGGGCGGCCGGGGCGGCTCGCATTTATTTGCTGCGCGACTAAACACTAATTTGCCATGACACTTCATTAGCCATAAACGACAGCAAATACGGGGTAAAGATCAGTTCAGAACAGGAGCCACTTCGCGCTGCCAAACAGCCAAATGACCAAACCTGCTCGCCGAAGGCCTTCGGAACGCTCAGAACCAGTCGAACCTCCAGCCCATACGATTGCGGCACCACCACATACATCTGGGACCTTTCTATGCTTGCTGCTTCACAGCAATGCGTGACTAGCGTCGGTGCCTAATCCTACTACTCCTTTCCAGTATGCGCCGCCCTTTCCACCGCTTGGTGGCGGGTATGTCGACTGGTCATTTCTTGTTTCCGTATTTTCTCAACTGCATTTGTTTCTTTTCTCATCAAAAATACTAAACAAAAGCTACTTTCATAACTAATTGATTTTGTATTTTGACTAAAAAAAAACTTTAAGTGTCTCTGAGCAGTCGTAAGGCATAAGCTGACCAGGACCGACAATGTCACGATTTCGTCACATGCCGCACATGTTTGGCACCACGGGGCGCCCCCGTAGGAGGAGGAAGTTTCTGCGTCGTCCGGTTAAAATATAACGCATTCATATTTAGTTGCTCTCTTCATGCCCGCTGGGTTGCCCGAACCACAAGAGATGTGGAAACCACAAGAGATGTGGAAACCACGAAAAAGGTAGACGCTTAAATAGGATTGCAGGGCCCCTTTAATACGCCAGTTCTAATTTTGGAGCTCTCTACAAATCAAAGTGTGTAGATATGTACTTTGAAGCAGTGCCCGGTTCCTGTTCGAAGGAGACTTCCGTTCGTAAAACCTTGCATTCAGATAGTTGATCTAAAAATTTGTCGAAACCAGAATATTTTTGTTTCTGGAATGGCAGCATGATTAAAAAGTTAAGCTGGTGTACAATAGCCATTTTGATGTTTGATGCTAGGAGGGGAATGAAACAACTGACAAAACACAGGTTTCTAAATGCACTTCTCCTAACTAAATCTACTCTACATTCTGTGCAATCTAGCTTCCTTCACGTTGAAGGATACTTTGCTAGCCTGCTTCGTTTCTGATTCAGTGTTGTGTGCGACAAGTTATTGTGAAATAACCTGGTCTCGAATGCAATATATCTCATAATCTAAACCAGTCGTTCTCAACCATTGACGTTTCCCGAACCCCCTTGTGGATTGGCGGAGACGATGGAGGACCCTGTTTCTGGTGAGGGGAAGGGAAAGGTATAGATTAATTATTATAATGATTTAATAAATTAATAAAACTAAGGACTACTGTAAAGTATACTTCTCTCATTGACATACACATGAAAAAACTTGCCCAAAAATTGGAATGTTTCTTCTGAATCTAAAAAAAGACTAATTTTATTGACGGGTTTGACTGGTGAGACAAGACTTCGCGGACCCCATTTGAGAACCTTTGGTCTAAACAATGAGAAACTAAATAATGTCTTGTCCGTTATTTCATTTCTTTTTGTTCCAGTGTTTATATTGTGCTGTTTCATAACCAGCTTGCTTGCATACTTTTGCTCCTTACAATATACATGTTTGCAATTATGGCCTCAGGGCGCCGCCATCTTCCTTAGTTGGGGTGCGCTTGGGCAAGGCCATATTCCGAATACAATGCCTTAGCAAGGCTCTGTGATCGGATTATGACGCGTCCCAGCGTACCCCAACCGAGCAAGATTGCAGCTGCCTGAGGCCAGACTTGCAAATGTGTATAGCTGGCTTTCTTTCTTATCACCTGTTCTGAATGGCGTAGCCATAACTTTTTTTTTTGGGGGGGGGGGGGGGGGGAGGGGAGGGAGGGGAGGGGAGGGGGGAAGGGAAGGGAGGGAAGTGGCTGGCTGGCTGACTGGCTGGGATGTCTATGACCTGGGGTGCAGACGGGGTCAAAATACATGTGCACATTATAGTTTCCGCTGGATTTCAAGGCGGAAAATGGAAACACCGTTAGCCCCCCCCCCCCCCTTGGCTATGCCATTACCTATTCTGCACACATCATCTCTCCTATACTCCGTTTCAGCTTACGATGGACCGCAACGGACGCTACAATTCGTAGCAGCTAATCTAGCGCATGTGAACCTATCACGTGACCGCGCGCCTTGTGGTTCGCTGCGTTTGTCCCAAAGGTGACATGACGCTCACGCGGCATTGGATTGGCTCCGGTAGCTCGTAGGGTCCTGTGCGGTCCATCATAACGAGAAACGGAGCATAGTGAGTGCTCACATTTAAGTGTCTTAACTTTGCTGCCATTCTTTTTTCATGAATGCCGACTCACCATCCAGACTCTGACTGGGAAAGAGGTGAGAGATTTGTCCACCACTTCAGAGATTTTTATATTAGAGAGTCGAATCTTCTAGCTTGAATTTGCCCCGGAAATTTCCTTGCATTGATACAAGCTAGATATTTCCTCCCAACTTAAATCGTTGCCGTGCACCGTGGAACAATGATTAGGGCGGTGTTTCTAGTGCTGCTGCTTTGTTTCTTTTAGGGGCAGCACTGCCCTGGGTTTTCTTTGTGTTCCAAAAGAATGGGCAAATTGTTCTCTTTTTGTGCCCCATGTTGTGTTTGCTACGAGTTCAATCGATAAAGATTATTTGTGTGACCATAAGAACCTGATCAGACCAAGGAAAGCCAGAGCACAAGCGGATGAGGAGGTTACGAAGGTGACAGGCTGTGTTAGAGCATCTTTTAATGGGAACGAGACGGGTGATAAAAGGAATCGAATCATAGTCAATACCGGACAACAGAGCCGTAAAGATCGGCCGTTTTGATTTCCATTTTTGAAAATAGCGACGGAAGTTGCAACATATCGTGTATAGAATATTTCTTCTACCGTAAAGTCAACCTGAAAATCTATGTCATAGATGTAGGGAATTGGAATATTGCTTGACGATGCATCCTGGTGATAGATTTTACTTTAAAATTAGAAATTTTCTTCAAGAAAACTTTTAAGTTTCCTGCATTGTTTTTTTTTTTCCTTTTGCAGTTATTTGATGGGTATATCTGGTGTTTCTGAGTGCTTTTTTTTATTAAATTCAAAAATGCTTTCATTTTGTATCAAGAAGCCAATCAGATGAAAACAATCAATCAAGGCTGCTTGTTGCCAGACGCTATTTAACGTGATGTATCCGTTTGCTGAACATGTTCACCTTCTCAAGGCGATCTAAATATACACAGTAGTCTTATCACTTACATTGAACATTTGCGCCGACGCCTGGCATGTTTTGCTAGGTGTTGCCAAACGCGACGCTCCACTGTTCAGTTCTGTAAAAATGCTAAAACTTTCTGGAGTATATCTATTATCCAAGCACACTCATTTTCATTCCAGATCGAGATCGACATCGAGCCGACGGATAAGGTGAATTTCGTTTTCATTGGCACAACTCTGTACGATGGGAACAGCGATCTAAGAGAGCTGTCTTTTGCTTTTGCACTTTTTAAGGTTGAGAGAATCAAAGAAAGGGTAGAAGAAAAGGAGGGCATCCCACCAGCTCAACAAAGGTTGATCTTCAGCGGGAAACAGATGTGAGTTGAACCTGGGTGGTAATTTTCTGGGTGGCGTGCGACACTCTGATCATCTTTATGTGGACACTAAAGTGGTTTTTGAAGTTTAATTCAATATTTATAATCCTAGCATAAAGTGCGTATGCATGTGACATCTGTCTCCTATAGTCTCTAGATCAGGGGTTTCAAGCATGCAACCCACGTAGCTCTTGTCAGCGGCCCACTTCCCAGGTTCCAGTCTGTGCCCCCCCCAGGCCCCCCCCTCTCTTTTTTCTCAACTGTATCAACCTTTGAATCTTTGTATCTACTTTGGAGAAAAAAGATAATCCACAGGGGGGACAAAAGTCATGTTTGGGGTTTTGTCCCTTTTTTCTGGTCTAGGGGGAGCTCTATCAAGGTCACAGTCGCACAATGGGCCAACAGCACATAGTGAGTTCACTGCAACCGAAGAGTTACGATTCAGATACTCCCGAAGCACTAGTTATGAAAAACTTCCGGGTCTTCATCGGTTCGCCCAATATTTTGACTTATTGACGCTGGTGTCATGCTCCGTTGCAACGTCTTTCAGTACGGCTTGAGTTTTGCTACAGCAGTTCTTGGATACAACGAAGCTTTGTGGTGGATGTTGCGATGTCATTAGCAAAGCCATCTACGAAGCGCAAAATTGGAAGACAAGAAGCCACTGTGTCAAGAGCGGTTGGAACTTGCTTACTTCTTCACAGAATCGTGGGACAAGGTGTTGTGTTTGACTTGCCAGCAGGCCATTTCTGTGCCCAAGGAGTATAACGTCCGACGACTCTTCAAATCGTACCATGGCGAGAAGTATGATGCGATTGCTAGAAAAATTTGTGAGGACACGTTTTTTTTTTTTCAACTTAAGACTTTGCTGGGAAAGCAGCAAGACCTGTTTCAGAAAGCCGGCCCGACAAGCGACGAAACGGTGAGAGCGAGCTTTATTGTCTCTGAGCTTATTGCCAAATCTTAAGGGTTCAGCGATGGCTTGTTCATCAAAAAGTGCCTGCTAGAAGTTTCCGACGCTGTATGTCCAACCACGAAGAAAGACCTTTGAGGAAAAAAGCCTTTTGCCAATCACTGGAGCCGAAAGGATTAACGAGATCAGTGACGACATTGGAAAATCATTGATGACCCTCTGCCATGCCTTCGACGCATTTTTAATCGCTGTCGACGGGAGCACTGATGTCACGGACAGTGCTTAGTGTGCCATTTTCGTCGGACGTAGACAAAATTTAAACGTTACGGAGGAACTCTTGGATCTCGTGCCGATGTATGGAACGACCACAGGAGCCGGCACCTTTTCTCTCATTGAAAAAGTCAAGTGCGCCGGATTGCCGTGGGAGAAGCTGGTTTGTCTTGCAACCGATGGTGCGCCATCAATGGTGAGGAGCAGGAGAACGCTTGTCGGACGACTGAGGAAGAAACTCGCGGAACTTAGTATCGCTAAGCAGTTTGCAGCGGTTCACTGCATTCTTCATCAAGAGACACTGTGCAGCAAGTTGCTGAAAATGAAGAGTCGTGGATATTTTATTTGGCACAGTCAACTTCATTCGTTCAAGAGCACTAAACCACCGCCAGTTCATCTCTCATTTGGAGGCGGCTGGTAGCAAGATTCTGTTTTACACTGAGGTACGATAATTGAGCCGCAGGAAGGTCCTTAAACATTTTTTTAAACTGCGAGAAGACATTAACGCTTTCTTGAAGAGCAAGAACAAGGTTATTGCCCAGCTGTCAGACTGGAAGTGGCTTCTCCTCCTTGCATTCCTCACTGACATAACTGACCACCTGAACTGCCTCAAAGTTAAGCTCCAAGGGAAGCAGAAAATTATCACCACGATGTAGAACAACATTCAGGCATTTCAAGGCAAGCTGCTGTTCTGGTAGTGGCGTATAGGACTTTCCAACGCTGAAGTTGCTGGGATACCGCAAGATCAAGAATCTTGCGGTATCTTTTCTGAGCTTTTCCATTGTCTCCAAAATGAATTTGAAGAGTGATTTTAAGTTGTAAGCGGCCTCTCCAAGGACTTCCAAGTTTTCTCCTTGCCCTTCTCGGCACAGGTAGATGGCTGAGCTCCGGATGGAACTTCTAGAGCTGAAGGCTAACACCACACTGAGGCAAAAGTTTCAGAACGTGGAAGTGCCACAGTTTTACAAGTTTCTGGACGAAGCATGCTTCCCAGCTCTATGTCGACAAGTAGCGAGGATCATCGCCATGCTTGAAAGGACCTACCTGTGCGAGCACCTTTTCTCCTTGCTGAAGGTGCACAGGTCAACACTCAGGTCAAGAATAACAGATGAACATTTGCGATCGACCATGAGGATTGTCTCCGCGCAGCATTTCTTTGCTTGTCGCAGCAAAGCGATGTCAGGTGTGAAGTCAGCGTATTTAGAACTTTATGCTTTCATTTTTTGAGTTTTGCGTGATGTAAACCTATTTTTACTTTCTTTGTCTCCCTATTTTATGACGCATTGCAAGTTATCACATATTCTACGCAAATAAACTTTATGGAATGCTCCCTCCCCTCCCTTGAGTTCCGGCCCTTGGGCCGGGACTCCAGGAAGAGGAGGGAATGTTTCGTCTATTCGGCACACTTACCAAAATGAGTTTGAGACCACTGCTCTAGATGGTCTGATGTGCGAGTTAAACTTTATGAAGCACTGATAATGCAAGGGACAGGGACTAGTAGCAGGAGACAGGACGACCGCTAACTACCAAACTGATGTGTTGATGAAGGAAACGAAAACTGAGAAGTGATGGCGGGATGTACGTACTGAACTAGAGGATGTAAGGGATGGAAAATGAATACTAAAAGCGTTCAGTAATTCTTTATTACTGAGGTTCCTCTAATCAACTTTTTGCCAAATCGCCTATATACCAGGGAGCGTGCCGGGAATGTTGGGTACACGTGCAGCTCGCGCTCGCCTTATTTGAATTAGTGATGCAAAGTAAGTGACCCAAGTAAGGCGTTGGCCAATGCACATGCAAAATACCCTTCTGGTTAGACGATTGCTTGCGAAGAGTTGGTGTTCCAGCTTGTTCAGCATACATACTTGCACGCTCCTCACCGCTTGGATACTTTTGCAAAAGGTACATTGTTGCAGTCATCTTCCTTTCTATTTGTTTATAATGTTATTTGCATTGTCCAGCTGTTAATCTTTGATGAACAGCATTTTCACCTCTTCTTTGTCCAGGAACGACGACAAAACTGCAGCTGACTACAAGGTGACTGGCGGCTCAGTACTGCACTTAGTACTGGCCCTGCGGGGTGGCTTGTCCCATCCAGCCGACAAGAGCCAGGCCAATACTCGGTGGAACAAGTGAAAGAGTGTCTTGTATGTTCAGATGGAAGCTTTGTCGCCTCATGTGCACTGATCAGAAGTGATTTGCTTTTACCAGTTGAAACAGCAGCAACAATAAAGTGTGTGGACCCCCTTGATTTGCTTCCTCACAAAAGCACATAGATGCCCCGAGTTCTGTTGCTAAGAATAGCCAAAAGTTGTGGGCCGATGTGCAGGTAAGTACAAGAGTTGTCGAGTGGCAGCCCTTGGCAAGGACCCTGCACTGCCGTAGAATGATGTACCAAGGTAATGCGTGCATTTTTCTACAGCAATTCTCGTATCAGGTTTGTTAAACATTGCATTCTGTTTGGTAAACTTAGTTCTTGAGCAGAAGTTGGTTAGCAGGCTTTATATTACACAAGCATGTGGATGTCAGCAGAGGCATAGCAGTGTGCCTAGTGCTCTGCTTGCAATAACCTTATGGGTGATACCATCTTTGTCTGCTGAGCTGTGGACCAGTATGTGTAGCGCGCAAAATATTGTGCGCTGTGCCTGCTTCCACAGCCACGGTGGCAAAAGAGGTGTCTGATTGGCGCTGCTGTGACAGGTAGCCAGTCTGGCGAAGGTTCGCTCTCATTTCTGACAAGTGCCGTGAGGTGGCGCAGCATGACAGGAGCTCGAGGAACTGTCCTCTTCACACGGGTTTTCAAGGCAACGCGTGCGCACAGAACCCTAATTTCACGGTGACTAGGCCCGTAGCTCAAGTTTTGAGCAGCGTTCCAGGCGAGCAAAATAGAATATTTGCGTCCCTGCCAAGCACGCGCGCTCGTGCAGTGCGAGCATCGTTCATGACCCACGTAGCATCCAATGTCGTGCGAACATTCCCTGGGTGTTCTGAATGTTGAAGGAACGTTAAACACCATTCGGAACGTTCTAGGAACATTCGTATGCGAACATTCCTTACAAGGTATGCTGCTCAACATTCTAAAAACGTTTGTTGGCGAACATTCGTATGCACAATGTTCTCGGAACGTTCCCCTTTGAACATTCATATGTGCAACATTCTTAGAACGTTCGCTTCCGAACGTTCCTAGAATTTTCGCAGGTGAAGCCAACTTTACGGAGCTTTCAAGCAACCTGTGTTTCGAAACACCATCCACTATATGCCACTTTGTGCCAAAAATATGCAAATTAAGTGGAGGTTTTGGAAACTTAGCATAAGGGATCAGTTTTATCTTGTACGAGTGTACCGAGGAATGCGAGATAAGGTGTAGGAGAAAAGCAGTGGTCTTCAAAATTTGATAATGAGTTTGGCACTCACTGCGTATGTAGAGGGGCAGTTTTGAATAGACCCGATTTTTAGCATCTCGGATTTAATACCTGGAAGAAGGTATGTCCCGTTTGAGTGTGGGATGCCGTGGGTATCTGTTCTTATGCTCCGAGTGAGTAATCGGTTATGTATGCTGCACATTTTGATAAGTAGGAGTAAACTGCCGTTATAGTACAGGCTGTGGCTAATGCGCTGGTAAAGCCGTTTAGGTTGTGCTAGGCCTAGAAAAAATATATTTCGAATAAAAAATATCGATCGCTCTTCGAGATTTATTTGATCAATATATGTAGTACGGCTCAGTGGGGATGTAAGGTAAGCAAGCTATAATTGTGGAATCTTTGCAAACATTCCTCAGAGAATGTTGCAGACGTTCTTTGGATATTTTGGGAATGTTCTTAAAACCTTCTTGGGTTTTGTTGTGCTTAGAATGTTCTAAAAATATCACCTAGAAAACATTCCCCGAATGTAGCGATAAGTGCCTGCGCCACATTCTGACAACGTCGATAGAATGTTCTTACGTAAATTTGCAACATTCAGAGAATGTTGCAGAAGTTCTTTGGATGTTCTGAGAACGTTCTTAGAACCTTGTTGGGATCTTTCAATGTTGATTGGATGACCTGGCAATGTTCTATGTCGTTCTCAGAACGTTCTGAAAATATATACCTTTGAAGACATTCCCCGAATGTAGCGATAAGTGCTTGCGCCACGTTCTGACAACGTTGATAGAATGTTCTTACGTAAATCTACAACATTCCAAGAATGTTGTCTATGTTATTTTGAACATTCCCGGAATGTTCTCAGAACGTTTTCGTGCTACGTGGGGAGTACGTGCTTTTGCGAGTAGCTTCGGCTTTGCTATCACGTAAAGTGAAATATACGAGCTCGCGGTAGCTATGAAAGAATGCAAAGATGAAAGGAATGTTTTATAGAACGCTGCGGCCGCGAACTGTATTTTTTTTTTAGCTTTTTTAGACGTTTTGTTATCGCGCATCTACAAATGCTGACAGATGCTTGTATTCGAACGTGGCACGTGCAAAATCGAACGTTACAGAGCCACCTGGATGTTGAAGCCAGCATAACATGGTCGCGTTTTGGGTAAGTATTCCGGAAGCGCTCGCGCTCCCTGCCCCAGAGCAACGAGTCTCTAGCACGAATCCCGAGTGAAATTTCGACCCCTCTTCTTGCCTTGTTCCGACACCTCTTCCTTCCACCATGTCCACGCTGGTGCCCACCAGTGTTGCGGAGTTTCCACTCCGGAGCTGGAATGATTCCGGAATCATTCCGCATTTTCGCGACCCCGGAATGGAATGGGAATGGAATGGCGGCAACGGTGAGGGGAATGGAATGGGAATGGAATTGGATGCCTTTTGCCCGGAATGGGAATGGAATGGGCCAGGTTCTTTATATTTTATTTATTTATTTATTTATTGTTTACGTTCAGCTATACCGAGCCAGTCAGGGAGTCGGTTGTTCAGAAATAAGATGAGCAGGAAACTGCGAACCCACGTAACGCCCTACCAGACTTATGCGCAAAAGAAAAAAATGTGATACAAAACACGAGCGTCAAAGCTAAGAACAGAGGGGGGAGGGGAGGTGGGGGGAGGCGGCGGTGGCGCCTTTCACCAGTGAAGTTCGACACATATCCGAATGCCTCTGCGCCTGTAATATTGCACGGCTGGTTCGTCATCAGCCGACGTGAACGTGACCTGCTGCTCTGGTGATCCGATACCCAGGAAGGAGGCCAGACGTGGTCTCGCTGTGCGGACCCAGACTTCGTACACTTTTGACTCGTCTCGAGCGCGCTGTTTCTCGAAGAGCTCGCACCTGTGCCGGCAATATCAGGTCGCAATCCACGAAGTCTCTGTTTGAATGATGCTAGGGGAAACTTGAAGACTGCCATTCATGCGATGGAGGCGGAGAGTCGGCAGGAAGGACCGTCACAACAGGGATGCCACCGTATCGATTTTTCAACCGTAACAGAAGATAATACACATGCTTCAGGATGCTTCAGGTGGTCCACTTTTCTCGAAAATTCCAAATACAACTGCCTGCATGGTCTTCCACGAGGTCAGCTACAACGAAAGTACGTATTGTCCTTTCATACAGCAGCGTGGGTGAAGTTTCATGTTCAAGGCAACACCTACAGATTCAAGAATACTAGTTCATCCCACCGTGATGTCATGTGATCAGTGCTGACAGGGGCGCCCTTATTGGACAGGGAAGTGATGATGTTTTGATGGAATTTATTTTAGAAGTCGAATTCTTTTCGCATCACTTGTCAGTCAGACAGGATGCCAGGGAAGGGACCGCGGTCAATCCTTGATGGAACGTTTTTTAAACCCATTTAGGACTCTTCATCCGGAACCACTACCTTCAAGGCGAAGTGCCAAGACTGCGGAAAAGTAATTTCACGAACAAAAAAAAAAACAAAAAAAAAACTTCCACTTCAAACTTAAAGCCTCATCTCAGTTGGCGTCTCAAAGAAATTTGAAAAATGTATTGCATTGTATTGTATTTATTTATTTATTTATTTATTGTACCCTCAGGGCCCGAGGGCATTACAGAGGGGAGTGGGTTACAAAGTAAAATCACTAAAAAACAAAATGACAACCTAAGAATAGAAACACGAACATAAGAAATTTTAACTTAGAAAAGTGGTTAAACAACGCTTAAACATGGTGGCATCTGTTACAGACACAACTGACGATGGAAGGTGGTTCCACGTGATTGTTGTTTTGGGGATGAATGAATTATAAAAAGTAGTGGTTTTACAAACAGGTAGATTTTGTGTTGGTGATCGACGCATGGCGAGACATATGAGGGAGGGGTTAGTAATTTTTGATGCAAGGAAGAATTGTGATGATAAATTTTATGAAACAGACAAAGACGGGATAACTCACGACGTGAAGAAAGGTTAGGTAGGTTTAAAAACGTTTTCATGGATGTTGCGCTTAAGAATGAAGCGAACAGATCTATTTTGAATAGCTTCGACTGCTGTTGTAAGTAAGTCAGTACCGGGATCCCATATAGGGGAGGCGTATTCCAATTTTGAGCGGACAAGGGTTTTGTATAGTAGTAGCTTGAGAGATACAGGAACAGATGGAAAATTACGTTTGAGAAAGCCAAGCATGCGGTTAGCATTGTTAGTTATGTAGCGAATATGAGGCTCCCAAGACAGGTTCGATGAAATATGGATCCCCAAGTACTTATATGATGATACACCTTCCAACAAAATACTGTTTAGATAGTAGAAAGTAGAGTGCGAGTTAAGACGAGAAACAGTCATTACTTTACATTTGTTAGTGTTGAGCTGCATGTTCCATTTGTTACACCAATTAGAAACACAATCAAGGTCAGACTGAAGGATAGCAACATCAGAGGTGTTAGTTATTTCTCGGTAAAGAACGCAATCATCTGCAAATAAGCTAATAGAGGACAAAACGCAGGAAGGTAAGTCGTTGATAAAAATAAGAAAGAGCAGGGGACCTAACACTGAGCCTTGAGGTACGCCTGATGTCACGGGAGCTGGACTTGAAGAGGTATTATTCACAGACACAAATTGAGATCGGGTATTAAGGAAAGCGCGAATCCATGAAAGTACATCCTGATCAATGTTAAGTTTGCTAAGCTTATGGAGTAGTAGATTATGTGAAACCTTATCGAAAGCTTTGGCGAAGTCAAGGAAAATACAATCCACCTGGGAACCATGATCAAGAATAAGGTGAAGGTCATGAGTGAAGGTGAGTAGCTGAGTTTCACACGAAAATGATTTACGGAAGCCATGTTGTGCAGGAGCAAAGAATTAATTGGATTCTAGGTGTTGAACGAGATGAGAAAAAATAATATGCTCAAGAATTTTACACGGAATGCTTGTTATGGAAATGGGACGGTAATTGAGAGGAGAATGATGATCACCGGTTTTATGCACGGGCACCACTTTACCCACCTTCCAATCATCAGGTAAACAGCCTAGAGTAAGTGATTGCTCAAATAATTTAGACAGTATTATAGAAGAATACTCTTTTGTTCTTAGCAAAAATTTAGAATTAATTCCGTCAACTCCCGCGGAGCAGGATATTTTTAGCTGTTCAATTATCTTTATAATTCCACTTGTTTGAATTAAGATGGGATACATGGACAGAAAAGCGCGTTGTTGAAGTTGAGGTAAAGTTGAAGAAATACAGTTTGAAAATGATTCAACAAAAGTAGAATTGAAAACATTTGCACAGTCATCGGTGGAAACAGGTTCACCTGATAAAGTAAACAGAGACAGTGTGGTGTTTTTATTGCCGTTAATCGCCTTCCAAAACTGTTTGACGTTGTTGGTTAGTAGTGATGGCAGGGTGATAGAAAAATAAACTGACTTTGATCCGCGATTGCACTTTTATAAGCATTGGCAGCCTTATGATACTCGAGCCATTTAACCTCCGAATTTGTTAACTTTGCTGCGCGAAATTTGCGCTTTTTTTTATTGGAAAGTCTTTTTAGAGTGTCATTGAACCAAGGGGAATTCGAAACAATTGGGATGTTACGTAGCGGTATATGTTTATTGGTTAGGAGCTCAACCTGCGTCTTAAACAATGTCCAATTTAATTCTAAAGAACGGTCAGAAAAGTGGTCTAAGTAATCGTTAAGAAAAAGGCCAAGGGCACCGTTAATAGAGTCATAGTCACCTCTACCATAGTCTCGTATTTTTTTAAGAGTTCGCTGTGCTGTTTTGGCTGGCACATCAAGTGAAAAATGTAGTAGCGAATGGTCGCTGAGAGCCGGCATGAAAGTAACAGAAGAAATAAGTTCAGGTGAAGTTGACAAAATGAGATCTAATACGTTTGCAGTTGTAGCAGTGATTCGAGTAGGAAGAGACACCAGCTGCGAAAAGCTGAAGTCATCACATAACTTTATAAAATCTTCCGCATCTGATGAGAAAGGGTTAGAGAAAATATGCGGGTGAGACCATTTTATTTGAGGATAATTGAAATCACCAAGGAGGAGTATAGGACATGAAGGAAAGCGCACTATTATTGAGTTCAAAACATCATGAAGATTCGAAACAAAAGAAGGATTAGCTGATGGCGGACGATAACACACGGCTAAGATAACTTTTTGGAAGTTCAAACACAAGCAACAACAAACTATTTCTAAATCACTATTCAAACGCACACAGAAAGAATCGTATTGTATTGTATACTTGTATTTGTATTTCCAAAGACTTTTTGCCTCTTTTTAAAATGTATTTCCGATACGTATCACGATACATTTTTATAGATATATTCGAGACTTGAGTATCAGTATCTTAGCAACTATTTTCATCTATCCCAGTATTTGTATTTCCAAATACATTTCTGAATATTTCTGCCCAACCCTGCAACGTAATGCAGCTGTCAAGTGACACTTTTAACGTTTAGGAATTAGAGGAATGGAATGGAACGATTCAGCCATTCCAGGAGTGGGAATGGGCCCAGTGTCCCCATTCCTAGGAGTTGAAAGAAATGGAATTATCGAAAACTCTTATTCCCTGGAATGGAATTGGAATGGAATGGGGGTGCCCATTCCGCAACACTGGTGCCCACATCTCACCTGGGCGATAAGCTTTGTGACGGTGTTACCGTGTTACTGTGGGTAGTTTTTTTTTTTTTTTTTTGTCCAAATTGCGATTGTGCTTTTGGGATATTTCTTGTCACGTCGCCTCGCGCGTTCCAAGTCTTACGCTTCGTTCCAGAAACAAACCAGGTTCCAAACTGTGTTCTACAGCCTGTCTCGTTTTCTTTTTCCCGCACGCGACCGGTAGCCCGATCGCCATCGCAGCCAAGAAACTCATGCGGGGAAGATTATTATTCGTGGAGTTTTGTTATTGGGTGGCTTCTCGTGCGCTGTTCTTTGATCTTTTGGATGATGCGTGTCATTAGTTCGTTTCATTGTTTAAATTGATAGCGAGGCGTTCCTTGGCCCCTTTCATTCCTACTTCCGAAGTGCTCCGGCCAAGGCTCTCAAGTAAGCGACGCAAATGCGTTCCCCTGACAAGCTCCTCTCATTCATTCTCCTAAGTGTGCGATTGCGGAGCACATCGGCGTGGATCTACACATTTGTTTTCTCAATTCTTTTTCCTATTGATTTGCGTTTAGTAAGAATTCCTAGTTAATTCACTTTGTTGTGAAAACCGATTTTCGATGACCGGTCTTCTGGAGGGCTTCCAGTCGCGTAAGCCACCGGGAGCCGGACGGCTTTGCTTGGAGTTTCTGTTGGGTTAGCTGATTTTGCCTCCTTTTAGCCAGTATAGCACTGTTGTACTTCTAATGCGTGTTAATTCTCTTAATGTGAAATTATATTAAGTTTATCTGATTTCATGTAATGTAGTCGTTTCATTAAACCAAATAACAGTTCAGTGTTCATGGTCTCAACCACAATGTTTTGTTTCTGGTGTTATGATTCCACCACGACGTTTGCTTGCCTTCTAACTTGTTCAATGTAACCAGATCATTGTCCTGTCTCTTCATGCAAAATGTTAATTAAACATTTTTTATATATTTCATTTTAATTTATTTGTCTCGGGAGAGTCGAGAGAAGAGCAGATAGGCCGTAGGCCCATACCAGTTTGTCTGCAAAAACACCCACAACTAAAAAAAAGGAAAAAAAAAGTCTTGCAAAAGGCAACACAGTACTTGGACAAAGACAAATTTCTGTCTAGCAGATGGAAAGCTTGCAAAAGACATATTGCATGTTGCGCTTGAGTTTGGTGTATGCAAAATACCGAGCCCTTTTTGCAGAACAACAGTGTAGGACAGTCTTACTGCCGCACCCTTTCAAAAGCAGCGATCATGGTAGTCCACGCCTCGTAGGCACTGTTGCCGCAATGTCCTCTTCCTCTGTGAGGAGGCCAGGCCGCTGCTGAAGTTCGGGAGAGAGAAGGAGTGAGAAAAAGTTTGACTACCGGAGGCACCTTGACTTGCCGGGCTAGCCAATTAAGTCTTGCTTTCTTCCTTGAAACCACGACGATCCGCTCACTCTTCTTGTGCTTAGTTTGAATTGCTTTGCCATTGTGGACCCTCACAAGCTTTCCAGCAAAAAAAATCAAGTAGTGCTGAAAGTGCATTGTCGCAGTGCTCGTCAGCCTTGTGCATTTGCTATTACAAAAAAGTGCAGGATCACAGCGCATTCACTAGAGAGTTTTAGTATAACGTACGCAATCTTGACACACGTTAGTGCTAAATTTAGCGCTTGTGTTAGCGCACGCTGCACAAGAGTGTTTTAGAATAGTGTTTCTCTGCCGCTACGCAAAAGCCCATGCATCCTGCACTTGCAATGCCACCAGGATGTGGTAACATTTTTCATTTTGCACACGAAATGATTTAACTTGAGTGAAAAATACAAGTTTTGGTTCGGAGCAACATTTTAGATTTGTTTAAATACGAGAATGCGTCAAGAGCGGTCGACCAGTCGAGTCCGCTTACGTCACCTCAGCAAGAGATGTCTCGTGTGCTCGCCTTCGCCATTTTCACGTCGCAGGCGGCAAGTTACCAGCGATTGTCGCCCGTCTTGCCGGGTCTTCCAAAACGTTTTTCTAACGGGCACCTCCCATAGAAGTGCAGTGTCGTTTAGTGTTGAAAATCGCAGTCGCAGAGACGCTGCCAAAGCAGCCGCATCCAGGTCCTGTGAGTCGACATTTTTTAACTGTACTCGTCTTGGCTTTAGCCAACTCCTCATCATGAATCCTCCTTGGAGAAGCACAAAGACTTTTTGCATACGCACGCGATTTCCAAAAAAATGACGTGTACAAACTGCAGTTGGCGTTCGGCGCATGCGCAGTGGTGACGACACTATTCTTTGCATACACAAAGCTTTAGCGTGCGCTATTCTAAAACTACCTACTGCATGTAGTTGGTTTAGCCAATTACCTACTGCGTGTAGTTGGTTTAGCCAGTCATAGCAGACGCACAAGAAGGAAAAGCGCCGCGACAATGCACTTTTGCCGACGTTTGATTTTGTCTTCATCTGGTCTTGGCGTCGACTGCAATCAGACTGAAAGTGAAACGGACCACAATTGGGGCTTGTCCACTGCCTCCTCTTTCTTCATGAAATTTCACCACGTCATGTAGGATGCCGACTCTGTTATCAGTATCATCATTTGAGTGTATGGAATCCATGGCATGCCGATAGCTGCATTTTGTTCTGGCTGCCGATGATGGAAGACGTCGAAGACGTGCGCCAGAGGGGTAACACAAAATTTGCGCATTCTAGACGTTTGCCTCGTGCAACGCACAAATTGGATACAGGCGCAGCGTCAGTGTTAATTTCAGACTTCGTTTCAGTCGATTGGCTGGCACGGAATCGACCCCAGAGCCCTTTAGCAGGTGTTATTTATGTTAGTTATGTTAAGGGCTTTACTCGGGTCAGCACTTTATACGGACCTATACACAAACTCATCTCTGTTACGTCACGGTGCGGTGGTGGTGCGTCAGACGCACCTCCGGTCCGGGGCTGTGGGCGGAAGTGCCCATGTGAGACGTGTATTCCTGCTTTGTTTTGAAAGGAACAAGACAAAAACCTGCCTTCTTGTCAAAACGCTGCGACTGGGGCTGTACCAAGAATCGAGAAAGGTTTGAAGATCAGTTTTCATGCGCTCGGTTCGTCCGAGAACGTGAATATGTGCCGTGAAAAGGGAAAACCAGACGCCGTCGGACCACGATTGCTTAAACGGGAAGCATTTTAGGTTGAATTCACGGATACTTCTGGCCATCAGATTTATTTGTTTTGTTCCAAAATGAACGCCAGAAAACCGTCAAGTTGTACGGACCACCTGCGGACTACGTTCAGTGAGTCTTCAAGTTCAAACGGTCGCCTGATCGTTCGAACTGTCGTCTGCTCTTTCAAATGTTTCTGCTTGTCGTCTGCTCTTTTAGAGGACACCGGCCCGTAGACCAAACGTGGGCCCGGTACTTGCGATCGGAAGTGCAGGCCTCAAAAGACTTAATTTTGAAGGTTGGTAAGCAGGCTCGACGTAAACAGTAGATACAAGAAGATGTTGATCATTGTTACCAGTGGCCATCACCGACTTGTTATGCCTGATTCACTTGGTCCGATTCTTCTAGCGATTTTCAGTATCGACGTCGACCATCTCAGCTACAGTTCACGCTTTTGCAGTCCGAGTGACGTCGCTACTGAAAATTGCGAGCGAAATCTCATCATGTGAATCAGGCTTTAGCGTACATTCTGCGGCGTTCACGCGGAATGAATCGCCGCATGTCAGATTATTCACGCGAAGTTTTGCGGTGTAACGAGCCTCGTTAATTTCCCTGACGCCGCTCAAGTAGTCAGATATCGTTAGGAGGACGTAGAATCAACAATTCTGACGCGAAAAAGAGCGCGGGGACTCACACTGACGCCGAGAACATCGCATTTCAATGGTTTGTTTATGGGTGACGGCGAGCTTCTTGCCCACACCCCCATCGCGCATGCGCGGCGCCGGTGGCGTCCGCTAGGGCCGCTCCGGGCGCTCCAGTTTGTTTGTAAACATGAGTTGGTGTATAGTTATATTTTTGTCACCGTTGAAGTTGAAACAAATTGAGAAAGAATGTGCAGTGCTGCAAAGGGTGACGCACAACTTGCGGAGGGTCTATTCATGCGCCCCTGAAACAACTTGACCAACGAATGCCCGCTTTGCAGGAGGCAACCTCACATGGCGCCGGCACGAATGCTGCTCCGCACACTCTGTCTTCTTCTCGTCTGCTGCGCCGTCTGCAAGGCGGAGATACAGTTTGCGACTGCCATCGACATAAGCGACCTGGGCGAACGCGCTGCCCGTAAGGACGTCCTGTCCCCCTGCCAGGCCTGCAAGACCATAGTTGAAACCTTCAAGCATGTGAGTCGGTTCTGCACAAACTATGACCCCTCACGGTAAGGGTAATTTAACCAGCGGATACGGTACTTTGTGAAATAAGCAGCAGTAAAACCAGTTGGTGGTGACCATCTCCGAAGTCCTATAATGCGTGGAATACAGTATTTGGGGATCAATTATCTAAAAATTACATTTTCATGTTGTGACGTAACATGACACTGTTATGTTAATGATCCGACCTTGCACAACGTTGGGCTGACCACCTTTCTGCCGGCGAAATGCGGGACACTGTGACTTGGGTAGGGGGAGGGGCGAGTGTGGGAGAGTGAAAGGAGGACAATACAAAGAAAAAAGTATTAAAGGAGATTCATCAACACGCAAACACGCACACCCCGAAATCCTGTGCTGTCCGAAACCATATTATACACTTAAAAATTGTGTTGTGGCAATTCAGCTAAAATAAATTTAACTCGCAGTGATATATTATTGTTTAAGTGTAATGGTAAATATTTTATGAAACGTGTCTAAGTTAAAAACATAAAATTGACTGCAGCAGACCCCAATGCATCAAAAGGAAATAAGAAACAGTAAATCTTTTCCGGCTTATGTTTCCTGACAATACTTACTCTTATACAAACATGATCCTACAGAAAATTAGAACCTTACGCCGTTTTTTTTGCGAGCATTGAAAGTTGCAGCATTTTGCTTTGTGTGGCCGTCTTCACTAAAGAGAAAGCATTCCACAACAACCCTTTCGTAGGACACAGTATGATTTGCAAATAGTTACAAAAGTTTATGTTTCATCTTTTGGAGGGTAATTTTCGCTCGCAATATTTTGCCATTAAAGGGAGAGGCACAACCAACGTTACTAAAACACTCAGTTGGGAAACTCGCCATCGAAACCTGGGCCGCTGGCGTCCACCGAGACCGAGCTAAATGCGACAACAGCGCCACTGTTTGTCATTTGTCTGTACTGTGGTCACCTTGAGCTTTTTGAAAGCCTGTTTTTGCGTAAAAACAAATGGAAAAGACTCTTTTTGTATGAAATTTATTGGAGTTTAGTACCATATGATGGGCGCGTGATGTTTTTATCATCTTTAGTTCGCAAGGTTTTGCCGAACAATTAATATTGTTTTTATACTACCATGCCTCAGTGGGCCTTTCAGGTAGCGCGTCCAGACCTAGGTGCATTTTAACTTCGGATGTCGAACGCGGCGCGTCAGCCGGGGAGACGGGGGTGGCACCCCTGTAACCTCTACCGCTGTATCTGTTCTTAAAGCCAAAATTGAAGTCACGTGCAGTTCCTCGAGTGGCCGCTGCGGGAGAAATGGTGGCGTTATGTTTGTCATTAGCTCGGTGCTCGGAGACAGATTGGGGCCACTTCTTCAAAGCTGTCTCTATGGGAGTTTCCCAACTGAGTGTTTTAGTAACGTTGGGCACAACTGTGCATGCGCGTCTGTCTCCTGCAAAAACGACGGCTGCTGCCCGCAGTGCATGGATAGAAAATGGCATATACCATCGAGATTCACGCGCTTACCAGCGAACTCTGGGCTTCCCCGTGCCCCGTTGTTCGGAAGCGCCATAATTTGCGTAGTGAACGTTACGACAATGTGAAATGGGGACATTTTGAAGATTCGTATTCCTTGCGGGACGCGGGACAGGAGTCCTCAATGCAGGACAGTCCTGCGAGTCGCGGGACGGGTGGTCATCCTACATGACGTCGTCACGCTCGGACACACAGACAAAGTTCCGGCAGTAGGGGGCTTCCGTTATGAAGCATTCCTTGATAGGCCACTTCCAGTAATGTTCTGAGACTCAAAGAAGATTGGCTCTCCTCCGAGAGACCTTGCGCAAGGGGGTTTGAGCGGTCGGTGTTTGCAGTTCCACGGAACTTTAGTCTTGATCTTCCTGGGTCATCAACGGAAATCTTCTGTATGAAAAGTGCCTCTATCTTTGAGATTTCTTGACGGAAGTCTGGTGCAAGAGTTCTGCTTTTATTAGGTTTTCCTAACATTAAACAAAACTCACGCAAAAAAAAATTGTTTTTTGGTACTTTTAAGAATGAATATTTTAATTTTAAGAATTAATAAGAAATAAGCGCTGTGGAGCCTCAAACAAAACCTCTCTCGTGCTACATCAGAAATAAAAGCTCTTTCATACAAAATCCTCATAACCGATTATTGAGTATGCAAAAATCATGTGGGACCTACATACCTTGACAAATTGTGCTAAATTGGACAATATTCAGCGACTATCCTCCAGATTCATATTTAACGAACGTAGCCATGCTTATTCTCCCACTGAACTACCGAACTCGCATAGCTCCCAACTTTGGCATCTAGAACAAAATATGACTGTATAAAATGTTTTTTCCTGATTATTCATAATCAAGTAAAAATAAGTTATTCAGACTACTTCGAAATTCGCTCCTATGAATCATCAAGGCACTGGCACACCATGTACATTCCAAGTCCGTCTGTATGAAATGATTGTTTTAAATTCAGTTTTTTTTCTTAGAACCATAGACGAATGGAACATTCTACCGAATGCCACTGTTTTATCAGCATCACTAAATTCATTTCTTAAAAATATGGAAACGACTGTTTTATGTCCTATTTATTACATTTAATATATTTAACTACCCTTAGTATCATATCATCTTTGAAGATGTGTTCTTTTGATTCTTCCTGATCTCTGAGGGATGTACATTTAGAATGTAATTTATTTATGCTTGTTTTTGTTTTTTGTTTCGTATTATATCATATTGTATTTGTTGTTACGAGAAGATTCTCATCTTGTACCAGCGACCTGTATACGTTCATTATGTATTTTTATTTCACCCTGTAAGAGCCCTGTATGGGCTGACAGTATTAATAAATGAATGAATGAAATAAATGAAGGAAATGAATGCACTGCCTTCGGAAGGAATTCTAGCCGTCCAGTTTTGGTACTAAGCCTGCCACTGTGATGGCATCTTAGCGAAGCCACCACATGTCGTCGCCAAATTCGATAGCCTAGGGAAGCAGGGAATAGGCAGCGGGGGTGCATTTTATGGTGTACTCGAACACCACCGTTGGCTTACAAAAGCTGATAGGTGCATGATTCCCGAGAAACTGTGCTTTGTGTGCTGCTATTTGCAAATAATTATTATATTTCCTATGGTTTTCACTGGGTTCCACTTTTGAAAAGGTTACTTGAGTGCCTTCATACAAACTTGCTTTTGTAGTGCGGTGACATCTTTCAGTGCAAGCGCCTAGCTCTGGACAGTGCTTCGACACCATTTTGCTTGCCGAAATTTATTTATGCATACACTTTGTTACGAACTGGACTTGGTAGAACAGAGGATGCCCGCACCCCAAGACAGGTGCACATCCAGGGGCACTAGGGTGGTCTGCATCACACTGGTTAGGTAGCACAAGCCACTGCCTTATTCACTGGGCTTAGCCTTTCTACTCATCCATCAGCGTTTTCACCACACATCATATGTAACGACAAATTTGCTGTGCTTTCAGGGTGTAGAACGGACGAGTAGGAGCCGGTTTGACGGAGGAGATGGCGATTGGGAGAAGAGGAAGATGGGGAAGTACTCGAGCAGGTACGTTATGATTTCGACAACTTGTCCAACTAGCCATCTGTATGGGCAATCAGGCACGTAGCCAGGGGGGGGGGAAGGGGAGGGGAGGAGAGGGGAGAGGGAAGAGGAGGGAGGAAAGCCATGGCCCCCCCCCCCCCCCCCACCCACCAACCCCTTCCGAAATCTTCCATTTTGTTAGGACCTCCTCTCTCCCCTTCCATTCATATAGCATTTTGTCATGGGCGGGCCCAGCCCGAAACAAAATCCTGGCTACGTGCCTGTAAGCAATAGTAGGGTTGTGCGAATATTTGGAATTTCAAATGGTAGTTTCAAACACTAACACACTATTTGATATTCACTTCGAGAAGAACTGCACTATTTGCATTTTTCGATGTGTTGGTTGCGGCGGGTTAGTCCATTGAGTGCGCTTCTTACCAAGCACCGGTGTACTGCTGAGAGGCAACACCCACGGAAGTGAGCTCCGTGGGTGTTGCTTCTCTGCATTACATCGGTGCTTGGTAAGAAGCGCACTCAACGGGGTATCTCGCCGCGATAAACACTTGGGACAGTATGAATATCGCAATTGTGTGCTTGGAAGAAAAGCATACATTGAAAGCGGGATGGTGCACGCGTGCCGGCTGTATTTGAAAATAAATGGAAACTTTGTGAATGTGTATATTTACATTGTGGTAAAAGTATCAAAATTAAACTGACTGTTATGCAAGGGTATACTATGTTAGGCAGAGATGCCCTTACAACCTGCATTCATCATGTTTGATTCATTCTTTTTTAACTCGAGATTAAAGAAAGTATATTTTATATAGCAAGATTTGTAAATTCTCTCAATTGGGTATAGTTAGCCATCTTTATAGGATTCATTTTATGTCGGATCCATCGTTTACTTGCTATCCCAAGACATCAGACCTTCTGAGGACGCAGTTCATAAATATAGATAGATTAAACTTAGCTTATAAACGAACAAGTGGAACAACCTTCACAAGTTTAGCTAGGTTTTTGTCTAAGCATTATGCAATGATAGTAAAAGGCGTGGAAAAACTATTTGATATTCGAGTTGAAAATATTCGGCCAAAATCTCTATTCGCTTCAAATTCGCTTCGAACTCAAAATCCACTATTTGCACAAGACTAGGCAATAGCTTACCTTGATGCTTGTAGATTAGGTGGCTACTACATGATCGAAACGTGTAAATTCCTATTTTGCTGTACGTTCTAACGTTGAGTGCATTCTTAAGTTGACGCATCTTGTGTTGGTTAAGCAATGGTGAATGTTCTGGCACAGCCACAGACTTTGACATTTCATTCTTTGCTGTAATTAAAATGTGAACCGACTTACCTAGTACACTTTTGAACTTGGAAGCTCGGATACAGTTGTGAACTCAGCGACATTCTTCGCATCTTTATGCAGTGAAATACGCTTCATCGAGATCCAAGAGAACCTCTGCCATGAGGTGATCAAGGGACAGGAGCACGTAAGGCTGTTTCGTAGACCCTCACTTTTTTATGGCATCGTTCGAGTTTGGAAAATGCCACCCGACATCGATTGTTGTTTCTTAACGACTCGGTGAAACTTATTCGACAAGGCTTATGAGAACACAGTGCAGAAGTACATGGAAGTAAAAAAATCTATTGTCCAAGGTTCTTACCAAGGTTTTTTAAATTGACTAATGGAGAAGTTGTTTTTCAGAGCCTTTATTTGGAGGCTAAGAACTATCAGATTATGCCACCCACACTTTGCAAAGTTGCAGCTTGAGGCCTTTTCCTAACTGCTTTGCTGGAATCTTTCGTAGAGGTCTTCAAAAAGGAACAGGGGAGGCTCATCTTCTTGTATCTGCGTTTCCGCAGTGCCGCAATGTGGCCGGGAAGTATGAAGAGCACCTTGAGGACTGGTGGTTCAACAGGCAGGAGTCTGACCCAGACCTCCACAAGTTCCTCTGCATTGAGCGGGGAAAAGGTGTGCGCCGTCATTGTCTCTTTTGTTTTCCGAGTCGACAAAACATTCAGATCTCGAGGAATCGGGCTAATCTGTTCAGCAACTGCAAAAGAAATCTTTCTTTTTCTCAGATTTCTCTTAAAAAGCTGTTCAAAAGCCTTATCGGGATGACGCATGTAGGAATATGGCCTCATCGACATGGTTCTTAGACATAGCCACAGTCCATAACGTTCAGGAAGCTTGTAATTGTAAGCAGGTACGCAGTGTTCGGTAAAGTACATCTAAAAGGTACTTCAAGTAAGATACAAAGTAAATGAGACGTGATGTACTTCAAGTAAAGTAGTAAGTACACTGGGTGCAATGTGCTTGAAATAAAGTACTATAAATACAGTGTACTTCCAAAGTAAAGTACAAGTATTTTAACACAATCTTTCATGATGCCCTTTCATGCCCCTATACCAGTGGTTCTCAACCACTAATGTTTCACGGACCTCTTGTGAATTGGCAGTTGTGATGGAGGACCCCGTTCGGGGTGTGTGAAAGAGAGAAATATAGCTTAATTATAATAATGAGTTAATAAATGGATATAGCTAAGGGCTGGTGTGAAATGGACCTCTCTCAATGGCATACACGCGAGAAAACTTACCCGAAAATTGGAACCTTTCTTCTGAATCTGAAAAAATACAATTCTTATTGCCGTGGGCTTGACTGATGAAGCAGGGTTTCGCGCACCCATAGAATGCCTCCGCGGATCCCCATTTGAGAACCACTGCCCTATAGAGTGATTTTTCAACTGGAATGGGAAGCATCGGAATGGGACGCGTCAATAGCTGAAATCTATTTATTGCACTAATAAAGATTACTGCTGATATTTACACATATATACAATACTTATGCATATTAAGAGTCCTAGGGTCCAGTGACTGAAGACATAGAAAGGAACTGAGTGACGGTTATGAGCTTGAGTTTGTTGTTGCCCACTTGTGCAATAATTTTCTCAAGATCTAATACGGCAGCTGGAACCTATGCCAGCAGCACTATACTCCGCGACAACTTTTCTTGGCAATGCAGTGGAAGGTACAGGCCCGCGTCCCCTCTTCCATTTTGAGTGTGTGTGGGCTCTCCTCCTCTCCCCGGAAATGGGGGAGGAGGAGAGCCTGCGTACACTCCAAATGGGAGAGGGGACGCAGGCCTGTACCTTCCACTGCATTGCCCAGAAAAGTTGTCGCGGATTATAGAAACATGTCCCATCTGCCAACACCGTTTCTGGACACTACAGCATAAAGACAGCGCAATGCTCGACAATTTCAACAAGCAGAGTGCGTCAGCTAGTGTAGAGGACTGGAGGTGTCATCTATTGCTACAGCCTGTTAACTCTTAAAGGGATACTGAACCAAAGAATTTAGTGCCCATAATAAGTGGCGCACATTCTTTCCACGAGCCAGCAGCTGCCGGTGTGCGCGAGCACACGCAACGAAAATGACGTCGAAGACCTCCATTCGCGCTTAACAGGACACTGAAATGCATGGGGTATGGGCCAAAGGAGAATAAAGGCAGGCTTTTCATCTCCACAAGTGAAAGCTACGTGCTTGTTAGGCCAATTAATCGCTTACCTTTTACACCAGACCCCACTGTGTAGATGAAAAACTTGTCTTTATTCTCCTTTGGCCCGAACCCCATACATTTGAGGGTCATCTTAACTGCGAATGGAGCTCTTTGACGTCATTTTTGTTGCAGTGCTCGCGCACACCGGCGGCTGCTGGCTCGTGGAAAGAATGTGTGCCACTTATTATGGACACTAAATTCCTTGGTTCAGTATCCCTTTAATAGCATCAGATTGCTTTCCATCCAAGTGCTGGAGTGATATCTGTTCAAACTGCTGGAAATTGATCTTTAAAACAAATTGACAAGGTTTGCCTTTAGGAGTGTTAGAAGGTTTCTCGAATAACTTTCTGCAACGGTCAGTGACTGTCACACAGAATGTTTACTAATGTGGAAATCTGCATAGTTTCTCGACCAAAGGCATCTACGAACTGTGGTATTGCACACATAGTAGCGGTAGGGGTGTAACAAAAATATCCTTGTTGCCAGCCTGCTGTCCCGAGAACCACTTCGGACCAAACTGCGACCCTTGCACCGGCGGAGCGGAGAAGCCCTGTGGGGGCCACGGGAGGTGCAGGGTGAGTCATTCTCCTGCAGTCGTACCCTCTTTGTGGTGAATCCTTTACGGCGACCTGCACCCACTGTGTTGGTACGGTGCGCCACATGACTATTCGTAGCAGTTTAGTTTGTTGAAGATAGGCCAAAGCGATTCTGTGAAGCTCTGATTTGTTGGTTGCAAAATGCAGTGGAGGTACTCTATATTACATCTACGTTGAAAGTCCCAATCGGCACAAACAATTCCTCGTTCCTGAAATTGATGTGATGATTTCTGGTGTATGGCGGTGTTGGCAATGACGTACCGTAAAATCCCGAGCAAGCACCGACTCAAAGTTTGGAGATAATCATGAAAAGCTCGGGAATGGGTGCTCCTTAGGTCAACAGTATGTACTTTGTGTATATTTTTCTAATGTTACAAAATGAGGGGTGAGCTCTTATTGTGGAATGGGTGGGATGCTCGGCATTTTTACGGTACGTGTAATTGTGTGAACGGGACCAATATTTTTGCAGGAGAAAGGGGTAGTTTAGGAGAGAGGATGGGAACCGGCATGTTCAGCATGATACCAAAAACAACAAAAAGGAAGAAAAAAAAAAAGATGCAGCCTTCCTGACAATTTTTGATTTTCAAAAACTAGCATGTGCAAACAACTGCTATCAGTTCTGCACTCTAGAGACGTAACGAGTTTAACTTGGAGCCGCGAGTCACCCAAAGTAAAGTGAAAAGATACATTGCTTCGAGGTCCTGTTAAGCTTCACATATATTTTCATCGTTTGGTTACAGTTTTCCCTAATAAATGAATGTTTGTTAGTGAAGGTCGGGCATACCTATGTGTAGACGTTTGGCTCAAAAGAGTCTAAACTGATCTCTATGCCTCTGTTTAGTGCACTTCAACCCAGTGTGCCTGCAAATGCCCGACACCCAGTTACTAAAACTTCGATCTGCCTAACTGGGGTGTCGTGTTTTCGGGGTCTGATGTTCCTTTAAATGTAGAGTCAGTTTTCTTTTTTTTCTTTTTTTTTTTTCGGATTGTTGTTTGAAAAAATCTGCATTTATCGAGACTTGCATCGAGGAACCTTCAACCTTTGCGAACAAGTGACTGGCCCTATTGCTCGGAAAGTCATTTCGGCACCGAGAGACGGAAACGGGATGAGAGGCGTGCCTACTGAAAGAAGGACCAGCCCCTCGAAAAGTTCAGTGCGGGATGTGTTTGTATCAATACGAGATAAAACTGCAGGAAAACAAATATCATCCCTTCTAGCTTGAGTATTCCTAATTAAAGGACAGCTCCGAATCAGGGCTTTTTGGTGTTCCCTGGCTTTGACAAAACAGGCTCGGGGGGGGGGGGGGGGGGGGTGTTAACTTTTAGGGGTTTATTAGTATTATACCGGAAACATAAAGCCCTATGCACGGGAGTGAAAAAAAAAAAAAAAGTGATTTTAACGCAGATGGTGTTTTATGAACCGATTTTTATGGAGCTCTACAACGTTCAGGGCGTAACGTTTGGCTGTAACAAAAAACGGATGCTGAAAGCCTTAGCCCATTGAGAACCATATCAAAGGCTTCAGACCCCCGGCAGGATTTCAACTTGCCACCATGAGATTGCGAGCCGAATGCTTTGCCGACTGAGCTAGTGAGGAACATTGTTTACTCTGAATGTGAAGAGAGACCCTTTCGCACGGCGTTTGGAAGGCTGCACGCCTCGGGGCCTTGAAGCGCGTGGGCATCTCGTGCTGTGCCATCTCTTGGCGTTTTTCAAGAATGGGAGCGAATCTTGGACACACTTGCTCAGTAGCTAGGCAATGCCGTTTGGACGGCTCTCTTTTTGCCACGGTAGAACAAGAGAGAGGCGAGCTTATCGGGCATGTAAGAAATGGCAGAAGCAGCGGGAAGAGCTTTCGCCAGGGATCTTGCAGGTAATTGCCAATAGGTGGAAGGCCTGCCACATTCTGTGCTTACCAGTCTTTCTGAGCACGATCAAGCTTGTATACAGCTGCCGACCAATTTTTTGGACTAGAAGGGGAACCCAAATTTGGCCGAATAATCGAGTGGTTAGAAAAATTGATTTCAGCCAAATTATAAAATTTTTGCTCATATTCCGCTGCGTATTAGCCACTTTCCACTTGCTTAACGTCAAGTTTAAGTTCTTGTGCAACTTCCGCTTAATATTGTTCACTTTTCACTTGGTTGTTTATCTGTATGGATCACAGTGCTGCATTTTGTCGGCGCCTTCGTTGGCACAAACAGCGAAAAGTTGGAGCCATTTGGCACTATTTGGAGACAATGCTTAGTCTACCAAGCTCGCTTTAATACTGAGCCTATTGGCAAAAAGCCTTCGTGCTCAAAGACCACAAGAACAGCAAACGACCGCTCTTCTCGCGGCCGCACCCAAGAAACACGGACCACGAGAGCAACTGGAAGAACCATAAGAATGGTCAGACGGCGGCCATGTTGGCTATAGTGGAACTGGAAAACCCGACAATTGCCTCAATCTAGTTTGTTTATTATTTAGGACATGGTATCGAGGCTACAGGGCAAAATCAAAACAACCAAAATGGCGGCAGCTGAGCTTGCGGTGCTATCGCGGTGGCTGTTTTGTGGCTGTAAACTGAGGAAATCACGCAAATTATGTCCTAAATATCGAACAATAAGCTTTATGGCATCCGTAAATTCGGTCAATGTTATACATTAACTCTATGGGGTGAGTGACGGTTCGGCGAAAAGGTTTGAATAATCGAACGTGTCCAAAAAAGCAGCGGCCGAAAAATCGGTCAGCGACTGTATATATTTTTTTATATCAAGTCAGCTTTATTTGATTTAACTCAGATTTATTCGATTTAAATAATATTTATTTGATTCAAATGAGATTAATTTGATTTAAATCACTGTAGCTAGAAAATAGGGTTTCTTTACCATTCAGTTGAATCTTCTTAATTCAAACTTGAGGGGGACCGAAAATTTGTTTGAATAAAACAAAGCTTGAATTACCGAGAGTTTCCTCCCATAGAGACAGACGCATAGGATGAGACCTGCATGTTAGTTTGAATTATCCACAAGTTTGAATTAAGAGAGTTCGAATTAACGAGATTTGACTCTACATATATTTTTCAACATGGCATTTGATATATCAATTTGTTTGATTACAGATAACAATGCAAAAATAATAATCACTGTGAATACAAAGTGCACCTTAATTAACAATGTTTTATTGCTTTAGTCCCTGCCATAAAATAACAAAAACAGCTTGATATTTTAAGTTCTACAATTTGTTTCTATTTTTCTTTGTTGAGTTCTGATTTAATTGCAGGAGTACATTATTTTTCTAGTTTTTGATTCTTTTATGTTCTTATTGTGGTTCAGTAGGGCATTAGGTTCATAGCTGACGAACGAAGTGCAAAATAGAGATCAAGCTCAGTGCTCCAATTTTTTCAGAAGAGTTTTGCCTTCTGCTGTTGTGCTCAGTTATGTAAATCTCCCTTACTCAGTGATTTTTTTATTTAAATGCAAACCAAATGCACATAGGAATCATCAGACGATGGACAAACAAATCAGACTTATTTTCGGGATTATTGTTGCAGGAAAGGTTTGATTCAGATGGTCGTAGTAAAACTAATCCGATTTTAATTGTGATTTGCGATTGCAACCAACGTCAAGTCTCGAAAGTCCTTTGTTGGTGGCTGCCCTCGCAGGGATCTGGGACGCGCAAAGGTTCGGGCAAGTGTGCCTGCGACGCGGGCTACTCGGGCGAGGTGTGCGACACCTGCACGCCGGGATACTTTGCCGACGTGACGGACAAGGGGGAGCCCGTGTGCACCAAGTGCCACCAGGCGTGTAAGGGCAACTGCACGGAGCCGGGACCCAAGGCCTGCACGGCGTGCAACGAGGGCTTTGTCATGACAGAGGAGTTTGGATGCCTCGGTGGGTGGGCTTGTCCGCCTTTCTCTTTCTCTCCTTTCTGTGCTGCGTGCCCTTTTTCTAGAAAGAGAAAAAGGCCCGCAGTGTGCATGCCTTTTTTTTCAGTTTGGGGAAAGGGCCTTCATTGTGCATGCCCCGTTTCCAGTTTGGGAAAAGGGCCTGCACACAGCAGGCCTTTGCAACTGTCGTAGGGCAATTTTTGTGCAGGTCCTTTTCCTTAAAAAAAAAAGGCCTTTATTGTGCATGCCCCATTTCCAGTTTGGGAAAAGGGCCTGCACACTGCAGGCCTTTGTGAGTGTCGCAGTGCGGTTTTTTGCAAAACGCCTTTGTACGGTCGTGGACAATGTGAAGGCTGGTACGCATGTTTGTGTTCCCTCGCAACCGAATTCTTGCGATCTCTTACGACGAGAGAACATGCTGGTGCCGTGTATTGGGGGGCCCTGGAACTGCAAATCACTAGCGCAAAAGTGTTTTTGTAGTATTTGTGAGATCAGATGTACATACTATCTAGTGGAAATTGTTGTTTATAACATTGTTGGAAAAATTTTTTAGCCAATAGAGAAAGAATGATGCGCGAAAGCAGCTGGAAATATACGGAAATCCTAAGCTATTGATGGTGCCAGTGTGCTTTTTTGTCGTACGAGCTTAGAAGAGATTGTAAGGCACCCTGGAACGACCGAGCGACGACTGAAACATGCCGGTGTCGCCACCACCACACGAAAAGTTGAACCCCAACTCGACAAGTCTTTTGCAAATAATGTATCCCTACCTGTATTCAAAAGCCTTTCATTTTCTGTCGCCGACACGAAAGGTCAGGTGCACAGCCTACCGAGCGTCCGTCCTCTTTTGTCGGATCATTGAAGGGATAGTCCAACTTGTGAATATAGTTCCAAATGCAGGTGTAAGCTAGATCTACCCGGGCGGTCGAAAGCCAGCAAATTATGTAACCATAACACATCCTTGCGCACCACTTCTTTTTATACAGTAGAGCCACTAATTCAAACTTTATGAAGCAACGAACCTTGTGTGAATTATCAGAAGTTCATCTAAATATGATGCGAGATGAAATTATGATTTGCCATATACAGTAAAACTTTGTTGATACGGATCTCATGGGACTGGCAAAAATGTCAGAATTATCCAAAAGTCGAAATATTGAATGGACAGAGAAAAATTTGCAAAAAGGTTTCTCTCTGACATGCCTTTATTTTGAGAATTAATCTGTTATTGCCGCCTGCTTTCTGAACGACATTTGGGCGGAGACAACAACTTTTCTTAGTGCAGTCAAGTGCTTCACCGCACTCGCGCTGTCTGAGGCGTTGTTGTGAAATTCCTCGAGCACCACGAGACCCACCGCGGCCTCTCGCATAGTGCGACGAGGTGGCGGCTCCTTACACGGACAGTCTTCTTCGTCCCAAGCACGTCCGTCGTCACATAGGTCATTCCTGATGATCTCATCGTCACTTGGCTGACCGGCCACAACAGTACCATCATCAATCGCAAGGCAGTTAGCAAGTTGCACGTGTGGCTGACCGGCCACAACAGTACCGTCATCAATCGCAAGGCAGTTAGCAAGTTGCACGTGGACAGGAAGGAGACTGTTGAAATGACCATCATCGTCTTCAGCAACATCTGGGGTATCCGCTGCCTGACAAGCTTCGGACCAGACAAAGCCGCTGTGCTTAAAACAGTTCGCAATAATCTCAGCGGGCGTGTTGTTCCACACATACGGCAAAATATGTATCGCGCTGAGGAGCAAAACTGGCGAAACTTCGTATTTGTTTGCAGCCTCTATGACCCACCGCAACAACAACAACTTCTGGGTTAGGATGCGCTGCCTTCCGCAGCCGCTTTCTTTTCGCGCTGAACTTGTTGCTCTCGAAAGTCCGTAGGATCTCTGCCTCATTTTGCTCGTAGCTGGCCGAAATACTTCCTGACGTCGCACCTTTCCATCATTTGTTGTTGCGAGACGGCGTCTTTCAAGGCCCTCAGTATTTCCACTTTCGTCGCTAAATCCTTGGCCTGGTACTTCTGTTGCTTTGCTGGCGGCGCCGTTGCCATAGTGGTGGCTGCAGTTGCTGCACGGGATGTCATCGACGACGTGCCAGGAGCGTGTGAACCAGTGCTCCGAACGTGTGATGTTCCAGAGCAAAACGCAAAACTAGCACAAAAGATGAACCACGGAGAACCAGAAGAGGTAGGAAAAACGCGAACAATCACGTGTGCATCTTGGATGGATAGCGGTCATACCCTTTGCAACGGGCAGTAGCTTGCGCCACCTGCCGAGTTCATCCGAATTAACCATAGCACGCCCAAATACCTCCGTATTAATGAGCGTTTGGTGCCATTGACTATTACACATTTAACGGGACCGGATCAGCAGTTCAAATTATCCGAATTTCCGAATTAGCGGGCGTTGAACTGACAATGTTCTACTGTAAACAGCTACAAAAACAAAGCACATATTTGATAATTTCCTCTACATAGGCCTACTGATCATGACGTCTGCTACACCAGAAAAACGTGTGATGTAAGCTTATTTATCCCTCAAAAATGTTGTTTATTGTGAGCTGTTTAGACAGCACATAACAACTCGAAACAAAATAAAGTTTATTCATTGGTCCAAGAAGTTGTCTAATGTGAACTATTAAGTGGGGGACAGATGAGCATGAAAAAGGGTCACCGCACAGCAGTTTTCATAGCAACCTCCGCGGACGCTGTGAGGTGGACCTATGTCAAGGCACCACGTCACAGCGTCTGCTCAAGTTGCTATGGAAATTTTCGCGTAGTGCTCAATTTCATAGATGATAGTGCCTTGCTTGAGTCCCGTTGAGTGCGCTTTTCACTTAACACCGGTGCACTGCAGAGAAGCAGCACTCGCGGAAGCAAGCTTTGCGAGTGTTGTCTCTGCAGTGTGCCGGTGCTTGAAAAGAAGCACACTCAACAGAACCGCGAGAACAAAAAGTAGGATTTGCACGAAAACGCCACTCGAAATAAGGAGAGCCACTACCCAGAAAAAAAATGTTTCTGCGAGAAATGTTGATTTTGAAAAATGGCATATTTACATCCACCAACATCTAGACTATTTCACAGAAAGTTTCATTGGTTTACACAGCATAGTTATTTTTTTTATAAATGAGTTTCTGTCCGCCGATGCTAAAGAAAAGGTAGAGGTTCAAACACTTTGAACACAGTTTTTTTCTGTTCTGCTTTTTGGCATAAATTTAACTTCAGGAAAACTATCGTTTGGTAACGGGATAAAAGGAAAGCCTCACTCATTGTTTTTCTTAAGTGGAATTTAATGAGCAATGCAGCTGTGATGTTTTTTTTACTTTGAGAATGTCATTTATAAAAGATGTTAAGATTTTGTTGACAACAAGATAAGACAAGAAATTTATTTGATTTTTCAACGCAATGTTAGGATAAAATAAACAACTTTTTGGAAACTTTCTTTTCACAGTTGCACTCTCCAGGCGTTCTGCTGCATATCCAATGAAGAAAAATGTTGGGTATCACATTAGTTTTCTAACAACGGCTTTCCTAAGCAATATCAATGGATTCCTGATAAAAACCACTACGATTTCTTTCACAATCCTTGGGCGCAGATGAAACCTTACACTGCGTTCTGCCTCGCAACTGCCAGTATACACTGTAAATTCCGTTCATATTAAGCTGAAGGTTCGAAAGATGACCCTTTTGGAACTCTTGCAGGACAACCAAAATATAGAAATTTGTTTGAATTGACCAGAAGTATGAAATGTTAGAGTTTGAATTATCGAGAGCCTACTGTAACCAAGGCGTTGGGAATAGAGAGAGAAGAAAGAAAGCGTTTTCTGCTTTTACTTTACGTGATGAGATTGTAGGATGTGAGAAATAGAGCACATCCATTTTCTATTGTTTACTTTGACACGTCTAATCTCGAAACGGGTTTGGTTCTAGATGTGGACGAGTGCGTGGAGGCGGAGACGCCCCTTTGCGGGAAAAACACATTCTGCGCGAACAACGAGGGCTCTTACAAGTGCATGGGTGAGTCCCTTTTTTTTTCCTCCTTGTGCTCTAGGGAAAGAAGGCCATCTCTGCATCCTTAAACGGGCAGCGAAATTATTCTTGTACTTTCGGTCAGCGTGTTGCTCGGAACTAATTCTCTACATTCGTAACTTACAAAACAAATATTAGTTTTGTCCAGGGTTGGGCAGTATCGCAATACAAATGTATCGCGATAATATTTCAGAAATACGAAAATTTTGTATCTGTATTTCTGTATTGCGATACATTTTTTTCACCGGGATCTGTATTCCTGTATCGAAATACATTTGGAATGTTTCTTTGTATCGCAATACAATCAGGATGAAATGTATTTCGTTACATTTCTTAAAAAATACTCCCCCCCCCCCCCCCCCAAAAAAAAAGAAAACAAATCCGAACATAAATAAAACAGAAAGAATAACATGTTTATTCTTTCTGTTTTATTTAACTTCACCAACGCGCTCACGTCGAACTAAATCCGAACACATTTTTTTTTTTTCTTTTTTACTTCTGAGGGCACCAGAGTCAAGGAGATGCTGGGGCATTGTTACTATGCTGAACAAGGTTCCTTTTGATTCTACGAACTATTTTTCTATGCGTCCTCTTCTCTCTTCTGAGAAGTGTTCCGTAATCGGGAACCCGAACCAGGTGGCGAGCCAGGAGTGGAGTCAGAGCATCTTCTGCCGCAGGTCCTTAGGTAGGGATTTCTTGAGTCATTGTATGCTGGCATCCAATGCCCGCTGCTAACCTGCTCTCTCGCCTTAGCGTACAGAGTACATTCAGCCGGCAAAGCTAAGTCACATTCCGTTGCAGCACGAGCCTTGCGGTGGTTGACTTGCAATAGTAGGAAGACTCACGCTGTGAAGTTCAACACATATTCAAATGCATCTGCGGCTGCGTCCGTAACATTGCACGGCTCAAGGGTACGTCATCAGCCGACGTGAACGTGACCCGCTGCTCTGGTGATCCGAAACCGAGAAGGAGGCCAGAAGTGGCCTCGCTGTGCATCCCAGACTACGTACTCCCGCGACTCGTCTCAAGATCGCTGTTTCTCGGACAGCTCGCACCTGTGCGGCAATATCAGCTCGCAATCCACGAGGTCTCTGTTTGGATAATGCTAGGCAAAACTTGAGGACTGCAATCCGTGCGTCGGTGGCGGAGGGTTGGTAGTAAGGACCTTCAGAACAGGGCAGTGTTGCGGAATGGGCACCCCCATTCCATTCCCATTCCATTCCGGGGAATTAAGAGTTTTCGATAATTCCATTCCTTTCAACTCCTAGGAATGGGGACGCTGGGCCCATTCCCACTCCTGGAATGGCTGAATCGTTCCATTCCATTCCTCTAATTCCTAAACGATAAAAGTGTCACTTGACAGCTGCATTACGTTGCAGGGTTGGGCAGAAATATTCAAAAATGTATGTGGAAATGCAAATACTGGGATAGATGAAAATAGTTGCCAAGATCCTGATACTCAAGTCTCAAATATATCTGTAAAAATGTATTGCGATACGTATCGGAAATGCATTTAAAAAGAGGCAAAAAGTTTTTGGAAATACAAATACAAGAATACATTTTAGGGAGGGCAGAAATATAAATACTGACAATGCAAAACATTTTTCAAATTTGTTTGAGATGCCAATTGAGATGAGGCTTTAAGGTTGAAATGTTGTTTTTTTTGGTTTCGAAATTACTTTCTCGCAGGCTTGGCACTTCGCCTTGAATGTAGCGGTTCCGGACGAAGAGACCTCAAGTCAATGGGTTTAAAAAAACGTTCCATCAAGGATTGACCGCGGTCCCTTCCCTGGCATCTTGTCTGACTGACCAGTGATGCGAAAAGACTTCGACCTCTAAATAAATTCTATCAAAACATCAACACTTCCCCGTCCAATAAGGGCGCCCCTGTCAGCACTGATCCCATGACATCACGGTAGGATGAACTAGTATTCATGAATCTGTAGGTGTTGAACATGAAACTTTACCCACACTGCTGTATGAAAAGAGAATACATACTTTCGTTGTGGGTGACCTAGTTGAAGAACATGCAAGCAGTTGCACTGGGAATTTTCGAGAAAAGTGGACCACTTGAAGCATTCTGAAGCACATGTCTTATCTTCTGTTACGGTTGAAAAATCGATACGGTGGCCTCCCTGTTGTGACGGTCCTTCCTGCCGTCTCTCCGCCTCCAACACATGAATGGCAGTCTTCAAGTTTCGCCTAGCATCATTCAAACAGAGACCTCGTGGATTGCGACCTGAGATGGCCGGCACAGGTGCGAGCTCTCCGAAAAGCAGCGCGCTCGAGACGAGTCGCAGGTGTACGATGTCTGGGTCCGCACAGCGAGGCCACGTATGGCCTCCTTCCTGGGTATCGGATCACCAGAGCAGCGGCCGGTCACGTTCACGTCGGCCGATGACGTACCCTTGAGCCGTGCAATATTACAGGCGAGACACATTCGGATATGTGTTGAACTTCACTAGTGAAAGGCGCCACCGCCGCCCCCCCCCCTCCCCCCTCTGTTCTTTGCTTTGACGCTTGTTTTTTGTATTGCATTTTTTTTTCTTTTGCGTAAAAGTCTGTTAGGGCCTTACGCGGTTTCGCAGTTTCCCGCTCATTTTATTTCTGAACAACCGACTCCCTGACTGACTCATTCCATTCCCATTCCATTCCGGGCAAAAGGCATCTAATTCCATTCCCATTCCATTCCCCTCACCGTTGCCGCCATTCCATTCCCATTCTGTTCCGGGGTCGCGAAAATGCGGAATGATTCCGGGTATCATTCCAACTCCGGAGTGACAACTCCGCAACACTGGAACAGGGATGCTACCGTATAGTTTTTTCTACCGTAACAGAAGGTAAGACATGTATTCCATGATGCTTCAGGTGGTCCACTATTCTCAAAAATTCCAAATGACACTGCATGCACGATCTTCAACTAGGTAACCTACAACGAAAATACGTATTGTCCTTTCATACAGCAGCGTGGTAAAGTTTCATGTTCAAGGCCACACCTACAGATAAAGAATACTAGTTCATTCCACCGTGACATCATGTGATCAATGTTGATGGGATTCCCTTGTCAGACAGACAGGATGTCATGGAAGGGACCGCGGTCAGCCCTCAATGGAACTTTTTTTTTGGGGGGGTGCCCATTGAAGACCCCTTGTCATCCCAAACCACTACCTTCAAGGCAAAGTGCCAAGCCTACAGGAAAGTAATTTCGGCATCGAAAACCTCCACTTCAAACTTCATCTCAATTGGAGTCTCAAAAAATTTGGAAAATTTTTTGAGACTCCAATTGAGATGAAGTTTGAAGTTGGGCACTATCAGTATTTCTGTATTTGTATTTCTTCCCTCCCTAAAATGTATTCCTGTATTTGTCTTTCCAAATACTTTTTGACTATTTTTAAAATGTACCTATTTCCGATATGTATCGCGATACATTTTTACAGATGTATCTTAGTATCAGTATTTTAGCTACTATTCTAATGTATCCCAGTATTTGTATTTCCAAATACATTATTTCTGCCCAACCCTGGTTTTGTCTCCACGCAATGGCGATTGCAGCAAAAAAAAAAAAAGAAAAAGGGAAATGATGTCGACATTGTTGCTGTCACTACCCCGATTCTTGACGAAAGGCGTCAGCATTTCGTTTCCCTCGGATCGCTGTCTACGATTTCCGTGCTGCATTCTTCAAAGGGCCTATCTTTCCTCCAGACATCGCCGGTGTCACACAAACGCACAAACGGCGGTGTCGCTGTGCCTCGAGTTTCATGTTCAACAGTGGCGTGCCATTGGAAGCTTGTCACAAGACTTTCTCTTGTGTGAGAGGGAAATGGACAGTAATGAGTGAACAAACGAAGCTGAAGAGCGTGGCAGGAACCACACCATGGCGTCACGAACGAGTTCAGTACAGTCCAAAGCAAAGACAGCTGCATGCACCAGGGCGAAAAATGCTCTTATATTTGGTAGAAAGAAACGAACTGCGTTTCTTTCTACCAAGTATCCAGTAAGGAAGGAAAATGCTCAACTTGCAGCCAGAACAAGTGGCTGCGCGATCCGGTCCGATTATATGCTGCCAACGTTCACCTCGGCCAGGTTCTATGATTGACAAAGTGCAGGGTCCGGGATGTGTTTCAGACATTGTCGAGGTTGCCTCTTCCCGTCGCGCCTGCGATCGAACGCAAGGAGCTACCCAAATGTTCGCCGGGGTGTCGATTGCCACGTACCCAAGTTCAACGTTCTCGCAGCGCTTGCGTCCAATACGGGAGCTGCATTTGACCGGCATCACCGAAGGGTAATCGCTGTGGCCGCACCAACACTGCGATCCCTGTGACTACGTCGTCAAGTTTTGTGATGGAGACGATGAAAAATAAAAGTCCGCCTTTATCCTCAACATTACACGGCAACCAAGAAGCTCCCGGGTCAGTTGCATCGCAGGCAGTTGGTATCCTGGGGTCACACTAGAGCCACTGAATGAGTTGCGCTTAGAGTGGTGGCAATTCTTTCCCTAATTTCCTGATTGGTGCCGCCATTTATATGCTTTGTGCGGAGTGGGCGCAATTGGCGATAGTTACAATGTTAAAGTGCAATTTCCTAAGCTTTGCTTACGGTGTTAGGGAAGTCAGAGCGACACTGCTTTGTGAGGACGGAAAGGTATTTCACGTGATTTCGGATGAAGGTTCAGATTACTGGCAACCTTGACTCTAAGTGCCAAGCTAGCTAAAGTGTCGCTACTCTGAAGTATGATGCCTGGACGTGTCTCCAGGTCACTAGAGCTTCCTACCTCGCCAGCGACTTCCACCCGAGCTGAAAAATTTCTGGCGCCAGCCCAATCAGCAATGCGAGCTCCACGCATGGCTGGCACGGCACTGAGAGTGCTGCGGGCGCCTCCAGTTTTGGCAGCTCCGCGTTTCATCCCAATGCATGTTCCAGAACTGTAGTAGTTGCGACCTTGACCCGCGCATGGGTGCAGACAGGAAAAGCTGTAGTTTTGGAATTTCCGCATCACTTGTGGAATGAGCTCCCTTCTTCCTCGCAGCATCTCTGCAATGTCGTTGCCTATTTTGTGTTTGTAAACTGTCAGAATATCCCCGCTGTTAAATGGGTAGTGCAACGATTTTAATGTTGAGTGTGCAGTTTGTATTTTTTATATTTTTTTTATCTAGGCACAAGTGACGAAAAACTTGCCACCTTGCCCCCTGAAAACTGCTATTCCGCCGCGTAATTGCGGAGGAACAAACAAATTATTTTCCAATCTGCAGCTGCGTGTGGCGGTTACGGGAACTACGGCGAAACGTCTTTGGGGTATCTGCGGAGGTCAACAAAACCGAAGGTTATGACTGTCGCTCACCATAACCTTCGGCGATGCAAATCCTTGAAAAGTATATGATTGCGGAGGAAGTGACAGGGGATTGGAAGAGAGAACCCAACGGGAAACCAGGTTATCCCTCAGTGGACGTCAGTTAAAAGACGGCGTAAAAGTTGATAGGCACTTCGACCTTCGATCTGTTTCATTTTTTTAAATGAAAAATAGCGCGTGCAAGAAAACTTGGCTTTCTGTTCTTCACTCCATAGGCAACACAGATTGATTCCCGCAGGTAATTGGCCAAAGTCTGAAAATTGTTGCACCATCTCTTTAACGAGAGAAGCTTGCCTGTGTGCAGTATAGGGCGGTCCCAGGCTTGTTTTTCTTCGACGTCTGCCGGTGGCTTAGAGGAGTGCCGTTTTTCTTTGTTGCTCTTCTAAATGCTCATATGCCCGGGTACACAACACGTCGGCATAACCGCAAACCTATCCTACTTCAAAAAGAACAGTTCTCTTACGCTCTTCTTTCTTCTCTTTCTTACTGGATTCTTCTTTGTCCTGGCTTTCTCCTTTTTTTTTCCCCCCAAGAGAATTTGCGGTTTAGGAAGAAAAGGGCTCGTGCATTGAGGGCCGCGTCATTAAATGTTGGTTGCCAGTTGAAAGAACTCTACTGCTTGTCTTCGTCCCCACATCTTTTATTCTTTCATATTTTTTTTAAATCGAAAAGAATGTTCTTACTGAACCACACTCCGCAAGCTGTACATTTTCGATCGACGCAAAAACGGACGTGCGAGACGTTGCATGCAAATCGCCACGGCCGTCTTTGCACGACGGCGTTCGGACCAACTTACAGAACCGGGGCATGCAAAGCTTTGGGCGTTGAGCCGGCAGTGCCGGGTTGAGCCTGCGCTGCTGTTAAGGCTCGACCACCCACTTAAAGCGCCAGCGTCGACAGTCGGGTTCGACCAAGAAACTTTTTTCTCAGCTGCACAGCACGAGCTCTGGAACCGATACAGTGGAATCCCCGTTAATTCAAGCTCTTGGATAAATCAAACTAACATGCAGGTCCCGTCCTATGTGTTTCTACGGAGGAAACTCCCGGTAGTTAAAACTGCATTATTCAAACAAAGTTTGGGTCCCTCAGGTTCAAATTACCGTATTTACCCGCATAATGAATGCACTTTTTTTCCCGAAAAATTGACACATATTTGGGAGGTGCGTTCATTACGCAGGGTAAACTTTTTGCATTTGCACACTTCGTGCAAATGTCATGTTAGGTGCTAATACGACACGGCAAGGTACTGTGACACGTCTGCACTTATGGAAGCGTACCCACGGCTGGTCGGGGGCACGCCACAGTAACCATGCTTTTTAGGGCGCTTTCGGCGTGCCTTATGCCGAAGGAAAAGCGCCCTACGAAGCTCACTCGGCACAGAGAGCAACGCGACCGTTCTTAGGCCTAACCGCTTTCACGATTTCACTGTCTGAAGGCAAACCACAGACGACGGCGTGTTTGTTGACATCAATGCATTTGATGGGCGAAGAACGTCCGAGGCTGGGAAATTTCTCGACCCAAGCTTCGTCAAGTGTGCGCGCCGCTCAGTTTCACGGTTGATCACTTCCGCAACTACGCACTTGCAGCCATTACGAGAGCGGCTTGGCTTGGCATAGCCTGACCGCTTGGCTGCAAAAAAAAAATTGGCTTGGTGGCTAGCTAAGTTGGGCACAATTCGAGACTCGCCGAGCCGAAAGTCGGAGGTGCGTTCATTACGCGAGGGAAAAAAAAAAGCCCAAATATTGCTACTCGTTGTGTGGGGTGCATCAATTATGCAAGTGCGTCCATTATGCGAGTAAATAGGGTAACGAGATTCCACGCGACATCCGACGGTGTGGCACTCCGGGTTTTGCGACGTCGTTCGTTGGCACTTCGGTACTGCTTCTGATGCATGGGCGGAGTAGAGCGCCGAACGAACCGGCCAGGTACGCATTCCTGGCGCCGTACTCCGAAGCGTAGCATGTTGAGTGTCTCTAGGGCACACCGGCCCTGCCGGTGTGCTCGTGTAAAATAAGGAACATTTCGACACCCAATGTTGTTGTGCTGCTCCTCGAAAACTCTAGTCAATATCTTATGTATGAGAGATCCAAATATCAGCGATTTGATTGGTTCGAGATTCATTCAAAACACTGGGTCATTCCACTGCTCTAGACCTGTCAGAAAAATAGCCTGACTAGAATGTATGTTTGGTCTCTAATCACTTGTATGATATTGATGCACATTCTAAATTAAAACCACATGCTTTGAGGGAATTAAGAAACATTAATAGACATCAATTTGAACTTCCAGAACATAACAGAACATAAATATACTTTTTTTTTTCTAGAACTGTAAGGGACTCAAATAATCTGCCAGATAAAGGCTGTAGGAATAGATTTGAAAAATCTTTTTTGAAGCTGTTTCAATGTTTCCTCTATGCCGTAATAGGGAGCCTTAATTGTTTAGACTTTTTTGCCATAGGTTGTGATGAGAGTTCTTTTTTCTATAACTTGTATTAAAATGTTCAAGATATACTAATTTTGTTTTTCTGTGCTTTGTTTCACGTGCGTGTGTGTATTCGGTATCGCTTACGCCATTCATTGGTTCAAACTAATGTTTAGTGAAATGTTGCTGTAGAGCGTTCAAACTAATGTGTAGTGAAATGTTGCTGTAGAGCAACAGTGTTGAATTTTTATGAGGTTTGTATATTTATACTACCTTTTATTCCCCACACCTGTTAAAGCCCCTTAAAAAAAAGTAAACAAAATTTAAAAAAAAAAAAAATTATTGTGCAAGACTTTTTGCTTGTTTTTGCGTGCAGACTGCGACTTCTCTTGCAACGGGTGCACGGGAGACGGTCCAGACATGTGCGTCACGTGCGCCGAAGGCTACGTGCTCAAGGACAAGGTCTGTGTGGGTGAGTCCGACTTTTGGGAGCCTCACATGACCTGCTCTGTGCCGCTTGCTTTCCGTGCGGTCGGTTCCTTCGTCTCTCTTAGGTTTGATATTCTCCTCGTTTTATACTTTGCAGTTTTTGTTTTTAACCTCGCTTTTTTGTCTTTGCCTTTTGTCGTCACTCGTAGTGTGTGTCCAAAAAAGGTTTCCAAATGTTTTTGTTTGTGGAGTTGGGACAGAAAGGCTGTGGCATGGTTTCTCGGCAGTTCGAGAATGTGGACGAGGAGAACTTGGTTTGAGTTTAGTCGCCCCCTTTTTCTTTATTTTCTGCTTAGCGTGTTTGTTGCTTAGCGTGTGTTAGCGTGGCGGAAGTTGCCAGCGAGCTTTAATTGTCATTATTTTTTAACATTGATTTTAAATTAGTTTTGTGTACCACTTTTGTGCCTCTGCTAGCATGTTTTGTTTCTTTTGCATGTTATGCTTGTTCAGCATGTTCCGTTTTCTTGTCTTCTTTGTTTTCTTAAATTCCTATAGAGGTGCCGGAAGAAACGGGTGAGTCGTCTGCTTGTGTACATACCTCTGCTGCTGTCACCTTGTCATTGCCCTGTAACGCACCTGGGTGCTTCTCCTGAGTGTTTTGGGTTTTTGATTGAGAAAATGACAGTGCATTTTGGGTTTTCGATGTAGAAAATCCACCGGAAGACGAGTCTGAAGGTGAGCTTTTTACCGTAGAGCCCTTATGCCTAGGGCATTCTTCCTCAAAGGCCACCTGGAAGAAAAGTTTTTGATTTCTTTTGTTAAAAAATTTGTAAACTAAAGGTTTTTTTTTTAATGTCACGATGTCCTGTGATTATTAACATTCCACTTTTTTGTGTTTTTATATAGATGCATCAGAACCAAAAGGCAAGGATTATGCTTTCTTTGTCGTTATGTTGGAGATTTTGACCATTGTTTAGTGTTACAAGTCCCGATGGATACATCCTTCTACTAACCTCAAAATCAGGCTTGTTTCGGAGTTGGGTTGTACACTTACCGTTTGACATGTGTGCTCACAACTTCCAAGCATCTGGTGTCATGATTCGTGACATAGTATACGTAGGTTGCATGTGAAGTCATTGAAAGAGTGCTCCGACGACCACCAGAGAAGAGGGCAAGAAAGAGATCCCCTCTTATCAGGGCCCTCTTTTGTGCCTTCCCGATTTGCAGAGGCGTCGCTATTCTCCTCCCAGAAGATTAACCAGTCACTCAAAATTCTTACAAAAGCAGCTTCTTCTCTTTTTCTCTTACGTGGTGGTCAAAAGTATGCGATATGACGTCAGTGCAACCCATATATACATGAGGGCCTTCCCCCCTCTCCCGATATTGTTTTGTTGATTGTGTCGGCACCGTTAATGATTGTGGTCCTCATAGCCGCTACTTCCCTCGCATCAACAAAGTGCTTTGATCTTGTTGAGGTGTGCATGTTTTATGTTCCCAAAGTTAATATTAAGTTAGATTTTTCAGTCAAGGAGAAAACTGCTTCATAATTGCATAACAATCTGTTCTGAGCCACTTTGTGACCCAATTTTATTTTAGTCGGGTATGTATCCAAAGCCTATGCGGAGTGCAAGTTCGTCTGCTTCTTGCTCAGGGGTAGCGGCGACGTCGGAATGCCGAGCTCCAATAGACCCTTTCCGAAATTCAGTCTGGCCACTTTGATCGCTATCATCATCTGTGGAAAGGCATCTGTGCCATACCAATGGCGGCCTTCTAGTGGCTCGTAAAGGAAGACGTTGAAGATGCTTCTAAGCGGATGATGCGAGGCCTGTACATTCCGGGGTTCTCTACGACGTGACGTAGGAATGAAACACAAGTTGCTTTGTTCTGAATGCAGGTTCTTGGTCACCATCGAACTGAAAGTGATGGAGAAAGAACTCGCACTGAAGAATTCCTCGCGTGCCGTTGACTTGCAAAAGTGACGGCGCCTATACAAGTTTATTTCCGCCATTGGTATGGCAAAACCTAAACTGCTTTACGAACCACCAGATGGCACTGAATTTCGGAAAGGGTCTATTGGCTGATTGAAAGAAATAGTGGGTAGACCTCAAGGCATCTGCATTGAGGTCTACCTACTATTCTTTCAATCAAAGCCAATCTGAGCTTGCCATCGTTCTGACGTCACCACAACCCCTGCTCAAGAAGTGGACGAACTTGCGCTCCGCAGAGCATGAGCTTGCCGCCAACATCAGAGCTCCAACCTTGTGACTACAGTGAAAGTAGCTAAAGAGGTTAAGGCTTACGCTAAGAGTCTGCAACCATAGGCTCTCCGTCATTCCTTTGTTAGATTGAAGCAGAGTATTGGCATAAACAGCTCAAGACTTAAGGGGGGACATGGGTTCTTGGAGCCAAAAACGTCCTAAAACTGTATTCTTTTGAAAATGGTGATGGCTGTTGTTCTTCTGAATTTACCGGGCTTTTAAATTTGTGGATGAATATTTGGGCTATAAATCAACTAATAATGTCTATGCGGGCTGAATGTGATTGAAATTGACTCTAAAACATTGTTTTCACAAGACACAATTTTGGGACTCGTGAAAAATTTGCAGGAGGGATATCTCAACACCCAGAGCAGATAGAAATATAACCTTTCCTGAAATGTGTAGCTAAATGTGTGAAGCATACAATGTTGAGAGCGGATTTTCAAATAAAAGTCTAGAAAATTTTCTATTTGATCTTTTGGTTTATTATTTGTTAGCCTTGCATTGAGCACTGAACTTCAATGTGTGGTAAAATCACTAATAGTGGGTTTACCTTAAAAGTACTTCCAACATTGTATGCTCTACACTTTCAAGTATCTAGCCATGTGTTAAAAAGGATATTTTGTTGAGCAGTTTTTTTCCTATCGTTCCTCCAAACAAAGGCAGGCAAGTTTTAATTACCTCGAGGACAATTCTCCCGACTGAGAAAACGACCAGATATATGAAATCAGCACAAAAAGCCGAACAAGCTTATGCAGTTTGAATGGGTTTGGTCACAGAATAAGAAAAAAAGCTCCAAGACCAGTGTTCCCCCTTAAGAAATGCACGTCCAAGGATAACTCCACCTTAGTCTTTTGTCACTGTTAATCCCTCGAAGACTTGGCCGAGAACAATGTTTCTTGCGTCGCTTCTAAAATGCCACAGACAGAAAATGTTCTACTGGAGATCCGGGGACATTTCTAGAAAAGATTACAATCGTATACTCGACACCTTGTTTGACTTCATTAGAGGCATTGCACCCACCCTTGAGGCTGCTAAAGTGACGAACGACACTCCGCATCACTGTTTCTGCACGACGTCGGCAGGACTAGCTTAGTTGCCTCTGAACGCATTAATTTTTTCCTAATCATGTCAGCGGTTGGTTTCAACCCTGCTGAAAATATAAGCACCTTTTCCTTTGTCAGTAGTGCCAGGCTGCACAAACCGCTGTGTCGTGGAAAATATGCTGGCCTCTTCGACGCCGCGCAGAAAACTTTGCACGCGGGTCAATCTGTGAATTGTAACCGCCGACGGAGGGAGGAGAACGACGGGGAGTCTCTTTCGAACGTCCGCCGTCCGCTGCACGCGCTCCACGCCTTCCGCCGTGCCCCGGCTGTGCATGCGCAAGCGAGACACGTGGGAAGCTCGCACCAGTGGCAAGACACCCGAAGTTCCTCCCCGTGGTTCCCACCTCTTCGGCGACCGCTGCAGCATTTGAGGCAGAGCACATGTTGTAACGCCGTCACTCCCCCTCCCCTTTTTCTTCCACGTTTCTCTGGAACGCTGGCGGGGCTTGCAGACGAGAGCGTGAAGTGGCGCGAACTCCACGTGGTGCTGGCGCGCTACGCCACTTACCTCGGGCTCTGCGTGGCCACCTTTATCATTTTCAAAAGGAACGTTTACGCCGCCAGCGTCATTGGGGTGCTCGTGGCCGTGTACATTGGTTTCTCCGAGTACACGCTGGCCAACTGGAAGGAGCACAGTGTGACGTCGACCTTCAAGAACGTCCTGGCGTGGTGACTCCTGCGCCGTGCGCCGCTTGCAAAACCGGGGTCTAACGATTTTTTTTTTCTTCGTTTGATTGTGTTGCGTGGAACCACTGGCCTCTCTTGGGTGGCCTTGGGGACATAGCTTGTGGTTCAAGTGCGACTCTCATATTGCAGCGTTGTGTTGAAATCGGTGCTTGTCGTGTCGTCACGTTTGTTCTGTCTGTTGTGTGGTTTTCGTGGGACGTTGAGCGAGTTCTCTGCTAGTCGGCGCGTTAGTTTCGTTTAAAATGGACTACAGGAGAAGAAAACGAAAACAAGCCAAGACAGCCTCCTCTCTTTTTATTGAGGCTGTCCGAAATGCTTCAGTTTGTTGTCGCACGAGGCAGAGCGGTGTTGCACACTTCGACAGTTCACGGGTATAACACTATCCGCAGCATTGCACACAAACTCTTTGAAGCTCATAAGGTTAGGCAACACGGCGCCACCGCATATCTCCTAGTCCCATTTGCAACGGCCGTGGTTTATGCGCAAGACTACAGTTTGTGGGCAGCGTGTTCTCTTTTGCGTGTCGGTTTGTCTTAACTTATATTTGTAAATGACTGTACATTCCATCTAGGCATTGAATAAACATGAATGTGCTAACGTCGTTCCTTCTGTGCTCGGGAAAGGCGGAAACATATACGAGAGGCTGTTGTTCCTGGTTGCAGGGGAGGCAGTTTCAAAAGACGACGGTGCCGGCGAGGAACACAAAGACGGTTTGGGTGTGACACAGACACCCGATGACGATGCCACAGCGTCACACGGCGACGAGTTATGACATCGGAGTCCAAAAAAAACTAGTCTCATTTGTGTGCCACCACCATCTCCTCCTTTGCATGCTACACGTTTCCTGCATAAATGACGCCAACCACTCTGTTTATACCCTGCATCCTTTGTGAGTTCTTCGTGCAAGGTGCCACGCAGTCGGGCGGGGGGCTGGAGGCACTGCACAAGGCGGAACGTGTCCCAACGTGCGGGCGGCGCAGCGTGCGGAACGCCTCCCCGCTGACACTTTTTGTTGGGCGCCCATTTGTCAACGACACGCGTGCGCAAAGCTAGGTTTGATTTCTTGCTAGTTATCGTCTAGGATTGTCATTGGAAACCGCATTAAAGTGGAGAAGGACGTTGCGACAACGACCCTCCCACCTTCGGCCGCTCAGTCTTGGCGTCCTGGTGTCTTTTGGGAGGACACAAGCGGCTGCCTAATAGACGGGCGGGGGGGGGGGGGGGGGGAAGGAAAATGTTGTGCACTGGCTTTATATTATATATATATATATATATATATATATATATATATATATATATATATATATATATATATATTTGCTGGAACCACCGAATATTCCGTCTTGGGAATCTCAAATGTGCAGCCGCTGCCTGGCATGGCGAGACGCACCGAGCTTATTCCGTGTTGGATGTGCCCCCGCAGATTAATGCGAGCTGAAACTGCCAATTTTGCCTTTTTCCATGTCTGTGGTGTCTCTCATTTCTCAATTTCTCAAAAAGTCCAAAGTATGGGGCCGGAACTTTGCATTCCATTACTAGATCAAAACACAGCTCTTTCAAAATCGGGCAGGTACACCGAGGAAGAACGAAGAACTGCTTCAGCTCGTATTGTCCGCGATAGTATGCTCTAACTTCTTGGCAAGCATGCATTGTAAAAGCTAGAATGATGCCATGAAGTAAGAGGGACACTGAATCGGCACTTCCAAGTGAAAAGTTGAGGCTTGAAGGCATCGTATTCCTGACTTAAATGGTGAAGCTGCAATATTTATAGTCGTTTTACGATTGCTCGTATCAATGCAGCAGGAAGCATTCCAAGCACTTTTGCCTTTCTGCTGCAGCTTTCTGCAAATACTCAGTGGCTCTTGTGATTCACAGATGTGGAACCCAGTCTTGCACAGCCTTGCACTTTTAAAGAAATGGAATTGTTAAACATCCTGTTGCCAACATCTGAATAGATGGGGGATGAACTCCCACCTTTGTTTTCTCTGAATTGTTTGCTTTTGTTGCCTTTCAATTCAGCCGTTAAAGGGAGGGGAGCTGCGGCGAAGTTTTGAAAGTCGTTAATTTGCTTCAAATTGGTTTGACACGTCAAAAGACACATCTAAAATAATAACCCAAACTACAAATAAAAAAAAAAATTGACAAGTTTTTGATTTTTTTTTAACTCAATTTTCCCAGGTTTCTTTTTTTTTAGGTGAGGGACTTTGTTGGTTAGTAGAGTTCGTTTTGGACAAGTTGCAAGAAGTTTAATGGTGTAAAACTAATGGAAAGCATGAGGAAATTTGAAAATTGCTTTTGACACAACATTCATTCGCCGTTTTCTCAATAGCTATTCCGAATTTATAAATTTGGAGGAGTAAAGCCTGTGTGTTCCGAAAATATGCTTAGTTTTGACAGCTAAAAAGAAACCACCGGAGCTTCCGTTTAATTAAGCAACATGCCTGCCATCAGGGGCAGGGAAAAGAGGGCCGCATGGTATATGTTTATAGCTATACTCTCGTACCTTTCAACAACACAATAGATGTCATGTTAGCTCATGCTTGGTACACACCACAAGGGCACAAATAGCACTTAAACAGGACTGCTTGCCGTAACAACTGCCGTGCGTCACAAGTGGTCCTGTGGAAAACTTCACATCGTGGCATTATCCGATTTCTCACTATTCCGATCAAAGAGACATTACCAAGGTACTAACAAATGCTATACAATATCTTATATCCAGGTCGTATGACATTCTTTCTGAGCTGCTCTTGGGTGAATGTGTAAGTTTTTTGCAACAGTATCTGCTGTGTCAACAAACTTACAATGGGGGCACAGAGTTTGTGCACTAAGCTGGACCTTTTTCAAATGTGACACACGAACGGGGAACATTGGAGCGTCAAGTGCTCATCACAGTTCTAGCTTGGCAAATGCACTTACTGTCGCTCGGGGACTCGCCCAAGCCCAAAACCGCGCAATCAACAATGCTTGTACAACAGCAGAACGGGGATTCGCAGGCCCCAGATCGTCATGGTTGCTTCACTAGCAAAGTGAAGCTCAGCCTTATCACGACCAGTCGCCGACATGGAATTGCTGACTAGTTTTTCCTTCTCTGTGACGTAGTCGCCACCACTCAGTAGCGTGTGCCCTCTCGGAAGTCAGTTGCCCGTAAACCTATAGACCTTTCCAACGCACTAACCGCCACTGGCTTCTGTCCGGGACACACTGGCGTTATTCATCTGCAAGATGTTGTCCCACAGACGATACCTCTGCTCCACCAATCCGGGCACTCCTAGATGCGTGAACATGGCGTCTGGTCTCACATTGGCCGCGGTCTCGTTGGGATAGAGTTCGTAGTACCTCCGAATTTGGATGTGACCCACATGAGCAGCCTTGGCCAGGATACCCGTAGAGTAGACGTCGTCCACCCACAGGAACGGCGCTTGCCTCGAAGCATTGAAGAGGAGTGGTAGGAGCTTGGAGTGTAAGATGAACCCGAGACCACCGCAGTACGTCGGGTACATTCTGGACGGATACTCTTGCCTTGTGACATACCACTTGGACTTGCGGTTGCGCACCGCGACAGTTCTTCTCCAGGCGAGGCAGTGGATGCTCGACTCGGCCTCCGTGTCGGTGATGTTCCGCAAGTAGTCGGCCAAGAGGAAGACGTTGACCAATGCGTCGTCATCTATCTTGACGACGAACCGCACGCTATCTCTGCAGTTGTCCGTGACCCACTTGAGGCCGTAGACAAACTTGTACGTTAGGTTCCGGTAGGTGTCCAGGAACGGAAAGACGACCATGTCGCCCAATGCCTTGGCCTCTGCGTGAACGGCAGCCCTCGTTGTGAGATTCTTGGATTGTCCCACGAAAAAGATGAGTGCAGATTTGAGTTGCTCGCTGATGCTGCTATGTCCCAGCGTTTCCCTGAGGAACTGGCGGTGGGCCGCGTGTTCGGATGCCGTGTGCACAAAGAAGAGGACTTCGAGGGGGCTGCGGCAGTGCAGCTGCACCTTCCAGCCGTCCAGGAAGGGCGGGAGGTCGTAGTCGACGGTGACGTGCTGTTCTTCGAGGGACAGTCGGACGCTGACCAGGAATAGCATGCCGACGAGGAACGTGGCGACGGCGAAGAAGCACGTCTTGACGCACATTTTGCTTCGGCAGATTGCCTGCCATGGTATGCCCGGTGTGGTGAGGAGGTCACCCGTTTCTGCAAAGATACGCACTGGGATGTAGGTCCAGGATGGCACAACAGTAAGCAAAACAAAAAATGGCTCTGCTGTCAACCCACCACATACCAAAAGCAGGTTTGCCTAGGGCACTCACAGCCTCAGCAATGCAAAAACTGATCACTACTTTGCGTCTTCCTGCTCGCAATATTAAATATCATTTATGACTAGCATTATGCATACCTGTGGGACATATCCATACGTTGTATCAGCTTTTATTTAAAATTCAATGACGTGATTTCTGCAGTATCTGAGCCAAACTGCTCGATGCGCACCCTGCCGCGATTCGTCAAAAGGTGGATAAATTGTCAGCCTTGTGCTAAAAGCTCTCTTCCCTAGTTTTCAAAAACCAAAACTAGCAACTTGGACACCACTTTATTACTGGATCACAGGCAGGTGCCAATATTTAATAACTTTTTCATGATTCGATCATGACGTGCATTTCATTTGACCCTCGCAACGAACACATTCGCTCTATTCAACATGCTTCCCATACTGCAAGGGTGCATTGCTGGGAAGTGAAACGAGGCCTGCACTACGGGCAACAGATTCGCGCAGTTGCGCTACTTTTACGAAGCCTGGCGAGCATTCTACACCACTTTGCATACGGCGAACCGTCCAATTCTCTTGTTACGTTCGCTTCTTCGAGAGCACTAAACTGCGCTTAAATCGATACCAGATAGAAGAGGACAAGGCCTGTGGATGACGTCCTCGTAAGTGGATCCGTTATAATAGTTCCTCGACATTCGTAGCCTATGAAACGCGTTAAATTTTTGTGACACTTGTCTGTAACGTAGGAAAACTGTGCTGTCTGAGCCAGCCTTTCGAGCAGGGGTCTCGAAACCCCGGCCCACGGGTCAAAACCAGCCCACGGAAGTCCAGCCCGCGGCTGGCTGCGGTTCATCCAATGGAGCCCGCGGCCCATTTCCCGAAACGCACCGCTACAAATTTTTTTTCTTTTTGCAAGATCTGTGGCGATGCAGTAGGTATTACTAATTGCAAGAGCGTCAATGCCAAATGTAGCTGCCGACATATCATTCGAAACAGGGGAGTTCTTATGAATTCAGTGCACGTTTCTGTCCCGGTATTATTTTTTTTTTTAATACAGAAAATTTGGAAACAGTACAATTAATTTCCGAATTATTGAAGATTAGGGAGAGGGAAATTGCTGGGCAATTGTGTTGCATACGTGAAAGGTTTTAGCATCACGTGGCATCAATCCCCCCGCTAAATTTAACGGGAAAACTGAATTGGTATGTAGGTCACATAACGTTAATTTTCCCGCTAAATTTAGAAAAACTAAATTGTAGCGATCACTGAAATCGATTGGTATGTAGGTCACGGGACGTTAATTGTTCATCTAAATTTGGCGGAAAATTGAGGTAATGTGATCTATACACCACCTCAACTTCCCATAATGCAACACTGCGTGCGTTGCCTTATGGGACGTCACGGGCCACGGCTTCACGAAATGTGGCTCCATGAAGTCAGGAGCAACTAGCCAAAAGAAGTTTGACATTAATAAACTCCGAAAAAACCCCGAATTTCCGGCAGGAAAAATAAACTAGAAAAAAGCTTTAGAGGAAAAAATACGGGGCAACAAATTGAAGGCGGCAAATCTAGAGACCACGGGAGTGGTTATCTAGGAATCCGATTACATGTATCGTTGCACACCGGCTATGTGCTTGTGTACAGTTACGTGCGTGGGTCACGTGACCTGGCGTTTTGTGAGGACGTCAGGTCTTTACAGGTTGACCTGTAGAACGACAAAAAGGATGACATCAAAGACATCTAGAACGACCTCTAAGACTACCTTTAGGGCGACATCAAGGACAACATCCTCTAGGGCGATGTCTAGGACAACCTCTAGGGCGATTTCTATAGCGACCTAAAGGACGACGTCGTCCTTAAGATCACCATAGAGGTCGCCCTAGAGGTTGTCCTAGACATCGCCCCAGGAGGACGTCGTCCTTGATGTCGCCCTAGAGGTATTCTTTGAGGTCGTTCTAGATGTTTTGATGTCATCCTCTTTGTCGTCCTACATGTCCTCTATCTATGGTGATCTCAAGGACGGCGTCGTAGGAGACGACGTCAAGGTGGTCGGGTCCTTCGAAGAGGGTGCGAAAAATGAAGGAGCGCGCGCTGCCGCTCCTCATACGCGCGGCGCAAGCAGAGTGAGCTGAAAGGGGTCTACTGCGCATACCTACTGCACATTATGAGGCCAGAATATAAAATAGCTGAAAATCTTGAGTAATAGCTTAATAATGCAATCGCATTAAAAACTCCGAAAACACGGAATTCTAACTACATGCCGCTGGCCCGTGCCTGACTCTGTCGCTCTGCCGCAGCGCACCCGCGTGCCTGGGGGAGAAGCACTCCATCAAGGCGGGATGTTGCGTGCGGATCGCGTGCTCGCCAGCCCGTAATATTTGCAAGTGGCGGGACGTCGCCGTTTACAAATGGAACTTGTAAATATTGATGTTGCAACGCTGCCACGCAGTTGCGTTTGTTTTAACATAAGGACCGCTGTTCTTATGCAAATCTGCAGGCTATATATGTATGGGCAGAGGTCTCGCCGTAACAAGGAAGGTCTGTTATATAACGGTGAGCGTTTTTTTTGTTTTTTTTTCGGTGATTGTTGGATACGGCGATTGATTGGAAGCAGTCATGATATTGTAACCTCGCAGACAGTGCCCCGCGACGTCATCTCACATGACCTCAAAATGTTTCCGCTAGAAGATATTTTCCCGCCAAATTTCGCGAATTAGGAGTTTTCGTAGGCCGCTTTTCCCCCACCGATAAGCCCTCCGCAACGAAGAGGCCGCTACTGCGCCTGCGCGCCGATGGCCTTGGCTGTAGACTTCCGGGTATCGTAGCAGATTGCGGACAGCGTTGCGGGACGGCGAAGATGACCTACGAAAATTCCCCAATTTTCTGCCAAATTTCGCGGGAATTCAGCGTCACGTGACTTCAGTGTCACGTGATCTCATGGTGTCATGCGACATCACATGAACACCGTTCGCTAAATATAGAGAAGAAATTTTTCTGCGAAATTTAGCGTCACGTGACGTCACAGTCCCGCACGAACATCGTCCGCAACATTTAGCGGAGCATTAGCCCGCTCAACTTAAACACTGCAACTCTGTGCAGCAATGTGCAGCGTACCAGGAATAGGCCACTAAATAAGCTACGCTTCAAAGTAATTGCACTTACTCATCCTGCGGCTTAAAATCGTGGTTGCCGGTTATATGAAGCTTCGTCTGAAATCACAGCTAACGCTTTTCCGTCCTCCAGAAATGCTTGAACGGTTTGCGATAGAGCGAAGCAATCTTACATGAGCTTCCCAACACCGAGCCTAATGCTGAGGAAGTCGCACTTCTGAATCGTGACTATCGGCAGTTATGTCTACTCTGCACAAGCAGCAAGATGACGGCGCCCAGAACAATATCGGGGAACACAGTCCCGACACACTAAGCGTAGCGCATTTAGTGGCTCTAGCTTGGAGTATTCAGCGTTGGGTTTTATCCCTCTATGTACCCTGCTAGCTACCCACATTGCTCAGCGTACCCCTCCTTATACCACGTCACGTGGGCCTGCAAATCCCACCCATCCCTTCCCCCCATCTCCTCCCATTCCCCGGAGACTTGGGAAGCTGCGTTGCTCAGCTCGCACCCGGACGACCAGCATAGTCTGGTCGAACGGGCCAAGGCAGCAGCGGCCAGCACTGGAGCCCTGGACTAGGGGCACCACCCATCTTTGGGTATTTCTATATCTAAATAAAAGTTTACATCATCATCCGCGTTGGCAGCCCGTTCCCCGATTTTCTTGGTGGCGAGTGCAGACCGCTCAATCGTCGATCGTCACGATTTGCTCACTGGAGACAGTGTAAAGAAGCTCGGGGATGTCGTTTTCATCTGTTCTGGACTGTTTTAGCGTTATTTCTGTGACTATCACGGCCTGGCGGTAGTTAAACAAATGCAGAGGGGAAAGAAATTGGGTTAGAAAAGTGAGGGGAGAATTTATACTTTTTCTTTTTTTTTTTTTCTTCTAGGCTAGATGGCGCAAGCTACCGCCCGTTATAAAGGGCACAGCCGTTAGTGTTCATTCATCCATCCATGGCTGAAGTATCGTTACTTTGAAAGCGTTTCTCATCCAGAGGCTTATAGTCACTGACAGAATGAAAACGCCGGAGAATGTATTCTTTTTTATTGATTTTTCGAGATTGTTACAGGAGTAGATCAAACATAATATCACACGGGTTGCACTTGCTGCGATAACTTGGAACGAAAATCTAAACATCAGGTGGCAAACTATTCCTATCAATAATTGTTCGAGGAAAGAGGGAGTATTTAAATGCGTAATTTTTATAACTATATGGTTTTGTTGTTCTGCTGTGAAAATGCCTAGTAGACCTGAGGCAGAAAAATGTAATATAATCATCTTTGTCCATTCCAAGGTCGTCGTTTACGTTAAGGTAAGGCGTTCTTCCGAACGCCCACCCTCCAACACGCACTCCTTGCCTTCCGTCGTGCTTTGGCAGCGCGTCCACGCTCAAGGGCCGAGACTCGCGAGAAGACGCCGAAGTATTATCCAAGGTAGGAAGTTCCCGCTAGAGGCGAGACGACTAAAGACCCTCCCTGCCGTTCTCATTTTGTCAGTGGCTACCGGCGACTTCCATCGTGCGTTCTGGAATCTACTTCCACGGCTTCGTCTTTTAGTCCGCCAGGCGCTGTGAACACCCGATTCGCTCGAGAGAAACGGCGAACGAACCTGCCGCTACAACTTTCTTTTCTGGCCGTTAGGTGCCGCCGATTTCGCAAAGGTTGCCGATAGCTTTGACTCTTCTGTGGTCTGTTGCAACTCAAGAAAGTAGGGCGAGGGTACGACGGGCCGGGAGGAGGAAGCAGACGAAACGCTGGAGCAGAGAGGGGGAAACCTCCTCTCTTTAGCGTTCCGCCTGCTTCCTCCTATAGGTGGCGTT